GATCGTGTCATCAAATCTCTCTTTTTTAAGCATTTGGAAAGGTTTTCTTTGAAGTTTTTCCAAATCTTCTTTAAATCTTCAACTACAACGAAAAAACGGGGTGAGATGAAAAGTATATGCACTTTTATTTTTAGACCATACATGTCAACTAAGAAAGATTTTCAAAACCTATGAGACCCTGGAGTCTCGTAATAACTTATTTGTCTAAAGATCCTTGGTAATTTGCTTGTAAGTTTTTCCCAATTAAGCAATAAACAAAATGTTAATGAAAAATGAATCCAGAATAAATCTATTTTGTGTGCTCTTATGGCTTCAAAACGATTCAAGGGCGAGGAGGGCTTAAACTGAAAGTTAACGCTCACCATTCCTCCCATACTTTTCCGCAATTTCCTCCCAAGCTTTCTGTTTCATCTGGGTATCTTTGAAACCCCTGCAGCTAGTGTCCCATATGCATTTGTACGACCGTACATCTTCAACAAACATTTCATCAAAACTTCTGTCAGCGTCTTCACTGCCCTCAGTAACATTAGCTAAGTAAACAGCTGAATTTTCATCATCGACCAATGCTGAGGCCTCTGTTTCGGCAGAAGCTGCCCCTGTTCGCCAGTTAACTTGTACCCTGCTTTGATTTTGCATGTTGGTAAATAATGCCATTAGCTCTTCGTTAGAATAAGGAACGTTGGAAGCCATACTAGAAAATTCTGTTGTTTACAAATAAGATCATACGGCCGTAGCACCATTTTTCTAGTAGCTCTTAATTGCTTGGATTGACTCATTCTGACGTCTAGGAAGACACGCCTAATCTAATATTGCGTTAGTTCCCCTTTTTGAATTAAAATGTTTGGTGGCATTTACGTATTTCAAGTTGGCCTGCCTATTCATAGATTTTTGTTGATTTTTCCACTTCCTGATTTCCTAGTAACTTGATCACATGCTAAAATATACTTAATCTCATTGGTTCAAATACCTGTCTACCGCTATCGATCGAATTCGATCGACAGAAAAGTTCAATTGATTTGAACTTTTCAATCGATCGAATTCGATCGACAGCGGTCGATAGCGGTCGAGGGGGAGTCCGCGGCATGCTATCTGCGCATGTGTGAAATCGATCGATATCGATCGAAATCGATCGATTCGACCGCTTTCGTTTAAGTGGAAACTGGCCTTAACACTTACAGCTGCGCGACAAGCTCAGTTTCTGGGAACGTAGCTAAAAATGGCGGATTACTTCAGTAATGCGAGGTTAGTTTTCCGATGAGCCCAGCACGAAGACGGATTTCCCGCAGACCAGATGGCTCTTAAGCCGCTTAGCCTGTGTGAAAGAGTTCTGTTTATGTCATCCGTTGCTACACACAAACTAGAGTGTTTCCTACTAGCAGTGAAGTTGCACAGAGATAAGACGAGAGTATAAAATCCTCAAGCTCAATGAGTTAAACGACCGGGGAAATGATTTTCCCGGAGCGGTTCGATGAAATTTCACGACCGCATTATGTCCAGTCAAGTCTTGTCCAGTCCGTACTCATAAAAATTGATACAGCGTGTTCAAATTTTGCCGTTTGAAGAACGCTTTCAAATGTCTTAGGGCTTTACACTCTTTTTTATAAAAACCAGTAAATTTAGGTTCAGGCTGACTGTTCTTAATTTTTTCGAAAATCTGAGGCTGGTTTGTTCTTAATTTGTTCTTAATTCAATAGGGTGTAAGCAGTGCGAGTGCTAGCTTCTTTGCTCTAGGGAGTTAGTCAGGACTCATTTGCCAACAGAGTGAGTGAGACAACCTTAATTTGCCAACAGGTTTGAATATTCACCGAAAAAGCACCCAAACATGGCTAAAAATCCTCGATTTTGAGATAAAACGTTGTTCGAAATTGCATTTTGCAGAAGCTCAGCCTCAGCTTGTTCTTAATTTGTGCTTAACTTTTGACCAATTTTGAGGCTCGTGTTCTTATAAAATGGTTCTTTTTAAAAAAAAGTCTAGTTCGGCTGGAAGATCAATCTAGAATGCTTCTTACTCGCAGTAAGCTAGTGAAGTTGCACGAAGATAAAAACGAAAGTATAGAGCCTCTAGGAGTAAAGCGAGTTTGTTTCCTGGGAATGAGTTTCCTGGAGCGGTTCGATGAATATTAACGACCGTACAATGTCCAGTCCTGTCCTGTCTAGTCCGCACTCATAAAATAAGATTGATACAGCGTGTACAAATTTGACCGTTTGAAGAACCCTTTCAAATGTCTTTAGGGCTTTAGTTCGGCTGGAAAATCAATCTGGAATGATTCTAGTAATTCTAGCTTTTCCCTGCTTCGGTTTCATGAAGTTTTGATAGCTGGATGGCTTACTTTCCTCTTCGTAAAAACCTTCTCCACAATCTGATAGCATTGCCATTGCCTACGAAAACTTACCTTTTGTTTTTACGCACGCAACCAATTTTAAGTTAGTTGTCCGTGAAGGAACAGGTTGTTATCATGTCCTTGAAAATAAGCTCTCAGGTTCAGAGGATTCTCACATGGGCCTAATAGTGTTTTAAACGAGAGACCTGAAGTGGGTTCTCAATCCAAATTCTACATCATCCTTTGGAGGCTATCCCTGTCATCTCTTGGGGACTGTTCCATGTCATATTTTTGGGGCAGTTCCGGTAAACTTTTGAAGACTATATCTGTCATATTTTGGGATCAATTTATGTCATCTTTGTAAACAACTTCTATCATCTTTAAGAGATTCATGTTGTCTTATCATGTTTGCCTTCAGTAGTGAAATCCTATCCGCATGTCTTTGTCAGTATATGGCTACAATTCTATTTAGTATTAAATATAAAATGGGCACAGTATCTGGTGAAGATACACTGTCAGTACGCCAGACGAAAACAGCATTGCGACCGCAGTGCCAAAGACTGCAAGAAAATGGTATGAAAAGAGTCGAACAACAAAGGCCACGCCCTGACCAAGCCATTTTTCACTGTTTTTAAGCAAGTTATATCCGGAATAAAGAAGGATACTTCTCAGAATTATGCTTTACGTACTGTCCAGTTACAGGGACTGGGTATACACAAGCTAATGATAAGCCAATCAGCAACCGTGTGAGTTGTATTACCCTCACTGATTGGCCGATTGTTGATTGACAGCTGGTGAAGCCATTTTAGTATCTGTCGATTGATCTCTTCAAAGGCATGGACACTGGTAAAACAATACTAAATTAATAACATTCTTTTTTGTTCCATTGAATTGAATAAAATTTACTCTCACCCCAAGAAAAAAGAAACTCTTTGGAAATTCATTAATTCAGTTTGATTAAAATAAGCATACACTCTCAAAACAAGATTTGTTTTGCGAAAATTCTTCGTCTTGTTATTTTGGGTGAAATACTGAATCATTCATTTGTCTCCACCAACCCTGTGAAACTGTTGCTTCTGAAATACTTTCAAATTATTTGATGGACAAAAATTTTCAGAATTTGATAAAGGGGTATCGAGGAAAACAAGGATATCAAGGCACATCAGGATGAAAATATGGTCTCGATTCTTATCGTGGAATAGTCTCGATAGAATACTGTAGTCTGGCAAATATTAGCATATTGAACAGTGGAAACTCAATTGACAGTGGGAAATATTTTGAAGCCAAAGAAATTTTTCTCGTTTCAGTACGACCAAAAACTCATTAACAGATCCTGTTCAGTGCTTTTTATTCCTGTCCTATTCCTCAATAACGTTTTAATTCTATAGTTCAAGGACAGCGCTTCCTTTGCGGTCCGTCCTGACGTTTTCCTATCTGTTTGTTGACGGTGTTTTGAAAAGAGGAAGTTAATGAAAGAGAGGCATCTATGTCAGCATAGCAGCAAAGATCAGGAGAAGTTGATATCGAGCATAAACAGTTTACTGCAGAAATTCCGATTTTTCGTATCTGTTTTTGGGAATGTTAGGTTGAATTAAGGCGGCGAATAGTTTCTCAAAGGGAGAAAGTAGAGAAATTCAGGAGTGGGGGCAGGGGGCAAAGATATAAGTTAGCCCCCACATCGGCAGCCAATCTATTTTGAATTTCCCAACACCGTCGGCACTTGATTGATGTTATACTGTTTAGAAGATGTCAGAATAACATAAAAAATCGATGGACCAATTTGAGAAAACCATTCTAGTATGTGAGGCACATCGCCATAATGCATGCTATCTCATTTCATACTTATCTGTAGGCTGTTTGATAGATTCTTCGTCGGCACCTTCAATATTTGTCTCTAGCGCCCTCTTGGCAATATTGCTTATTTCCCGTAATTGTCTCTCCGTCAGACGTTTGTTGTAAAGCAAAACTTCTAAACACCAGAATGCCTGAGGAACGCAACAAGTGGGAAAATCAGAGTAGCAGCTTGGAACCGCCCTCTTCTATACGCAAAAATCGTGAACACCAGAATGTACACAACAATCAATATCGGGGAAGTTTCCTCAAAACAGGCGCTTTTGTAAAATTCTCAAACGCCTAATGATGAATTTTCGCTTATCTAATGAGTACAAGAATTCAGAGAAAGTCCGATTGTTAATGGCTTTCCAAATGACACCGGGGATTAAGTGCCTACGTGAAGCTTCTAATGAACTGGGAGAAACCAGTTCTATCAAGAACAATATGTTTATGTAATACCACGAAATTCCCGCCACAGCCAAATGGTCCCTCGCAACAGCATTGCATCAAGGGATATATCGGTATTATCAATGTAACTTCTATGACATGCCGTCTCGCTAGCAACAAACTACAATGTTTGGATACGATTTGGCACCCAAATGAAGCGATATTGAACAATTGTCGGTTGGCTTGGTTAGGCCGTCGGGTTTTGACATCATGGTTTATTCAGGGTAGCACGTGATGTTAGCCCGATCTCAGAGAACTTCAGCCAATATTTGCTGGAATTTAAATGATTGATCTTTGCAATTTAAAAAATCGTGAACTGTAGTAGTTTTCGTGAATGGGGTAACAACAAGGTGTGGCCTAAATGGGCCTAAGCATCTCGTTCTTTGATCGCACAATGAGAAGGAAATTTTGAAATTGTCTACCAACGGCCGAGAGGTCTGGTATTCTCCACATGCAAAACTGTTTGCTAGAATCTTGGCCTTCTTTTGAACGATGCAAAATTTCATCCACATTTCTCTGATTGATGCTTAGAAATTACAATCCATTCCCGGGGCTGAAAGTGTATCTCCTCTAGTTTTTACAGTTGTACTCAGACCGCGTTGGTTTTTATATCATGCACAGCCGGACAGTTTCGCCCCTATTTCCATTTGAACGTAAAGGATTGTAGAAGGAGCCTCCGGACAACGGGAACATCTCTTTACAACGGACAGTAACGCTGTATCAAATATATCCGTTAATTGGAAGTTCTTCTGTCTTCTGTGTTTCCTAAATTCCATTATTTTGTTAGTCTTTAACATTTCATCATTTGGCATTCCCTTTGACGTCATGCTTCTCAAAATTTCTGGTACCCATCGTCTCGATCTGTGCATCTCAAGGCGAAGCAAGACTCGAGCCATTTTTCCACTGCAAACGTCTCGCGAATAAAAGATTTTCTTGAAACTTTCCGATCTTTATGTAATATTCTGAGTTGTGGCTTATTTCTACTCAACTAATGTTTGGCGCGCCAAAATAACAACATCCTTATCCGGCCCCAAATAATTTGTAGATGTTTTTCAAATCAACATTTGATTGATATTTGTTGTGATGTCCTGTTAGAAGATGTTCTCTGATTCTTTGCACTTTCCCATCCCAATGTCTTCTGCATTATCTTGTTTTTATCAGGGCTAATGGCGAGGGCTACTCTAAAATGTCTAGAATAGGGATACTCAGGGTTCTTTCTGGGTTTAGACATCGGATAAAAGAAGTTCCTTTTTGGGTAGGCCACTTATTCAAATATATTTATAAGCTCGTGAAATTCTGGATTATTTCTTCGGGTCTTAAATCCTAGAGAATACGGAGATAAGGAAATTTGATTGTCAGACAACATCAAAAAAGAAAGCGCCGTGAAACCAAACATGTTAATTAGATATGTTTGTTAAGGGAAAATACTTTTAAGGGTTAATTCCAATCATAAAAAACTGTTTTGGGCTAACTATAGATATACCAGAATAGCCCCTGCAGAGTCAGTGGAGGAGCCTAAGGTAGGAAACCCCCACTCAGAAGGCTGTCGTGTCGGCAGGTCCAGTTAACATATCTTCAACTCTTTAAAAAGGATAAGAGCTAAGAGCAGATTAGGAAGTATGCCAAATTTTATACAGTTTTTTGTTGTCGGAATGTTGGTTCGCCCCATAGAAATAACTGCTGGTATTTGCCATGATTCCGATAATTATTGGATTGCTATCTTATTGAATATTTTTGATCCCCTACTCGAATCCAAATCCAAATCACAAATCTTTTAACTCGTATTATTAAATTTATTCTGAGCTTGGTGTATGTATACTTCAAAGATAAAAATTATTATTACACTCTTTTTTTAAGAACCAGTAAATTTAAGTTCAGGCTGACTGTTCTTAATTTTTTCGAAAATCTGAGGCTGGATTGTTATTAATTTGTTCTTAAATTAAAAGGGTGTAAGCAGTGCTACTGCTAGCTTTTTCGCTCTAAGGAGGTGTTCAGGCCTCATTTGCCAACCAAGTGAGTGAGACAGCCTTAATTTGCTGACAAGTTTGAATATTCACCGAAAAAGCACCCACACATCGCTAAAAATCCTCGATTTTGAGAAAAAACGTTGTTCAAAATCGCATTTTGCAGAAGCTCAGCCTCAGCTTGTTCTTAATTTGTTCTTATCTTTTGACCTGTTTTGAGGCTCGTGTTCTTATAAAATTGTTCTTATAAAAAAAGAGTGTATGAATATTGTTCGTTTGAAACTATCTTGTCTCTTGTCATAATAACGAGAGAGATTATTTTTCATTAGCTTGGGCAAATCGAGTAAACTATCAAAACCTAAATGTTTATTATTATAAAAACAAACAAAATATAAACCAGACAATCTTTTTGCTAACCTGATCATAGAATTATCTTTCTCTCGCCGTGATTTTGATGACATCTGTTGAAATACAAGCAGCTAATGGGGCCTATTCGCTGCTGAACCAATCAACCACGTCCTTACTCTTCAGAAAGGAACGTTGAATATTTGCCTTCCCTTTCTTTCAGAGACCTCCAAAGACCGGAAACATTCTCTCCGGGAATCACAGATATGTAGACAATGCGACAGGTACTGTTAGTTGATTGTTTTAAGTTGACGCCCGGCTATCCAAAGTCATTTATAAATGATTGCTTTCCTCTCTGTGCAACCGCAGACAACAACACAATGGGATGTATGGCCCACAATGACTCATTATTAAGGCGCCTGCACAGTTCCATTGTGATGTCATCCCACTACCTGAAGATCATTACCGTAAATCCTCGAATGGGCCCCCTGGGGTATTTATTTTTCACCTGGGGTATTTGTTATAAGAGGGGGCTTATATGAGGGGGGGGGCTTATAAAATTATAGTAGACATTAAGAAGACATTATTAAAAGACGTCGTATATTCAGGGCCGGCGAAAGCCATGCCCTTCCCCCCCACACACACTTTTCTGCAGAGCTAAAGGGAAATTTTAGCCAAAAGTAGAAATAAATGTAGTTTATCGTGCTGTAAGTAACTGTGTTTAGTAATCCCTTACACATGCCTTTAGCTTTAGCTTGGTTGCTATGTCTTTACCATAGAAGACATACATAGATTTGAATATGGGAATACGATTGAAGAAATCGGTCATTGTCTAAGTTGTACAACAAGTAACAGCTTGGCTTAGGAAATAGATCGAGTAACCTGATCCAGAATAACTTGGTGCCAGCACAAATTGAAGGGGTTTCGTTATTGCCTAATCTTGGCTCACAAGGTCTATTTGTTAACAACAAATTTCTCAGGAACATTACAAAAGAGAGAAATCGCTAGCGATGTGGAAGGGAAAGAAACTAACGAAAAAAAATTTTTGAGGACATAAGAAAGAAAGAATGGCCAGATTTGTTCTATAAAAGTAACATCAAGAAATCTTAAAATTTTGATTGTATCGATGATCCATTCCTACAAAAAAAGAAAATCTAGACGCAATTATAAAGAAAGCTTAAATATATTGCCTCAGATTTTCCTTCAGTCAAAATCTAATTTAGATACAGTCTCTGGGCCATCCCAAAAAAACAATAATCCTAAAGATTTTCTTGCCGCCAACCATGGTGGCGCCCTAACCTAAGCCCTTTCAGGACTTTCATATTTGGCCCTTCCACTTTCAAATACGTTTCGCTGGCTTTAATAAAGCCATTTTACCATCTTACAAATCAACCTAACTCTCAGAATTAATATTCATAGGCAGAATGCTATTTTACTGCTTTAATCGATTTGTTGGTAATCATTCTCATCATTCGTGCACCCAACCCTGAAACATTGTAATGTGCAGTTGGTTCTTTCAAATACGTTTCGCCGGTCTCGATATCTTAGTAGTAATTTCTCTATGAACATTTATTTGATTATTATCAAAATTATGAATTTTTGTCGTGATTCAATAAAACGCCAAAGGCAACCTCACGATGGCAAAAATCAACAAATCGAGAAGGGGCAGTTCGAGAATATATGGAAGCGGTGGGGGATTAATCGAGGGGGTTGGGGTGCTTATTGACAACTTGTAGTTCTCGGGGGTGGGGAACTTATTGACAGTTTGTAGTTCTAGGGTGGGGCTTATTTAAGGAGGGGGCCATTTCAAATAAGATCTTTAATTTCAATGTTGTTTAAACACTTTTAGCAGCATATCTTAAAAATCAAATATTTTTATTCTTATTATCTAACTGCCAAAACTCCCTAAAGAAAACAAGCCCTCCAAGTTTACAATTTTTGAGTTAGATGAATTCTTTGTACCGATATACCAGATTGCATGAAATAGCGGAACCATGATTTTGTATCAATGTTTTATCAATAACAAACATAGTGATCTTACAATTTTCGAGTTACTTGGATCTAATAAAATTAAGAATATCATAGAGAAAAACAAACTTGTTGAAAAAACCAGTTTTACAGAGGAAATATTTCATGGCATGAGTGTGGTTGTTAAAGTTACGTAAAGACGGAATATTTCCACAAAAAGGGTTGCCAACACAGAATTCGTCCAACCAAATATGAACTCACGTTAAGGTGGGTGGGGATGGCTGAGCCCCCATATTCTATTTGAATTTTTACAAGGTAGGCTAACCCCTCTTAAGCCCCCTCCACAGCATCACTGTGTATAACGTGTTGAATCGTATCTGAATTCACAGTAGATGAGTACTACTTTTACAAAATCTTCTTGATTGCTTTTTTTGATGAATATTTGTGAAAAGCGTGTCAGACTTTCGTGGATTTTAGCACACTAGAAAAAACCTGACCTGGGCTGGGGGGGGGGGCTTTAGCCCATCCACCTTTTGCAAAAAATGCAAAATATTAAGTAACAAACTACCAGTAAAGCCTCTTTTTATTCGGTTTTAGCCCCCCCCCTCACTTTTTTAGACCTCCTACTTTTCCCCCGACATAATTTTATAGAAGATGCCTTATTTTGGGAATTGAGCTTTTGCAATAAAGGTTTTTGGTTTTATTTCAAAAGATATTTTTAAGGTTGTTAACGAGTTACGATGTTGCTTAGTCGTCAATGATCGACAAGAAACCACTATAAAAATTTATTTTATGTTTTTCTTGCTGAAGTAAAATTTCAACAACCCACATGCTCACTCTTATCAATTAAAGGTTTTCTCTACCAAGACCCGATTGCTTTGATTTCATATTTCTTATTTTTGAATAGAATAAAAAAGTAGATTCGTCCATTTTTACTCCTTTTCAGTTGCTTACTGAAATGCTTAAAATCAACTTTATACAAATTTTACTTTATACAAACAATTTTGTTTGGAATCGACATAACATAAGTTTTATTGTAAATAGAATTTCTATAAATTTGTTCATGTTTTAAATTATTCATCAAAGTATGGCATCTCTTCTTCTAAAACAAGCAAATTGTGAGTTTGCAACAGAATATGTTGCCCACAATGGGATAACCAATCAATGGCCTAGACAAAATCTTATTAAGCCATTTATTTGATATGAAAATAATTACACGTGGAAACATTGTAATATACACCTGAAATCCACGCCAATAAAAGGCTTTAGTTATCAAATGAGATCACTATGAATATGTCGCATAAGCAGGTGTCTGTATAAAGCCTAAGTTTGTTCCTTGGTCAAGATGGAAACAGCTTGAAGTTGGATTTTTATGCCAGAATGGTTTTTTATCATATAATTAGTGACAATGGTTTCAATACATCTGTTGGTAAAAGACGAGGCCAGCCTCGTTGCGATGTTTGTAATCCTTCTGTTTACTTTTGAATTTTTGAAACATTTAGTCGAAAATTGAACACATATATTTCAACTCCCGCACTCCCGCAATATGCTGAATCTTTTCTTGCCCATATATATGTAAATTGGAATTCGATTATTCGGAATATTTTAAATATGAAATTGGAAATGGGGGAAATTATGCACATAATTCTTCGTGTTTGTGTTTTTAGACCTCCCAATTTTCCAGACCATGTCTCATTGTTATAGATGTATACTTAAAGTTTTTTAGCAGGATTTCCCCTGCCAGAGGAAAGAGTCACTACTTTAGCGAATCCTCAATCGATGCATCTTTCTTTTTAAAGCAATTTGAGGCTTATCTTTCCCTTATTGATTTTTCAAAATATTTTTTGATTCCATCATATGATTTTGATTAATGTGTCGTAAAAGCTTTCTCGAGCTAAAGTCTTTGTAACGGGGAAAGGAAACGAGATTTTCGATAGAAAAACTCAGAGTCAGGAAAACATTACGGTCGCATGACCGGAGGAAGGTCCACGAAAAACAATAGAAGCTCCATGACACACCCAAGCTACGCCCACTTTCAATTGTTTTGTGAGGTAGGTTTGCCTTCTGAGATGGTTTTGTCTGGAGGAAGGTTAACAACTTTTCTAGACTCTGGAAAAACGTAATGATGTCATAAGGCACCATTGCTTGATGGAGCTCATGCCATAGTAGCTGCGACCCTGTACGCATGATCCATATGCCTACGGAGCTTTTTCTTTTCAAAGAAAACGATTTAATTTGTTGTTAAAATCAGAATGGAGAATAGCAAGTTGGAAAAATGACAATCAAAAAGCTATAACCTCCCTCATTTTACATGGCAAATGTTGCTATGTTTTCTACCAAGAAAATCAAACGATTATTTCATGGTAGGCATTACAAAGAGTTCCCTATTAAAAAACGCTTTATCAATAGGGAAGAACTGTTTCTCTCTTAATGTGTTTCTAAAAACGTCAAGAATTGCCCAATCAGCCTTCCAAAGTCTAGACCTGAGTTGCCGTCTGTTCTGGCAGCTGTTAGATTTTAAGACTTCGGTCTTTTTTCGCTTGCGCACGCGCTATACAGTCTGCTGATTTGATTGGCTAGCATGCGGATTTGGCTCTCTGTAAACAAAAACAAGCATGTACACAGTCATTCGAAGTGCGCACTGCATCAAAGCGGTCGAACCAATGCGTTTACAAAACGTTATGGATACTCCCATTTTAAACTCTTGTTCTCCACCCGCGCGTCTTCGTATACTCCTTAACAGTAAAAAGCAAAAAGATTCGCGAATGGTTGAATATTCAGATAATTTTTAATTTCAAGATATGTCTATGATCTACTCACTTTTCTCGTAAATGATTAAGTGGTTGTTTTTTTGATAAAGTTTGATTTAATGATTAAGATCTATTGATCCAGTTAGAGGATAGATGAAGGGACAGTCACCAGAACCATCTGGCCAGCAATGTTGACGATGGCTTGTTTTGCTGTGTTCAAGATGATTTGCACAACCTCAGTGAGCTTTTCCTTTATCTGAGGCCACATTATGGCGATTGCCTTTTTTATCTCTTCCATGATAATGTCTTTAAGAGCCACAAGTTTTGATTTTATTCTGTTCCAGACTAGAAATTGAATACAAGCCGATCGTTATTATATTATAAAAAAGTATGTCATAAAATTTGTTTGATACTTCTAAATTATCTCTTGAAAATTAAAGTTAATAAAGTTACCAATTAAAAAAAACCAAAAACAAAGCATTAAAATTCTATGCAAATATTGGCACATAAAATTATAACTTACATCGAAATTCCGAAACAGATTATAGAAAGCAACGAACTTTAAAGAACCAATAGTTCAGGAGCAAAAAATTAAGATAATTCTTTTAACAATCTGCTGCAGGCAACAGTATACGCTAGGAACCAGTCCTCTTTCCTCTGTCACTTGAAACTTGGACATTTCTGAGATGTTTTTATATAAGAATGTATACTGTTGGCATATGTTCTATGAGACTGGTTCCCATTCTATGAGACAGGTTCCCATTCTATGAGACTGGTTCCCATTCTATGAGACAGGTTCCCATTCTATGAGACTGGTTCCCATTCTATGAGACTGGTTCCCATTCTATGAGACTGGTTCCCATTCTATGAGACTGGTTCCCATTCTATGAGACTGGTTCCCATTCTATGAGACTGGTTCTATGAGACATTTCATATTTTTGGGAAACTTTTTCTTGGACAGAGCTTTCCATACTTCTCTGGATCACTGTTCTAGTAAAGTAACTGTAACGAAGCATGCAAGAAGGAAAGCAAATATAAACAATATTTTAGTTTCTCTTCTTCTTCAATATTCTCCAACTTAACGTTACAACATCTTCTGCTACCTATCCAGCCTTTATCTCCGCTTCAACTTCCTTCTCTCTCTCTCGCTCACTAGTCACAACAACAAAAACTCTCATTCCAGTCTCTCATTACTCACATTCTCACATAACAAACCGTGTTCGGCAAAAATCGTACATTTTGCCATAATTTATGAATTTTCCATAATTGATTTTTCAAAAAGAAGAAGTATCCTGCTTGTCTTAAACAGACAGTATGATATTGAAATTTAAAATAAAGACCTTGTTTCTTTGGTCGTCCTTTGATTAAAACAATAATCATTTTCTCTAGGTGTAACCCAGAAAGTAAGTTGCAAGAAAAGTAAAGCACAATAAGGCTTGAACCGAACGAGCGGCCAAGACTATCGGCGAACAGACAAAAAAGTTTACTTTCTATCGCCTTGTTACTGCTGCATACATAAAATTTACCTAAGAGGGGATTTATTGCTCAAAGAATGTTTGAATTTCTTTGGAGATTTTGAATCCTTTCATAGAGAGGTTAACTTGGGGCATAACCAATGGATGATTTTTCATTCTTTAGAGAAGTTTTCTGAGACAATAATTCTACGCATACTGACGTAAATAGCCGTAGCTACTCACAGTCTTGGAGGAGGCCTCGTTTCACATTTTTGTCGTTGGAAACTGCTACTAGATCATAGGCCCCATCTGCAATACTGTCAAAATCAGCCTCCATTTCTTTCTCTGCAGCATCAGCAAGCTCCATGTCCTCCTTCGCACTTACAGCGTCAACGAACGATGCAGCGGCACCAGCTGCAAAACAATCGTACTTTAAGTTATGCTTTATGATTTGCTGGCTGCCTTTTGAGTTCGATGCTTATAATACTACTAAAGAAGGATTCACATACTTTTTAGGGACATAAATAAACCGGAAAGGCTGGTTAGAGCATAACATAACCAAAACTTCGATATATCTTTATACACTATAGTGGCCTTCCAATTTTTGATATCCTTCGATCACGATAAACTTATCTAATCCTAGTTAGGCAGAGAAGCAAATCTTTATAAATCTTCAAGAGTCTCGTTCTCCACGTTTGAAGGAAAATAATTCACTTAATCGATATCATTTGCAATGTCTCCTACTTGAATTGTACATTGATGGGCACAATTTTTGATTAAAGGGAAAAAAATTAGTAAAATCTACAAGTTTATTCATTAATGTAAAGAGCTGCAATTCTAATAGCTCTTACGAGAATTGCCGCTCTTTAATCTTTATTGAAAGACCTATTTTAAGGAGTTAATTCAAACTTTTTCTAAGTAACAAATTTCCTGTGTTACTGTTGTAACAAATCAAATTAAAAATTTTTCCAAAAGTAGTAACCGAATCAGGATCATAAAAGGTTGAATCTTCACCTTCAGAAATTCCAAGTTTCTTCAACACGTTTACGACATATCTCTCGATTATAGCATTACTTTGCTGGACGCTGCGTATCGCTCTGAAGGCGGCTCCCTTGATTTTCAGATGCGCAGCTGTCACTGCGACTTTGATTCTCCTTTTCAATTTGTCGAGATCTGAAAATATAACAAGACTGATCATCATCTTCGAAATATTGTTATAACAGTCATCATGGAACTTCCAGATAAGGTTCATAACCGTACATTACAGTTGTCGCACAGAAGGAAAACAGGGGGAAATAGAAGCAACGGGTAGTATCAAAATAGCCTGTGTTAGACCCAAACCGCTTTTTCAGTGTGCTGCAGTGTTACTCTTAAGATATCTTTTTTCATTAGAGTTACATATAGAATAGGAATTGACCAAGAAACATTGTTAATATCATCACACAGTCAAGTTGATTCGACAAAGTCGTTCGTGGTTCTCTCGGAGAAACAGGCAAATGTTTGTGTTGTTTACTCAATTTTTTTTACTACTATCATTTCAATCGTTTATTAAGATTGAAACATGGAAAAATCAAACTGTATTATCACCTTGCTGAAGTGGCTGCTTTTTCTTCTATTACATCCTTATGAACGATAAAAGTATTATTATCCCTCTATTTGCAACCTAACTTTCTTGAATACCCATACACGCTTATCAAAGTCAGCCATTGTGTCCCTTATTCCCTGAGACCAGATGATCTGTCTCCAGGCACCGAGAACCATATTACAGATAAGAGAGACTAGATTTTTTTAGGTTGCACACCCTTAAAACAAAGAGCAATACCCGTAAAACATTTATCGGATTATTTTGAGACTAAGCATCCCACAGTCCTTGAATCGTTCATGATATCATCTAAATACCAAACCATGTTTCTATAATACCACAGCTTACCAGAGTGATCCCCATCTGCGGCATCTTCAATGATTTTTTCGATTAGGTTGGCAATCTTTGCTGCTGCACCCTGAATTGATTTGATTGCATTCTTGGTCATCTGTGTACGGGAGCCTTCAATTGCTTTGAATTTTTGCTCAACCTCTGTAGAACAAAAAAAATAGAACAGTAAATAGACAAAGTATATAGAAAGTAGGCACATATTTGGAGAAGAATTTACATGTTTTGAAAACATGGGCAAAAAAGTAGCAATGATATCTAAATGAAATAAAATTTCAATAAATTCGAATATGATGCTTCTGCTTCTAGCATTCATATTCTTAAGCATAGAAATCATTAAAGTGTTATAAATCAAAGTACACAAATTTTTGAATAATACCCATGAAAGGCAAATAGATTTTCGGATGGAAGATTTTTCAAAAGAGGAATGTCTAATGTAATGGTAACAAGTTTCTTGAAAAAAGACGAAGGAGCAAATTGGTTTCATAAATCTTTTATATATATATTAATATTATTTGGTTAGAAAAATAATAAAAGTTGATCAATAAGTACATTTGTTATAGTACTTTGTATCACCGAAAGAAAAAGTTTATTTCCTTCTCTGCGTTCCTTAAAAATCAATCACTGCTTGTTAATAATAGCTACAATAATATGCAAGTTATAAAAGAATATTAAAATATAAATAATATAAAAAAACTATATTAAAGAATAACATTTAACCTTCAATCAGTTTTGTGATATTGGTTCCGTTTCCTTGCTTTGGTTTTGCATCTTTGATCAACTCAATAGTTTTGGCAAACAGATCTGCGTTTTTCTGGGCTGATGTTGCAACGGCTTTTGTGACCAACAGCACAGACTTTGTGGCGAGACTTTTCATGTTCTTTTCCAGGGTTTCCAAGCGTTTGCATACCTACAAAAAAACTGTCTTTATCACAAGCCATAACTCCCTTTTCAATCGAGCCGTACCTGCTTTTCTTCTGAAAAACCTGACTCCAGACCTAGTTCCTAAAGCTCCTTATTTTTGACCTCTATTGATCAAATTATAGTATTTAATGTTTGTTAATTTTAACTGCACGTAAAGTGCCAGGGAGAGAGCACAAGCAGAAAAAAGGCATCGAAATTCTGAAGGTTGATTTCTTCTGTGGCTGGAGCACAAGGCCAAAAGACAAGAAAGCAGTTTAATATATGTTGAAGTACCAAGTAAATCAAGATGTATCTTCTCATTGCAAGTTATAGATATATCAACAAGTGTGTAACTATTCCTTGCTCCATCGTTTTACAAGATTGTCCCAGGAGCTCTTGTTTCGAGAATTTGTAGAACTGGATATAAAATCTTCATTGCATTATGAATATCTTCATTGCATCAAAACGGTGCCATTATGCATCAAAAGTACGCCATTTAGGACCACTCAAGAGTTAAAGAAGCAAAAAAGTAACAGGCAAATGTCTGCAGTAATAACTAAAAAATTCTTACATCACTTGGGAGAGCTCCATCGCAATCAGCTGATGCAGTGCTTGCGAACAAGACGCATGCCAAAAGGCTCAGCAGAAATGAGTAATTCATTCTTGGAACTGAAAAAAAAATCACGGAATATCTCTTGATTCTGCTCGAGTAATGGAATTCAGTTGATATGTGATAAATAATTTGAATGATTGCCGATTTGTGCTTGACGAGACTTCATTTTGCTTAATGAAAGCATCCCTTTGAAATAAACTAACCAAAAAAGAGTTTGCACCTTATTATACTTTGTGATGACACCAATTTTTTGCATTTTCTATAATGCATCATTGCATGCAAATGAGATTTAGCAAGAGTCTAACACATTGAATGGCTTACTCAAATTATACTACTATCAAAAAACAAAATTAAATAGACTTGTAAGCTTTTTATATATTGGCAATAACCCTCATTCGTTAAAATAGCTGCTTGCTTCTCCGGTAATGTAGAGCTTGATTGCAAAATATTCCAATTACATTACAGAAGGATGGCAAACAGAAAAGGAAAATTCAAATTGTCTATGTGCACCAAAGTCAGGGATGAGTTGGGAACCCAGAAATATAAGTCTCGGTTTGCATAAAAGATAATTTGATAGACTGGGAATAGATTTGAAGTGATTCTTTCTCTTCAGGGCCATAATGAGTTCCGTTGGTTCAGAGTTGAACTAGACATAAAGACTGTAAATACTTTCATTGTTCTCAGCTCATAGAGTTAACTGAGATAGAATATGCTGAGTTAAAGTACACTAACCTGGAAAAGAGGTCCTGCAACACCAACTTCAAGAGAAACGATCGATGCAAATGTGGCTCATCCAACTCCCAACAGCATCATTTATACCTTTCATTCCTCAAACATTCCATGATAATATAAACACAAGTTAATGCTCTGTTAAATCAATTCAAAATTTACTTCAAAATCGTTAATGGAATCTTGAAATGTTATTCATTCTCTTGCTTCATCTTCAAGCTAACCAAACAGTTATCGATTTTTGAAGCACAATTGGAATATTTTGTTTGCTAAAGAAGTGCTAATCAATTAACCTAAAATGTCTCAATTGAATTAACATACATCGAGGGATTACCTAACGAGTTTTTTACTTAGGGTTTATTCATTCAGACTCCTGTTTCCCTGTATTTCGGATTAAGTATATCAAGGACCGGGTAGCGATGGCGTATAGATGAAGATGAAATAATTTTCCCTTGTTGAGAAGTAATGAATTTTCATAGGCATTGTCGCAAAAAACTGAGACGCCACAAGATGCTATTCATTATCATCAAGAGAGAGTTGTGAAGAAACAAGGCACTGTAGCCATTACGTAGTTTCTATCATAGAACTGAAACTTGTTAAAATATTGTTTATGTGTTTTAATAAGCATGTTTTAGATTTGTTTAAAAAGGGCATTGAAGATTGAACATCGAATATGGTCAGTTAAATAATTTCACCTGAAGACATCCAGCAATGGATCATTATATAAAAGGGTTGAAATGATACAATAGCTATTCACTGGCAATTCCAATATTATGTGACTCATTTGATATAAAATCAGGGGTTCTTTTAATCATTATCTTTGATTTTCTATGTCTTCATAAATGAATTTGCTCATGCATGAAAATATCAAATAAACTTCAACTAGGAACAAGAGTTATCATAATAATACAGTAGAGAACAGTTTTGGAGAAAAAAAGGTTTTTGTAAAAATATGGAACGATTTCTTTTTCTAAAATGGCATAAAGTGCTTTACAGGCACTATGTACTGTCAGTCAACCTTTTAGAGTAAGCAATAGGCTCTGCGGCGCGTTAACGATCCGAAAACAAGATTCAGAATTTGTCTTACGTTGACAATAGTGTACTTAAAAATAGGTTATCAAAATGCGTCGGGACATAGTGTCTTAAAATGCTTTGGCGACTTTCCTTTTACACGTGGAAGCATGTGAATTATTATTTTTTTCTGGTATGAACACGCGTTTTTAAAAAGCTGTTTGTTAGTAACAAGCATATTCTCTAGAATCGACAAGTAAACCAAAAAGTTCGTACAATGCAACTTGAATAAGTTAAGTTACGTTAAGTTACCAAGTAACGATAGTACTTTCTTTGCTCCAAAGATTCGAGGCAAACGACCTCATAAGTGGACAATAAACTTATACATTACAACAGAAGCTCCGATTATATTCAAGAATAAACTGACGAGGACCCAAAAGGTAGAGATGAGTCTAGCGAGGGACTAGCTGGCATCCTTGTTTCTTGTATAAGCTTTTGAACAAGTACGCGCTACACGATTTGACCCATTCTACAGGAGCTAAATGCTTTGCAAAGAAAACGCTGCTTATGAAAATTTCCCGTCTGCACGAGGGTTGTTTGAGCCGGAAACTATTACAGATTCTGGTATACCATTCATAGTAAACAATACTCTATTGTGGGTACTGTATTTATTGAGAACTTTGAAGACTTCAAAGACCAAAACAAGAAAATTCAATCTTTTGCAAAAGGTTTTTAATTTGTTGCATCATAGAATCTTTTTATAGACAGCACAAGTTCGCTGTGTATATGATTCATTATTGGTCCTTTATTATCAAAAATTAGCAAAACTAGCATTACAACTATTGGAAAGCCTTTTGATCTGCTGCTTACATATTTACTCAAATGCTAGTTTTTCATGATAATACTCGTTCTTTGTGTGCTTTAATCATTCCTATCACAAGTTCGACTTGTTTCTATGGAGACATCATAGCAACACATCCCAGAGTCCTTTGTATTTTATAGATGACTCTATCTTCACTGTTACCGCTACATTTTAGCAGCATAAAGATGGGCATCGTTCATGTGTAATAGTCATCGTTACTTTGTTTCCAAGATATCCAAGGAAAGATATTCAATAGTTTCAAGACATTCAATTACACACTCATAAAAATGGAGATTCGCACGAGCGAATGATATATGAGATTTCAGACATCTTATCAGCACAATTTAGTTTCAATGTTATGAAGTCATAAAGATATTTTGAGAATTTGTGACTTTACACCATGAAATCTTCTTTATGTACCAGTACCTTTCTCTGAATTTGCACAGTTCCTTTACTTTCTTCACATTTGTATTTGTCTCTACCAGTTTGAAATACTATCTTCAAAACTTTAAGGCGCAGAATATTGGATTAAAAGACATACAAAAAACACGACCTTCAAAGCCTACGTACATCGTATTTCAAGATATATATTGCAGCATTGATGTCAACTGTATGCTGGTTGCACCTGGCACCGAAATTCTCTCATTCTGTCTTTTCCTAACCATTTCGTAATTATGGCGTCAAAACTGCTCAACTTAAGACTTCTACTTAATTCTGCAATTCGTCGAAAACTGCTCAATTCTGTGATTCTAAAACAGACTTTAATTTGCACTTTCAGAATAAAAGCTATCTAAGGAAAGAAGACGAATTATTTCAAATGCTTTCCTATATAACACTTATAACTACAAGCTATAATTGATTATGAAATATAAATTTCTACTCTTTTAGTGCCTATCATCTTCATCGAATCCATTAAACACTTTTAGACCACAAATGATCTAAACTTTCCCACACATGAGTTTTCATTTCTAACTTTGCAACAGATATCCCCCTTATTAAATCAAAGTAGAATTTCACGAAAAAAAATCAGTGAAAACTATCAGCAACAATGCAAGAGTTTCATGTTTTATCTGAGACAATTATCTTCCCGAAGACATCGCAGAGAGTCAACTAGCACAGCCAGTTCATAACAACTGTGAATGCTTGCAGCTTTTTCAAAATCTCTGTTTTTATTTGGAAGGCAATAACAAAAATGGTGAGATTACAAGTATTTGATCATTCGTTGAAAGGAAAACAAAGTCTTGTATCTTGCAAACACAGCTTTGCCGTTTTGTTGATACAACTGTTAAATCAAGAATTGTTTGTAAATAGCTATGTTGTCTGTCTTACCATTATTCATTCTATGTTTAATTTAAGAAAAGTAAACAGAAGTTTACTGAATGCAAGCTAATATCATTTATTCAATGATCTGATTGCTTCAAGATATCGGCGTTAAACCAAGCAGACAAACGGGGACGAAGAACTACACAAGGACGTGAAATGAAGGTATTGGATTTATACTGCGTTTACCAAAATTTCTAGAATATTTACAAAAACGTCGATGAATTTCTTTTCCACGGATTTGCTATCAGAATCGCTTCTACATTTCTCTCAGTAAGTTTCAAAATCTAAGATAACTCAAACATAAAGGCATTTTTAAAGTTCTTTTTTTAGAAATTTAAACTCCATTTTAACTCTAGGAAAAGACGCCCTTTTACTACAAGATTTAATAAACATTAATAAAATACGCCAATTTGGCGAAAAGGTTGCTGGATTACACTATCACACTTTCCGGCAAAAGTGTTGCTCAACGCAAGGAAAAGTGAGAAGTGAACACTAAGGAAAAGTGACTTTAGCCTTTAAAACGCCATCATGATTACAGACAGCTAAGCTTTCTCCATCGCTTAATGCATATAAAACGGGGATGAATCTGTAAATCTGTAAATCTATAGTTTGGTCATTGCGGTTGTTCAAACTACGAGATTGAACATACAGTAATTAATCGTTTGCAAGAAGTATATTCTGCAAATCGCTCAAAAGCTGACTTATTAAAACAAGCCTTCTTTTTAAGAAATATGGATAAACGATTATAGGAAATGACAGCCTTAGAAAACAATTAGCATGACAAGGTTATAAATCCAGACACGTTGAACAGCATTTCTTTAATCATTGAAAGGCACTGTCCAATCTATAAATTTACAGACTCGGAATTGAATCAAGAAATTCAGTAACAAAGATCGTTTACCTTCAATTAAGAATTTAATGCCACTTTTGCATTCTGTGTGGTACACAAATTGCTCTGCCATGCCTTCTAATTATGCTAATGTAACCATTGTCATAAATCACAACATTAAAGCTACCAACACTCCGGCCTTGTTATCTTAATATCATTGTTAGAAGAAAGTACGTTATCTTAGTACTGTAGAAGAAAGCATGTTTAACAGGATAGTGAAAATTATTGTTGACCGGCCTGTCATAAATTGCTCAATGCCGTATAGGCAGAGCTGTACACGCTTTACTCCAAGTTTCACGCTTCTTTACACGTAAAGCGTGCGGCTCTGTTTAGCAACTTAGAACTGTCCTGTTCTACACACCAAAAACAGGATGACGATATAAGTTTGATAACTGAGTATCATTTTTGAGGTCAAAATGACAGTTAGATGTCCGTACTTCCATAAGAACAATTTCCGTAAGAATAATCTTAATATGTCCGTACTTCCATAAGAATAATTGCTCTATTGCTAGACTAGCTGTTTTAAACTGTAATTTATTTTCAGACTTTTATCGCGATTGCCATATGGTGTATTTTGGAGGCGTGCAATGGACAGTCCCCTTGCCTCACTGAAAGCAACAATGACAAGCTTTGCGCTGAAATGCAGCAGTTGGGCAGTTCGCTGTATGATGACATGCTTGACATTGACAGCAATGTCCAAGATGCAATCTACCGGAGTATTGAGGAAGGAGGCAAATTGTTGTCATCAGCAGTTCAATTTCTCAAGTCAGAGCTTGTGAATGTGAAGGCTTCGACAAGCAATGGTATGAAATCAAATCAAATCTGTGACGAAAGTAGTTACTTTTAGTATACATTTGCACATCCTTAAGAACCTTCTTAAATCTAACTCAATTCAAAACACAAGAGGATCCTATACTAATAGAATGCATTTTAGGGTGCATGGTAGGCCCAAAGGCTTGTTTTCAGGGGTTTTCACAATCAGGCCAATGGGCTTGCTGTGTGCGCAATTCCCAAAACAACAGAAAACAAGAAAAACAGAACTTCGATACTTCTTTCAAAATACTCATTAACTGACAGCTCGACTTTTAACGTATTGCCTTGCGTTACCTTAATTTGGTACATACAAAAGAAAATGCTCAAGATAGTGGAGAGAGTGACACTAACTGCCATTGACTTTAGCACTGTACTTTATGTTGACTTAAGCACTGTACTTTATGTCGACTTTAGAACTTTACTTTATGATCTGACTTGTAAAAGTGCATTTTACTATAAAACCATTCAATTTCTTCTCCTCGACGTTTATTTGCTCTATATCTGTTGAAAATACCTCGATATTATTTTAATCCTTTAGGCTTGTTGGGTGAGCAAATTTAAAAACACAGTTAAAAAAACCAAGAATGGTAATAATGTTCAACAATTTAGATTAGAGAATCAAGAATCAAGAATCTATCCAATGGGCTTGTTTCCGATTTTTTTTGAAGGTATCTTTGGTTGCCTGCTATTTCTCGGCAGGCAACCAAAAATACGGTAAGTCTAAAGTCTAAAAAACGATAAGTCTATCGAATGTGCAGAGAGGGCAAGCAAACGATTGAGAAAGTATGTGTCAATGGATTCTCATCTCAGTGTACTATTTTGTTCTTCTTCAGCTCCCATCGAAGGTGCTTCTTTGGCAAACTTGAAGTCTCAAATAGAAACTGCTGCAAAAGCGGCGGTTAAAACAGCAAACGAAGAGATTTTGAAGGAAATGAAAAATGTTATTGGAAGAGTTGAGCAAGATAGTGCCTTCGCGAATGCTGTAGCAACAAATCTTGGTTTTGTGTTCACATCTAGTAAGTCTCTTACATACGTTAAGTACTTCACAATAATTAAACTTTTGATAAACAATTATTCAAAAAATACTATTTTTTCCTGAAACTACATCCGTTTTATTTCTAATTGTATGAAAGCTGACTCCTAAAGTTTGATATCTGGCTAAAAAAGTTTTAAGCAATAATACCATAATATGATGATGATGATATTTATTTTGCATAAGTGATAAACAAAATGTGCATAAGTCTTGTGTGTTTATGAGACAAATTATATTTAAATACCTTGGGGCCTTTATTGAAATTGAAAACCATGGTGAAAACCAAACAATCACCTTCATAATTGGTTCTTAGAATTTTCGCTGCCCTTCGGCGGGTAAAATGACTCCTCGTCTTCGATCTATGTTCTGACGCTCTGTTCTCTAAAGATTGTCAGACAGAAAGCTATAGCATGACTCAAACTGTTTTCTAAAGTAAAAGCCATTTTCTAATTTTGCATCACAAAAAGATTGTTTTACAGCTAGTTTTACAGCTTAAATAATTTTGCAAATTATTCAAGAAATCATTCAACAATTTAGATATTTTTCTTTAGTGCTCCTTCCAGAAATATCACCACTTCAGCCACCTTCACCCTACGTCATTTTATAGAAAAAAATTATTCTTTCAAGGGGAGAGAGGAATGATTGAATTTTTTCTTCGAAATTAACGTTGGGTCTCCAAGACTTTTTGACAGGAATTGGACATTAACACAGACCTGACATTTTCTTTTTCATTGTTTCAGAGAGGAAAAGAAGAAGTGTAAGCAGCACTGCCGACTTGGGCAACAGTGTTGATGGCATCGTCCAACAATCTCTTTCTGCTTTGAATGACACTATAAAGAAAGCTGACTTGAAAATGCAAGCTGCCTTTAAGAGTGTTCTCATTGCCTTCACTCAGAGTATCAAAAATCTGTTATCTGGAAAAGTGCAACTAGGTGAGTGGTAAATAGACATTTCATAAGCGTTCAAAATCTGCTTAGATTCTAGCTGCAGAAGAACCACGAAAGGAAGATAGTTGCCTGCTTGTTATTCACCACAGAGTCACTTGGTTCATTCATCATTTCCTATTGACTTCATAGATTTATAAGCCAATGTTTGGCCTAACCATGCTTTTTTATACTAAATTACTTAAAATTCACCCTTTTGTTATCAAACCCTCATTGGTTCTACGTTCTGCCAGATATCGATTGCTACACACAATCAATGATAGTTTTATTGCTCCAAGTTTTGATATGATAACATCATTTTTATTAGAGACTTGTAAAAAGTCTATTTATCACAGTGCACAGTAAGACTATATTGTACATTGTAGGCAGATAGCTCGAATTTTTCTACAATATTCTATGAAACTTGAAATAATACATACATTGAATCCCACTTTCGTACAATATAGTTATCTAAAATATATCTTTTTAACTTTGTGTGATTTACCAATTTCTTTTTTTTTCATTAATATCTTTCAATTGAAAGTTTCACTTTTATGATTAGACCTATGATGCAGTGTTAAAATTATTTTAAAATCATTTTTTTACCTTTAAAACATTTCTTGTGGCATTCAATAGTTCCTTGTTGATCGGCTTGTAACTAACTGTTGAATATTTTATTTGTTTCTGAAGAGATGAAGCATTGGTCTCTTTGTTGCAGATTTTGATCAAATCAGCCTCAATATGAACAAAATGCTTGAAGATGCAGCTGTTTTGCTGGTAGAATCCAGCCTCGTACGAATCAAGCAAGTGATCACTCAGTCAGTTCGGCACTTCCAGCAAATTATTGAACTTGCTAAAGATTACAAGTCGGGTAAGTACTGGCCTTAGCTAGTGACACAACGAGGCAGGTTTTCACTTATATCAAAGACAAGGGATTGAAACGAGGTTAAGTCTCTATTATGAGCAAGTCAGTTAGGGTCTTTATGTCTTATTTGAAGTGGTCACAGTGAGGTATCATAAGGTCTAAAAGTCGTCTACGCGAGAAATACCTAACAAATTGTCTTTCTTCTAAGTGGCTTGTTGTCCTTTTTTCGATTCTTATTGATTGACATGATATGGATGGATCTTTGTCAATAGGAACTTTTAGAATAATTCTAAAAATTGGAATTTAGAAAAGATATATCAATGTTTTGGTAAAAAGTAAGAGACATGCTAACAGGGTTGCGTTGATGAGGTTCAGTTTTACCAGCCTAGGTACTAGAGCCTCATAAAGCAGTCAACAAGAAATTGAATCGATCAGTATCCTGGTCTTCTACTGAGACTCTGGTACCCAGGGTTCCAGTTTTATCTATTGTATGTTTAAAATGGGAGAAATTATCCTGCCATCTTTGCCAATTTGTAAACCGACCGTAAAATAATTTAAAGCCGCCTTTAACACAAATGGGAGATCTGAACAAAATTTCATGTATCTTTATTTCAATTCCCTATAATTTTGGAAAATTGTCAAGTCTTATGTAAATTTTAATAGACTTTAAGTAAGATTAATGAATTAGCACCACATTATTTTTATCAATTGAGAAAATATATTGTTAAACGTCCAGTTGCATATACAATGCGATTCGATGACAATACGTCAAGAACTATTTTTGATAGATACAACCAAGCTGCGAAACATCTTGGAACCCGCAAGAACCAGGGTCTTGGACGCTCTTACAAAGACACGGGAAACCTCAGACGAGGCTGGATTGTTGAGTAGAATTGACGCTGCGGTGGAGACAACCCGTAAATATTATATGGAGATCAAAGCTTTGGTGTCGTAAGTTGCCATGGCACGCAAAATGGTGGAACAAAGTGCAATGCTGTATCGAAAAGGATTTAATAATATGGTTCTATTTTTATGGATATATCCCATATACATGTTTAGTTGAAAACCTAAAATTGTTTGTTTGAATTCTGTTCTTCTGCTTATTCATACAAGGGTCTATGAATAGTGAGTAAATTTTGTAGCATAAAGGGCTTCATCAGAGCAAGCCCCGTATGCCGGGGCGAAATATTGGCCTTTACTGACTTACGTGTTTTTATTGTCTATTCTCGGCGTATTGCGGTGTTTCATATTTGCTACATTTTATCGACTTTTCGCCGCAAGAACTCCTTGGAGCCCGTCGAGCAGCCTGCTACAGTGGCCTTTTCTTCATTCACACAAATTTGTTTACATCCGCCTTTTTAAATAGTGGCAAAAAGAGAGCTGCAATAGGGTTCAGTATGGAAAATTGCTTGTTTTAATGAATGATTTTCTTGTGGCTCAAGACTATTTCAGTGCCTTTTCTTATGCAGGTAGTTAGAGGAGATATAAATCAACAACACATAACAATTTTTTGGGATTTTTAAGCAGAATTTTAAAAAAAATATGGCTCTTTAAGTTTAAGTAGTTACGGGGGAAATATAGCAGTGGCCTGTCGTTTTTTCACGAGTTGAAAAAGTATGTGCTTGCAATTTTCATCTTTATATTATTTAGAAAGAACTTTTTGAGTCTAATATCTAATAATATAGACGATTTTATATATAGAATTCTTGAATTTTTCTGTCTGTCGTTTAGAACCTAATATGGCATGAGTAGGAAAGTGCAAATGTTTTATATTTAGTTTATCAAATTGAATTTCTAGAAAAGAAATTTGATATGAATCAAATTTCTTTCCTATTGGTAAGGCCAAATTAATAATCTTTGTTGTGAAAATGTACCCCAGAGGTATTTTATAGGCCTAAAGATCAGGGAGGGACGCATTGTGCTGAAGAATAATTACAAGCAACGAGTTTGGTTTTGAAATAGTCCAAAAATATCAATGATTTTATAATATCAAAAATTGTTTCCTATATTTAGATTCCTTTATTAATACCCAGGCATTGAATTATGACCTATTTTCGGCTTTTTCTTGGGGATAATAAAACAGCAAGAAAAACACCTAGAAAATGAACAAAAGGGTGCCAGTCAAGAAGAATTGCTACTACTTAGGAGTAAGAGTTTACTGTCCGATGTTGCGTTGGAGCATGGAACATAGTTAGTGTAAATTTTTCTAGAGTAAAAATTTTTCTAATATGTTATTGCAAAAAAGTGGAGGGGCTATAGCCCCTGCTAGCCCAATGGCTGCGCGGTGCCTGGCTGTCTGAAAGGATTACAGTACAGGACAAAATCTGCCTGTATCTGAATTACTGCTTCTTTGTTTCTTTCTTGTCTTGTCTTGATCTTGCTCTTTCTGTGCCTTTCTTCATCCATTCTCGCCAAAATCATCTTGTTAGCCTCTTCCTCTCCAGAATTGTCAAAAAAAAAGATTTTTTCACCATAGAAACGAGAGCATTATAAAGGGATCTTATTTTCAAATGTTCCACATCTGCAATGATACGTCTTGAGCAGAGATTCGTTTGTGTCTTGTCTTTATTTCAAAGAAACTTTCTTTGGGGCAAAGAACTTTGCGTATTTCTGCACATTTCATGTTCAGCCTTCTCTCCTCCCTTCGCATCTTCATTTTATAGGCATTCTCTACTTTTCGTTTCTTCTGGCGCTTTTCCTCAGCTGCTGCAGCCAGACAATGGGGAAATTTCCTCTTCAGGTGCAGGAAATTTTCAGACACTTTTGTGTGGGTAGCATTCACAGTCTGAATAGTGCCCTCCAATTCTTCAATTAATTTTTCATACAATTTTTTCATGCTGCTATAAATGAACTTGCACTTAAGTGCAAAGCTCCAAATTTAAAATTGGGCGATTTTATTCCAAAGACCAAAACTCATTTGCATGAATTTACAGATGCTGGACCAGGAGTTGGCATTACAAACCAGATGTCAAGTTTCAGAGACTATCATTATTTGTAACCTTGATTACTATATCAGACATCATTTAGCCAACAATGACAACAGTCATAATGAGGTGGAGAGAATCCGCAGGTTTGTTGGTGATGCCATCTGTGATGGTGGTACCATAGACTGGGAGAAAAAAAGAGTTTGAGGGCCTGACTGATGAGCAGCTTTCGAAAATGTCATTCGAAGATATAGAAGAGTTGGAGTGTAACAGAATGAGGAGCAATGCCTTCAGTGTGTCTAAAGAATTGAGTTTGTAGATTGATGGTGCTGTAGCTCCAGATGGTTACATGAAAGCCTTTGTTTCATATGAAAAAGACAAAATGTTTTTCAATGATGACAAATCCTTGAAGGAGTATATAAATGCCCCAGAGAATAGAAAGCTGAGCTTCAAAAAACACAAGTGATCCAAAATAAAGCCAAGCCAAGCTTGAATTTCATCGGCTTCTTATATCGTTAATCTTTGAGTAAGAAGACAAGCTTGAAATTCAGGCAAAATGTTTTAGGTCCATATTTCAAATTTGTATGTTGCTAGTGTGTTTCATGTTACAATGACAGTTTTTCATTCTCGTTTTGAAACGGCTAAAAGAGGTCAGAACAAAAGGGTTATTATGAACGTTTTTGGATTGCCATGGCGGATGGCACAAGTTCTTACAAAATTAGAAGCTGATACCCATCTGTAGAAGAGAATGGCCAATAAACGTATGCTTTACGTAGGTAAGTGCACATGATATCTTATGTGTATGTTTAGTCAAGTAATATTCTAAAACATTGCAATCTCTGCGAGTTTTGATCGCCGCGTGGATCATCATCCAACAATATTTGTTAAACGAAATCCTTCAGAACCTGAGGGGGAATTAAGGTATTATCTAACCACGACTACCTAACCTTTGATTTTCTAAATGCGTGATTACCGCCAGTTTGTAGCCAAAATACTCGATGTAATGATTTAAAATATCAACAGTGAGGAAATGTTGTTTTCATTAACAACTTCACCCTTCATTAACAACTTCACCCTAACTTCTAGGGACAGGCGAAAGGAAAGTTTGACCAGCTATGTAAAAACATAAAATAAAACTTGAAAACAATGTTTTCAGATTCTTACTTGTCTCTTACTTGGAGGCTCCTTTATAACACTCGTTTTTTCCTCCAAATAAATATCAACAGCTCTTTTTATTATAGCATTTCTTTTCATTACTGTCCAGTTATCATTTCGCTTATTATCATTATTTGTTGTTCCTGCTAATGAGTATCTGTCGTTCGTTGTGGGGGTGATCAAGGTTTATGGTAAAATGGACTTTGATGAAAATTTGTTGCGGATTATGGAAATCTAGCAATTTCTGGACGAAACAATGGAATTCTACACATTTGCTGGACGCCCATTGTCTCTATAACGATGCTTGAAATACGAAATTTTTATAAGGATTTAAGGATTTGTTGAAATCTTCACTTTTTATCTTTTGAAATTATCTTTGAATAAAGGCCCTATCCACAATTTTGAAGACACTCAACCATGTTCTAAGAAACATTCAGTTAAAAGCTCTGAAGGGAAATCCTTGATGATGCTGCGAGAAGATGTGAATTGAATGATAGTGACAACATCAATAGTGATATTTGTTGTTAACTTTTCCACAAGTGTTCTACCTTTCTTTTGCGGGGGACAACTGTTTTTAGGAAGGCAGTCAATAGCCCATGTCAATGATTTGGTGAGGGCGAGGGTAATCGCCCACGTGAAATGAAAAGGCCTGTATTCTTCGAAATTCTACTTAGTGAAATTAATGTATTTTATTGTTGACCATATACATAAATTGGCACTGGTCAGACAGAGGAAATGTTTTGAAACAAAGAATGAAATACTGGCACCACAGGCAACTTTCAAAGTTCACATTTTAGACCAGATAATTTAGATTGAATCCAAGGGAAGGTTTTTTGAAGATTTAAACTGTTTTAAAAAGCTCATATCACCGTGCTCTAGGCCAGACTTATTGTACTGCGAACGAACAATCTTCTGTGCACAAACAATATATCATGCGCTCAACTGAATAACTCAACTTGTTAATCCAGCAAAATTTGAAAGATTATTCTAGTCATGCCGAAAAGATTTGAGAATACAATGTTGCTGTGAATATGCATGTTCGGTCACAAATTTATGGCCTAAGATTTACATGCACACAAAAGACAAACTTTCCAGTTGGGTATCTGGGAACTTGGAACACATGATGATGATGATAACTGTAAGCAACAGCACACTATCAATAGTGACCCACAAACAAAGACCTTTTCAAGTTGTGAACAAAAAGCTCATTTATACCTGACTTCAGTGTAATCTGAATGTCTTGATTGATATTGTGCAAAAAATCCAGTGTAGCTGTTAGCACTTGCAAGTGTTGGGGCCTTGACACCAAAAGGACCAGACTATATCGCCAATAGATTACTCAATGTTGTATAAGTAGAGTTGTGAAAGGCATGTCTTTATTGTCAGTATGCAGTGCATGGTAAAGGCCCACAGGGGCGGTCTGGCTCCCTTGGCAGAGTTGTGGTTGCCACCTGGGCCCTGTGTAAAAAAATCTTTTTGCAAAAATTAAGAATAGTCAGCCTGAACCTAAATTTACTGGCTTTTTAAAAAAAAAGAGTGAATGCAATATGCACATGGCAGCATACCCTTACCCCTACAATGCATATAAATGTGTGATGATACTTAGCTGCACCCAATTTTTAGGGGTCAAAATTTTGTGTTGGTGCCTCTTTAAGAAAATACTGCACTATCAGTCAACCAATTTCTATTGCTATTACTGATCATTTTAAGCGAAGAGAAAACTTTCCACTTGACTACAAGCAAGTCATTGACCAATTTGCTAATTCATCTGCACTTCTTCAAAAAGAGTTGGAACTGTGAGAGCTCAAATTAATTTTGATCTTGATTTTTAACTCTACATGAGATTTAAACCCTGCTTACACGAGAGGAAATGTATGGATCCAATTAGGTCCAAATTTATGAACTAAAATCGATTTATACTATTGCTGATTAGTACATGTTGTATTATCAGTATTTATTGAATTAGCCATATTTTAAGGCTACATTTTTAATGGGTATGGTTCAATTTCAACTGCCATGCTCTTAATCAGGCCCTTTGAATTTGCTAGCCACCCTGCAAATTTGAAGACATGGAAGCACTGAGGGACAGACCTCATTAATCTGCACGAGCACGCGAGCAGCGCTTGCAGGCACAAAGTTCATTCTCGGGAATTTCTGTACAGGCCTTGCTCTAAGTAAAATGAAGGTGCTCCATAAAAAAAGCCCCTTAGAAACTCTAGGCGCTCTATTTCACTCCTCTGAGTAAATTTCCTTGAGAGCATCCTTCGAGAGATTTAGGAGGTCGAGAGCTTCATATCGAAAGCTTCGGAAGAATGTTAAATATGAAATTCAACGGTGATACCAGAAAGCACCATAATATAAAATAACAAAACATGCAACAAACACTATGTTAATATAAATATAGAAATAACATAAAACAAAGTCGCAAAATTGTTCAGATTTTTCTAGATATGTAAGTTGCCATCATTGATGAGCTTTTATCAGTGTCAGTATCACTACTGTTATGTTTAGCTTCACATATTGCTTCATCAAAACGCATGGTTTTAAATTGAACATTTCACTTTGTTTCCTTTTTTTCATGTTATCCATTCTATAAGAAACGCTAGAACATCTACTACTCGCAAAAGCAAATGAAATATGAGAAGCAATGCGATAATTTGGACGGAAACGTGATCGCTGATTTGCACAGGCGATTTTAAGTTATTAAAAAAACAGAAAATAATATATACTTCAATAGAAGATTAACGCTTGCTCAAAAATCAAATAAATCTGCCGGAGAATACGCTTGATGGCCTGTGTCTTTGATGGTTATTAGAAGGTTATTAGATTAAAAATGATATTAGGTAATAGTTGCAAGTCTTTATTACCAAAATGGCAGAAGGTCCTTATTCTGAAGGCGCCATTTGATTCTTAAAATCAAGTTCACTGTTTGTTTCTTTTCCTCTATTATCTCTTGGTGGAAGAGATCACTCACTTTTATTGTATCGTTTTTTTCTCAGAGTATTATGTTATGACTTGTAAAACTCATTCGTGCATAGTAGGCTGAAGAAAGCACACTCCCTAAAATTAAACCTATCAACCTCGTCATCAATATGATCAAGAAACATGCCAATGCACCTTCTTATGAAGCCTTCACAGATTGTGTTTGAATCTGAAGCAAGATAAACTTTGATCACAGTAAAAGCTTTGAATGGATTATCTTCCCATGTTTACAAGCTGTATTGCAAGTTCATTATGTTTGTGATTATTTATTTGCAATCATCAGAGTTTGAAATTATCCTAGTAGATTATATAAGTCTTGGTGTAACTTTCAGGTGGCCTGGCAGAGGAAGTTGATGACAAAATACTTCATGCTGCGTTTATTCCATTTGGTGATGTGATTGATATTCAGATTCCATTGGATTATGAAACTCGTATCCTTTATATTTCTTTATGACATAATTTTGTACTTAGAATTCTAGCACTTAAGCTTCCTTAATCAACAATTTAATTGAAAATCAAACACGTGTTTATTTTTCAGCCACAGTACATGGCCCCCACCATCAGGGGGCCAGGATGGTCATGCCCCCACTTTTAGCAAAGCAAATAGTTTTAAAACTACAGTAAAAGGGGAAAGGTGCATTCGCCCCGTTCTTTTGCTGGCTTTGGCCCCTGCTTTCAAATTTGTGATGCGGGCCTTGCAGTACCTGTCTGAACCATATATGGAACCCCCTGCTTTAGATCATAATTACCCTTTCCTGTGCAAAAAAAGAAAATTTTTCAAAATCATGTTGTCAAACAGTTTCTTTTAAAAAATTTGCAGTTTCTTTTACAAGTACCAAAACATGTTTTTAAATCAAGTATTGTAGCAACTCATAAGTCTTTTCAAGATTGTCAGCAGCTAATTTGTTGTAATTTACAGATTTTAAGTGAGAAAGTATATTACATTGTGTCTATTATTTTCAGAAGTTATTAAAGGCATTGAGTCATGGTAAATAGGCTTTCTCTATAGGGGGTCCTTTGGTTTCCGCGTGATCGCTGCTGTTTCATGTGATATTGGCATCCATTGTTGACAACTTGCTATTGATGGAAACTGTTTTGTCAATCAGTATGAGGTGAGTTCATGTGACCAGTTTAAGGTCAACCAATAGCATCGCAGTCATGGAAATCATGACTCAGCGGATTTTGGCACTTAGGGTATACCCAGTCTATTTATCATGACTCAATGCCTTTAACCTTTTGGTTCTTGCATTCTGGCAGCAGTAGTTTTGTTTTGCTTATTTTCTACAGTACCTGGACTCATGATTTTTTTATAAAATACACTAAAAAACACTTTTTACCTTAAACCTATGTATCAGAAAAACACAGAGGGTTTGCGTTTGTTGAATTTGAGTTTGCAGAGGTTTGTATTTTATTCATTCTTTAATAAACGATCATTCAATTATTATTTCCACTTAACATCTATTATTTCTGTCTTTGTTTGTATGAAATAGGAGATTAACAACAAAACAATTTTTCTTCTCAAGTTACCCCTTCTTTGCAACATAGTGAAAGAAAGCATAATCCTAGAGTATGGTTGATAGCTTAATCTAAAACGAGGTTGTTATAGATAGGTGTCCCCTAGATGGTCCTTAATCACCCCTTTTTCAATATCTAATAAGAAGACCTAGGGGCAAGGAAGATCCCTGTTTGCAGTACTCTTGGGGTATATCTACTTTACTTTAGCAAAATACAACTGCTGACCCTGATTGCTGCGCTTTATTTTTCCAGGATGCTGCTGCCGCAATGGATAATATGGTAAGTTGTGTGATGGGTCAATTTGATGGGTCTGATTAATATACAGTGAAACCTTGCACATAGCTTCAATTTTAGCAAGGGATCAGTACCGTATATCCTCGCATTGGCCCCCCTCGAAAAAAGCCCCTCCCCTCGAATAAGCCCCCACCCTAGAACTACTAATTGTCAATAAGCCCCCCTCTCGAATAAGCCCCCACTGCTACCATAAATTCTCAAATTGGACCCAAATAATATCAAATATAAAAAATATCAAAAATGAATAAGCCCCCAGGGGACTAATATGAGTATTTACGGTGATGGAGTTGTTGTAGGTTTTAGATGTTGTTGCCTTATATGACTTTGTAGTAAATTTATTTCAATTGAATACTGAAATTCTCTGTTGTAATCCAGCCCCCTATATGGGTTTCATTAAAGAAGAAACCAATGGGTTGCAAATGTGCTTGCAGTTTAAATGATTGCAGACATTCAGCATAGTTTCTCTCAATTCTTATTTGATGACATCAAGGGTGAATAATGTTTTAGCCAATCAGCCTCATTTTTCCAGGAGAACATGTTGAAAATTTATTCCCGCTTTCTAAATGCATGTTGATAAATTAATCCTGCCTCTCTGATTATTAGGCCTCCCTAATAACCCTACAGCAGGTAAACAAGAGAGAATACAGTATCTATTCTCATAAATGATAGAATATCTTTGTTAAGTACCCAGAAGACTTTGACTACAAGGTGTTAATACACATGCTGGAATGAGTTGGAAAAGAAACAAAAGCAAGCTTGAGAAAATATTTTTTCAAGGCAAGTAATCTCTTCATTTGAATTCTCTGAATTACTTTTGTAGAATGAGTCTGAACTTCATGGAAGGACAATTCGTGTTAACATTGCGAAGCCAATGAAATTCTCAGAGTCTTCAATGAAAGCAGGTAGGAAATATGCTTATATTATATGCTAACTTCTGTAGTCTTTGAGCTTTTTGCTCCTAATAGATAACTCTAAAAATTACATTTGCAAAAATAACTATCATAGCTCCTACCACTTTCCAACGAGAAAAACTCTGCAAGTAAAGATGCCAAGGGAGCATGTTAGACTGAGTTTTTACGAGGCTCACAAAGCACTTACTTGATAAAGAAATGGAAATTGAATTGCAATAAAATATGAAATCTGGTATTCTGTGAATGGTGACAAAATTGTGTAATCTTTGAAGGCATTTTCGTATAATTAATCTTCACATCCTATTTGCTGTTGACATGGCACGTTGCAATAAAATATACATTCAATTTTTACCTTAATAGAGTTTTGAGAACAATCATTGTTTCTCTAATTTATCAAAAACCAGTTTCCTGGATGCATTGTTGCATTACTGGGAGAGCTGTTTACTGCTACAAGTCATATAGCCAGGCCTGCGTATTGCTAAATCCATCATCCACAATCAACAAATTTTGTTTCTATACATTATGCCATAAGTGTAGAAAGTTGTACACATTTGGTCACTTGCAGTGGCGGACACTATGGGGGGGCAACTGTGAAGGACAATGGTCTTTTGTTCTAAAACAATGGGAAATGTGACGTCATCTTATTAAAACATTAGGCTTGCCCCCCAATATTTGATCAAGTGTCCGCCCCCGGTCACTTGCCATCATCTTGTTAATTTTCTTGTATGTCTTAAAGTCTGCATATAGGAAGAAAAACACAGAATTAAATCTGGTGAAATAGTTTGCAGAGCAGATTGCAATGTAAAATGTTAGAAGTTCTATGTACCTTTTTGATGAGATCACATTATATCTGTCGTTTGCAATTGTAATGCTTGCTGTCATGCGTGGTTTGTGATTTATCTTTGATTTTTTTAGTTTGGAGTGAAGATTCCTGGCTGAAAGACCACGCTGGAAAGCCAGAAGAAGGTATGCAAAATGGTACAGAGGCTATGGACCAAAGTGAGGTGAACAACCTTTGTTTAGTTCTTGTTTTAAAATCTCAAGATGGCATTGATTACAGGATTTTTGTCAGAAACTCATCAGAAGATATAATGTGGGATGATTTCAAAGAAAAATTATGGATATTTTCTTCTGTTTGTGCTATTTTGAAATTTTATGCAGTAAACTAATTTATGCAAGGTTTATTGCTATGTAAAAGAAGAATGTGATAATAGCAGAACTGTAAAGTCACTGCTACGAGTATTATTGATAGCAATGAAGAAAATTGTTATGTTCTTCAAAATTCAAGATTATATTTTCGATCAGCAAGTGTTCATTTAGTAGAGGTACCTCTTATCTTGTGATTGCAATGATATTTTATTGTCTGCTGGCCATTAAAAGTTTATCCATTACCCTGTAACAATAGACACAAACACAAAATGAAAAATGTTATCCTGAACAAATATCTGTAAATTGTAAGGTGTAAATTCGTATCTGGGGTAAAACTGTTATACAATAAAGTTTGAGTATTTTTCAAAAGGAAACAGGAAGTTGAATTGGAATATAGCAGTTTTTTGCCCTCAAGCATATATTTTTGATGGATTAAAATTTCTGTTATTTCAGAGCCAGTTTGGATGGCTTGTAGTTTTACAGATAATTGGGAGTTACTTCTCTTGCATAAAGAGGTGCTATCTCTTATAAACCATTCATTCTGTCCAAGAAAGAATTTTTCAGTTGCAAGAGTTACCACTTCTTGAGCAATGAAACCTTTCGTTACCATTTTCATTTGCTATTTTAGAGGCATGGCCTTTCGTTGCCAAAGAATTTGTAACTTTCCCCTTTTTGGCTAAGAATTTGTAATTTTTGGCTACCCCCCCTTAGTTTTCGTAGATTAGGGGTTGTGAAAAACTTGCTTGAAGTTAGAGCGATTTCATTCATTGATAATAAACATCAGTGTTGTCCATTACTTTGTCTTAGGATGGTGAGCCGGTTTCTAGAGGAACAAAGAATGCCAAAGTATTTTTTGATATTAGTATGAATGAGCAATACACTGGAAGAATTGTCATGGAGCTCAGGCAGGATGTTGTTCCGATGACTTCTGGTAAGTTTTCTATTGAAGGGACTGCAGTTGTTCATTAACCAAAAGAAATAAACATTTATTCCGTTAGTTTCTGTCACTCAGTGTATGTAACAATATGATGTTACACAGTAAATTAGAATGCTGTCTCAGTTTTCCAAAAATATACTCGATTGTATGAAAATTGTCGATAGCCAAACGAAGAATATTCTTCCCATCATTTACCCTTTTGCTACAACTGTTTCAGTTCAAAAACGCCTCTTGTCTCTGCTGAGACTCATTTTTTCATGAATCAATCTCTAGAACATTTTAAGATTGAACATTTCTGAGGAAAGAATTTTTTTGCAGTGTCCATACAATGGCAGACAACCGATGAAGCTAGACAGGACCTTTAACACTTCAAGCATTACCATGCAATTAAACAATAAACAATGATGGGAAAGCGTAAAAATAATTGTCTTGCATATAAGTTGTCTATGCATAAAGCCTGTAACAGATCTTCAAAATTTCTTCTTTTTGATTGCATCGCACATACAGAGTTGAAATAAACGCTGAAAACATGTTTTCTCCACGTGAAAATCTGTTGGGCAACGTATTTGAGCTGTAGCCTAGACTTAGTCCTGACAGTTTAGACATTGTTTGAACGCTCATTAGCAACTTTCTCTGATCTTTTTAATAACTGAACTGGGCATGTCTGGAGTCATTAAAACTATGGAGACAGGAACCAGGGGTACAGGGAACATGTTCTCGCAAATTTTCAGAACTTGAGGAATTATATCTAATTACATCTCACGGAAGTGCAGCTTTTAAAATTCATTATTTAAATAATAGTTTGTGCTTTTTTACACATTGATTAATGCCACTTCCTTCTTATTTCTGCAGAGAACTTTCGGGCATTATGCACTCATGAGAAAGGATTTGGATATAGAAAAAGCACATTCCACAGAATTATACCAAAATTTGTATCTTTTCATCTGCATTTGATCTTTGTCAAACACATTTGCTCTTTATTATACGCATTTTTTTTATGCAATATACTACTTTCAGATTTGTTCGACGTATTTTTTGTCCTGATTTATTTTTTTCTTGGCAAACTTTTGTTGTATTAATCTGAGTTGAGTGTCGCATAATCCTATATTTCATTTTTTCTTCTGTAATGACTGTAAAATCCTTTCTATTCACGTTTCATTTGCATTTTGTTTTGATTTGAGACTGAAAGTACCATAGAATCTTTAATAAGTAATTAGATGTGTCAAGGAGGAGATTTTACAAAGCATGATGGAACGGGAGGTCGGTTTCCAACTTTTATTCTTGTCTTCTCTGTAGGTTTTTCATATTGAAAACACCAAGACTTCGATAAAGAGACAGCCAAAGAACACTAAAATATCAATATTTTGACCCAGCTTTCTTTTCTTGCTTCAATTTATACTTTGATTTCATTTGATGTAAATTGCAAATGAAATAAGCTTGAAAATTTTGAAAAAGCTACGAAACAGGCTATTTTTGTTGCAACATCTTATTTGCCGCCTCTTAATTGCCACTATCTAAAAAGTGCCTAAGTTGATTATCCTTAGATTTGCGGTACCGTTTTTCACTTACTGAAAGCATTTACTATTGGTAATTGGTTCTGTATTAAAAAAAGTAAGGATAATATCTTTGAAAGTTTCAGATTTCAATCAAAGTCGTACTCTTTCTTTTAGGCAAATCAATATATGGCAGGAAGTTTGATGATGAAAACTTTGTATTAAAACACACTGGACCAGGTAAGGTTTCCAGCAGCTACCATTCTTCTTCAATACGATATTTAATATGTACGAATTCTTCTATATTTTTTGTTTTCATCAAATCAGAGTTTGTATCATTAGGACTTTTACTAACAGAATATTGAGCATTATTCTTTGTATTTCTGAATAAGTCATTCTTTGGGTACTGCATTTTCCCTCCTTTTTGCAATGCTTATTATCTTTCTTCATTTCTTCTGAATTCTACTGTTACTTAAATATTTCTTCCCTTTATTTCCTCTTTCCAACCTCCATTTTCCTCACTTAATATCAACTTTTGCCCATTTTCTTTTCTATCTCTCTTTTCCTCTTTGTTTCCCCTTGCTGTTTATTCTTCTTCGTCTATTTTTCCTTTTATTCCAAGAGCAAACTCGTGAAGCTAATTCACAGCACCTGCACATACAAGTGAATTGATAATCCTCTTTAACTTTATAGCTGGTCATCCTTCTCGTTTAAACAGACAATTGTTTATGTTCTTTTTACCAGGCATTTTGTCAATGGCAAACTCAGGGCCTAACACAAATGGTTCCCAATTTTTCATTTGCACAGAGAAAACTGATTGGTGAGTCTCTTATAAGCACAAGAGTTATCTTCTGATCTGGAGATTTTTCAGATTTAAGTAGCATGAACCAAAACTAATATGCAACAGAATTTAAGATCTTTGTTTCCTCTAGAATTGAAGAGTTTACAATATGTCAGCAACCTTGGGTGATAATTGCATCGTAATGCCTTGTCCCTGAGTGGATGGGTGGAGATAGAAATAATTTAGCACTTAAACAGATAGTATATATCTTGTGAATTAAGCCAGAAATATATATGCTACAAATAGGATTAGGGCCCTGTAATCAATATATCTTACATTATTCATTTATCATATTACGAGAATGCCTCAATTCACAACATTAAAATGCCTAACATATTGCAAATTGGTGGCTAAATAGATAAACTCCCTTCGCCTACAAAATTTGCTTACATCCTGTCTTTACAATGACAAACTGTAGAAATATTGAATAAGCCATCACTGAAGCAAAGTGAGTTTCTAAAGAATACTAGAGTATTTTGTGATATAAGTATGAAGGAACAATATACAGGAAAAATTGTCATAGAGCTCAAGCAAGATGTCGAATCAATGAATCATTTTGTAATAACTGATGGTTATCCTCCAGCCTCTTTCTTCATCTAGTGGGCCTAATATGCAAATGGTCTCCTTTTTCATAAATATTACGTAAATGGGTAAATGAACTGATGTCCACAAATGACTTTTTTCTAGGTTGGATGGTAAACATGTTGTCTTTGGTCAGGTTGTTGAAGGCCTTGATATTATGAGAAAAATAGAGGTGAGTTAACAATGGCTTCCTGTCGAAAGTCATGTCATCTATGAACATGTTTGGCCTCGCAAGATACGTTGCATACCCAATTGAAAGGAATGAATCAAGGCAATTTTGAGCAAAATCAAGTATTAAATGACCAAATCTTATTAAAAAATTAGGTATTTATTGACTAACAGATGATAATGTGAGATAACGAAAGCAAAAAATTTGTTCAGTAGAATTTGTTATCGGAACCAAATTCATGTTAGGGTGACTGCCCGTTCCCGTTCAGTTGATTCTCATTCGGTACTCTAAGGAAATAGAACACATTTTGGAAGTTATTCGAGAGAAAGGCTGCAGCCCCTGGTTCCGAGAGTTAAGATAATAATCCCTGTATTTTATTAGCTTGTATCACTGCTGTCATCACTGTTTTCTTTCTTCGCTACCTTCCTCTTTCTCTTTTGCTAACTTTTATTGACATTCCTACATGTACATATCATTGCTTTTAAACTTTCTTTCTACTTACTGTTATTAAATGTTTATATAATTCCAAGAGGTCGCTCCATGATTGTGTCTGTTTCTTGGCCTCTCCACAGTGTTGAATTCCAAGAAATCAGTGTATCATGCTTTATTGAGAACCATTTGCCAAAAAGTATATTAATGACTGTACCAAAGGATAAATTAAAAGGAACTAAACGCATAACCATCAAAGCCTTTCTGTTCTCTGACCAAACTAGTTCCTTCTTTTCAGCTGTCTTATATCCATTGCTCCCCACTTTCCCCGTTTTTCTGAAACTTTCGCTCACCATGAATTATCCGTAATATAGAACGTGATTCGAAAACGTTTATTGCAAATATTGATTTAAACTTTGTGTAAACCTCTCTACTTATCCTAACGTATTGCTTATGGAAATAGCTACTGACAATTTATGTATGGGTTGCTGTTATAAAAAAAACCGTTACTGCAGGAGTTACCTGTACAGGAAATCTGTAACCTAAGAAGGCCTTTCCTCGCTAAAAGATGAGATCCTTGCGGAAATCGAGAAGTTCCCAGCTTGTACGGGCGGCATTGAAGAAAATTCCGTTTGAATACATAAATCAATAAATTCTACCAAATATATTGTGAGATTCAACCACAATGGATATAAGGTGGGGTTGGGGGGGGGCTAACACGGTCGTTTGGGGAAACATTTAGAAAAACAATGGCCTTTCAAAGAAGTTTTCTTGTTTAAACAATTGAATCTGAATAATCTACAGGCACTGCCTCTTTTCTACATGGATACACACCAATATGTTAGGGGACACTCGCAGGTGATTCACAAACTGCCCCACCCCCCTAAGAAAGTTTTATGTGACCACATCCTTAAATCTTTCGGAGTGCTAGGGAAATGCCCATTTTAGTTGCAATTGTTGGAAAAGTTTTTTTAATAATTCTTCACCTGGCTGTGCAAAATTATTATGCTTATGAATCATTGACATAAGGGCATCGATTCCAAAAAGTAGCTTAAGTTTTCTGTGTTGTCTAATAATTATCTGATAGTAACATGGTGTAAGATCATTGCAGGTTCCATCGAAGTATGGGCCTCAGGTCTTTTGCCCCTCCTTACCCCCTCTAGACACTCCTGGGGACACAACATTGTGGGGACATACATTCTTCCCTCGTAACGATCTAGTTTCTTTATGGTTTGAAATGCTGTTTAGACCTGTCTAACCTATTTCTTACATATTATCCCTGCATAAGTGAATCTAAGAAAGAAAGTATTAATTCAAGAAACTACTCTCAGCTCTTTCTTCTCCTTTGATTTCAACACAATTCGTTATGAGCATTCACCTTCAAAGAAATATTTCAGCATCACTTCTCTCTGATGCCCTGGCATTAGCTGGGAAGTGTGGTAAAGACAATCCCATTAGGTTTAATCAAACAGTCATTTCAGGTTGACATTTCATTAACACTTTTCTTCTTTTGCCATGAATTGTACTGACTTTGATATTTCTACTTTTTTCACAGCTAGTCCTTTCTGTATTTTCAAACCTTAATGGTAAGAGTCGCGTTTATATACAAAACTTGGGACTCCAGGATGCTTTACCCTCCATCTGGTTCAAAAACTCTTATAACCTGTTCTATATCAAAGCTAAAACCAACAAACTTGATCTCATCTCCCTATCTTCTTTTCATCTTCTTCCTTTCATTTTTATGGGCTTTGCAATAGACCTCATGGCCTCTCCCTATGTGTGGTGACAAAAAATAATGAATTCCTTTTATTAATGTGTTATAAGATCAGGCCTGACCGGAAGACTTTTAACAGGGGAGCAGTAAACAGCTCTCCTAGTAGTAGTCAGGTGAGCTATAAGAATAGAAACAAAGGAAAATTTGATTTCAAGGAGAGCAAATTTGCTTTTTTCAACAATTTAGGATAGCAATCTCTAGCTCCCCTCCAGCGTTTGAGGAGAGCCTGGAGGGGAGCAAGAGCTATGGCTCTCCTCAAATGGCCAGGCCTGTAAGATCCTCAATATATTTTGCATTTAAGAATGCAACAAATTTTGAATTTTCATTCATCTACCTGTACAAATAAAGCCTTGTCAACATCTTGAAACTATCAACCTTTTATCTCCAAGGCCCAGGGAGCAGATTCTGGAAAGCCAAAGAAAAAGGTTGTGATAGAAGACTGTGGAGAACTCGAATAAGATAATGGTTGAGGTATGAATGCCTTCAGTGAAGACAGAACCACAAGATTAAATAATACAGCTGTTGTATGGCTGGAGATGTCTAGCCTTGTGGGTGGCTCAGCCAACTATTTCTTTGGCCCTATATTTGTATACCCCTTATATGGTGCTTCGGTTAGATGATAGACCAAAAGTTTTCGCCAGCATCATTACAGTAAAAGGAGAAGTGGACATTTCAATGATTGGAAAGGTCCAGTAAATAATAGCCACAAACCTGTATATGCTTAATTAAAAGCCAAGGAACATTTGTATGTTAAAGAAAAGTTTTTTATCAAATAGTGTTTTTCAATGTTAGAAGCAGCAAAAGTATTTGATGCTCATAAAACCTTCTGAAATGTGAATGACAAAATCTGTTTTTGCAATGTGAATAACTTTTACAAATATGGCCAACCAATTTTGAAACGCAAAATTAAATTTGTTAACTCTGATGGGCTCTCTTCTCAAAGACCAGCCTTAAAAGTTGTATAAAATTCTTAACTAGGGAGTACACTAAAGATAATTTATTGTTTACTCCAAAAATTTTTTTGTTGGTTGCAAACGTTCATAAATGCTATGCTACTAAGTAAAATTCAGTATAAATAAAGCCATCATTATTTAGGCATGTGATTATCAGCAATGTTTCTACAAAGCTCTAACTAGTCATTAGCTTCTTTGGAAGGACCACAGGCAAAAAGAGAGATAAAATTGTCTTTGAACTGATTGTTTAATTTAAGCAGAAATGATGAAGTTTACAAGATAAGCTTTTTTCATTTTTTTTAGTTAATTGAACGCCAAGCCACCTTACAGGTTTTGTTTAGTGTATAAATTGTGATGTTGGATCATAAGCTTTGCTTTCATGGTCTGCAGGATTCGCTCTTGATTCATATGTGCAAATTGTTACTCCATGCTTATGGGCCTGAAATCGGAAAGTATCTTAGTAGTGGATTTAGATTTAACCTAAAAGTAAAAACTTAAAATATGTCACAGACATTGCTCCTCATTATTTGAAGGGGAACATTTTGCATAGAAATTCCACCTGTCATAAGTGTAATCCTTGGGTACCAAGCTCATGTCAGAGAAGGGTCCAAATGTAAAATATGGTCTTTAAAAAATGGGTCAAACAGAACAGAAATTTATTGAAAATTTATAATTAAACTATGCTTTAAACAGACATTCGAATTTGGTTTGAACTTCTGTGAATATTTACAAAAGAAAAACTAAATACGAGTGAATTAAAACTAACAATAAAATACTTGAAAATGGCTTTGAAAAAAGCATTATGCTCTAAGGAGTGTCAGACGAAAAAGCTTTTAGCCAATATGTTGTAAAATTTTTTGCTTTTTACTAAGCCATTTTCAAGTTCTGTACTGCCAAAAAACTGTTCACAATAAAAATATTCTTTTCCTGAAATAAATGGTACCATATGAAGTGATACATATCCTTGGGCTAGGGTGGGCTGTTAATAACTATTTGTAGCTGTTTATAGGTAATATATCTGCATTCATAAAGTTTGACACCCCTTTGTAACCAATTACCCTTTGCTGTCACAAATACAATTACATCAAACTTCTTAATATTGCCTTTTCCCTAACCTCCAGTTGTGTGTTTGTTAGGTATCTTTGAATTTCATTTCTTGGTATCATAGTTTATAGCTGTTTATTTGGAAAGTATATTAAGTGATTACCTGGGTGAAATCTCCTTTGAGTCCAATGTAGTATACTCTTGTATTGTCATTCCCAAAATTTGTAGGGAAGTAAATTGACAAATGTTCCACATTAGAGAATCTTGCAACTCTAAAAAGATAAATAAAATTAATACTTTTTACAGCAAACTGAGGTCAAAAATGTTTCCCCAGGCCACCAAACCATATTCTATAAACACTTAACTGATGGTTTGGTGGACTGGGGTAATGGAGCAAAGACAGATATAATCATATCTTTAATAGCCCATATTAAATCACAGCAAATGCACAAATTTAGAAAAAGAGTACACAAAGGGAATAAACCTAACTGGTTAAATGAGAAGGAATTCTAGACTTGTGAGCTTCTTTGTATTAAAGGTTCAATGTCCATTCAGAAATTAAAGCTTAATTTTGAATTGACTCATTTTCATTTTGGTGAATTTCCAAAAAATGTATCATATCTAATTGATGCCATAAAAAGTACAGAATCATCAACTCTATCATCAAAAACATCAAGGGTAGAGAAGTATGCAACAGTAATAAAATATGCAAGGACTCAAATCATACTTGGTGTTGTATTCTAATTCTCCTTTATAATCTGGTTGAAGATCAAATTCCTCGTCACAGTGTTGACTTGTGTCATCAAAGCTCATTTTTGGTCTGTTTTTAAATCTACATGAAAAATATTTAATTTTAAATCTCAGATTGAAACAAAGCTTGGAGCATGATCTGGTTCAAGGACCAAGATACGGGGGCAGGGCCTTGGACTGCCAAAAAGTTTAAGTGGCATAAATGTTACATGGCTGTAGTTACACTTATTCATCAGTGCTGGCCCCCCAAACAAAACATTGTATATCAGTCTTTGATCTTATTATCAACATATTTAAAAATTATCGATGGTAAATGGCCTGAGAAAGATCATTTGAAGAAAGAAATGAATCACAGAAAAAGTTACACAAAGATTGCACCTTGTACAGAATGTGATGGTGAAGGAAGGCAAAGGTCTTGTGAAGTGGATAGGCGAGGCAGAAAATTTTCTTTCTTTGAAGGAAAATTTCAAATGAACTGAATGCAGTTAAGCTTATTCTGTAGCATTCTTAAATTATCTCCTGTTTTAATAATTATTAGATTTTATAATTTTTTCAGAATAGTTGGTAACGCCAAAGCTCATTCAGTAATGTCCCCAAAGTATTAAAATTGTGCTTTGTATTAAAAACGAAATTTTTCACCATTTGCATAAGGAATTACCAAACATATTTGTGCTCCATTTAATTACAAGGGCTAGCAGCTTGGTGAATTCAATGCAATTTTTTTTGGTACACATTCAGATACAGTTTTCCTACAGATTTTGGTACACATTCAGGAACAGTTTTTCTACAGCTTATTAAACCTAGCTTGTATAAATTTCCAATCATTGAATCTATATTTGTTAAAATCTATAAACAAATTATGATTGTTAAGAATTTATGCCCTGAGATCATTCTAATAGAAGACGATTTGTAATGGGAATATCAAATTCACCATTTTATAACTCAACTAACTACCAACAGCAAAACATGGGAACATACATAAACAAGTCTTTGTTAAGAAATCTATTGTGTAATATAAACAATGCAGGTTTACACTTTGTGTTAAAAGCAATACAAGATGATATTGTTTTGTTTATTGTATAGCTAAAGATTGTATTCTTAACAATGATGTCTGTCATGAATCAAGAGCATATTTTACAATATTTGACACAACCCTGAACAATCCTTCAATATATTCACTTACAGTTTCATTTTTGATGGATGCATATCATTTTCTCCCCCAATAACAATGACACCTTTTAACTTGACATTCCCAGTAAATCTATAAAAAAGACAAAAAACGATGACAAATAAACTTTACTTCAATAGGCAGTCTTGGATTGCTGTGGAGTGGCTTCCTGGGACCGAAAACTCAAGTAAAATCAGCATTAAAGACAATATCAACATATACTTAAGTGGATGAAAAAAATAAAAATGTGGTTTCTGATTTTGCTACTACTTTGAAAATTTCTTGCCAGTTGCAAATCATACTGCTGATCTATCATGTCAAGAATATAATACAAGGAATCATGATATATCATCCAGGCTGGAAAACTTGCATATGCTCGCAGCAACGCTAGACTTCTTGTGCTCGTACCCTGCACCTCTAGTGACCCAAAATATCAAGAAATTCATATATTATACTATAATTTTGTATAAAATGATTCAATGATGGGAAATTTATACAGGCATCGTTGCTCGCAGCTCGAATACTTCCGCTTGCAGGTCGCAGCTTATAATGTGCGGTTGGACGCATTGATGCGTCCGCAAAATAATACATGTTTTCCAACCTGGTATATCATAGGGAGGATTCATAAAATAACTGTATTGACACAGGTCATAGGCATAAGTGTAATAATGCGCATCGAAATCAACTTACGGAATATTGAATAATAACTCTTCGTCTGCATCACTTTGTACATACTGTAATAAAGAAAATATAATAAAATAGGCCAATACAATAAGGAAAGGAGAAAACATTTCAACAACCAAGATATAGTCTGATGAATCAGTCAAGCTCAGTCCAGTTCATCTCATTTTTAAAATTTTCAAAGCACAGGTTTCAATCGTTTCAATATGAAAAACATTAAAAACAAAACTTATTATAATTCAATGTAAAAATTGGCCTACAAATTGTAGAATGTAGTACGATTTACCAACAGCAGACATAGATGCAAGATATACAATTTATAATTCTACAAGGAGGAATAATATATAGGAAACCTGTATCTATGATCTCTAAAATCCACTCATAACAAAACTAGAACAATTAAAAAGATGTTATAAAGTTTGAAAAATGAACACAGTTACCTTGTCTGTCTCCATTCTTTTATCCCAGGCTTTGAAAACAAATTTTCCTGATCCATCAGTTTCTTCATTTAAACATTCTACTTTTTGTATATCGATTTTTGTATACAGACTGTACAAAGCGCCAAGATCAGGACCTGAATGATCGTGTTCATGATGCTCGTGGCCGCAAGAATGACCGGCCATCTTGTTAGGCCATTATAGAGTTCCCTCGATTTCATGATGAGATTGATTAATCATTTGGGACTGTTGACAAGTCTTTTGCTGGTGAAATTTCTAAAAATGGCTTCAGATCGTGGAAAATGGGAAACTGTGGTCACAAAGAAGAAGGGTCAAGTGTCCAAAAGTGACGTTAAAAAGGCCAAGAAGAATTTTGTTGATAATTTTTCTCAACACAAGGCAGAGTTCAAAAGTACGTATATCAATTATTGTAGTTTATGTACACGTGATGTGTTTTTCTTTTTAGGCCCATGGGCACAGATCAGTGGCCCTGGGCAATAATTCAAATTAATTCATTTCAAACAAAAGAAATACAAGTTAAAGTTGAATTTCATATACATGAAGTGATTACTGTACATATTCTAAATATAAACCAATTACAATAATTGGTAATACAAAAACAGTTTAATACAATTAACTCCATATATTGTTTTTACGCGTTGTTTAGGACCCTTAGAAAAACACCTATAAGGGCCATCGAGATAAAGGCCCTGCTTTGTAAGCATTGCTACTTAACTGAGTTGAAAACTAAGAACGATAATAATTATTTGTTGTGACGATGCCAGGGCATTTGGAGACAGTTTTGTGTATAAAGTATAAATGTTTTAAAACTGTAAATAAATGATCCATTATGATCTGTCTTAAAAAGTCTAACAAATTGAAAATATTTCAGCTACAAAGAAATTTATAGGAAAGTGAAAGTTTCTTGATGCTTATCTTGTCAACTTTGGCATTTCTGCTTGAATGACACTTTAGAGGAATGTTTTGGTATGCAAGTATATTAGTTTAAGTAGAAATGGTAGGAAACAAGTGTCCATATCTAGCCAAGGCCCAATTTGCTTTTATGATTGTTTCAGCATAGCTTCAGAAATTAGTTTTAAGACAAATGAGAAAGTCTTCTGGTCCCTCCTTTCAATGCTGGCACTTCTTGAAAAGATCTAGGCTGCAGTCCTGACATTATTTCTAGTCTGGCCTGTGACTGGAATTGCAGACAGATGGCAACTCCCTCACTCTAAGTGAATGCTACAGGACTTGAACCCCAGACCCTGACATCTGCTGTCAACTGTTATATATTGTGTTTTATTCAAAAGGACAATGGACTCTAACACCTTGAGTCAAGTTGTTTATGCCAATGTGATCCTGTTCTTTTTGTAGTTCATAGGAAAATGAAATATGAGCATTTTTCCTGAGCGTTAACCTTTATTATCAGAATATATTACATCAGCTGCCCTTATCACTGGGTCATCCTCATTGATTATCTGGGTACAAAAGAAAATGCCTTCCAATTTCATTTTTAAACTTTATCTTCAAGCGTGTTACAGAATTTATAATATTTATCATGTTTTGGCTACATAGTTTTTGCATGACTAGTTTTCCCAATGATGTTGATATGATATTATAGATCCTGCTGTTTTGCCTTGTTGAAAAATGTATTCAAAAACTAGTGATTAACGCTGTTGTTTCAGACATCTGTAAGGAGATTTGTACTGGTTCAAGGGATCCAAGACTCACACATTTTTTTAGCAATATGATCAATGAGTAAGAAATAAGGTTTTGCCTAATGTACCCTGAAAAATAAACTGATAAAAATAAATTTCTAATCCATTCTGTATTCTTTATCTACATGTTCTAAAATGCATTTTTTTCTGCTGATTCTCAGGCAATGTTAGAATCTTTTCCATTTTCACAAAGACCTTGAAACCCTTTCCAATTTTTCATATGCTTAATTATAATTTAAAATTGCATTTAGTTTCATTTTATAAATAAAGACAATGTTATTGTAAATTTGCCAAACATGAATGCAACTGTATCAGTGTTCATCAATTCTCTCCATAGGAATTGTTATGTTCATTTTGTCTTCCTACTCAGTGAATCATTATGTTTTTTGAAGTGTATAGTATTAAATTTTCTAAATTAATTGTAGGCATTTGGTTTGCTAAGAAGTGTAGGTTTAAAATATTACCTGTTGGTTAAACATCTTTAACTAGTGAATTTTATTATTTTTGTCATAAAGATCCTTTAGAAGAAGCTGAAACAATCTATAGTGCAGCATTTGGAGAAAAGAGTTCCCAATCAAACAAAGAGAACAATGACCCTGACAGCAAATATCCATCTTTTCATCCAATGGAAGGCCAGAAAAAAGGGACTCAGCAAAACAGCCCTAAAAAGCAAAAGCAGAAGAAACATAAGATTGCAAAGCCATCACCTTTAGAAGGAATTGAGGATAAGATCAAGGAGGTGTGTTAATCTTTGCATTTTGATAGAAGCTGCAAAAATTTTGGAAACCATCTTGAAAGTTTATTCAGTAAATATATCTCTGTTTAGTAAGAAGCTAACAAATACGCAGCTCAAATATTTTGAAAATTAATAGAGCATTATAGAACCAAATTTTCTTTTTTGTTTTGAAATGTTTTGAGTTAACAAAAGATCAAACTAGTTCATGGGATTTTTTGGAAACATGTTTATAGAAATTCTAGATAGTGATAAATTATTGTGAAACCCATTGAATTAAAAAACATACTGCCTATAGCAGACTAGATGTTACCAAAAACATAAAAATAATTTTAATTAAAACTTTAGTCAATTGAGGCTTTACACAAATTGTCACTTTTATTTATTATTTGATAAGGAAAAGTTTTTTTCCATTCACATCTTGTCTTTACTGTTTAAAATACAAACATTTTTTGTTTTATCTGAAGTCACTGACACATTGTTGGCACCACACAAGTTTCTGTGATGAATTTAGATCCAAGTTTTAATAAATCTTTAAGGAAGTTTATCATTGGTTTTTGTATTACATTACAGTTAAGTCTCGAGGAGCTTTCTTTAGTCATAAGCAATGTTGAAGAAAAGTTTCCAAACCATTCATTGGTAAGTATTTAGCAGAAACTTACCTTTTGCTGATAAATGTATTGTAAACAGATACACCAATTTTTAAAATAAACTACACCAAGCAACAAAGCATCTGAATATGTCACCTGCAATGGAAAAGACATATCATCATGTGGTCCCACTGACAGAACCACTGACTACAAGAATAATTTTTTTATTGAAGTTATATTTAGAAATTGTTTAGTTTTGATCATATAAGTTTTGAAAACCATCATAAAATCTCTAAATATTCAAAATTGATAAAATATTTTGCAAATTGGGTGAGATATTTCCACACCACCTGATCACATCCTTTCCTAATCAAACCGTTGTAATTTCATTTCTAATGGACACAAGGAACAATAACAGGACTGCTAGGCAGGCTCCAAAGTCTATGCTTTTAGCAAAGTAGAAATGAAATGAATATTATGTGAAATATGTAATAAGTAATAAATGAAATATGTGCTGATTTTTTTCCCTGGCATGCTGGAACTGGTAGACAAGTTTTCACAATACACATTTTTATTGTAGTTGATGCCATTTTGTCAGGTTATGTGGTGAGAATTCAAATAATTTTAGAAATAAATATTTAGGATGTCTTCACCTAGCCAAGAAAAGCTGTTGCCTGATTCCCCATTAATCCTTTTTGCAGGTGTTGCAATACTTTTGTTCTGGTAGTGTTCTGGTTGTGGTAGTTCATTAAAGTCTTTTTAAAATATATTAAATACAGGTTTGGCTCAAGGAGGTTGCATCCTGGCTACAAAAGCAATTCCCTGGACCAGCTGAAAAGGATTTGATGCTTTCAAGTCAGCCAAAAGGTTATTTTTCTATTTCCAAGGTTATTTTATTTGACTTTTCCCAGCTTTAGTCTTTAAGTTATATTTTGCACAGAGAGAAAAAGAGAGAAACTTTTTTGAAGTAGTGCTACTAGTTAGGAACCTAGAAGCATTCTCTCTTGCAACAATTACATGTTCTGCATAAATATGAATCTAGTGCACATATCTGCTTGTGGTATGTTTAATAGTTTCAAAACTGCTAATAGTGTCCTATTTCTACCAAAATCTTGTTCTCCAAGATATTTTAGCCAATATAGAACTCTTGAATGAGACAGGGTGTATCAAGAACTGCCTCGTTTTGGTAGAATAAAAATGGCTCGTTTATATTTTATGGAGTAAAAGGAAACTTGAACTCATTCTCTTTCGGTTTTGTTTTCTTGGTAATCATTTCAATAAAGCCCTGATTTTCTGCTTGTAAATTATGACAAAGCCCAATAAGGTTGAATTTGAATGATGAAAGTTAAAGTTGAATTTAAGTGCGAGGATGGATCAGTTGCTAGAGGCGCTGACTACTGACCCAAGGATCCGTGGTTCGAGTTCCTGGCATTACCAAACTTTCACCCAGAGTCGGGAGAGTCGCCAGCTCTCTGTAATTCCAGGCAAAGGAATCATAAGGTGTGGTCACATCGAGAGGAAGGACCAGGACACTGCTTGATAAGCATAAGTTTCTCAGTGTTCTAAAAACTACCTTCAGATGTTAGGTAGAAACAAATACAAAAATGAAAATTAAGCCAAAAATTGACAATAGGTTGTTTTGATTGAAACTGATGAAGTTTGCACCCTTTTGCTAAATGATGAGAGAACCTATTAAAATGTCGTTTTTCTTCAAAAATTCATTGTTCATGTACTCAGTAACTCTATTTCTCTGTGCTCTGAACTAAGAAGCTGATATTTTATGAATTATTATGAAAAGCCTTCAATCTGGTTTTGAATTGACTTTTGCAGGCTTCCCCTTGTGTTCAGTTGACTCAGATGTAAAGAAAGCATTGCTAGAGCTTTTGAAGAAAAGCACTGATCAATCTATTGAGATGTTGTTCTGCTACTGTATCACAAAGATGATAGAGGAATTACAGCAAGGTTTGTTTATTTTCCATTACATGTCTTTGAAATATGTTTGTTATTGTCATGTCAGAGCTCTGTACAATGCTGTACAGGAAGGCTACCAACCAAGAGCGTGTTGTTTGGCTTGGGAGACTCTCTGTATTACAAGGAGAGCTTTAGCTTCCAAAGCGGTTTTAAACTCTAAAAAGATTAGTTAAGAAGTTCCTTTAGATATAGTCTCAACAACGAGTTTCTTTACGGTATTATGTACTGTAAATTATAGAGTATGAGCTTCAACTCTTTAATGGGTAGCAATAAAAGCGATCAAATATGGCCTTGTCGACAGTTTCTTGTTATCTGATTTGTCAGAACTAGGGGGGCGTGTCTGCTGTATTTATAAGTGAAAGGTTTGAAGCTCATGCCGCCATTTTGATGTATCGAATGGTTTGAGACCTGGAGAAACCCAAACACTGTGTAGAATTTGCGGTTCGATCAAGTGTGCTATAGAACGACCCATGCATCTCAGTGTTGTCCGTGTTAGCAGTGTACCAAATACTGTCTGCCTTCTATGGAGAAGATTCTGACGGGGTGTATTACCGCGTGTGTGCGTGCTGTATTTGATCAAATTTATTGTTAAAGAGGACACAACATCAACTGAATAATCGTGGTTCGAAGAACTGGTTGTTATTCACAAAACCTTGCAGATATCATGTATTTGTTGATTGATATTCTCTGAGATTTTTTAAATGAGTTATCGGTATTACTGGGTTTTTGATTCGCTGCTTTATAATTTTTTGGCATCTATCCTTCTGAAAGTTTCACATCATGCTTTGAATCGTTTACAGGTTTCGCTACGCACAGAGTTTGGATTTTATGTTATTAGTTATCCTGGAATATTCAATTTCAAGATCACAATCTTTGACTCATTCTTACTTGATCATTTCTATCTTTAGTCGAATCTAAATGGCACTTCCTTCCAGGAACTGAGAGCATTAGCTTGTCCTGTTATTATTTTGAGATCGCTTGTTTGAATCCTTAAACTTTTACTATTTCACAAACTCAACCAAAATCGCTATAGATTCCAGAAGCTTTTGATACATACTCTGTTCTGGAATTTCCACAGAATCTTTCATGGTGGATGTTCTAGCTCACCCAGTAGCAGAATGCTCACGTGGAGCGCAGTTTTCTTAGTTTCGATCTAGAAATAAATGAAACAACTAGGAGTTTGAGTAAAATTGCACTAGGAATAAATAAATGTTATTCATAAACGATGTTTCGCATGCTATTTATTCCTAGTACAATTTTACTTTAATTCCTATTTATTTTCTGGTATATTTTACAGCACGCAAGCTGGTACGTCTATAAAATCTTTGTAGTAATAAAGTACCCTGCCAGCTGTTTCTATAAATTATGATTTCAATTTCCAGGCAAATTAACCATTGGTTTGCGAATCCTGATTCAAGTCATCGTCAGCCACTCACCAAAAGTCTTAATTACAAAGTTAGATGACGTACGTTCCTGACTTTTTCTTGTACTAATTCTTCCTCTACATTTTCCTTAATGCCCCCCGTCTTCAATTATGTCGTATTAAAAAATGATGCTCTCATTAAACATTATATGCCATTATTTTCTCTGTTCCTTGCTCAATTTTCTACCGAGATTTGCGTTTACAGAAATGAATAGGAACCTCGTTGTGAATGAATTCTAGTTTAAACAGGTATAAATGTAGCAATCCTTAAACCCTATGCCTTCTATTTTTCCAATCTTTACATCTCGCAATATTTCTTCATGCCAGTTTCCAAATTTCACTTCATTTCTTCCTCTTCCTCTCTATTTCCGACCCTATCATTTAAACATCCCTTCTCATATCTTGATAATGCTTCTTGTTTTCCTCCTTTCTTTCTTTTCCCTTTCTTACCTTCCGCCTCGTTTCTTTTATTGCCCTTTATGTTTTCTTTCACCTTTCTTCTTCTCGTCTTTCCTATTTTTCCTCTGTCCATCCGCCCCTCACCCTTCTCCCTTCCCCCACTATTTCTGCCTTTATTCCTTATTGCCCTTCTTTATAGCCGCCAATCTTTTTCCTCGGAACCTTTTCCTTCTCCCCTACCGGCTTTTGTGCTCATCTCTGTTCATTTCCCCTTTTCCTATATGCTCTGCTTGTAGCTTTTATACTATTCAGACTATCCTATACAACATGCATATCGTTTCGCTAATGCTTAATTATCTCTATATTTATACATCGTATAGACTGTTTAACAACTTGAAGGTCTATTTTTAGGTATTAAGTGGCAAATCAACATCTCAGGAATCATTTTTAGCTGTAATTTGGGCCTACAGCCAGAACATGAGTGATTTCAAGGCAGGAATCAAAGGTTAGTCTTGATGATATTTCGTTCAGTTCATTAATTTAACCTTGTCGATTTTCTTGGACATAGATGACATATCTGGCTTGTTCCTTTAGATACAACGGTCTAGGTTTTAAAGCAACGCTCTAACTAAAGCCACTGTCTTCTCTTCTTTTTAGTTTGGTGGGCAGTGATGATGCCTTTGTTGAAAGTCAGCACACATGCGCCTCATGTCGTACAGTACATTGAAGACTTGATTCGGTATGTTAGAACCATTTGATCACTAACTGTATTTTGAGTTTGTTCTCCCCTAGGCAGCTCTGCGTGTGTCCAAGTGTGTCGTAAGTTATACTTAAGTGAAGATTCCTTTTAACTATTTTAAGACATTGACAGCTTTAAGTGGAATATTAGGAGAAAAATACTAGTAGATTTGATGAAATGTGAAAGTTTTTTTCGATGGAAGAAAAGACGATGAATTGTTTGTATAGCGTGTAGCTATTTGTACGCATTCCAAAAGACCGATCGGTAGCACAGTGGATGACTACGAGGAAGTTCATTGAACGCTTTTTCGTCAACAGGCAAAGCACAAGTAATCCACCATGCTTGCATGCTAGATCAGGCTGTTGTATCGATGGAAACAGGAGTGATAAATCTTTAAACGGACACCTCCTTACAATGGAAGCCTCATTACATTGACCCCTTCCTAAAATGGGTACTTTCCTACAATGGACACCTCTTCATTGCCCATCTCCCTACAGTTGTCACCCCCCCCCCCATGCTTGCATGCTGGATCAGGCTGTTGTATCGATAGAAACAGGAGTGATAAATCTTTAAACGGACACCTCCTTACAATGGAAGCCTCATTACATTGACCCCTTCCTAAAATGGGTACCTTCCTACAATGGACACCTCTTCATTGCCCATCTCCCTACAGTTGTCACCCCCCCCCCCATGCTTGCATGCTGGATCAGGCTGTTGTATCGATGTAAACAGGAGTGATAAATCTTTAAACGGACACCTCCTTACAATGGAAGCCTCATTACATTGACCCCTTCCTAAAATGGGTACTTTCCTACAATGGACACCTCTTCATTGCCCATCTCCCTACAGTTGTCACCCCCCCCCCCATGCTTGCATGCTGGATCAGGCTGTTGTATCGATGGAAACAGGAATGATAAATCTTTAAACGGACACCTCCTTACAATGGAAGCCTCATTACACTGACCCCTTCCTAAAATGGGTACTTTCCTACAATGGACACCTCTTCATTGGCCATCTCCCTACAGTTGTCACCCCCCCCCCCATGCTTGCATTTGGGTTCAGGCTGTTGTATCGATGTAAACAGGAGTGATAAATCTTTAAACGGACACCTCCTTACAATGGAAGCCTCATTACATTGACCCCTTCCTAAAATGGGTACCTTCCTACAATGGACACCTCTTCATTGGCCATCTCCCTACAGTTGTCACCCCGCCCCCCCTCCCCCATGCTTGCATGCTGGATCAGGCTGTTGTATCGATGGAAACAGGAGTGATAAATCTTTTAACGGACACCTCCTTACAATTCAATCCTCGTTACATTGACTACTTCCTAAAATGGGTACCTTCCTACAATGGACACCTTTGCATTGGCCATCTCCCTACAGTTGTCACCCCCTCCCCTATGACAGTCACTACCAAACATAGGACACCTCCTTTTCATAGAAATGCCCCTGCAATTGTTACCTCCCTACAATAGACACCTCCCTGCAATGGACACGTTCCTCAAATGAGCAGACATTTCGGCAGAGTTTTCTTTATATGCATCATCAAAGAGTTTGTATTCAAGTTTGCATAATCTCTTTGATTTGCAGTAAACATGAGAAAGGCAAAATCAACGATTCGATGATCGATGCAAAGGAATTTTATGAAATTTTGGTGGTCGTGTTCTCATCAAAATCACAACTGGCGAATTCACCAAGGTATTTGAACATTTTTTCCACCCTTTTATAATCAAAAATCGCTTTTTAAATGACACTTGACGATAAAATTTAACACACGAAAAGATGAAGGCTCCCTCTTACTGAATATTGCCAATGTTTTCCGAAAGCATCTCTCACAAGTGCTGCCAGAGCCACAGACGAAGCTCTTGCCTCGCATGATAGGAGAAATACCAGAATAATTCGTCTGTTTATTATTCAAGGCGGGGCTCTAGCATGCTCACAGATGTTGGAAATGATACCACCTGTGATGTCAAAGGCAACATATATCTGTATGCGGGACTAATGGTATGATCTCTTATTCTTTTTCCAGGTTGAAAGAACGATTCGATACACTGTATCCAACATTCAAGGTAAGATAATGTAGGTTTGTTCTTGAAAACTTGCCTCTTACATCACGACTTTCGTTGGCAAAAACTGATAAACGTTTGCTTATGCTGACTTAGGTATACTGATAGCCCAGTGTGGCTATCCTAAAATCGTTCCTCTTCGTCCACAAACGAGCTGATTTCTTCCGTCAATAATCCCCAACCAGGCTTATTTAATCTCTAGCTGTAGTTGGTAAACACCCTTAATAATTTGCCTATCCCTAATAATTTCATGGTTTCTTTTAGAGGATGTACTTCAGTGACAAGCCAGAAGGGACGAACAGAAATAAGTTCAAGCGTTTGCTCACGATGTTAATGACAGACGATGATGCAATGCAAGCTGAGGTAAGCAGCCAAGATATTCTTTTTTCCATTCTTTTCCTTAGGTGCAAGGCTAAGCCACCTTTCAAAACAAGTAGAAGATCGCAGCACGGGATAGACACAGTGAAGAGTTTTCTCCAATTTCTTGTGAACATAATGCATTTGAATTTTTGACGATACAAAAAACTGAAATAGCAATTCGTGATTGTTTACATTTAATTGTTATTTGATTGGTCAGTAGTTTTGGTGTCTGCAAGAAGCTTCCTCTCGGTATGTTGCAAACCTTTTATTGCAAAGCGACTCAATAGAAGATTTTTATTTCTTTCTTTAAAGAAATTTCCAAATGACGTGAAATGCCCACTGCAGAGTGGCAGTGAAGATGAAAGGTTTTTGAAGGAAACCAAATGCCCAATTTTGCGTCCGTGTAGCAATATTTCAAAGCCTGTCCAGGAAGACCTTTATATTTTCTTTGTATTTCTAATGATTGTCTAGGTTTAGAATTTCAAAGTTACCTGTGTATACAGTTACACGGCAGAAGCTTTTATTGGAGCAAAACTGTCTTTTAGTAGATGAAGAATCGTCTCAATTTTTCCAACTCCGTGACGAAATCTGTCCCTACTTTAGATGTCTTTTTGAGCCTCTTAATTTCAAAATTCCTCGCTGATGAAAATTTTTCAATCTGATTTACCTAGATCCTTCGTCTGCTGATTCTGTGCATGTCAAAAGATGAAAAGTGCTTTGATATCTGGTTGGAAAACTTAGAGAAAAATCTGAAGACTTCAGGGTGAGATATTTTTTTCTTAAGGACTCGCGTGCAATCACTGCTTCTTAGCGAGAAATCAGAAGTTTCCGTTTATAGTTTACAAAGTTGCCTGGAAAGCATACCAAAAGGCCTTAATTCTGTATCCGTTTTTACTGGATTCCAGGCTATCGAATTTTATACAACCTTTTTTACTACCGATCTAAATATTCATTCAATGTTTCTCAGTATTTTCCAACGCCAAGTTTTGTTGTCTGAAAAATAAACTGGCAATGCTCTGGGATGCCTGCTTTGTTTGGTCAAAAATAGTCTTCGTCACTGTTTCATTGTATCTTTTCGATATTCTCCATTGCGAAGATTGGCTTTGAAAAGAGCAAAATGGATGGCAATAGGCCAGTCACAAATGCAGGCACTTAACTATCGATGTTGCCCAATCAGTGCCCCTTTCCTATTGAAAATATTACCAATGGAGGCCTCCAAGGGTGATAATGAACTCTTTACATACAATAATATTCTACAATATAGCCGTTAGTATTCGAGTAAAATGACCGGGAGAGACCTATCTATTTGAAGTCAATCTCTTGTAATGCTGCGAGAGATTTTCTATTTTGTACTTATAGTTCTGAGTTTTATAATTTTGCTTTAACAGTGTGCTCTGGGGATATATTTATGACAATTCAGAGGATGTCAGAAACGAGGTATTATTTCTTTAGAATATTTCCAGTTTTTTATTGATTTGAATTTCGATAATCCTAGATTTCTTTGTCGGTAATTCTTAATCAAAACTTGAGATTGATTTAAGCTGGAAAATTTATGTAGCGAATAAAGCATATAAATGTTGCTAATCTGATCTCGGAGTTTACATCTTCTGAAATTTCTCTTCATCATATGTAGTCCAACATCCCACATCAACTTGTTACTTTATTTATTATTTATTTGTCATTTAATTGCCTTCTCGATGTATTTATTAATTTGATTTTTCTAATCAGCTGCTGAAATCAAGGAAATATGCCAGCAAGAATGTTCTTCAAGAAAAGGCTTTTGCTTTCCTTACGGATCTGAGACACATCAAACGAAAGGGACACGGCAGTAAGGTAATTATACCATAAATCTGACTATAAAGTGGCGAATTGCATCACGCAAGGCAGATGCTCTCCGTATGCTCTACAAATCTCGCCAATCAAGGGCCAAAATTAATATTGATGCTAGCGACCTATTTTGCGAGGATTTCACTAAAAATCTTCAATCTTCCATTTTCCCAGTGACCTTAAAATACCTTTTGGAATTAAGTTTATTTTGACCTTAGAATCTACGATAAAAATAAAAAGCGTTTCGATTTTGTAAATTCGAACGGTTTTCATATATGAAACCGGAGCTTCGATACCATTTAAAATTATTCAGTTTTTTATCCTTGAAACTGTTTTTTTATTCGAAAAAGGGTGTTAAATTTATGCAAAATAATCGGCAGTTCCAATTTTTTCTATGCGATCTGCAGCGAACTCACTCATCAGTGTTAAAAGAAAGCATAGACGGCCTATAGTTGGGTGAATTTACAAAATATAGACCAAACCAAGATGTTGTGAAATGAAGAGAGAATTTGCCATTGTGAAATGAGAAATCAATTTCCAGTATAATGTGATCGAGAAAATTATCAAGTGTTGGATTGAGAACAACTTTTGCTTTTGCTTGCAGTTCACTTCTCTTGTTTCATTTAATTGGACAGGATTTGACCTGCCAATCAAAAAACGTCCAGTCACGTACTCTTTATCTAGTCATGTGTCAAAAGACTCATCTTTCACGTGCTTACAGACTGAAGGCTTTGTCTTTGAAAGTCAAAACACTTTAGCAAAGTCAATTTACAATAGTATCTGAAGTGCCTCAAATTAATATAAGGAAAATAGAGTATTTTTCAGAACCCAAAAAATCGAAAACAGATATCTACAGTACGTAATAGAGTTGTTTTTGGCCATAGCACTGTTTGAGAGATTACATCTATATACAGGTGGCCGTGAAATCAAGTAGCTATTTCATCATCTCACCATTGTTTCATGCGATCTTGTGGCTATGTAGTGATGATTGTTCTTGGCTCTACTTGGACATCTTAATGACGTCACATTTTCCATCTATAGGTTGGATTTGCAGAATGCTATGAAGTCTGCTCTGTAAGTATACATAGAACTGTTCTATAAATGTTCCATAAGAGTAATTAATCATATCATAATTATATTTGTATTTTTATTAGTTTGTTGTATTTATTAGTATGTTATATTTTTATTCTGTTGACTACATTCTTCTTTGAACGATGTTCTATGAACTATAATGAAGTAGCTGTTTTGCCAGTCTGTTATATAATGCTCCATGCTGTATAGGAGGAGCTGTACACGCTATTTGGTGTCTAGAACTGGATGGCTCTAAGTTGCTACTCTGAGTTTCACGCTCAATTTGACCATCAGACAACTGCTAAATGAGTACAGCGCGGAACATGTAGTTGCAACTAAGAACCATCGTCTTATAACCACCAAAGATTACAACAATTAGGGAACCAGTTTATTTTCTTGTTATTATAAAACGTCTATACCTGATTGTAATCTTGGGTTTTTATTTCTGCAGAAATTCCAGAGTGAGAAGATGACAAGAAAAGATTCGAAATCCTCACTCTGGAAACTAACGAAGTACACTTTGTTTGCAATGCTTGCGTTCATTGCAATTGATGTCTATACCTCCAAAGGATATAAAGGTAAGCAAGACTCTGTTGTCTTTAAGCTCTTCTCAAAAAACTTTCATGGTGAATTCAGTACTGTTACCGAATATGCCTCTTGTACTGCAAAATTTGACGATAGCACGGGAGAAGGGAATATAACTTACTAAAGTACTCTTCATCCAACACTCTTCAAAGTGTAAACGTTGGATAAGACCAAAAGTAAGCAGAAAATCATATCCAGGTGCAGATCGAAGTTAATGCAATGGAAAGAATTGGCATTTGATTGCTTAAATTCTTTGATATCGTTGAACCAATTTTCATGCCTAAGGCAAATTTTAAATCCATTAGATCGATTCATTTAATGAAGGATTTCTGTGAAGGGTATTCTAGTGACGAAAAGATGTCGTCTTATTTGAAGCCACAAAGATGTTTACAAGCTTTTTATGGTCCTTTACAGAAATGTATTGTAAAAGCGCCCAAAATCTACAGTAATTCCTCTCAGTATGAGGCAAATGCATCATTAAGGAGAGTGATTATTTATGACCGATTTTTAATTGTGATGTACGGCGAATGTTTATTCTGGAAGTTGCTTTCCTATGAAAAAATATTGCTGTCACCGTTTCATCAGCGATTATTTTAACGAATATATTTTGGCGCCTCGACCGCAAAAGATTTCGTGACCCGTGGGCCATGTTTATCTCGCTGTAGCTACACAGAGTATCTCAGAGTTTGCAAGGATGTATATTTTGTTTCTAGGAAGTAGAACTGAGTCAATTGCAGTGAATGCTGGGATAAACAGTCACGTGGAAGCTTCATTGGTTCAGTTAGAAGGAATGGTGGGCGTTGTTGCTAGGTGAGCATGTACAGGTTAATTTATTTCAGTATACATTATAATGAAGAAACAGCCAAGCTTGATCTCTTTCGTTGCACATGTTGTTTGTCTGGTGTAAACTCAAGGAAAATTCATTTAGATAGAAATAAGTTATTGGACGTTTTGTCTGTCCTCAAACTGTACTTTTTTAGAGATACAAAATATTATTTTTATTATTCAAGATGTTTTATGTTTCAAAATTATTCAAACAGCAATTTTTCATTAAATCTCATTAACATTCTCTATTTTTAAAAGAATTGCATTACAATTTCAGTACTCCCTGAATTAGAACCAGTTTTAAATATGTTTGTTCCCAATAAGTAGTGAAAAATTTGAACTTGCCTATTTTTACCCAGGCTATTTTATTATAGTTCAAAGAGTTGATAATATACAGTTTGGTTTTATCAATCCACAAGCTTGCAAACGCAATGTATTGGAAAATTAAAACTTTTTGCAACAAAATTTTCAATCATTTTTCTATCATTTTCTATCAGGTTTAGAAAAGTACTCATCATTTCTCTGATCCATTGGTCCTAACGTTCAAAGTCATTCTAAAAGAACGAAATAGGAAGTGGCATGGGTGTTGTTATTGAAATTTGTTTGTTATTGTACAATTTCCTTATGATCTTCGACCTTTTGCCGTCCACTGTTAATGATATTGTAATGCGAATTTGATTTGCCAGGCTCTTAGCAAAAGCGGAGAGGTTAAAATGACCTCAAGGATTATCTACGTTTTGGTTTCTGATCTTGTTCTCAGATGAAAGCATATTAAAGTTTTTATTCTATTTTAAAATCGACTTGTAACTGTATCGCTGAAATCTATGTTTACATTTTCAGGTGGTCCAGAGACAATGTACCAAAATATTATGCTAAAGTGGCGCCCTACGTGGATCCTGTTATAGAGACTAGCTGGGAATACACTACAAAAATATCAAAAGCTATTTATGAATACAGCAAACCTGCTCTAGATGTGATTAGCAAATACATGGAAAAACTATTTGAGAAGGTAACTTGATGATAAATGTAGTGGAAGATTGACAGCATATGCAAACATTTAGAAAGCTGTGTCACGGGCCTCTCTCCACTAAACTTTTATAATTGAGATAGCACATTGTTGTACAAAATGTCAATATTGCACGAAACAGTGAACAACTTTGCAAACACTGAGCTAGCTTTTTGTTTCAGAATTCGTCGATTGTAAAAATTCAAATAACTAAAAAACGTGCTTGAGGTTGTTACAAACCTTTCTACCACTTCTTGCCATCAGTATCACAGTCTTTTTTCACCTTCACTTGAAACGTATTCGATAAAATTTCTTTTGTGAATAATTTTGGGGTGCTTTTCCCTGATTGCATAATCAGAGAATTTTCGCGCAAGCTTTATTTTGAAAAAAGGAGAATGGATTGATCAACTACTTCAGTATTATCGACCATGTGCTCTTTAGATTTGATAGTCAATCGTTTACCTTATTTATTTATTCTTCATAGTCAAGTTTTATATGCAACTCTAAAGTACAGTTGATCTCAGTTTGCCTCCCTCGCAAATTTTGCTGCTATTCTTTAAGAATTGTATGGTTTGAGCACTATGGGTAAGAAGACCCTAACTGCCCATGTTCCACCCTGCAATTGGCACCAGAGTCACATCGATTTAAGTGGGGAAATGGAACAGAGGGAAAGAGAAGCAAGGAAGCAGAGGAAAGTTTTGTTGTTAAGGGTAGAAAAGTTAAGGCCTTGATTATCTCCTTTATTTTTTGCGCCCAAATTTATGTGGCTCTGGTTCCTGGGACACTCGTGTGAATGGCTGATCATTACAATGACCCCCCTGCCATGAAGATCATGTTCTTGTGTTCTGAGTAGTTTTTCTCTCCACCAATCTAGATCGATGAACTCATGCCAGTGTACCGGGACAGAATCGTTTCACATGCATCAACCGCCTGGAATGCAATTGTACCAACCGTCAAACATCATATAAACTGCACCGTAGCATTTATCACCACCAACGTACCAATCGCTGTGGACCACACATCACGTGTTTTAACGAGTACCTGTACCTGGGTCTACGAGCTATATCCACCCTTCTTCGACAAGATGGCAATGCATTCTCACTGTGCTTTACACTGCGTCCGGGACTATGTGAACAAGGCCTGGCAAACGTTTGTTGATTATGGACCGGTTGCAATTGAGCTTTCTGTGGATTCATTCCGACTTACTGTTGCCACTCTTCAGAGCTACTTTGCCGACGGACAACTTTGGCTGCAAAACGCATTAAGGTATTAGACATTTCACTTTGAACTGTAGGTTACGCTTTTAGTTTAGAATGTAGGTTAAATTGTAAGTGAATAAACTTCAGATTATTTCAGTGTCAATGCCAAACTGTACATGTGGAAAGAGTTCAGCGATATAGCTGCGACAACGTTTAATGTTGTGAAATTAAATGATCGATTGGTCGTACTCCATTTTTTAAGACTGACATACACTTTTCCGCAAATTCATGGAGCAACTCTGCTTGCAGTATGAGGAAACCGACATTAGGATAAAATGAAGAATGCCCCCAAAGTGTGTTTAGTTACCTCCTTTTCCGTTTCCTAGATTCTTTTAGTAGCTGTTGCCAGGGACTGACATTTGATTGGGCTTCCACATCCCTTTTATACTTCATATCTTGTACTTCAGTCAAACTTTCTTTTGTATTAAAGAAAGAGCTATTAAGATTACTTTTGCAAGCTTCTCGAAAATGATTGTTCTGGTTTCAACCCCCCCTCCCCTCCCATAAGTAACTTGTAACGGGGCTGAAAGTTCCACAAATACACCCTGGGAGCTCACGAAAACACGTCTGACTCCTACTTTTAGTATAACCTGACTAACATATCTTCATGAATGACGTAATACAGTGGAAAGGAGGGTAAATCTACTTCAGTGCTAGTACAAAGATGCCCCTCCCCCGTCCCTGAGAGTGAACTAAGCTTAAAAGGATACAGATTGTGTTCACAGAAAACTGCTCACGGCCTAAGTAAATTCTTTTTTGTTTTAGATCGACCGATAGTGGAAGCAACACACAAGCAAGTTAACTCACGTGTAGGCCTTAAATTATTCGATTCAATTTCTCTTTTCTAAGAGATTTTCACATCTATTTTGTTGTTGTAAAACTATTTTCTGCTGGGAAAATTAATATTGAATTGCGTGATAGAAAATTTTTCTTCTTAAGCCTCCTTCTAGACCATAACATGGGAAAGCGGCTATCGTAAACATTGTCAAAACAAGACACATTACAATCATAACATCAGTTTTGCTAACCCACTTTTTTCTTCTGTTTATCTATCCCACCATCCTGTTTTATTTTCACCTCCTCTACCTTAAAAGATCTTGATCCTCAAGAGAGAGTTTTGATAACAAGAGCTTAGTGCCTGTCAGAGGCCCTCTTACTCATAGGCTGTGAATAGATTCGATCAGTGGCGCCATGTTTAAATGTTGCTGATAATGAATAGAAGCTAGCGTTTTTTGTAGAAACACTGATGTAGTTATCCACGCTCTTTCTTAGCAATGATTTAGCTAACGCAGCTTTAAAGGCTCTTTGCGCAACCGGCATGCTTAGCGGCAGCTGTCTTGAAAAATTGCTTGTTTTTTGTATTTTCATTCAGTTCGATATTCGGCCGGTTTTGAAAAAATAGTCGCAAAGCATGCTGGTTGCGCAAGAGCCTTTAAAACCCGTATCATAACAACTGCTAAACCAACTGGTTAGTGAAGTGATTACCAACGTTAATCATCTTAATTAGTGTCAACACAGAGTTCAGAAAACGCCTCAGCTTTCTTCCAAACGAAATTTTGTCCCATTTGCCTTCCTCAGAATTTCCTTGTACCTTTTCATTAGTAAAATTATCAATGGTTTGGTCTTAATGCTTTGTCAGAAAAAAGAAAAGCTCCAGCAAAACGTTAAATTTCTCTCACTTCATAAGTTATGCCTTCCTCAAAGCTACTACTTTGTTTCATTGCCTTCCTCCGGCTCACAGCTGTGGAGCCATAATTTTTTCTGGACTCTGGTCAAACACCTTGTTGAATCAACTTTCTGACCTTTCAAGGCTATATCATTTTTGCATTGCCCTGTGTTCCAATGGAAAGATTCACTCATATAGCATAAGTAGGTATAGACTTTCTTGATTTTGAAAAATAATAATCTTAAATATTTCAATCTTAATGTTTAATTCGATTTAGTATTTTATATCACATTTACAACTTTATATTGTTTCATGGAGCTTACAAAATAAATGGTCTTTCTAGCAACACTTTAGTGAACTGCATGGCACAACTGTTGTAAGTCTTGCTCAACTGCTCTTTGGTCCCACTGCGGATAAACCCATGGCAGCTATGATTACCTGATATCAATACCATTCCTTTGCTGAGTCATAAGGAAGTCTATCGAAGCTTGCTTTTGCCTCAGTTGGGCCCCATGTCTCTCACGATCTTGACTTCCTTTACTAAACTTAAGAATGACCTTAATAATGTTCCATCTATATGTTTTATCCGACTCAATTTATTTTTATAATCATTTACCATATCAATAACTTTTTAATATTGAAATTTGGCTTACAAAATAAATGGTATTGAAAGCAACAATTTTTTGGAACATATACAGTGAACTGTTCTAAGAACACACAGCTTTCGTAAGTTTTTGTTAGCTGTTTCTCTGGTCTCATCAGGGGTAATCCTTTGACGGTTTTGACCACTTGTCAATTTGTGATCTCCCCACGCCTTCCTTTAGCCAATCATAACAATGCTTTGCTTTTGCCTTAGTTAGGCCCTATGGGTCTCAAGATCTTGATTTTACGTACTAAACCATTCCTCACTGATGGACTTCCATCAATCAAACCGATTTCGACTTGGCATTTCAGAGAACAACCACCCCCATTCCTTCTTTCGCGTTTACCATTGGCGCAAAGATGTCCCATTTATTCAGGACTGGGTCATACACTTCCACTGAGCTTGTTTCCTTGTTCATGCATGCACCGCCAATAGCCAATATCTTATCACCGAGCGCAGCAACCGCAACACTTTCTCTTCTTGTGGTCATAGATGGTAGGAACTGCCATCTGTTAGCACGGGGATCAAAACATTCGATTGAGTTTAAGTCCTGGTCAAAATCGCTACCACCCAATGCATATATCGCACCGTTCAACACAGCAGCTCCGAAGTAACGACGGCGAAATCCCATCGATGACGTGAAATACCATTTGCCCGTTCGAGGATCGAAACGTTCCATTGTGTTAAGAATACAAACGCCGTTGTCACCCCCCATTGCGTACAGAGCTCCTTCCAAGGAGACAGACGCGAGGCCTTCTCGTTTTGCGTTCATGTGTGGCAGAAAGCTCCAGTTGTCCCTGGGGTGAAAAAAGATGTTTTAAGCATTTCGTAAATCACTGAAGGCCTAAGACAGCGATACTTACGCCATGCTCTTCTATTGTTTCTCTACATAACCTAGATTTATACATTGCGTTCAATCCTTCACAGAACTCACTTCTCTGCTTTCACATTATTCTTAAATTCGTTGCCTCCATCTCGCTGCATTGTTTGCTCTTTCCTTTCCTTCACTGAGAGTACGGTTTGTCAGTGTCCGGGCACATTCATCGAATATTTAAAAGCCTTTCAAGTAACGTACATATTAGGGCAACGGTTTCGAATATCTAGAACGCTTTAAGTAGAGGCTGCTAGCTCCCCTTCCAAATGATTGCCTACAATACTAAAAAAATAACGACACTGGTTAAATGCTTACCGCACGGGATCGTAGCGCTCCGCCGAGCAGTATTCTGCTGTTGTGAAATTGCTCCCGCCCAATGCATACAACCAACCATCTAACTCAGACACTGCTAACGCATGTCTAGCCTCGTGCATAGAACTCCGAAATTGCCATTGATTTGAATCGAGGTCATACACTTCCATGCAGCTCAAGGCTGACTGTCCATCGCATCCTGTAAGCGGTGAAATGTAATTGGTTTATCATTGATTTATCAACCAATAGAACACAAGAGAGGGTTTAACATCCTACATATGCTTTTTTAATGTTGTAATATGCAGTTGTGCAAAGTTTGTTTTGTTGATGGTCTGGTGGGAAACGGTAATTAATAGTTTGTTAAATTAATGTCAGGCAGCTAGAAAAAATAGATCGAACTGCCCAATATACAGTAAACAACTGTGGGGACAGGCAACGCGGAGCAGGTAGGCTAGGGGGGGGTGGCTTTAGAAGAGATAGCGGAACCCCCACTTTTTACGAAAGATGCAAAATATTAGTTCGTGAACCACCAGTAAAGCCTCCTTTTATTCGGTTTTAGGCCCCGTCCTTTTTAGGACCCCTCACTTTTCTCAACGCTCCGCGGTGCCTGAGGGAGTATCAATAATGTGCGTACACCATAAGGAGCTGATTTTAACCCCCTCTTTCTCTCTTGCTATCCCCATAATCATTTGTTGTTGACTACCCTAGCCAACGAGACCCTTTAGATAAAGTTCATAATGATTAATCCATTCTTAACGTGCGTAAATCATTGCAAGATGCAGTTCATATTTAATTATGAGCATATCATCAATTCTAAAGCGCATGTTTTTCCCGTGAGCATCCCCTTCTCCCCCCTTACTATGGTCGTGCGCCTTAGTTGAACCACCTCCTACCCATATTTAACCCTGCTCACCTCCAACGGCGTATATCTTTCCGTCATACGTGGATACTCCGACGCCGTCTCTTTGCTTGTTCATGCCTTTCAGCTTCTCCCAGTTATCTTTTGCCATTGAATAGACCTCTAATGAGCTGAAAACCTGAAGAGATATCAGAAGTTGCTCATCATCTTGATATGACTGACAAAAGGGGGTTCAAAAGATCTAGCGAAGGTTTGCAATAAAAGAAATGATTTTGTGTGATGAATCGGATCTCCATGGTCAGAGACGTAGAAACCATCTCACTCGTTTAATTTAATATTCTTTATATACAAATATGCACATCAGCAATAAAGTAACTAAATAAAAATTTACACATAGAAATGTAACAATGATTCCTTTTTTTTGAAAATCAATTTTCTGATCCTCCAGAGGATGTGTTTATGCATTTTTAGTTGTTTTGAAACGATCATGGATAATTTTTCTATGCTTTGAGTGCTGTTCAGTGAGAGCTTTTCTTGGCAAATTCTATACCCGAGAACCTGGATACCTTTGCATTGCCTGGTTATATAGGTCAAGTGCGAAGACCATGGTTCGTATTTGTCCTATAGGCTTTCGGGACAAAGCTTTTTCATAGGCTTTCGTAGGCTTCCCATATACCTTCAGGGCAGAAATCTGAATTTTAAAAGGGAAAGCAACTTCAGGGTATTGTCAACACGCCTGTTATTATCAATGTTCCCTTTTCTAAATTCAGGGTCCACCTACTAGTATTATTTGATAAGTGATCAGATATTTTATTTTTGAATATCATACAATTATTGAATATTTATTGACTTGAAGAAGGCTTTCGACACGGTCGATCATAAAATCCTACTGGAAAAAATGAATATGTACGGAGTGACCGGCCTGGAACATTACTGGTTCACATCATATTTGAAAAATCGTAAAAAATTCTGCAGGGTGGATGGCACCTCCTCTGATGTGAGGGGAATAAATTGTGGAGTTCCCCAAGGCTCTTGTCCTGGTCCACTCTTGTTCCTGATTTACATCAATGATTTGCCTTTTTCCTTGCAAAAATCTCATGTCAGCATGTATGCTGATGACACGGCCATTTCCCTCTCTTCAAAAAGTATTGGTGACCTTCAAAATGACCTAAACTTAGATCTTTTGAAACTACACCTTGAATCCTTGAACGTAGTGAAAACGCAGTCACTTGTTATAGGCTCTGGTCCAAACATCCGTAAGATCGAAAGCCAGCCTGATGCTCCACCATCTTTTTCTTTTTCAATAGGTGATCAGAACATTGAAATGATTACCAACACAAGATATATAGGTGTTCAGATAGACAGTAAGCTCAACTGGGACAAGCATATCGATACTATCAAGACCAAGGCTAATCGAGCCCCTGGACTTATTAAGTATTCTAAGAAATATCTTCCATCTGACATCCTCAACAAAATGTATAGAGGAATTGTTGAGCCCCATTTGAGCTACTGTTGTTCCGTTTGGGGCTGCTGTAATGAATCAAAGCTTGACGTGTTGCAAAAAATCCAAAATAGAGCTGCCAGAATTGTAACTAGCAGCCCATACGATGCGTCTGCTGCTCCGATAATTCAGAACTTGGCTGGTTAACCATCAGAAATCTTGTAAGAAAGGAGACAGCCACGCTAACTTACAAATCTCTAAATATGCTTGCACCAGACTACTTGAGAAAATTATTCGAAAAATGTTCGGATGATAGAGAACGGTTTCTGCGTTCATCAGAAACTGATCTTAAGATACCGCTGCTAAAAACAATAAATGGCCAAAAGGCTTTTTCTTATCGCGGTCCAAAACTGTGGAATAATCTAGAAAGGGCTACCGAATTGCCCCCCTCCCTGAAAACCTTCAAAGAACAACTATAGTCGGGGACATCTTTTATTTCATCTTTACGTTCACTTTTTATAGCCTTAGTATTATTAAATATTGTAAATTAGGTTTGATTGGTAAATTTCTTTTGTTACTAGTATTTTAACATAGTTATTAGCTCTTATTTTAATCTTTTAAACAGGTCAGGTTGAAAAACATATGTATGAACCTTTAACCTGTATAAATATTATAAAATGAAAAAAAAAATACTTTCATAAATTAACGCACTTTCCACCTTTGCTCCCATCCCACTTCCCAAGCCTTTAGTTGCAACTGCTATTGAAATATAAAACATGCACTCATTGCTATGCAGTGAAGATCGACACTATGCAAATGTCTGCGGAAAATTCAATTTATGCTAATTATTCACCTTCTGGTGGACTTCGCCTCCAACCAAGTAGATCTTTGCCTCTTTGTGAAGTGACCTCGACTGGAACTCATGCGGCGCATTGTCAACTGACCAATCAGGAATCAGATGGTGTGTTTTCGCTGCATTCACAAGCTTCATACAAGAGCTACTGTTTTCAATTAATGGCTCATGTTCAACACAGTCGACTGCAAAAAATTAGATACGATTTGGAGTTATCGAAAAGTGAGGGGAAAGGAAAGTAATTTTGATCTGATAAGTAATAAATTGAGTAACAAAAAGGATTACAGGCATATTTCAACATGAAGATTCCACAGCCATTTTATTTCTACCCTGCCTTATTAAAGTTACTTTTGCTAATTTCTGTCCCTTTCACTGAACAATTATATCTTATTCGGTTCTCGTTTTCCCCTTAAAGGCCCCTTTGATTTACAGGTGACGGTTTTTGGATTTTTATACAGATTCGCGACCTCAATCTGCTGTATACAGAGGTTTTAGCGCCTTCTACCATAATTCGTCGGCCGAGTGGCATAACATTTTCCAGCTTTTGCCAATAACCTTTTTGCATTTATCGTCATTAAGCTTCGATGCAGAGTCCAGAAATGTTGGCAGGTTTAAGCCCTGAAAAGGTCGTTCAAAGAGAAAGAATTGCAGTTACTGTCCCTTGTTTTCAGAATGTTTTGGAAGGTTTTCAATATTCTGGACTCTGCTTTGACCGCTAAGCTTTGACAAACAAACAATACATGTATTTCACCCAGCATCAAAATATTTTTAAAACGATACCTATTTCTTTGGGTGGAAGCAGATGCAAACGCACATGTTTGAATAGACTTGACAGACGCTTTTCCCTCTTCGCAGTGTCATGCTTCACCCATACCATCAACGCCTCGAATACGTCTTTCTCCGTAGTGATACCGAGGCTTTCAGATGATAAGAGCTCTTCGACCTGTTCGTAAGTTGCTTCCAGAAAAGCCTCGGTCCTTGTCACGTGTCGAAAATTTTGCTGAGCATACTTCAATGAATATGACCTCAATGTCTGACAGTTATGAAGGTCTGCAAAGACTGAGATTTCCATACAGTTTGATGGCGTTAATTTACTTGAAAGAAAAGCACTTGTGCTGTCTTTAATTACCGTAAAATCCAGCATATCCGCAGCTGTGAGAAGTTCAAAAACAGTTTCAGCTGAAATTTCAATCGAGCTAGTGTAACAAAACGTCACGAGAGTTTGAAGAGATAAAAACGTTATATCCTTGAGCTCTATGACATCTTGGGCACTTTCTTTCAGATTTGTCGTAAACATGGTAGTAAAATAAGGACTGCAAGCAGCAAGTACTGCCTTGTGTGTTTTGATTTTCTGCCCCTCAGCTATCAAGGTAACGTCACATAGTGTTTGTGACTGGTAAAATTCATTCAGTTTGTTCAAAAGGCTGTTTTCATGGTGTGAGCTCTCGAAGCAAAACATATCTTTATTTTTCCTGGCTTCCTGTTTTTCAGGCCCATCTTTCAAATAATGCTGCCTTTTTTCTCTCATTTTGAAAACTTTTGTTGCTGTAGATGTCGGATGTTAGATATCTGAAACAAAGTCGATAAATATTGAAATTGTATCAAGAGTTAACGAAAAGTAAGTTCACTTGCAAGAACAGCAGTTTTTCTGCTTTTTCAGACATTAACTAACGGGCTAGCCCCTTCTCCATGTGATTAAAATTTTGCTCAACACAAATCAAGCTATTGATACCGGGATCACACCAAATTTATTCCTTCTCGGTAAACCGGGCCGGCCCGCTCCAAGTTATCAGCCCCTTAATGGTCTTTGTGTGCAGGGTTTACAACAGTCACAGTGGTGTCACAGGGGCGTAGCTCATGTTAAAATTGAGACCACGCCCTATTGACCTTCTGTGAATTTTATATGTAGGAGTCAGCATAGAGACAGACGCTAACTCTAGCTTCTATCTAGCCTTGAAACTAAAGAGCACGTCATTGAAACGAATTTCAAATCAGCAGATAAGGAGGGGGACTGCCCATCCAAATGCTTTCCATTTGCTACTCTGTAATAACCAAAATATAAACTGTAACGACCCTGCCTACATTAAACAGACGAAACTGCTTTTATAAATGGTATGGCATTTCAGTTTTTGAGAGGATGCCGACTTGATGCTTTGTGAATAATTAATAAAGAGCATCAGCATTATTATTAGGCGGCGGTGTAATGCGCTGTTTCCCGCAAAGTAAAGGGATATAGAAGTACTTCAATTTGAAACCACAGGAGCATCCAATGTAATCTGGTTCTCAGTTGCGGATAGTCGGCGAGACCTCGCTCTCTCGTGATTTCGAGTATTGCGTCTACTCAAACAAACGCAAAATATAGTAAACCGTTCTCGGTGGCCTTAAAAGTAGCTTTTTTACTGCTATTTAATAAAACCAATGCAGCCATGATGAAACCATGTAGCCATTTCCTTCTATGGTAAATGAATTGCACGTAAGCTGAAGCTAAGGAGGGTCTTTGATGTTCGATAAAAAGATTGCATTAATTCAGATGAGTACAACAATAATAGAAATGGTTAGCATAACATTGTCAGTGTACTCTAACCACTTCACGATTTCGCTTTACTTTGTCTCCAATTAAGTGGTTTGTTATCATATTTTAGCTTTATATTAGGTTTTCAAGAATAGATATCAAGTTGACATGGAAAGATAAAGTTAATTACCTGAACACTAAGATATCTTCATTGAGTACCGCTGGGCAAATTCCTGAATAGGGGCAAAAAGGTAAACTTGATTAACAGGTCGAAACTTTTCTTTGGGGTTGAATGAGGGATAATTCTTTGCCTTTACGAAAGGGGGGCAAATTCTTTTGTTTTTGACAAGAAGTGTTAAAGGTTGAAGAGGGCAATATCCCACTTGCATAATGATAGAAAAACCCTTAACTTTGTTTTAGGTATAAATAAGACCATCTTTTGGCGGTACGGAACTTTAAAATGGCTTTGAAAAAGCAAACATTGAGTATACTGAAGCTTTCAGTCTGACACAGATCGAAAACTCTACGCTAGGAGATTTAAAAATAAGACCGGCCCTAACTTAAAGCATACGAATGTCGAAAGATGAATCCGGTTTATTTATGTTCGTGCCTCCAATATTTACCCTCACATTACTTTTAACATTTTCATTGTTTTCTGGGATTCCTCCTCGATGAAACCGTTTTAAAACTTTGAAACGTTGTAAGAAGAAAACGTGTTTTTATCTTTATAATCAATCTTCTATCTTTATAATTAATAATTTATCTAAAAGTTGCATTATAGGAAGCGAAAAGGCCCATTCGTATTTTCGGTAGTACAGATATTTGTCTGTACGGAAAGGGGTTTTGAGCAATCTTAACCGTCCCTGATGAGCATTCAACTGTAACTTTGCCAAAAGGCGGACACTCTACTTTTCTTTTAGCTCATGGATTTTTTTAACCTAGTGTCAGGACATGCCAAATGAGCCTCAAAATTTTGTTGCATATAACGTCACTGATAGAATTTCTAAACTGGATATGAATCATTGTACATGTGATTCGGAAGTAGAAACTGGTCCCACGGCTCTAACCTCGTTCCTTGTGGCCCATGTCTTTTTTTAAAAGCTTCTCTTAAAACCGCGATAATTTACACTCTTTCATCGTGACGGTATTCTAAGGTGGGTTTTATGAAATGTGAAGGAAATATAATGTCTAAGGAAGCCATGAAAGATTAAACGGGATAAAAGAAAAGACCCGGAAAATACGTCCATTGTTCCGGATATAATCTTAAGCAGTATGAAAGGGCAAAGAAATGTTGAAATCGCTCATGTTGCCTGGTTCAACTTCCCATGGTTCAGGTTATACGTGGTTTATGTTTTGAAAACAATGCACAAAGACCATCCATCAATTCGAGTATCCATGGCCAACAGAAAGTTACCTACCTACCATTTTGTGTTAATGGACTGTTGCGGATGAAAAGAAAGAGAACGTCAGCAATGTGATCGAGTGAGGATAATGGACGTCGGAGCACAGTCTGGAGTGCGTGTGTGTGGGGGGGAGGGGGGGAGAGGTGTTGCCTCTAGACCAATTGGCAAACTTTTATGGTAGATTTACACCATCATTTTTGATGCCACAACCTGAATATCATACTCCGGCAAAATAGAGGAGGCTATGCCCAACCTGGGTTAGCCACGTAACTATTACCCCCACCCCACTCCCCAAATAGCCCCCACCGTTATCGAGAAGAGATAAGGTTTACTAGGAGACCACTTAACAGGAGCGTTTGTCCCCACAAACCCCCCATCTTCCCCGAAAACTAGCTTCCTAAATGAAACTGCATCGATTTATCGATTTATCCAGTGTCAATGCGATACTTTTACCAGGAAGAAGATAGTCACCCCCCCCCCCTTCCCGCTTTTTATATGCATGTACTGTTGACCGAGGTTTGAAAATTTAATCACGTAGTGTTTCTTGGGAGTTCTTCAATTTTTTTAGCATTCTAACACACCGGCTATTCTCGATATAGTATGACAAGAGAGCCGAAACCACGAATCAAGCCGTTGGGTTTTGCAAATATTCAGCAGCTGTTCATTTAGGTCGAATGATAGCCAGAGCATATTTTCATTTCGGTATCTTGTAATAATGTAAATTTTACTTAAGTTAAAGTAGTTAAAAATGCACGGATATGGTAAAGGGAATGGTCAATTATAGTTGTCGGGCAACTTATAGTCCCCAGCCCCTTTTGTGAGCAACTTTGCGCATATCTTTGATGCCCGCAAGTATAAAGTTTTACAATTTCAAAGAGGCCCACAATTACAAAGTTCTTGTTTCCATTAAAAGACCTTTCCATCAACATCATGAGATGTATTTGCAGTTTTAGTTGAAGTAAAATCGTATTTCGAACAATATCAAAGAGTTTCATGATATTTCATTGTTGTCAATATCTTGAATTTATACAAAAGCTTGTGTACTTCAAACTTCTACCAAGGTGATCAAGAAATCCATGCTTCAGGTAAACAAAGATTATTTAACATAAGTTCCGTTAGATCATGAATGAAAACAATACCGAGTTCGCTTTCTCACTTCCATTCATACAAATATAAGTAGTTTTTTCTTACTCCTGGAAATAAATAGTACTAAACAAGGAAATTGAAAAACTTACCATCGAAAACCAATTGTCCTTTTATGATGTGATGCACATACGGCCTTACAAAGTTTTCGTCCAGCGTGCTATGTTTTGTGTTGGAGCTACCTGTTATTTCCTTTTATAAATGAGGTCTTCGCCACCTGTCCGCTGTTAAATGTCTTTATGCCTTCAATGAATCCCATCTGATTACCCCCGTCGATTGTTAACTTTCTCCCACGAATTATAGATTATTGCCAATTACATCCGGGCGTTATTACGATTGCCGATGTATAACGGACAGAAAACCACAAGTTAAAATACTCTATTAGCTCCCCTCCTGGAAAAATACATGAAATTTCAGGAACTGCAAGGTATTGAGTAAAACCAGGGGTGATTCTGTAAGGATAATGTGGTCTGTGGCTTGATATTCTGTTGAAACCTATTGTTTATGGTTCAATGAAATTTTATGAGTCTATGGGAAATGTCTCATGTTGAAATTGCTTTCTTTGACGATAATATTCGTAGCCTATTAACATTAACTTGTAATTTATCGATTTCATTATCTCTTTTTATCGTTTTATTGCATGAGATAATGTATTTTTAATCACTTGGTGCCATATCCGATCATAGATTTCCGTCAAGTCGGCATGTCGGCGGTCGTCAAGTCACGCAAAATATGGACACCATTCACCTATGGGGGCCCCCTCGTGATGTGGACTGCTCGTAAAAGCGTGTCCTGTATACACTCTTTTTCATAAGAATACTATAATTTTTGTCAAGCCACAAAATTTTCTTAAGAAATGTTCGTTTTGAGCCTGAATAAATTATTAAAGTATTCTTAATTGGTGTTAACATAGCTGGTGTTAATTAGCTGTTTATTGGCTATTATTTTGTAAACCAACATTAAATGAAGTGAATGAAAAATATCTTATACGCTTTCAGGAGGGACAACGCCACCTGCCCTCGAATAGAAACCACGCTTTTTTAAATGGCGAGATGTGTCTGTTCTGCAATGTGGCTGTGAAGAACATGACAAAACAGGCAACTGCTGAAATGAGACACAAATACAGTAGAAACCCGCATTGAAGAACCTAGGTTTTTTTGGCAGCCTGAATAGGTTATTAATTAACAGGCTGAAATTCTAAATTCCAGTCTAAAAGGTTTTTTACAAGGTCCTTATATATGTACATGCCTTGCACCAGTGCCTAATTTAGTGTGGTCTTGTACACTAATAGTGGTTTTGAAAATCCAAATTGTCGTCTTGAAATCAGGAATTAGTGGGAGGATAGTCTCTCTAAGCCTTATGTTTATTAAAAAATCTAAAAAGTAAATGAGTTGTTTTTTCACATCATATTCTAATCATTTTATGTCTCAGAAATGCATTTTTAGCCAATCTAGGGCATTCAGTTTTAAAAATTTTCTGGGCCCCCCTAGAGGGGCCTAAACATTTTTAGGCATAATTAGTAGTATTGTAAAAGTCCCTTGTATTAGGCACTGCCTTGCATACATTAACAATGTTTTCCACCGCAAGAATTCTAATGGACACACTTAAACCAGCCTTTTTATGTTAAATTTCAACCAATCAAATGAATTTGTGTTGTTAGATTGTCCAATTAGAATGCAACATACCATAATCTGATATACTCTAAAAACCCCTTTTTCTTACATATATATTTAAGAACCTTTCCAAATTCCAACCTCTTTAGGGCTCTTGATTATGGGGTTTTAAAGGTTGCCTCAATGTTCTTATAAAAACAGGTTCTTCTATGCGGGTTGTCTTATAAACAAAACTCTTATAAGAAAGAGTGTATATTTGATCCCAAAAGCATTGTTGAAACTGCACATGCGCCGATATTCGCCAATGAGTTACCAAGCTTAGAATCTGCGCCAGGAGCTGTTGCGCAGATCAAATTCCTGGAAGTGAGAATGCAGCGTTTATAAGGGAGCAGATTTAGGCCTTTTTATCGCCAAACAGGTATGTATTAGATGTCTTATTCATTGTTTTTCTTTTTAAATGCTAAATTAAGAGGAAATATATCGCACGTTGCAAGATATTTATCGCGTTTGGTTTTGCTTCACCGCTATTCACACGTTTTTATACTTGGATTGATTTAGTACTAAGTTCAAAAAGGGCGATATTTCCGAAAGAAAAATCCGCAAAATAAAAACTTCAAACTCTTCTTTCAAAACTGGAGATATTTACAGTTTCTTAATTTTTCTTGAGCCTAGTACCAACGTATTTTTTTCATGTTTGGCCATCCTAGAACTAATTTCTTATATATCAGTTTCTTATAAATGAAAAAAAATGTGGAGCAGCGCAAACAAATTATATTTTTGCTCTCCTACTAAATTATTTAACTAAAACCCATATAGGATGACACCGAGAGTGTCATCGTTTGAAAGTAACCCTCTGTAGTTTCTGCTTAGCTGAGAGATGGATAAGTCTTGTTTTTCTTATGTTTGCTGATTAGATGTCTCATCTCAACCCGAAAAGCTTTTTTATGATACTGAAAGCATTTTGAAATAGTTTTAGCAAGGGTGTAAGGTGAAATAACATTTAGGTATTGGATGTTTTTTTATCTAATTTTAGTTGCTAAATATTTTTCATAAATAGATAAGTTACAGTCGTTTTTCATCTTATATAGAAGTGGAGAGGAGGAAATTTGAGTTTTTGGGTCTTAAATAATACACAATTTTATTGTAGATTATATTCAAAGAATTTTACTTTTTCGCCTCGTTCGCGTTTCAGCCTCTGTTGTAACTGCAGTTGGGAAAGCTGCACCTGCGAAGAAAGTGAAAGACGACATTTGCTACACATTTTAAAAGAAATTTTGAGGATTAATATAATGGCGATTCCTAGCTCCGTACTCGCCATTGGCTGGATACCATTTGTCGTTGTACTAACGGTATGTTCTTACTTCAAGCATTCTTTAATGATTCGTTGAATCGGTCCTCAAATGTCGGCTGTTTTTATTTTTGTTATCAAATTTTAGGCTTTCAGCGCGAATGAATGATAGAGAAAGTCTCGCTTTGCAATTCTCACTTTCTGTACAAATCAACTAAAAGAAGATTTGTTTTCATATGCTGAAATTGATCTCCCTTTTATTAAAGTTTCAATATTGCACATGAAACTTTTTTCTGAATAACGAGGACAACATTATTTTGAATTTTCTTCACAGCCCGAATCTATTATTTATTTTGAATCAGCCAAGCCAGTATAAGAACTTTATTTCAATAGAGTCTAACAGTTGAATTTGCTATTTTCCTTGAAAAGTATTTTTTGCACAAATGCAATGTTGTTAGGCCCACAAAAGGGTAAAAAAGAGGTCATTCAGTTAAGATTAATTCTGCTTGATGCATTCTATTTAGTATTTTTCCCTCCTTTTTACCACAAATTTTGATTTTTGCATTGCACCCAAAACCTCTTTCAAGAAACATCACAATTTTTCTCAGAAAAGTATTAAAAGGTAAACATAAATTGTTCTGCTTATTCCTTACAAAAGTTATATCTATTAGAATAAAAAAATATAAAAAATTATTGAAGAATTGGGCTTTTGTGTATAGAACAGGGTAGTTTTTTGTATCAAATCCTAATTTCAGGCTAATTATGATGCTCAAATAACAGCTACTGTCTAAATAGTGTCTTACCGCTACCTTTTTTATAAGCACCTGTAAATTTAATGTTCATGATAACTTTTCTTAATTTTTTCGAAAATCTGAGGCTGGATTGTTTTTTATTTGTTTTAAATTTTTTATGGTGTAAGCACGTTTGAATGTTTACTGAAAAAGCACCCACAAATGGCTCAAATCCTTGTTTTTAAAATCAAACATGTTCAAAATTGCTTTTTATAGTTTGTTCTTAATTTGTTCTTTACTTTTGACCAATTTTGACTCTCATGTTCTTATAAGATTTTTCTTATAAAAAAGAAGAGTGTTAACAGAAACTATTTTTTAGGCCGTACAGAATGGTTGCAATTTTTATTCTTTGGAACACTGCATTCCATATATAGTATTGTGCAAAAATTGTACCCAGGATTATCAAACATATTTTGAAAGAAGATTACAACTGTTTACTAGATTCTTTATAACTATGAAGGAATGTAAGCGATTAATTGTTCAAACTGAGGGCTATTCAAACTGAGGGATGTGCCATTCTTCCTCTTGTTTTGTTTGCTATCAATTTAGATATAAAATTTGTTTACAATTTGTTCAGTGTTGCATTCTCTTAGGATGAAAATTTTAGCTGTATCTATCAGGCCTGGCCATTTTAGGAGAGCCATATAGCCCTTGCTTTCCTTAAGATTCCCCTCAATTACTTGATGGAAGCTACAGATTGGTCTCGTGAACAAAACCACCCTCCTTCAGAACAATTATTCCTTTATTTTTATTTTAATATATCTATGAATAGCTCACAACTGGAAATTTTTAGAAGAGCTGTTTACTAATCCCTTTATGGCCAGGACTGGGTTTACATGTTTTATTTTTTTCTTAATATTTCTTAATTGTGTTTTGTTTCAACTGAATGAGAAATATTTTTTATGTTCTTGAGACTTCTGTTTGTTGAACCTATAATTTCTTTTTGATTTCACAAGTTTATCATTTAAAAGTTTTATATTTCTATTGCAGCTGTCCCTCATCTTTGCCTTTTGTTACATACGCTTTTACCAACATCATGAATTATCAGAAGTCTCCTGCACATTAATTTCTGTTGTTGCCTTGTTTATCACGTTTTTGACAACCATCCTTGTACCTGTTGATGTTTTTCTTGCATCTTTCATGAAGAGTTCAGATGGTTTCTTCAAGGTACCCTTGCTTATTTACGTAATTTATACTCTTTTTTCAAAGTATCAAAAATATAGATATTTTTGAAAAGGTACATTTTTTATAATTTTTAATGTGTACATTTCCAAGGTACCTATTTACATAACTGATGCTTTTTTTATACATATTAAATATTTAAAGTAAACATACTTCACAGATGAAGTATTATTTTTACTCATTTTAACTCATTTGTGTGATTTACAGCTAAAACAAACAACTGATTATTTGAAGCCATTTTGTGATTTGCAGAATTCCTTAAAATGGTTGCTGTTATAGCAACATAATTTCCAGATGCAATGTTTTCTTATTAACAATTTTGCAATTGCAAAGTGACAAATGCTGATTGCAAATTAGGCTGTTGTCATTTAGCGATGCTGTCTCACAGACCTTTTGATATGTCACAATCTGAACATTTAAGTCTACTGACAGTACCTCTATTATCACCCTTTGTTCAAATCATTTCTATGAAAGATAAATTTACAGTGAATTCTCAATGATAGAAATTCACTGACATAGCTAAAGAAATGATCCAAGAATATCTTATTTTTAGGTAACTTTGAATTTTCAAAACTCTAATTTTTAATTTAGAACAAAACTAGTAACATTTTCTGTCCTCAGTGCGGGCTAAAAGTAAGTGAGTACTTGGTGGAGCCCCCAAGATGAAAAAAGCCCCTCTGACCTGGGTGATAATATACATAGGTCTTCTGGCAGGCACTCCAGAATTTATTGTTCTTATAGACCTACCAAGTCACACACATTTTGCATGGGACACATGCATTTCGGTCATTTCTCACTCTCACACGCATCAAAGCAGAATTCTCACGCATTTTGCAAAAACTTCTTGGTTTATTTAAATTTTTCAATTTTTTTCAAAATTCTAGCAAAATCCCTTTTTCCTAACAAGGCATGTTAGCATGACAACAGCGACTAGATAGTTAGATAACTATATAATTAGATGACCGAACAGCGAATCCAAACAGGTTAAGTGATGTTAAATTTATTGGCAAGCCTACACAGATAGAGGAGCATAAAATCCGTAAGTTAGAGTTTCAATTCAGCAGATTGCAATTGGAGCGGCCAGAGCGGAGTAATTTTTTCTCGGAGTGATATTTGGGGTAGCAGTTACGCAATGACGCTCTGCTTGCTCGTACGCCTACATTCTTTCCTCTGCATTTCTGGTCCACAGTGTTGTACACTTTTCCAATCCTTTGCGCAGGTGCACCAGATTTAATTATTTCATGATTATGTACTGTTATAAATTCTTTCTCAATAAAAACGGAATAGAATGGCAAAAAAAGCCTCCTCAATCCCCCACCTGCTTCTGCGGTCCTTGCTCAAAAAAGGCACCTCCAAAGAACTAGAGGGCGTGGCAAAAAGAAAGTTTCTGGGGCTACACACCCGGACCCTACTTATGAATGTGTGGGAGTCTTCATTTGTTCTGGATTGGTTTTTATCTGCTTTTGACGACCAAACAGTTTCCCTTCCTTTTAAAAAAACTCACTCATTTTCAAAACTGAAACATTACAGCTCTGTTTATATGATAGTATGTCACACGTTAAGGCAAAACACCTACCTACGCTTCCCCTCCAATCTCAGCTACTTATTTTTATTGCTGATCTATTAATATAACCATTCTTTTCCTATTTCAGAGCTGGGCACAGGATCCTTCTGCAAGAGCTTCCATGCAGGAAACTGTCACTTATGCTTATTATAGTAAGTTAAATCAATGCTATAGTTTATTCATCTTTGTAGCAGTGCACCTTTGGCAATGAACTATTCAAAAGCTTAGCAAAGATAATTTGCAATTGAGATTCACAATTTGCATACCTAGGAAGCTGCATTGCTTTCAAATTAGCTTAGCGAATTCCCTCTTGGGAGACTTTTTTCATATTTGAAATCCTTCCTAGTTAAGTCGTTCTTACCTGAAATTTTTCAAACCTTATAGTTTACTTTTCCGGTTTTTTTCTCCAAAATAAAATTTGTGATAGGATAACTGCTTGTTGATGAAATCTATAAAAAAAGCTCAGGAAAGGCCCTTTCCCAAATTATTAAACTTCTAAGATGACAGAACATAAATATGAAACAGTCATAGCTCAATAAACTGTAAAGATTCAAGTTGAAAAATTCTTGAACACACCTGGATATTTCACCTATATGATATTTCTTTTCAAAAATGGAGGATCCAGTGGTTTTTAAGTCTTTATTGCTTTATGCTTCTGTCTTTGTCTGAAGCATATTGCGAGGATAAGCTCAAGTGCATTTATTATTTTTTCAAACCCATCGGCAAATTGTAAAAATATTTCAGAAAAAACTTTTTGAAAAAAACTTAGGCTCCAATACTTGACCTCTCAAAATTGAAAAATATTTTCTTAAAAAAAGGAACTTATTTCCTGCTCACAAAATTTGACTTATTTATTTATAAACATTTGTTGTTGAGGATTTTCAATCTTGAAAGCTTTAGCATTTTTAAAAAATGATTTACTCAACTAAATGTTTTTATTCACAAAGAATTTCTGTGATAGTTTCAACATGAATAAGTTAAGGCACTGTTTTTTTCATTTGAAAGCAAGTTTTATTTCCTGTTTAGATCTCTTGTTTTGGTAGATACAAAGAACATTTTTACAAGCTGCTATTTTCAAAGCTCACTTTTGTTATGATTCCTTGTAATCATTTTGCCTTTGTATTTGTCATGTTGTTCAACAATGCATACTCCTGTGTGTCCTTTCAAGTTGTAAATCTCATTTGCAACAACTTGGCAACCATTGTCTCAACTGTGGTTGTTATAGGGTTATTTCAGGCCAAATCGAATTATAATGCTATAGATGCCAAACCAAGAAAATTTGGAGGCATTTGACACAGGTTAAACAAGCAGTTGACCAATCAAATTGTGTGCAGAGAAAAACATGTGAACAGTTTCCACCTTTTTGCAAATCAGTGAAATTCTAGAGCAGGGGGCAGTGGTTTCACCTGAGCAGTTTCCAATTCCTTTCTTGTGCGCATGCTCTGATCAATTTGGCCTAAGCTATTTTTGGATTAGCTGTACTTATGCATGTCAAATGCCTTTAAAATTATCCCCTTATGTTACATTTTCACTTCAAAGAGACATCTAAACAGTCTGTTGTCAATTATTACAGGCCATCAAGCCTTTATGTTATTAAGTGATAAACTCCCAATTAAATGGTGTCTGTTACAACAGCAATAATTGAAAAGATGGGTTCAGATATAAGAAAGAGTTTGGCCAGGGAAGCAAGGGGAGATTAATTGTTTGGTGGCTGGGGGTCTTTAGCCCCTCAATAACTTTCAAAACAGTACCTAATGCAATATAGAAATAGTCTTGCTTTTGGCATTTTGGATTATTAAACTCAGAAAATTTTTAGCCCCCGAATTGGAAATCCTCCATGGTCCCTGATGCCTGGCTGAAATGTTCTTTCAGACCCATTTTAGAGAAGCTTTAAGCTAGTGTATTTCAGCTTCAAATTTTAGCTGAATAATCAGGAAAATTGGTTGAAGCTTACATAGGACACAATTCTGTATTTGCTATCATATCCTTTATTTCAATTGAATTATTTAGCCGAAATCATTTGATTAGAAGTAAGGGTGCAGGTACTTAAAGTTTTTTTAACTCCTAGATAAAAAAGAATTACATGTTCTTTATTGTTTTTGAATCTCTCTCATTACTTGAGCCATCTATTTTAAGTAAACCTTCATTGCTCCCAAGGATAGCAAATAGGTCTTTCATATCAGCTTTTAATCAAGTCAATCAGGACCCAACATTTGTTGATAATCTCAAATTTTGATAGTCCATGTCCATGTACTTAAACTCTTGAACAATATTTTGCAGGAAGAAGGTATGTACCAGTAAAACTCCTTGTTATGTTATTTTTCAATTATATCCAATATTTTACATTGATATTTTTTATTCTAGCACTGTACGGCTGCATTGCGCTGTTCATATTCATCATTTTGCCCTTCATGTATTTTTTCTATGAAGAAAAAGACGATGACGAAACATCCTCTTCTGTATGTAAATTTACTTTATTTTAAATCCTTTGAGATATTTGGTAATATTTTGCTTGAGAAATTACAAATCTTCAATAAACAGCAACGGATAAGAACCTACAATTTTTGTTTTAAGTCTGAATAAGTTATTTTATAATGGGGTTTGAACAGAAAATCAGGCTTTTTAAGGTTCTTAAAGTGTATTCCTGAAAGTAAACTTTTGGATCAACCCTGTCAGATATTTTCAGTAGGAAAATGTAATTAGATAAAAATCTTTAACTGAAATTAACATTAACGGAGTGGAAATAATTGCAAGTAGCTACAACACTCTTCCTACTTATATCAAACACCAGACTAATTTCAACAAGTTTTTTGCTGTTCACACATTCTTGATGAAGAAAGCGAAGGAGTCACAGAACTAAAATATTTCTAACTTACTGAATTTGACTTAATAATATTTTTTTTGTTTCATGTAATTTCTTTCAAGTTATAAAATAGATTTAATTTTAAAAGCTGAAGAGCCACACGTATTGTGGATATGCTCATTTATGCCATAAAATAATAATGAATAAAATGATAATAATGGAAACTTTTCATTTTCGATTCAATTAAAACTACAATTACAAATTTCACTATACAAAGGTAATTTGCAATTGGCTAGCCTGGGTTTACAAAGAAAAAGATTATTACAAGCACCATTTCCAGGTTTAAATTTCTACGTTTAAACAACAGACGTGTGCAGTAACGTCCGCACGCTACCGCTCGACAACGATAAATGCTAATAATGGAAACATTTCATTTTCAATTCAACTTAAACTACAACTACAAATCTCACTATTACAAGGTAATTTGCAATTGGCTAGCCTGGTTTTACAAGAAAAAACTATAACAATCGTAAGGTAAAAGGAAAAACTGAGAAAAATGAAATAAAACAACTAAAGTTAAAAAGGATGTAATTCCGGATTTGTCCATGGCTTATTTTTGCAACAAAATATGTAGTACGTAGTACGGATGGCAATGTTGGAAAGTTTAGAAATGAGATACCGTTTTTGTTGCTGATCGATGGAGAGAGAGTCACACATTTTGAAGAATGAATTGCAGGAATTGCCGAAGATGCCAAGAGAGCTCATAGAAAGATTAACAAAGGAGACACATTTGAACTGCCGCTGTAAACCAGATAAGAGAGGAGCATACTTGCAAATTACCTTGCCACACAGAAAAACCTGAAAAAATGGAACTTGAGCCAGACCTCTGACTGTTCTTTCTGTTTTAATGATAATAATAATAATAATAGTAATAATGCTAATAATAATAAAAATAATAGTAATAAAAATGATAATAAAAGAGGATTTTTGAGGCTGTGACGTACTGATTAGTTTTAAGAGATTCCTTAGGATTGATAGCAATGAAAACTTAAAATTTTCTGTATTTGTATTTGTATTTAAATAATTAAATGGGTTTTTAGAGAACAAGCCTGCTAATGTGTAAGGCACTCCGTTTGGAAGCTTTATCTAGAAATAATGTTTAAAAACGCGCCTAACATTGCTTTTTAGGCTAATACATTTTTAATATTTCATAATTCTTAGACCACTATAATCATTCTGTTTTGTCGTGTTCACTCACAATGTATCATGATAAGGCAATTTATATTGAAAGAAATGTTTAGAAAAGGCTCATTTCGCCACAACGCAAAGTAAAAGGGATGAAAAAGGGGGGGGGTAGGTGTGCACCAGTTCTTTTACAAGCACCCTGCCATGATGCTGATGTGCCATTTCTCCTTCAGCGAGCCTGCACTTCACTCAAGTACACTGCTGTGTTTTTGCTGTTGGCTTTGGTTGTTCTTGTTACAGGGTAGGTACTCCGGCTAATGAAAGATTTAGAAAAATTTCTCAATTTTCAATTACATTTCTCAATTGAAAAACAGATGCATATTTTGTCATATGTACTTTTTTTCAGTTCTATCAGCTTTAGAACGTTGGTAGATGTATATTTTCCAAAGTTGTTATCCAAATGTTGTTTGGCCTTTGAGGGTGTGCATGAGGGCAATTTAATGAAGATTGAGGTAAAAAATTGACGCACGACCAATGAGGCTTTTGTATGAAGAAAACTATGACGAAGTATTATCAGTCGAAAAAATAAGGAGACTGCCTTGGCTACGGTTGCTAGAAAATTCTTCGAACAGTTTTTTGGCGGTACAGAACTTGAGAATGGCTTTGAAAAAAGCAAGCATTTTACAACATATTGGCTAAAAGTTTTTTCGTCTGGCATTCTTCAGGGCATAAAACGTCAGAATAAGGGTCCGAAAGAACACGATGAAAAATATATCCACAGCCATTTTCAAGAGTATTCTTTCGCTTATTTCATTAAGTCATTGGATCAATGATTCTTGGTTTGCGACACCTGAAGTTTCGTTCCCACCAATGCAGTATTCAAAGTTAGGCAACACCCTTGTGGAGAAAATTTTATCCTGTCGGCCTTGGCCTGCTGAATAAAATTATTTAGTTGATATATGTATTGAAATCTTATAATGCCGAAACAGAAGAAGCAACAGCTTTGTCTACGGAGAAGGTCGCCAAGGGTGCCTTCAAGTCACTGATAATTTCGTATGGTTATTGTATACGACAAAAGTTATAAGGCCGAACAAAAAACAACTGCCTTGGCTACGGGGAAGGTCGCCAGGGGTGACTTCAAGTCACTGATAATTTCGTTTTGGCTCAGTGGAATGGTCGTTGGTTTGCAATGTAATAACCCAGAGTTCGATTCCGACCAAGTGCATTATTTACAACTGGGCAGCACCCTTGTTGAAATAGTTTCCTTCTGTCAGTTGTAACTATATAAATTGACTCTTGGTTCTTCTTGCTAGGGCTTTTGTTCCATTGCGTGCACCCCCTAGCAATGTGACAAGTGCTGGAGATAAGCTAAGCTATCTCAAGGAAGAGCTCAAAGTTTACACACGTAAGCAGTTGCATATTCTTTCAACGTTCATTTATATCTCAATCTTTATTCATAGCCATTTCTTCTTTGTTTATTCCTTTATTGATTTATAATTTTATAGGTCCTTTAACTTTATAATTTTAAAGGTTATATCGTCGGTTTTTCATTTGATATTTATATAATGTTAATATCATGAAAAGGAAGAAGACTATTTTTGCATAATTCATTTGGCTTTTGCTCCACCTATGCCCGAAAATGAAGATTATGCTATACTCAGCAAAAGAATATTCAACTATGTTTATATCTGATAAAAATATCTCACCGCACAGCAGGACCATATATTTAGTCCCCGATTCTGAAAAATACTGTTTACAGAGGTTCAGAGACTCACTCATCCATTTAGAACCGTACTGTTTGTTATTCCAAGTCTGTTAAGGTTACGGTAAACGTTTTCTGGATGAAAACATCATTTTTCGATTTTTTCACATTCAACCAGCCGAACTTTCAAGGCACACAATGATACCAAGTTTGAAACAAACAGAAAATTTTGAAAGTGGAAAAAATCCCATGTAAACGAAGGTTTCCATAATTTCTTTATCAAAACTTTTAGTTGAGGCCTGAAAATTTATTGACCTGTTAAGCCGATTATCGTTGCTTTGCGGTTGTGGTCGCATGTCTCATTTACAATATCGCATGGCACATCCATATATCCAATGTACGGCCGTGTTTATATAAACAGGCTTATTGATCTTAAATCTTCAAGTGACTTGACCCGGATTACATTGTGGTTTACGAGTGTATCTTGCAAGTGCGATCAGTAAAATCCCGTTTTCTCCGGACTCGAAATTCCTCTACATGCAGGTACGAAAAAGTTATTATGTACCCAAGGAACCAATCGAATGGCTCGAAAATTTGCACACGGCAAGGGCAGACGTTGGGCAAACAAAGTGTGTCTCAAAAATTTTTTATTTTCTCTGGTCCGTCTTTTATACCCAAATACAACTGCGGGAGGGTGGAAAAATGATTTGCCAATTTTTGACAGGGTATAGTTTCAAGAAGAGGAGGAATTTAAAAAATCTGAGACACAATTTGGTAGCTTAGGACCTGTACTTCCTGCTGGTCTAAGTCAGATTTTGTTACCTCAAACGCAAGGGTACATAATAGCTTTTGAAGGTGGTACACTTTTTGACCAGTAAATTCGCATGTAAAATAACATTTAACATTATTTGCCAATAATTTTTGTCTGGCTAGATACGCCATAATCTTGTGCATCGAATGATTTATAGTTTATCCAGATTCCTTGAGCCGTTTGGCCTTTAGGAAGGAAAAACCAATTTTCGTGTTCAAAACGTTTACCGTAACCTTAAACATTACTTTGTTAATGGCTTTGAAAAAAGCAAACATTTAGTAAACCAAAGCTTTTCGTCTGACACTCTTCAAAGTTTAAACGTCAGAACATAGACCGAAAACTCTATGCTAGAAAATATATATACCCAGTTGTGGATCGAAATGGGCCAATCAGAAACACGAGCACATGACTCTTGAGATTGACCAATCAGTGCCGCTTGCCTATTACTTTCTTAGAAACTCCTGTTATTTTAAACACTGTTAATAACCCATCAAAAGGGATCCTGTGTATTTTTGCTAGCGATATATCAGAGATATACAATGACCGTCATGGTTTTTCACCTTTGAAGCATTATGCTTTCAAAACCTCAATGGCCTAGTACGCTAATTGCACAAGATTCATTTTGGATTTTACCTTTAGTGAAAAGTTTTTGACTTATCTTTAGTGACGCAATCGGGATCAGACTAAACGGTGAAAAGCAGTGACGGAATCTAAAAAATACCAAAGCAAAATGAATAAATATAGAGAATGAACAGCTCTGCCTATGTGGTATCAAGTAGTTTTTTCACAGACATTTAAAACAGTAATTTTCATAAGATAGAGAATGGCATCTGATACACCATTCACAAATCCTGAGCAGAGTACTACAAGGTGAAGTGATTTGAGCTAGCTTCACATTTTTTCTGTCAGATGCTGAGCAATGCATCTCTGTTATGGTTGGAGTCCTTTCTTTGTTTGGAATCACGCTGCTTGCATTCTACACGGTATGTAGCTGATTTTAAGCCAATTTACGCGACAATTGGGACTCTTGTGAGTGGGAATGTTGGTAGGGGCAATTTTTTGAGTGGCCATGTGTTAGGGAGAGGCAAAGAAGAGTGGGGAATGTCGGGAGTGGCAGATGCAGGTAAAAATTCATGGGAGGGCATTTTTGACCAGAAAACTTTGGCCAAGTGTCAATGTCCATTGTCACCTGGCTCCAAATTTGATATTGGCCACTGCCATAAGATGCTCAATTTTTATGCATGTTTCATTCTAGCTGGGGTCTTTGCCTTTCTTCTTCGGATAAGATAAATTTTTTTAAAACTTGGCGAATGTCCAGATTTTTTTCATAATTGAGAGTTTTCCTATTTTAGGGGTATGGCTTGAGTGCATTGCCATTAAAGATGTTGTCTTGTTGCAAAGGAAACACGGCAGAAGAGGAGGCAAGTCAGAAATATTATAATGATCTTCCTTTGTTTTTATTCTAAACCACAGCCTTGCATTTTTGTTGTTCTTATCGATCGTTGTTTGTGTTCTTTGAAATTTTTTTATATTTGCGTACAACATTTTTTCTTTTCATTTCTCCATTTTTTGTATTTTATAAAACATTGCATACCCTTTCTTTTGTTGACACAAGTTTCCCCATTTTTTTTCTGCAATGCCTCCTTCCTTTCTTAGTGTTTTTGCCCCCTCCTTTGCTTTTATTTTCCTGTTCTTGAATCTTTAAATCAAGCAATTTCGACTTCTTTATACATTTTTCACCTAACTTGTTCATCTCTTGTGTTAAAGTTCTTTTTCATTTGGACGATGGTTTAAAATATCTTTTTGTCACCTATCATTTTTTACCCATTTTTTATGTTATTTCACAAAGTTGTTTCTGTGGATTGAAATTTCAAATGAAAATATAACATGTTTTCACAATCTTACTTGAATATAAATGTACTTGCTGATTTTGAATATTTTTCTTCCTTTATTAAGGATGGACCTGTCACAAATGGCCTATCGCGAAGGGAGCGTGACGAAACACGTGCAAGAATGTTGCGAGCCAAAGCGAACAGCGGCAGAAACCTGACCAGGTGGGAGCGAAATCAGCTGCGTAGAATCGAGGAAGATGAACGGTTGCGAAGGAGAAATGAAAGACGCAGACGAAATGCAAAGAACAGCATTTGCGGGAAAATATCATTAATTTTGGCGCCATTTAGAGCCCTGTTCGGCGTACTAATGTTGTTGTTGTCATTGCTGATTATGACCGCCATTGTTATCACAAGGTAAGATTTCGTGTTCATGAGACAACGTGCCATGGGTTTGTCATTTTCTTATGCTGCCTTTGGTTTCGTCCCTTTAGTGTCCTAAAGTAATGCACATGTAATTTCTTGATAACTTTGTTATTTTCAAAGTCTTAATTGAATAGAAACAAGAAAAAATGTGAATTTCACAAGAATTAGTCTTTACATTTGTTGGTATAAAGCGATTTAGCCAAAAAGATTGTCTGGTTTTAACCCAGTGGTTGTAAATAATTGGCAGACTTAGACAATGTCCTGACATGTTTTTTTATTCTTGATCCATGCCCAAGAATATTAAAACTCACTGTCTATGTTATGCTTGTAAAACGTCTGCTAGTTTTTTATGCAAACGTTTTCTATGTTTTCTATGTAAGCCCTTTACATAGGGGTTTTGTCATTCTAACACGAGTTCATTCTGGTTTCGGAGTAGCATCGCTTGCATGTGAGAAGATTTGAGTTCATTTCGGTAGCTAAACAAACTACTGGGTCTTAAGTTGTAAAATTATTATACTTTGGAGGAGCACTTAGAATTTGAAAGCAACTAAAATAAAGTTGGATATCTCGCCTATACATTTAATGTCGTCATACAAATTCATTATAAACAAAATGAAATATGGTAAAAGTTTTGACTGCCCTTAGAGCCTCTGCCAGATCAGTGCTTGTGGCTTTATTTAAAAACTTGATTTCCAAAGTAAGATGCTATATTCAACAGTATGATTTATGAGGAATATGTTATATTCAACAATATGATATATGAGGAATAGGATATGTTCAACAATATGATATACGAGGAATATTTTATATTCAACAGTATGATATATGAGGAATAGGATATGTTCAACAATATGATATACGAGGAATATTTTATATTCAACAGTATGATATACGAGGAATATGTTATAACGATATTAATATCTGATGAATATATTTTATATTATTTTATGTGAATATTCGTGAAAATACTTCCAGACTCATCTACTTTTGCGTATTTGTTTCAGCATCGACAAAAGCAGGAATTCTCTCGGCTATAAATATGGCTATGCGTTGCCAAAGCCCACCATTTTCAATCCATTGAACGAGCTCATGTTGTTCCTACAACAGGTATGCCTAGCATCACCCTCGTAATATGTGACTATGTATATTACAATTTATCACATATGTAGTATTTTATGTCATATGAAAAGAGTGTTTGTTACTTTGGCACTGAATGCAAAAAATTCCTGGAAATAAGAAATATACTTTTATTAAAAGCTATAGCTAAAAATAGATATTTCAAAAAACTTGAAAAACACATTTTTTATCAAAATTTTAAAAAGAAATTCTTATTTTGAAATGATTGGAAGTAGTGTAGACATAAATTGTGCAACAAAATCTACACAGAGATTCTCAAAATGAAAAACAAGGGTTGAAGGTCCGGAAAAGGTGCTTAAAAATCAACTTTAAAGTGCGGTTAGATTGCATTTATTTTTTAAAAGAGCCTAAAACCTGAATTTATAAAGATCTCATTGAATGCTATTTGCTTTATAGTTAAACTGAACTCCTTATATATAAGTCCTTATTTACGGGCTGCAGCTGTGTTATAAAAGTAAATATTTTGTTCTTTCTGGGAACGTATTCAATTTTCTGAAAAATTGAAAAATTTTTATTTGATTTGCATTTTCAATTTTTTAGCTTTAATGGCACGAGATAGAAACTAATTTCTACCTTTTTGTGTTTGAAAAACTTTTATGACAACTTTGGAGTTTTCTGAGAACCTAGTTTCCAGGTTCCGATACTTTTTGCCATCTTTGGAATGGAACGTCTTTCAACGATTTATTATTCATTTACTATTTGATATATTTAGCTGTTTTTTTGTGTATTTGGCTTTTAAGGCACACAGTTCACTGAAAGAAAATATTTATAATCATTCTAGATTTCAATATTTTTTATATTTTTGATTAATTTAAGTATAACTTCTTATATTTATGTTGTTATTGACATTTTATGAATTTGAGGTTCTTCTGTTGTAGGTTTTTCCTCTGGATTATTTGCTTTATCTGGGTATTGTGCTATTCCTGTTCTTTGCCACAATGACCGGCCTAAAGCGAATTGGCATCTGGTGCTGTTGTGTTCGTGTATCTTTTCAACCTGTTCTAGAATGGGATTCTAGTAGTTGCATATTTACCTGCATTCGGTACAGCAGCACAAAAATCTTCACCTACGTGTGAATCGATAGTGGCCTAAGCATTGGCTAAGCGAAATTTTGAAAGTCATTGGTCTGGTAAGGTCATCTTTTCACCAGTAGCAGTGAAGGGTGGCTTTGAAGGCCTTAGTGCCCTTGTTAAAATTCAGAAAGATTTCGGGGGGCTTGGCCTTGCATAACAAGCAAGCACATGTTTAATTGACAAATTCGGTATTCACAACTCTTTACTACGCTATAGATTTTCCCGAGAATGGAGCTTATCCCTATTAGTATTTTTGTATTGTTGGATAGTTTGAATGACTTTATATACACAACAGAGAATCGTTAACACAAATGCAAGAATATTAGACGTGGTTCTGGGTGGCTCGTCTAGAAGATGCCAACAGCACAGTCATCTTCCTAACATTTTAGGATGGCACCTCTGCTTTTCACGTTGATAATTTGGAATCTATCTACATTAAAACAAAGATGCCAACTTGAGAAGACAGAAATTTGCAATGTCTCTTGGACCATTCAGCTAGCTGAAAGAAAAGCTGCCACCAATTGGTCCAAATAAGAGACCAATCAATCATGTTATTTGCCCTCTAGCGTTACTTTCGATCTGCGTGCTGAAGGTAAAATTTATATCAGATTGTGAGCAAGATGAAAATGAACCCCTTGCACAGTTAGAAGATATAAGAGAGCTCCCAGAGGTTCATGTTGTAGAAAAGCCACTTAAAATGGTTTCCACTGACTACATCAATGAGCAAGTTGAAAACAGAGTTTTCAAAGATAATGCTATGGCATATGTTGCTGGTTATTTGCTGCGCAAAACATACAGCAAGCACAAATTGTGTTCTGTTCTCTCAAATAACAATGATATGTAAAACCAGAATGTATTTATGATGTTTAAGGCTTATGAGTCTAGCAGTACATTTTCTGGACTTGTTGTACCATCTGCTGACATATTTGCTTATAGTGCTGATATAAATTTCTTACAATTTGGTCATTTTCAGACTTCAATACTTTAGTCGCATGTGTAATGTTTCCACAGTTTTTTGAAATTTTGTGAAAAACGCCCTTGTTAAATAGGAAAACTGGCAGGTATGTAGCCTGTCAATACTGGAAATGGTGGTTGGGCATATACATTCAAAGCGAAAGAATTCGTAGAAGGATTTGACTAGAGGGTCATTAGATAAATAACATGTGCAGTGCATTATAATGACTATTACAGACCCACTTTAAATAACTACCTGAATTGAATGTAGCTCAGTCTTGCATGTCGTTGATTCAAAGTTATGTCCTTAACCCAAGTATCAGATGTACAAGATCAGACCACAGCGGACTATGCCTCAAGCTCTACTGCTAATGATCTTTATGATGATGTTGATCGTTGTTGCAATCAATGTCTTGCTCTTCACGATGGCTCCCCAATACACCTCGTTCGGTTCTCAGCACTTTGTGGTAAGGCATTTGTTAATATATTTAGAAGTGTTTCTCGACTGTCTGTATTGTACCAGATTGCAAGCAGAAGTGTTTTGAAAGAGTTTTAGAACAGATCGCACATTAAGGTGGAACAGATTGAATATAGCCTTTAGAACATTAAGGCTCAAAATCGCTGAAATTTAAGAATAATTTAAGAATAATATTAGGCGCAAAATAAAGAAAATTAAGAATATTGAGGCTTAGCAAATATTAGATATTCTTATAAAAAAATGTGTATTGAATTGAAAAAGACAAGAAGTGCCACTAAGAGAAGAATATCTACGCAACTTTATACTGTCTTGAAATACTTTTCAATGGATACTAAATTTATTCTGTATTTGGCATTACCCCATTGTTCGTTATTTTTAAGGGAAACACCAGCAGTGGCCTCCTGAAAAAACAAATTTGTTCAACTGAATCTCCTCCAGGTTAGTGCTGAACAGCTTTGTATCTTTTTTATTTTTTCATTAACTAGCCCTTATCTATATTTTGCCATCCCAGGACTAGCCCTTATACACTGAGAACTTGAACCCAGACATGATATGACACGTGCACGACTCGAACCCACCAGTAACAGCATTAATCATTGCCCTTACACTGCAACATTAGCTGGCACTTTACTGCTCACGTTTTCAAGCAAAGGCCTTCAGTTTGCGTGTTGTCTACCTGATGTTTTAGAAGGCAAGCTATCTCTAACTCCATCTAATACTTTGTTTTGAAGGACAAATGTACCCCTTTACCACCCCCCTGGTCTTTTTTCTTTTTTATCAAAATTTCTAAAGGGACCATGTGATGAAATAATATTCAATATAACGTCATTTGTTTATATTTAAAACAAACTGTTTAAAATTTCCGTTAACTGCCAGGGTAAGTATGAATCCAGTATTGACCAGTTTTTTCTTCTTTGAGCAGATGAATGTGAGATGACGAGGATGGCCGTTCTTCTAAACAAACTGTTCTACAAAGCTTGGTTCTTCGGTGTTTACTACTACTACGCTCAATGGTGCCTTATCGGGGTGTGTAATCATTATTATTTCTTCATAACTGCACTTAGTCTATAATTTGGTTCGTTTTATGGTCTTATAGCTCTCTTCGTCCATGCGAATGGATCTTCCAAGTCAGAATTGAATCACAGCGTTCTTGAGAAAGGAAAGATCATTGTGGGTTGAAAATTTGGCCACGCTGTTCTTTTTTGCTATTAACCATTTTGTTTAAGACCACGTTATATAGTTCAATTTCTACACACAACGTACAGAAAAACGATCACATCGCCCGATCACATCACCTGATCGCATCGCCCAATCACATTGCCCGATTACATTGCCCGATCACATCGCCCGATCACATCGCCCGATCACATTGCCTGATCACATCGCTCCTTCGCATCTACCATTTACACCCGCCGTTCACATTCATTCACAAGTTAGAAAGTCTAGAACATCAACGTCAGTCTCAGTATATTTCAGTATATTCGAAAGTATATTTTTTCTGTTGACCATGATCCAGCCATCTCTCCTCTTGAAGCAACTTTTGGTTTGCTATAGAATGACGTCAGGTAGTGTCATGTGATCTCTGCCTCACGTGATCTCTGCCTCAGCATAATACGTCTAGGATTCGTGGTCATATTCAATCACAACAGATGTCCCTTTTCAATCTGATTTTTTGACCTCTGAATTAGAAAACACTATTAAAACAAGTGGCTCAGATTCGTCACTCTGTCCCCACCTTTCAAAATCGCTCTTTCCCTCCCTATAATTTCCAAGAATATATCGGTGTGTGAATGAAGATGCTTTTTAAAGAATGCTAAGATAGTTTCAACGTATTCTTGACGCCCTTCACTTTCACAGCAACTGTATTTTACCCACCTTTTTCTCCATAAATCGAAATGGCAGCACTAATTTTGTTTGGTAATTTATTTCTTTTCATTCAGGTGTTTGTAATTGGATTCATTGTTTCACTGATCAAATGCAAAGAACCAGATTATGACGAAGCGGACCCTGAAGATTCAGATGAAGAACAACTGATAACAGCTTAAAGTAAACCCGGTTGCGTTTGTAGTTGCATTTTTTTTACGTTCTTTCAACTATTCACGAAATCAACGCTTTTCTTCCTTTGATTGGAGACAGGCACAAACCAATGAGGTATTAGCTTAACTGTATATGTTAGTTTGCTAATAAGCGCTGTTTACAGTCTTAATTTAAATGTTAAGCTAAGCGAAAGTCGCCTAGACATCCAACTTTTCGTCGAGGTTAATGGATAGCTTCTTTACCGGTTAGCTTCTTTACCGAATAGCTTATGTGCCGGATAGCTTCTTTACCGGTTAGCTTCTTTACCGAATAGCTTCTGTGCCGGATAGCTTCTGTACCGGATAGCTTCTGTACCGAATAGCTTCTGTACCGAATAGCTTCTGTACCGAATAGCTTCTGTACCGAATAGCTTCTGTACCGAATAGCTTCTGTGCCGGATAGCTTCTTTACCGGATAGCTTCTGTACCGAATAGCTTCTGTACCGAATAGCTTCTGTGCCGGATAGCTTCTGTACCGGATAGCTTCTGTACCGGATAGCTTCTGTGCCGGATAGCTTCTGTACCGATAGCTTTTTGTATCAGAGAATTCGGTTGTTTCGTTAAATGTCTTAAATTTGCATCAGTGCAGTAGCTTCAACGGAGACAAAAGCTAACTTGTTTTTCAGTTGATTGCCACGATGCTGTTGGCTGCCTGTGTTTTTATTTCCCCGAAGGAATGGCTTCGAAAGAGTCGTCAATCTAGTTTCTTTCACCTTTTACCTTTATTGGTTTCTGCAAGTTTGAGAGAAATGCTGTTAAGCTATTCTTGGTGTTAAATGTTTCTTCATGTTGAATAATTACCTGCAGAATAACTTCTTTGTAATTGTTGGCTTTTGTGTGAATAATTATACTAAATTTAGAAGCAGTAATAAATACGATCCTATCTTGTCACAGTACTAACCTGAATGAGCATCACCTGATTTACTCCCTAAATACCCGCTCGCCTTTCTTTAGATCCCTTTCCCGACGTGCAAAGGGCACCATTTAATATAGGTATTTCCTTCCAAAGGTAAAAGCACATGATTACATGTTGACACTACCGCCTCGGTACATCAGGGGTGTCACACAGTGACACATTGCCCAGTTAATGAGTGATTCTCCATTACCTGTGCTATTACCAATGTATCGATTGATTCCTGAGACCACGAAAATTGTAATTATTGTCAAAGACAGGACCTAGCTGCATATCTATAAGATCAACGAAGATTATCAATGTCACTATGTCACTCCGTCCCCCCCCCCCTTAAACCTCGTTTCCCTGTTTTTTGATGCTTCGTAGATAGTTCAGGATAAATCTCAGTCTACTGTTTGGGACAGTTTGAATAAGCACAAGTCTAAAGCTCTTGAGATGATTGCAGTCGTATCATCGTAGAAGTATGGTACATTTGTGAACTCAAAACGAAGGCTGTTGCTTTTTATGTGTTTGCCTTTACACGTTCAGTTTCATACCTGGCAAAAAAGATTTTTACTGGCATTTTGGTGAAAGGAAATCATTCGCAAGAGGTACTGTGGCAATATGTAACATATGGTGGTAATGTTGAACCATGCATTTATTTGAGTGTGGTTACAATCAAGTATGATCCTTCGTTGTAGAGCAATCGCGTAGTCATGAAACGAAATTTGATTGTTAATTACGTAGTACGGGATTCTTTTATTGTAGTTCAGATTCAATGTATATAGTGAATTAATAAACAAATATGTTGTGTATCTTTGCGCTTACAATGGTATCTGAAGATCATCAGGAATCGGCATTGTCACTTTCTGGCTGATCGCAAAGACTTTATCTTTGTACTGTGCAATGCCTGGGGCTCTATTTCTTGGGCTTTGTTTCTTGGCCTCAGTTTCTGGAGTTCAGTTCTGGGGCTTCGTTTCTTGGGCTTTATTTCTTGGGATCTGCTTCTAAGGCTCTGTTTTTGAGCTCTGTTTTTGGAGCTCTGTTTTTGGAGCTCTGTTTTTGTGGCTATGCATCTTGGGCCCTGTTTCTTGGACTCTCTTTCTTGAGCTCTGTTTCTTGGACTCTCTTTGTTGAGCTCTGTTTCTTGGACTCTGGATCTTTGGCTCTGTTCCGGAGGCTCTTCTCCTTGGCCTCTGTTCCTGGTGCTCTGATTATAGAGCTCTAATTCTGGGACTCTGTTTTCGGAGCTCTGTTTCTGGGGTTCTTTTGACGATATCAGCTCCTGCATGAACTCCTTCAAAATAAGGAAATTATAAATATGCTATCACATTCATTATTAAGCGAAATATGCTCAGGGAAGTCACTCAAACTTTCTATATACGGGAAAGTCCCCTGGGATAAGGTGCCAGAGCCGTAGCAGCCTTAAAGATTTGGTGATGGGAGTGAAGGGTGAAGTACTATAATGTTTGGCGTTATACTTATATAGAAGTAGTAGTAGAAGCTGTTTGACTGTGGCAATAATATAATATCAGCTTTAATCTTAGAAAACCAATCCCACGAGTGCTTGTGACAGACCAGATTTGAGCCCTATAGCTGAGTTTTATAATAGATCAATATTTTCCTTAACACATAATTTAAGATTTTTGTGTACCACGCCCCTTCTCTTGCCCCCATTTCTTATAAGCACCAAGGTTTTCAAACAACATTCTCGCTGTGAAAATTCGCAGTGTCGGGCTCAGAGCTGTCTGTAAAGCTCGATGACCAGAGATATAGCACTGACACTGACCTTTTCAAATGATTATCTCGTCCTGTTGGCAAGCAAGCAAAGCAAATAATTACCAGTAAAGAATATGCCAAAGAAAAGAAGTCGTAATGCTCAGCTGACAAGGATGAAAGACAATGCCAATCGACTGAGTTTGTTTTGATTGTCCATACAGATAGAGCCGTAGCCATAGGGCAAGTGAGGGGTGTGACACCCCCATTTGAAACAAATCCGTTTAAAAAACGAGGAGTTCTTTGCCATCACTCACATCGTCGGCAAGTTGGACTTGGAAAACCCACTTTTAGCACGATAACTATTGAGGGCCCCGCATACAGAATGTCGAAGATTCGCTTTTTTCTTTTATAAAGGGACAGACATAGAATAGAATTTTAGAGTTCGAGCTTTGGATTGGAAATGTTATTCAAAATTTGAAAACCTTTTCAGAATTTTTCTACTGTTAAGGCCTAAGGCTTTGCAGGCACCACAAAGCAGGCAGGAGCAAGAGATGAGAGCCCTCCAGCTTTTGCAAAAACACGTAAAGAATTAAGAAATGGACCAGCTTCATTTGATTCGGTTGTCGCCCGCTTAGTCTTCTCAACGCTCTGCGGTGCCTTGGCCTCTGTTGGGAGTCCCATGCTGAGGCTTTCCATTCGTAAGCAATTAGTAACTTTGAACCAAACTTTGAACCAAAACTTGCCTCTATTTCTGCCTTTATTCATTTTTGCCCATCTCTTTGTGTCAGATTTGTTAATTCGTCGATTTCGGATTACTGTTCTCCAATTACTGATAGACCCCATTACACCCTCCCATCCTCTTGGACAGGATCTTGAGCGAAGATGATAGAATCTCCATTCCGTGTCCAGTGGACACAAATACTTTTTACTTTTGTATTTCGGGCTGGATTTATTGTATTAATTTTTGCTCATTATTCGACATTACTAGCCTGCGCCCCAGTCCACAAATGCTGCCAAATAAATGCTTCCTACATCGGAATTGTCTAGTTTCCATACTGCTCGACCTGATAGTAGGGTTAGGGTTGGGGTTAGGGATAAGGTTAGAATTAGGGTAAACAAATTACGTCATCATGTCGAGCAGTATGGAAACGTCATATGATAGTGATTTCCGCCATCACGGTGTTTCTCTTTGCTGCACACCCAATGCTGAATAAGAGTTTTGCTTTCTTTGCTTTGGAAAGCCTTAACAACGCAGTCAGCAAACGATTTTTGGCTTGGAAATTTTTCCAGATTCGCCTGACTGTACGTTATCAAGTACGTGCTTCGCACAGTTTTGAAATGCAATTCAGCGTCGACTTCGAATGTGTTCGCCATTATACCGTTTCTAAAGCGTTCCTGGCCAAAACTCGTGAGACTGCTACCCAAATGCAATTGGGTTCTTATTTAACGTGACCCCCTACCCCCTACATCAATGTTGGGGTGTTTGTATGGGCTAAAATCGAATGCTGGGACATTTAGCTCTCAAACGACACCAACATTGATATAGGGGGGAGGGGAAAAATTTATATGTCCTAATTTTTCTTGGGAAAAATTGATAGCATGCCGAATTTTTAAATCAGTGTCAAGAAGTTTTGGCCACGATTGTAGACAGCTCCACGTTCATCACGCTCAACTCCATTCGGTTTGGTTCTCGTATCGGTATTTCACGGTTTGCCATGGCAACGCGAAAACGAGATTGTTGTGTCTTTAAAACAGCTTCATCTTTGATTGTAAGCACGGAATTTTTGTAGATTAAATCTTGGTTTTACTCTCCACTGTTTTCAATCAGCAACTCGGCCAAGAAACAAAACTTTTGGAATCGGATATCAAGGACTTTGCATTTGGATACCTAGAAATGATTGCCCGACCAATGTGTGGAATTGTGGCTAATTTAGGCCATGGCCATGGCGTTTCTCAATCAATGACACATTGACCGCGAACTGAGTTGGGGAACATTCTTGCCATAAAGGATCTTTTGGAATATCAAACCAACCATTGCGACAGGTGGAAATGGATTTATGAGTCTAGAATTGAATCCCTAGCAAGATTTGAGAATGGCCGCTAGGCGAAGGTGAAGGATCCGGTTCGGATAATCCGATTAACCTCGTGTCATACACGTCAAGGAGTTTTTTTGACTACATCAACGGATCACAGGTCGCCTAGGGTCAGGGAACGCTCTCCTAGAAATATGACATCAAGCAAAACATGGTAGCTCTCCGGATTGTTCATGTCCGCCTGGCCGCTATAGGTTGCAGTTCAGAGATGAACTAACAACCAAGTTTCAAAGCAATTTATGATGACAGTGAGCGGCAAATACATTATCCTTTGGATATATCCGTATTGCTGTAATATCTAAATTTGAGAAAATATGGCCGGTACCTATGAAAGCGCAAGTGACTCAAGCCCAAATGCAAGCAAAGCTGATGACAGACCGCTGTTTCTGAAGAAAAAGGATGAGCCCATTGGAACAGTTCACAACTTCGCTGCAGTCCCGCCAGACTTTGAAGGACAGCCAGAAACTGGCCATCTCATATTCAATGCAAGTTTTGAGAGTGGGAATCTTGGAAGAGTTGACTTTGTTTCAGAATTTGAATATGATTTGTTTATTAGGCCAGATACCTGCAATGCAAGATTAAGAGTTTGGTTCAATTTCACAGTTACAAATAATTTTGCAAGTCAAAGAGTTATATTCAATATTGTAAACTTCAGCAAGACTAAAAGTTTATATCGTGATGGCATGAGCCCTTTGGTGAAGTCATCAAGCCGGCCACTATGGCAAAGGGTGCCAGCGAAAAATGTTTTTTATTATAGAAGTCCAGAACATAGAAACAATTATGTGATGTCCTTTGCATTCTCATTTGACAGGGAAAATGAGGTGTACCAGTTTTCATATTGTTACCCATACACATTTAACAGACTGCAGTTATATCTGAATAAAATAGAGGAAAGGCAACTTGATTACTTCAAAAGAGAAGAGCTTTGTCTCAGCGTGCAACATAGAAGAGTTGATCTTATCACCATAACATCAAAAGAGAATCAAAAAGCTAATACGAAAAAGCATGTGATTTTTATCACTTCAAGAATCCATCCAGGTAAATAAAGTTTACTGATTTATTATAATTTTAATTGTAATCATTGTAAACGTGTGGCATTGCCCTCTTGCAATCTTATCTTGAAATACCCCAAGAAAATATTATCTTGTGGTATTTCTAATGTAATGGCTTGTAATGCAATCATCTTTTATAATGTAATTTCTATCTTTATTTGATTTCTTATTAAATAAAACCCTTTTAGTTATTTTTAATTAAAATATACTTTTCAATGTAAACAATATTGGGATCAATTGTTTGAAAAACTTTCTAGTAAACATTTTAATGTGCTTTTCTTAACTTTTTGGTGCTCATTTCAGTTATCTTAAGTTTTCTCAAAAAAATGTTTTTTTTTAAATTTTGGTAATTCACAAGCAATGCCAGTGTTTAAGGCATATTTATGTGACACAAGGGTTCCTTTCCCTTCATCTGCTCATAATCCCTTGTTGTCAACCCTTAGGTTCTTTAGAAAGTGAGACCTTTAAGCTAGTTATTTTGTTCTCTTAGTTGACCAAAAATGTAAAAAATTTCAAATACGATGATATGTTTAAAAATTTGCCCCTAAGTTGGCTCTAAAAATGCTCTTGAGTTGAGAAGAAGCATACAACAAGTCATTTTTTCTGAAAATGTGTTTCTGCTTGCTTGCTTTGATTAAATGACTGCTTTTCTGAAACCAACCACTTTGAGGCTTTTAAATTTTCTAGGGGACACCAAAACCAAGGGCACTTGGCCCTAAACTTTGGAACTGCTCCTTTTCATGAAAGTGCTCTCTTTAGATCATTTAATAAATTACCCTTTTTTTGTTTGAGACATGTTTCCTCTATCTAACTGTTTTCATGTATAAAAGTAGGATTGCAACACAAGGTGTAAAAAACTTGTAACAGGAAGGCCAAGTTCTAAGCTAGAAGTATCTTCTCAGCAGTTCATCCAAAATAATTAATTTCTTACTCAAAGCATTTGACTTCAAGTAAGGTGTACTTTTGTATACCTTTTTCCTCCAAAATTTTACAAATGCTGTAAAAGCTCTTATCAGGCCCCCCTCTCATTTAAGCCTCCTCTCTATTAAGCCCCCTTCTAAAGCAAATATTGAAAAAGCCCCCTCCTTTCTATTAAGACCCCCTCTTTAGCCCCTGATGTGGAGCAAAGAATGGGTATGTGCAGATTAAGTGGGTCTCTTTTCGGGTGTGCTGATAATAAGATCATGTGCTGATAATAAGATCATGTGCAATAGAAATGGCCCATGTAAAGATTTTCTTTTGGGCATGGGGAGGCAAAAGGATACTGATGTTGATCCTTTTGAAGGAATCTCAGAGGATGAAAGTTGTTTATAAGATGTCCCAGGGTTATCACTTGATCCTGGTGATTCTGTTGAAGATAAGGACATTGTAATCGGTTAATTTTAATATTAAGCTCTTGAAGCTGCTAGCAAAGTTTTTGAGAACGTTTGTATGACATTTTATAACAAAAATACATAAGGGCATTTTATAACATTTTTACCTCTGAATGTTAACAAGCCCGCTCTTTTATAAGCCCCCCTCTCTTTTAAGCTTCTCCTCTAGGATTGAAAAGTTAAATAAGCCTTTTAGAGTAATCGCTGTTCCACTAAAAGTTAGAAAGATAAGTTTAATTTTATGAATAGTAGACTTTAGATTTCAACCAACAAACTAGGGGGCAATAAGGAAAAATGTTCTTGAGGAGGGACATGGTCTCAAGGGGGACCGTTTTCAACAAGACGGGACAAACATTTATAAATAAAGAGGGCTAAAAGTTCTAAAATTACCAGGGATAAGGACAGATTTAACCTTCCTGGAACTTCTTTTAGGCCGACTATTTCAATCGTTTAGGGCTATGACATCCATCACAGTCCTTGTATAATTTCCACCCTTGTCAGAATACGATATTAACGCATTAATCATAGAGACATTTTTAGAGTTGCTCGTTCTAATGATTTAGTTGCTGCACTCAATGACCGTAGAGCATATCATTAATTGAGGGTGATATATCGTTTAGGGGGGGAGCTAAATATGCTTAAAACCAACAGCAAGGTACCTTTTGTGTTGTATTAAGAACATTTTGGAAGTTATTGTGGGGGCGAAAGCCCCGCTCAGCCCCCCTGCTTCTACAGTCCCTGGTTGCACTCTTCATCTTTTCGTAATATTTTCAAAACTTTGACTCTCTATGAAGCTACGAGAAAAAGTGGCTTGTAATTGATAGAAAATAAAATGTAACATTAATATTGATTTTCTTGTTTGTTTTACAGGAGAAACGCCATCGAGTTATGTATGTCAGGGCATGATCGACTTTTTGATTAGCAACCACCCGATCGCCAGGGTTCTTCGAGATTACCTGGTCTTCAAATTTGTGCCTATGCTCAACCCAGACGGTGTTGTTCTTGGAAATTATCGTTGTTCTCTAATGGGTTTTGATCTTAATCGCTATTGGCTAGACCCATCCACGTGGGCACATCCAACCATTGTGGCTACCAAGCAGCTTCTACTATCGATGAATGAAGACCCGAAAATCAGCCTTGATTTCTATATAGACTTGCACGCACATTCGACAATGATGAATGGCTTCATGTATGGCAATGTGTATGAAGAAGAGGACAGATACGAAAGACAAGCGGTGTTCCCCCGTCTATTATGCCTAAACGCCGAAGACTTCTCGCTTTCCAGCACGTCATTCAATCGTGACTCGGTGAAAGCGGGAACTGGCCGACGGGCCCTTGGCAGCTCGTTATCTGCACAGACCAACTGCTATACGTTAGAAGTTTCATTCTTCAGCTATACGTCTGGACTAATGGGGACAACGCCTTATACAGAGGAAGGCTACTTCAAGTTGGGACGGAATGTGGCGCGAACGTTCCTTGATTATTATCGCTTGAATTCCTTAGTGGCGAACAGAATTCGGGCGGAAAGTCGGCATTTAGGGAAAGACAGTAGCTCTGAAAGTTATTCAAGTGCCCCCGGATCGCAGGAAAATATACAGAAGCCCAGTAACAGTTTTGATAACATCCGCAGGGTTGCAAATCGCTCAAAGGTTACCGAAAAGTCTAATCGTAGTTACCGCAGAAGTTCGCATGTTTCCCGAGATTCTGGTTCGTCAAGCTCGTACGAGGAGAGCACGAGCGATTTCAAAGCGAAGAGGCAGCAAAGCAACAAGAATAAGCGAAAATAAAGAGGGTTCATCGGGTCACTAAAAAGATACACATTATCTTCTTTCTATTATATTTTTGAGTTATTAGTTAGAATACCAGAGTATTTGCAATATGCACAATTCTCTATGTACATATTATCAAAAGAAGGCATTTTATCTCAATGGTTTGACTTAATGTTGCTCAGTACTTGAAATGTAAGGAAAATGTTTTCATTTTTGGTAGTCTGCAAAGCATTTATCAGACGCCACAGTGTAAGGGGGGTATCGGAGATTATATTCGCGATTCTTTGTCTGATTGCTGGATGGGGCCTAACCTCCCTCCAGAAAGCACCTTATTTTTTAAAATCTTTCCTAAAAATCAATGACAAGAAAGCATACACCATAGTACTTTGATTTGCTTTGAAAATGGCATCGAAAGAAGCCAATCATTTTGCCGCCATCATTTTCTGGGTGATTTCTGGACATCTTTAAAAATTGCTTCTTCTGAGCAGATTCATCTTAGGAGTAGCCTGTGACCCAGACCCCTAACTTGAAAGTAGAATTAGGGGTCTGGAGCACAGGCTACTTCGGAGTTGCATCTTCTCTTGACTTTTTTTCTAATTTGGTCTTTGTACTGATTCATTCTGGCCATATTTTTGAATATAAATAGTTCGAGAAATAAGGATAGATTAATGGTGACGCCATGAGTTAGGGGGCTTGGTGTACGCGCTCTCCCAGTTTTCAGCAGGATCGATTTATAATTCTTATAAATTTCATATTTTTGCGAAACTCTATCTTTTTATACTGCCTGTACATAGCTAACATATGTCATTGATGTTTCCTGTTTATTGCACCCGGTATGGGCGTTTTCTCTTGGTGGGAGGGCGTCTTCTGACACCTAAAATGGAGTGGCTCGAACCTTGTTCTGTCCTTCCTCACATTGGCTCCTGGCTACGTCACTGCAATAGAATCCGGAACTGTTAACTGATCTCCGACTATTCTTTACTTGTTTGCAGGCTTTGTCAGAGGGCGTGTGTCGTGAACCTGATTGGCAAATGCAATACAATTATCTTTATTTAGTACAAAGCAATTGATCTTCATAGCAGTATAAATTCATGATAAATTCATTCCCTGTCTAAATCGTTGACAACGGAGGCGTATTTACCGGAACGAGACTCTCGCAGAATGTATGTGCTCACCAATAAGATGGCAAACTACACAATCATCCTCCAATGAAATCCCATTATTCGACGATATTCCGAGCACCGATGGGTGAGTAAATTATAGTTCTCTTGTTCGGGAGATAAATCATGCCCGTCTTCCATACATGCACTAGCCCCCGTTTCAGGGTCATTGCACATGCGCATTATCACTTGATGCCCTGGCGGGAAGTACAGGTGTTGTGTGGTCCCAGCAGAACAGCTGTGCGAATACTGTTATTAATGTGCATGTGCTATGACCCTCAATACTGATTGGTTTAAGACGGTATTGTTTCGAAATAAAGGACTGAAGGTTTCGTCTCCCGGACAATCTCATGAACGGAGCTGGCCAATCATCTTTATTCTCACGGGTGCTCTTGCTGGGGAGACGAACCAGCATATGCTTGAAGGACCGCTAGCTTTATCATATGCACATACGCATTGTTGTTTTCACTCCGCGTAATATATTATGAGGCACTTAGGGAATTAGCATGAATTGAATCAAAAGACAACGGAGATTTAGAGAAAAGGGTGTCATGAAAAGAGTGAGAATGAAACTTGTGTCTATATTGCAACCATGATATATAACAGTTTTGGTAAAATGCTTTGAAGCGCTATTAGATGTAAATTTTGCTTTCGCCCTAATGCGTATGCCCATATGATGCAGTTTTTCATTGGTCCAGACAGATGCATAGAATAAAGGCCTTGAACCAAGCAATTTAGACTCGTCTCCCCATCAACCGACATTAGCGAATCAGTTGCATTTTCTACAGTGCTCGACATCACCAGGGAATCGGTCAAGACGAAATAGCCAATAAAATTTCAGGGAATTTTCAGGAAATGGCTATGGAACTGGCAATGGCTTTTGTGTTTCATGGTAACTCTCGTTGGCATTGAAGAGCATCGTGCGCTGAACTTTCAAAGTATGTATGAAAGAATGCACGAGAACTTTCGGCAAAAAAGTGTATGGTTAATGAAATTGTAGAGAAGACCATTGGGATGTTTCCGAGTTTTACTGGCACGGGAATAGTGTTGACTCGTTCGATGGTTCACAGCTCTTTTCCGCAAGTATAGCAAAGAAGGCATCGGCCTAACACACCTATCAGGTAAGACGGTAGGACACAATCTTCTTGGAAATAATTGCAATACATCAGTAATGCCTCTGAAAATTACATCTCTATCTGATGAAGGAAAAGAGTGAATTGGGTGCGTTGATTTTGCAATTCAAACGCTAATCATCGATATTTTCATTTTGGATAATGGTGACACTGTGAGAAACATGACAAAGCGTTTCTTGAAGTGTTTTGCGGATTGTTTTGTTTTTCTTTGTCCAAAAAATGGCATTGACGGCCACCTTTTGTGATTTTTCTAAAGAAAGAACAGTTTAGAACTTTTGGAGCGCAAGAGGGGGGAAAGCTTGAAAGAATTACAATGGCTGTCAAAAATCGAGAGGCAGTTCACTCTTGGCAGCAGTGTACAAAATTCTCACGAAAACAAAAGGATTTCCAGGGAGTTTCAGATAAGACAATAGGATTTCACCAAAAGTATACAGGCTTCATGGAGTGATTTGCCCCTCGCCAAAAGTCTTGGAACACAAACAGCATTTTTTGCTATGTACATTTGGCAAGCACTCTAGATGAAAGTGAAGTCAATTTCTGTTTCTCACAACACATTCCAAGTTGCCAAGATAGATTTCAGCCAGTGTAACAAAATTCTGTTTGTCAAACGGTTTCTGAATTTTCAAGGGATTAAGGCCCCGTTTACACGGGAACGGATCCGCATAGATCCGTACCCAAACTGGCTACGATAGGCCTTGCGTTTACACGGGCACGGTAGGATCCGTATCTTTTCTTGGAGAGATCCGTACCTTTTTGGATACGATTCGAAAGTGAATCCATTTGGATCCGTACCTTCACCGGCGCCGTGTAAACAGGAAGGTACGGATCCGCAAAGGCACGGCAGTAAAACGAGACTGTTGCTGGGGTCAATGGAGGCCATTTCAATTGTACGCAGCACTCATCATACAACAAAGAAATTACTCTCCCACCCCCGCTCCTTCTTCCACAGTCGAAAGCCTTTCTGAACCCTGTCTTCATCATGGTTTAATTTTTTTTCACCTTTTCTTTTGTAATTTTTTTTATCCTGGGTATTTGGAAAGTACTCTGTTGCTATTTCTAGATAGGCCTCGATAAATTGAAGGAGAATGTCTTCGTATTTCGACCTAACAGTCTCTAAGTTTTCTTCATTTTGCATTTCACCTTGTCATTGCACATGCTTAAAAAAAAGATTCGATTTTGGTCCGTTCCCGTGTAAACGCTCTATAGTTTAGGATCCGATCTCGTGTAAACGCTTGTGGATCGTACCCATATCGTACCTAAAAGGTCCGGATCTTTTGGATCCGTTCCTTTTTCTCTCGTGTAAACGGGGCCTATACCCCCTTATTTGTACATGACCATGCTTGCTTTGTACATGAAAATTAGTACAAATGCTAATCATAACACAGTTATGTTATTTGGATTCACAACCATCGTCAAAATGCCCCAAATGCTATTTTCAGATCATGTACTCATTCCCAGACCTCTTACACGCTTACCTCTAAAACTCCGCTAAAAATAAAATCAATAGTAAGCAACTTGTTTTAGATACTAATTATAACACACTTAAAGGATTTGGTTCGACACGCATCTTCAAAATGCCCCAAATGCTATTTTCAGATCATGTACTCATTCCCAGACCTCTTACACGCTTACCTCTATAACTCCGCTAAAAATAAAATCAATAGTAAGCAACGTGTTTTAGATACTAATTATAACACACTTAAAGGATTTGGTTCGACACGCATCTTCAAAATGCCCCAAATGCTATTTTCAGATCAAGTACTCGTTCCCAGACCTCTTACACGCTTACCTCTAAAACTCCGCTAAAAATAAAATCAATAGTAAGCAACTTGTTTTAGATACTAATTATAACACACTTAAAGGATTTGGTTCGACACGCATCTTCAAAATGCCCCAAATGCTATTTTCAGATCAAGTACTCGTTCCCAGACCTCTTACACGCTTACCTCTAAAACTCCGCTAAAAATAAAATCAATAGTAAGCAACTTGTTTTAGATACTAATTATAACACACTTAAAGGATTTGGTTCGACACGCATCTTCAAAATGCCCCAAATGCTATTTTTAGCATGCTTACTTGTTCTAAGACTCCTAAATCGATTATCTCTATAACTTTGTTAAAAATGAAATCAATGACATGAAAACTGGTATAGATACTAATCATAACACGGTAATGTGATTTGGATTCACAACCATCGTCAAAATACCCTCAAATGCTATTTTTAGACCATGTACCCGTTCCCAGACCTCTAACACGTTCATCTCTATAAGTGACATGAAAGTTAGCAAGAATACTAATCATAACAAGCAAGAAATTTTGAATGATTTGGATTCACACACGTAAAGGATATAAATCTACTTCCATCTTCAAAATGCTAAACGAATGCTGTATTTAGAATGTGTAGTAGTTCCCAGATCTCTAAAGAAATATTCTCTGGAATGTCGCTAAAAACCAACTAAATGCTATTAACCTTGTATAATGCTTGAATATCGAAAAGCTTTGGGTAGAGTTGGCTACTGAAAAAAATAAAAGGGGATACCGATCCAACATTTTCTTCCAGGCATCGCGAGATACTGTATTCCATGTTTCGGTATGCACCATCCGTTTTTTAATCAGTTAAATCGTTTGCTGTTCGAGGGAAGCCTACTGCATATCAGACATGAAGTCTTTCCCTTGTAGAAGTTAATTCTTCAAGCAGGTCATTAGTGCTAGCCGACAAAAACTTTACATTCAGGAGCAGATCGAGGTTCATTGGTGCCCCAAGCACTCACCAATCTGGGTGCCCCCTCCTTTTACCAATGACCCAAGGCTAAGAAAAGGGGAAGATGATATCAGCTTTGTTGATTTTTGTTTTGAAAGAAGACAGGTTAAAAGAATCTGGGGTGCAAGAAGGGTGTTCCAAAGCGTTTCAAAGTTTACAAGCTCTAGGAAGAAATCATGGCATTAGACCTATCAGATATAATGCTGCTAATCCACCTAATAAATGTGGTGTTTAGGATGATGAAGTTTTCTGCCAGACAAAATCAAAAACCTTGGTGTAGGAGATCACTCTGCAATTACCAAAGGAGTCAATAAGAGAACACCAAACATGAGCAGCATGAGCTGGAAAAGCCCAGGTAGATCTTGCTGACCAAACCCTTCACTAATTGGTTACTCAACAAAAGACTAAATCTCATACCAGGTGTGCTGGAACTCCTGTAACACCCACTAGACCTGTCACTGAGTGAATACAAACAGTTTAACTAGATCAAAAAAGTAAAAATATACCGAAAGTTAGAGATAACTACTTACACTAAGTGCTTATTCTTATCTATTAGAATTTAGAGAAAGAATCAAAGAAGATGGTTGGTATATTACTAATGCAGTGGAATATCACGGATACCGTACAAATTACATCTTAGCCACACAGGAAATATGTGACTTTGCTAAAGACCAACCAGTCATATTGACCAACAGATGCCAGAGTGCAAAGCGCTAACAGTCCTTATTTTGTTAACCTGATCAAGAAGCAGAAAAGTTACATCAATCTGTAATAGTTTTGTCGATTTCTTTTACATTTACTAGGGAACATAAACTGACCAAGAAACATAATATTGAGATCAATTTACATCAGCTTTGCCAATTTTTCATTTGCCACATATTTTTTCTTTTCTTGTCACCCATTTCTCATCAATTTCGTGCCCCCTTTGATTGTGGTGCCCTAAGCACATGGTTAGTCTGCTTCGTGGTTAATACGACCCTGCATGCGTTGATAAATGGGTTTGTTACCTAAATTTGCGCATTGCTGGCAGTATACAAAGCAGGGTAAGTAAAAAGTTAAGTTAAATTCCTCCCAAGTTTTGACATTTCAGGACCACTGCCATGACGGGTGCGAATTAAAGTCGGTTTGGCATTGTTATCATTAGTATCTCAATCAAGTTGCTTGTTATTCATTTCATTTCTAGCGAAGTTGTAGAGATTAGCGTGTTAAAGGTCTGGGAACGAGTGCATGGCATTTGGGGGCATTTTAACGATAGGTGTGAATCTAAATTACATTACCGTGTTATGATTAGAATTTGTACTAATTTTCATGTCATTAATTTCGCTTTCAACAAAGTTATAGAGATAGTAATTTCAAGGGCTTGGGAATAATGAATCGTTCTAAAAATAGCTATCAAGGGCATTTCTCAGACTGGGTCCCGATCCCATCTTTTTCAGCATGTCAAATTGTGTGTTTGTACAAATTTTCATGCTTTTATCATAATTTGTGCATTCATTCTGTTTATCTTCTACACTAATGAATTGTATAATTTTGCCACCGAGAGATACTTTGTGAATGCATAGGATACTTCAGTGCATTTTCGAAAAATCAGAACAATCCTTAAAAACTCTCTTTTGCCCCATTCACGCATAGACGAAAACTAAGTTTGAATTCTAGTTATTGTTGCTATACTATTTAAATTTTTTTGATTAGCGCAAAGAAAAAATATATAAACAAATTATATATTAAAAATAGTATTTGAATTCCGAGATCATCTTTGTCTCTTTCGTCTGTGTTGGATACCTTGGTTTATCCACTGGAGCTTGCGTTATTCTCCTGATTTGTTCTTCCGAGAAATCCCTTTTGACACCCCGTATTTCTTAGAAGTGGAATTCAGCACACTGGATAGCAAGGGAATCAAAGAGGCCTCGAACGGCTGCCCGAGTTTTTTCATGCTGGCAAGAGAAGCCTATTTGTGAAAAGATACTGCATGAAGCGATTTGAAAACATTTCTGAAGTAAGTAAATCTTGAAATTTCTTTATTAAAGCAAACGACCCGGAAGATTGGATAGTTTTCTCCGCTTGGAAATGCTCGGCCTAACTTCTATTGTTGAGTGCAGACTTTTGTTTGGATCACCACCAACACTTTATCTTATTCGAAACCAGAAAAACAAAAATTAATTTGACTTGGAGTAAAGCTTAAAGTTGACCTAAGTAATGAGTTACTGCACTTAAATGCTCCTGTGATACTGCAAATATGGCAAGCATTCTTTTCAAAGACCTAAGATTCTCGTTCCCGCCCAGTCGTAAATTTTTAGTACAATATTCGGATCGGAAGCAGTGATAAAGTTTAAATGATAAAGTTTGAATTTAGCTATATTCAGGTTAGCAACACAATCTTTTCAAATGAAATTGTATCTTTCCGATGACAGTCATTAATGCTAACACCAACTATATGAAACAAAGTTTGCCAGAGATGCGATGCAACACCAGAGGCGAAGCCAAAATTGTTTCGGAGTGGTACAGAAATTATTTTTGCCAACAAAAAGGGCGTGCCTCACTCTTTAAGGATGTGGTCATAAGATAAATAATCATATATGCCGCTTTTATGCGTTTCTATTTCAAAATTCATACTTTAGTTCCATACTTTTAAAGTTCAACTACCACAGAAATGTTAATACGTTACAATTGTTGCAAAAATGTTACTTCTTTTGCCTGCCAAATTTCTTTATGTGCCCACAGACAAATGGTTGGGACGGGAACATCACCCCCATACCCCCTTTGGTGAAAACCCAAACGAGACGCAAGGGATTACTGTCTAACCTTTGCCTGAATTGTAAATAAACACACCAACCATTTGTTTCACATCGTTGTGCCAGCCATGAATTTAATATTTTAGCCAAATAGACTTTGGTAAATAATGAAATTTGAGAAAGGTGATGCTGTCAGCCTGGTCTTGTATTTTGGCTACCGTTTCCGTCTTTCAGCCAGATATCTCATATTTAAACATTTAATGACAAAATTTGGCTGTTGACTCTTTAAGTTAATTTACTAGCTGAAACTGTGTTTATTTTGTCAAAATTTGTATTGAAATCAAAACTTTTTAAGATAAAATACACCTTTACGATAAAATTACAGACACCTTTAACAATAAAATATAAGGCACCTTTACCGATAAAATATAGGAGAAAATCCAAACATTCCAAACATCAGGAAGGAAACATAAACATTCCCAAGAGTATAGAGGTAACATAGGAAGAAGCACGAAAATTCCCAAGAATAAAGAAAGAACACAACATTTCCAAGAATAAAGGAAGAGGCACAAAAGTTGCAACGAATCATGGAAGAGACCTGGTAGACATTGCTGGGATTAAAGTGGGAATAAAGGGAGGCAAAAATATTCCCAAAGAATATAGAAAGAACCATGATGAAAACTATACCAATAATTCTGCAAGGCAAAAAACATTTTTCAAAACAAAACAAAATTATCAAACAAATTTTGTAATGTTCTTTTTCCCCAAAATTTCAATCTTATACATATTTCATACTTTCATTTCTAACTGAACATTCATTTTTCAATGCAAAATTTCCCTCCTAACAATTTTGCAATTTTTTCCCAAAATGGTGCCTAAAGTTCTGCATGTTTCTTCAAATGGTACCCATCACTCCACAACTGATAATTCTGCACTTTTAAGAGTTCCCCTAAATATTGGCATGTCCCCGTACCTCAAAACCTATTAAGGTAAGATCTCTTAACTATATTTTTTTGCGTGTAAATCCTTACAGGCCCTTGTGTTCCCCTGTGTTCCCTGTGTAGGATATAGGATATAAGTTAATGTTTGAATGTATAAATTTTAAGATCATTTTATGCTTTATTTCTAGATTATTGTTAAACAAACCACTTTGTAGATGAACAGAAATTTAATTCATGCATTGTTTGCAATGAAGGCTGGTTGAAAAGTCCTTAAAATGGATATGAAATGTCGCTCTTGTGAGAAGACTTTAGCAAGTGCCAATGAACTATTCTTCTTTGTTAAAAGCAGCAATGAGGTGCAGTTGCTCATCAAGCCAGAATGTCGTGCAGTTTTAGAAAACAATGTGTTTTTGCTTGTGCCTGAAGCAAAGAAGAAGATGCGTGTAAAATGCAAGAAATGCTTCGAGAATATTGGATGGGAGCTGCCTTATGGACCAAATGGGATATCGTTTTTAGCCTTTGGTACAGAGAAAGTTATTTTTCTAGGCGAAAAACTTTCTAGCAAGCAAAAATGGCGCAACGTTATGACAAGGTATCTGAGTATTGAAAAAAGAAACATGGAAAATTTCTTTGGGAGAACACTTAAAAGGGAAACTTATGAACAAGTACGTGGAGGAAGCAAAAAGGGTTGCAAGGAGATGATCAGATTTCCCTCTGTGGAAACAGATTATGAGTGGTATTCCTTGACCCTGAGAAAATTACCAAGAAACTACCAAATTGATGCCTACATTGAGGCATTGCAGCAGGATCTGGTAGTTGTGATGGATACTGGTCTTGGTAGGTGTTTTATCATTACAGAGTTGATTGATTTGCTGATGTCATGAAAGTACAATAAACTCCTGATAAGTCGAATGCCCAGTAACTCGGAAATTTGCTTCGTCGAACTAATATTATTTTTTCCCTTGCAAACAGCCTTTATATAAAAATCCCCCGAAAGCTTGAGCATTTGCTATCTCAAACCATTTCATTGGTTTGAGTAATCGTGATTTTACTGTATAATTTTTGAGTGTCTATCATGTAGCATTTAAACATAAATCTGCATATGATGAAACAAATTTCTCCAACATTGATTGTATTGGAAATCATTTAATGAATTGGCTTACTTTGTATTTGTAATTGTTCATCAAATCATTGTTACTTCTGGAACTGAAACAGGGGCGGATCTAGAGCAAATTTGAAGAAGGGGCAGTTGTTAGTGGGGGTGCTAAAAAATTTGCAAAAATTGGTGACGAGGGTTCGCTGTAAACCACAATTTCAGATCCATTTTCAGAATAAACAACATAACTTTGAGGTAATCCTTGAAGAAAATTAACCTATCGGTCTCAGAAACTTTTTCCCCTGATTCTCATTCTTCAAAAGGGGCGACAATTTCCAAAAAAAGGGGCGCCAGACTTACTTCAACTCTTTGAGGGAGGGGCAACTGCCCCTAGTTGCCCCCCCTTGAATCCGCTACTGAACTGAAATCATATTTTATGACGTCATCATTGCAAAGTCTATCAGCATTATCAATATAGCAAATATCTTCATTACAGACCTGCCAACCTCCCAAGCTTAAAAACCTGGATATTCGAAATTTTTCTTTATTAAAACCTGGAGATTTTGCTAAAAACCTGAAGATTTTGCGTCGTGAACTTTTTCACCAAAAATAGCAAGATTCACCCATACACTCATTGCTGTTACTGTAACCCTGTATCCTGTATACTATAACTTAAACAGTTTTCATACACGTTTTCTGCTATAGCTCAAAGTTGCTTTTTTCGCATTCTTCTGGTTGCCATTTATAACAGGAAACCACTGATTCTTGAAATCAGTGGTTCTCGTTTGCATGCAAACATAGGAGCTAGAAGCGGGACATGGGGCCGAGGGAGTTATTCTAAGCCAACCAGCGATGTCAGCAGCGCTGTGATGTGATTCAAGAACGATAACACAGAAGAGGGAAATTGTACATAAAATCATGCATAAAATTTGCAGGGGAAAAGCTGAATAAAATCTAAACATCTTGAAAATCGCTGCATTGGTAAATTGAAAATAAGTTTTTGAAAAACCGTGTGAAATGAACAAAAATTCGTGTGAACGTGAGATTGAGGCCAAAACCGTGAGAGACACGGCAAAACCGTGAGAGTTGGCAGGTCTGTCATTATTGTTGTTCCAGAAAACTGTTAAATTGGAAGGTGATATTTCATGGTGAGATTGGTAAACATATGGGGCTCAGGGGCTGTTTATACCGAAAAGTAGCACTTTTCAACTTTTGGCTATTGTTTTTAAATAAATTAAAAATAACGAAAGTCCTCCCTATTTTATAGCTCTTGCACCCCCTGTTTTTTATATAGCTCTTGCACCCCCTGATCAGTGCTATTTTTTTATAGGGAAGACACTCATTGCTTCGATGGTTATAGCGAAAATGAAAATATTGAATCCCAATCGAATGGGACTGATGCTTGTAGACAGGATACCACTTGTTTTCCAACAAGGCCAGGCAATCGCAAATGACACTGGGCTGCGTGTTTGTCGTCTTTGCAGTGAGAATCGAACCTCGCGTCACGTGAGACAACTTCATGATGGCACGTACGATGTCCTCGTTATCACGGCTGGCTCATTCAACGAGCTGATCTCTCGGGAGAAAATCGAAGTCTGTTGAGCTTTCGATCTAAATTCCATTTCATTTTTCATTAATTTTTCTTATCCATGGCCACCCCTCAACTACCAGACTCACTCGGTATCCATGGCAACCCCTCAACTACCAGATTCACTCGGTACCCAGGGTACCCCTCAATCAGAGAACTGGTCGGCATGTTTAAATATTAGAAAATGATAATTAGAATACTGCTAAAAAATGAAACGAAATCTAAAAGTAATTTTAAAAGTTTAGAAATATTATATATGAATAGATAAATAATTTGATTTCAAATATAAGTAATTTTTGATTTTTCTAAAAGTGATAACAAAAGCTTGTTTTATGCAAATATATGCTTCTATTCACAGATATCGAATTTCAGTGTCATAGTCTTCGATGAATGCCATCATGCCACGGGTGATCACATTTACAGGAAGGTTCTGCAACACCTAGAAGCATGCTCCCCAAACACGAGGCCGAGAGTCCTGGGACTGACTGCGTCACCATTCAAAGCTCAGAATATCATTAAAGGGAGAAATCAATTGGAAAAGTTCAGGAGATGCTTTGTCAACGCCGCATTTTTCTATCCTGATATACCAAGATTAAAGAACGTAGCTATAGAGGTGAAGGTTGAAAGAAACATAGAGCAAAGCAGGTTTATTTGTAACGTCATGAGGATCATCCAGCAAACTATTCGCAAAATCGGAAATTTTGTCCGTGGCTTCTCAACTGAGGCTGACATCAAAGAGTCCCAGTTGAATCTTCTGAAAGGCCAAGTTAAAGCAATTCGTGAAGTATACCCTGATAATAGAAATTTAATGGTAAGCAAGCGTTTGAAACAACAATGTTAGATCTGAGTCTATTTTTAAAGGTATCTGGTTCTCTAACTCCGTCTTGCGTTCCGGTTTCGGTCAGAGTCTGGAAAACATTACGGTCACAGGGCCACTGGCCGGAGGAGAGTCCACAAAAAACAACAGAAGCTCCTATGACACAGCCAATCCACGCCCACTTTCTATTTTTTTGTGAGGAAGGTTTGCCTTCTGTGATGTTTTTTTGTCTGGAGGAAGGTTAACAACTTATCTGGACTCTGCATAAAGAATAGCATAGCAATTTTGACACAGAAAAATTTTTTTCATTCTCCGAGAAATAAGTTTTGACAAAGCCTAAAAAATTTGGCGATCACTCGGTCAAAGACCATGAATAAGGCTGACAAAAACAAGAGAAATGAAGACAAAAACTCTGTTTCCAAAGTTTTTGAAGGGAAGGATTTCTATGGTTTGATGGTATTGTTACAGTAGACCCTAGTTATAGTTATACCAAATATTGCGTGAAAACTTGTGACTCTAAACGGATCATAGTTAGAAAGAATGATAAGCAGTTTCATTGTCTCTATCAACCCTATTTCAATTCTCACTCCTCTATCAAGTTCCATTGACCCTGTTTTAACCTTTTTTCTAATTTTAAAGACTCTTGCGCAACCGCCATGCTTTGCCACTGTATTTTCAAAAACAGTCTAATATCGCACTGCATGAAAATACAAAACACAATCAATTTCACATAACAGCTGCCGCTAAGCATGCCGGTTGCGCAAAAGCATTTAATCTTTACTGTGTATGTCACACGAGCGTACGTATGTGGATTTGAGCTTGTGTTTGTAACTCGGTGAATGTGTCTGTCCTTTTTTTCATGTTTCTTCTAAATCTTGTTATTCTATTGGTGGTGCTATTGGCCGAACGTTACGTTACGTTAGAATATTGCATTAGTTAGCTTACCTGATTATGATTTGTGTAGGTACCGAGTGTGGTTCACCTTTTCCAAGTAGCAAGTAACGAAAAATCGTAGAATTATTATAAATACTTCTTACGCCGCCTTGAAAGCGATAATTGCAACTAAGAAGTTTCTCTAATTTCCACACTAATTCTCCTTATTTACCTAAAATCTTTTGCAAAATTGGAAGCTTTGTTGTTGAAATCAGGGGTTTTCGAAAGTAAAATGCGCACACTATCCCAAAAGTACACACATTCCTGTTGGCACGGTATCCATTATCCCAAATATACTCATATTTGCATTCTTGTAAAACTACAATGTTGGATATGGATGTTGAGACAAAGCCCAGATCACGTGTCCGGTATCATACATATTGTCCGTGTCCGGTATCAGTCCAACTCACTCCTCCCTCAATTCAAAGTTTAAATGTTTGTATTTTGTGTCTGAGATATCAACTTTGATCTTAGATTGGGATTGTGTGCGAAATCTCATAAGCGTCTTTCCGGAAACGTTGCATTAGATAAGTTATTTGTTTTATAGTTTGATCGTTTGATCTGCTCTACAGTCCCAGCAAAAAAATTAAGTTTTTTGTAACCGTTTCTAGGTCAGTTTTGCCACCTTATTTTTGTATTGTCTTTGTAGACTCTTGTCACTGACGTCCTTTTGCTGATTGAAACAATAGAAGTTTGTGAGTTACTTGGAGTAAGCCAATCAATAGAGGTATTAACGAAAAATCGAGACTTGTCTTTAGAGATACAGCAGCTCACGAGGTTCAAGAATTCAGCAAGCGTGGCACCAAGGCTCTTAAAACTGGAAAAGCTGCTAAATGAATGCAGCTCAGAAACAAAAGCGATTGTCTTTGTTAGAACCCAGATCTCAGCTATTCGTTTATTTGAACATCTAGAGGAGAATTTTCCGGACATGAACCCTGGAATCATCTTGGGACACGGTGGCTATTTCGGAATGAACTGGGAAGATGAGCAAAAGCCTGTTTTGAGAGATTTCAGAGATGGGAAAACAAGACTGATTTTGGCGACCTCTGTTTTAGAGGAAGGCTTGGATGTTGCTGAGTGTGATTTAGTGATTCGCTATACTGGTAAGATGGCTTTATACATTGATTACGATTTCAAAAGTCTACTATAGAGTACCAAAGCGTGATGTCATCAAAAATCTATTTTTAGAATTTCTTAAATTGGGCCACATAATCTGAAAGAACGGCATAAAATACCTCTCAGTATGCAAAATTAATTAGTTATGTTCAAAATTGAGCGAGATATGGCCAAATAAAGATTTCAAATTTGCTAACGAACTACTGTTATTCTGGCCTGGCTCAGAAAGTTATGAACCAAGACCAAATTACAGAAGTCTGACCTGTGACAAATTTCAGAAATTCTAAATATAATTTTCTAAGACGTCATCACTTCGGTACTCTATTAAGCAATCAACTTATTCCCTTCTTTAGAAATATGTACTCACTTCTTTAGTATTATTCCCTTCTTAAAATGCACAGTGTTCCAAAATGCACAGTGTTTCTCTCTAAATTGCCTCTCCCATCCCATCAAGTGATCTTGCAAGTCCCAGAAAACGCGTGCTGGACTTCAAATTTATAATGCCAAAGACTCAAAAAATAAAATATTTTCAAAGAGATTGCAGGTACACCTTACTCGGGAAATCATCGTCAGGTTCATCCAATAATTGGAAGAATTCCGCCTTTTCTTGAAAGTTTCCTATTCATAACTTTTGAAAAATGGCCGGTCAGGATTTCTGCAAATGGTAGCCAACCAAACGAAGTGACTCGATAACGCTTTCTTTCAGGTCCTAATACACTGATCAACTTTATTCAAAGTCGAGGTCGTGCTCGGCGACAAGATAGCAAATTCTACGTATTCATTGACGAGCAACAAGCACAGACAGCGGCTGACCTGGAGTGCCAAGAGAGCATTCTTCGCCACCTTATTAAGGTGGAAGGGTCGAGGGATTGTCTACCCTCAGAATGGTCAAAACAAATCAAGGCAACCATTGAAAGTGGCCGCCCTAATCAGACAGTTATGGTGCCTCAAGTTCAGCCTGAAGGTAAATCTAAGTCCTTCTATTGAAACGACTCTATAGTTTTTAACTAGGATTGTTAACCCAAAGGCCTTTCCAGTGGGGCACCGGTTTTCCTGGCACGAGTCATCAGTGGCGCAATAACAAATACCTCGCGAAAATATACTTAGTTTTCTCCTTTGAGCCACCAAAATGTAGATCCTAGAATAAGCCCCCTTTAATGAGCCTCCCTCGAATAAGGCCCAGCCCCAGAAGTAGAAATTGGTAATAATCCTCCTCGAATTGTCATTTGCGGGTTCTACCCAATACAAGTACAGACTTACGACTACCCAAGAAAATATCTAAAGATGGCCAAAGTTGCTTTTTTGAAGGTTTACAGGCATGGATTGCTCTTCCCATCGAAATTAAACAGGTATCTTCCCTGCAAATTTTGAAAACCAAAACTAAACAAAATTTTACTTTTTTATTTAATATAGGGTAAATCAATTTTCAGCTTCCTCCATCGGAATAGCTTCAGTCTTAGAAAAAGCTACGCCGTCTGTTTCTTGCAATGGTTTCGTAAAGCAAATCCAAATACACCATCTGATTCCGTTAAATTTGGTGACCAAATTCAGTAGACAGTATTGTCTCATATATGTCAAGTTAACGTATTTTGCGTAAGTCTGACGTCATTTTATTGATTTTTTGGGTCTTATGACGGAAGATCTACGTTTTTCCCACTTGCGATGTGTCTTTTTAAACAGTTTGTTTTAAAAATCAAATGATTCCTTTGCGCCTTATTCAAATTCATGAGAGCGTAGTAGCTAGCCGATGAGCTACAGAACTCAGTATATTCTGACAAAATATTGAATTCTAAAGCTGAAAGATTATTCGTCATCGAAATTTTGTAAAAAAAAATATTCTCAGCAAATTGAAGTTTTATTGGTTGTTCCTTGAGTGAAGCTTTGTAAACTCTGATCCGTGCTGTTTTTCATTACGCATTTTGTTACTGAATTTTTGTAAGTTACATTAAGTTCTTGTTCTTCATTTGATTTAAAACAAAAATAGCAAAATGACCAAAATACGGTTTTCATATGGTTTAATTACTATTTTATGCACAAACGTATGGTTTCAAACGCAAAATCTTACGGCAGGACACCAAAGTGCCTTACCAGGTGTAGTGTCGCAAATATTAAAATACACGACAGTCTAGCTGAGGCTTGTAGTCCTATGAGTCATTATGTCCTCATGAGAATCAAACCAAGAAATAGCACATATTCATCGACTTTCCATTTGTTAAAAGTAGCAGTATACGTGTAAACCAAATATCCATGCATAACACGATATTTATATGGCTTACTGAATAAATATACATGGTTATATGGCTCTTGGGGGGTAAACTATGCCTAATTTTGGACGGGGACGTGCCATTTTGGTTAAAATTTTGGACCCATAATTCCCCAAATGTCTGAAAAAATGTGACCTATAATTTCGCAAACATGATGAAAACTATACCCATTATTCTGCAGAGCAAATAAATTTTTTAAAGCACATAAAAAATCATTAACCAAATTGTGCATGTCCTTTGCCCAAAATTTCAATATTACACATATTTCATACGTTTATTTCTAACTGGACATTCATTTTATTAATGCTTAATCTCCCTGCTAATAATTTTGCAATATTTCCAAAAAATTGTACCCGTAATTCTGCATTTTTCTTCAAATTGTACTCATAGTTCTGCACAAATTTTAAAAACTAGTACCGATAATTCCGCACTTTTCAGGAAAAATATACCCCTAAATAATGGCACGTCCCCATACCTTCAAAAATGTTAATGTACACCCTCCCCCCGAGATATGGTTATGACGAAGGCTTAGAAGCCCGAAACAGAAGAAACACCTGCTCTGGCTACGGTGAGATCTCCTGGGGTGGCATCAAAGTTCACTGATCATCTCATTTGGCCGTTTGATTCAGTTGAATGATCTTGGATTTTGATGCAGGAAACTGGAGTTCGATTTTGAAAAGGTGCATTTATTTTACAATTGGGCAGCACCCTTGTGGAAATAATTTCCCTCTGTCAGCCTTGGCCTACTGAATACATACATTTATACATATGTAAATAAATATGTCTTCAAACAGCAGCCTTTAGAAACATAACTCTTTGTATCCATTACTGTCCAGCTGCAACTGGCTAGAGTTATATTATCCGGTGAAGTGTAGCTGGCACTTTATTTATGTCGATATATCTGGAAGGAATGTCACGTGCTTTTTTTGTGATGCCTAGCTTTCTTACGCTTCTATCAAGACCAAAATGAAAGTTCTTCGTATGTGTCTATTCTATAAAATTTCCCGAATCTTATCAGATTTTTTGCAGGCATAACCTCGTCTTTGCTCCTTTGTTTCTGATGTTTTCTTGTACTCACCGTGAGTGCGAGGTATTTACATTGTTTCAAATGTAATTTTAGGAGATGTGTCCAGAATGTTTGTGGTTGAGTTCTACTTGCGTACAACAGAAGACGAAGCACTACTATCAGACGCGTTAGTTTGTGAAATCGAGCAGTACGACACATTCAAAGTACATCGGCTACTTCCTATTGAAAAAGGCGCTGAGCTGGCTTCAGGCACCTCAAGAGTATTTACTTGTGAAGATAAAGCATTTCTGACAAGCCTCAGTAGCGAGCTCGATGACGTAGAACATGCATATGAAGAATTTTGCAAACAATGGGATTTCGAAATGACTTCACTCCCTCGCAGATGCAAAGTAACACATGCCTGGTGCAAATATGTCTCAAAAAAGCCATCTTTATCAGAAGTTCAAAGAATTTGGAATCCTATCTCAGTTGAGTTTGGGAATTTTACTAGCAAACAGATATTTGAGTGCTCTTTAATTGAGCGCTCTAAGATTATATGCCAAGAAATGGAAGTAATGATGGAGGAAAACCTAAGGTTAGAGTTTGATCAAAAGGGTATAACTCTAGAAAAGCTTGTTGGAGAAACAACATTCATCATGTACATCCCATTGACTTCGCTTCATGAGTTTGCTGTTTGTTGCGCGTCTATGGATGGCCAGACGCTGCATCTTTATTTGCCTCTCAAGACACCACCAAATGTTGGAACTGAAAATAGAAACATTAAAGACGCAGTCGTCGATAATAAGGTTGTTTGTATAACTTTTCCATCTAGCTCGTGGAAAGAACTCCGGAGAACACTTGCGGTTCCAGAAATTATGCCAGTTTCCGTTTTCAACACTTGTGTGAAACACGAGCATGCTTTTGAATATGCTCAATCAGTGAAGATAAAAGAAGCAACTCTTGAGGGTTACCAAGTTCTCAACAACAGTCTTTGGCTCATGAAAGTGTTGAAAGGAAAGCGAGAATTTTGTTTACCGAACAGGAATTTGTTGTTTCTCTACGAGAAGCTTGTAGAAGCTCTTGTTGGTGGCTATACAGGTAAAATAGCACTTCTGTTAAGGCTGAACCCATTGGGGGTAATATTGGATATTCTGCGGGGTGGTCCTTTTTGACATTACACCATAACTAATCACCTATCACGCCGTCCTCACAACCGACGCCATGTTTTTCTCTACCATTGCAATCATTATCACCACAATTACCATTATCAACACTACCATTATTTCATTTCGATCACAATTATTATTTTTGTTTTTATAATCATTTTTATAATCATCACTATTATCCCTTACACCAGTCTCTACAGTACCACACACATTCCCTCACATCACCCACCACCCTTCCCTCTCCCACTTCCATTATCCCATTTTTTCATCGCTGCGCTGCATTCACACCAATCTTCATCAACCAATCCGGCATCACTATCTCACATTTCAAATTCATTTACTCGTTCGTTTTATTTACTCTGATGAAGCCCTGTATGCCGAGGCAAAATATAAGTATGCATTCTATTTAATTTGTTTTGAAAATTTATCTTATTACATTGGACTTTCAACGCCGTTTTGCTTTGTTCCTGAATTTTACCTTCATCCTTTTTACACCCTGCAGATCTAAGCTTTATTGGAAGAATTTACGTAAGCTCGATCATATTCAATGATATTGTAAACGTACGAGCTATTGTTTCAATGTATGATATCCACAACAACTAAGTTTTTGTTCTTTTTTTGCTGCAACTCGGATCCTACACTATTCGTGCAAAAAAGCCAAAACATATGCATGTTTTTTTAGCTTCTTCCAGAAAAATTCTACTTTCTTCCTACACACCCCGTGTCGGCAAATAAAAATTATTCCCAAACTCTTTGAAACCCTTCTGTTCATCTTCTTGTCCTCATCTGTGTTCCCCTTTCGTCCACCTTCACGGTGTAACACAAAACATTTAATTTCTTTGTTCATTTGCTGAAGTTCCGCTTTCTTCCCACAATGCAACTTCTCTATTTAATGCGTTTACAATATCGGCAACCAAAGAAGATTTTGCCGCTATTTTGCTTTCAGTACCCTAAGCTGTCTTCATTACTCCTTTCTTGGCCTTATATACTACAAACCGAAAAAGTATCTTGTTTGACTTGAATGCAATCACTTTCAATCCCTCCAGGTTCTCTGTACCTCTTCCTTCTTCTTTCTCGACTCTTTTTACCGTGCCTCTATCAATGAGATGTTTTTCTCGCTCAAGTCTAAGCTCTTTGTGACATTTTGCTTTTATGTTCAATTATTCATTCTTCTTCTGTTTTTTTCAGATTTATGGGAAACAGCCTTGAATTACGTTATCCAGAATGAAAACTGCTTTTGGATCGATCTGGAGACAGCTTTCATTAGGGTGCTAGACAGCTTGCAGACTTTACCTAAGCCAGCTATTTTACTAGCAAAAGTCCCGGTTCCCGCCTTTCACAAAATGATAAAGAGGGTTGTAATAACACCTAATAGATTGGTGTGTCTCCCAGCCACCCCTGTTGCAGAGAGTCGTTTGCTACGTTACTATGGCGACGAGTACGAGTTTTTGATCGTCAGTTTCAGAGCAGAAGAGTTTCAGGAGCTCCATTCCGTTGAAGATAAGGAGTTGCTCCGTCGTATAAAAAATTTCATCATAAATGGATTCACAGCAGTAAAGCATTACTGGTTTTTTTGTTCCAGTGCAAGTCAGTTAAGAGATCGTAAAGCCTACTTCGTTGCTGCCCAGTCATATGATGAGGTATGCCTCTTGTTCGAGTACAGGTTTAGGGAAGAGAGGTTCCTAAGCATAAGGGCACAAATTTCCAAATTCTTTTGGCTCCAGCATATCATCCTGTAGCATGAAGTGATAAAACTTCAATAATACTTAATGAATGTTTGTGACATTTTAACTTTGATCATGGGGTCTATTTGGATGACAAATTGAAGGAAGGGCAGGGAGCTCTGATAGCAAATCGAATTAAGGAGCTGTTAGTTCAGTTTATAGGATAACAGAAGCTAGTCCAAGCTTTGCAAAGGTCATTATCACTAATTTTTGCATGCATAATTTTTGCATGCTTAAATTTTGCATGCATAATTTTTGAATGCATAATTTTTGCATGCATAGTGCTGTTGTTGATGCAGTTCTTCAATCACAAACAAATGTTCGGGCCGTTCTGAAATTCGAGACATGATTCTGAAATCGTTGACATTTCTAATGATTTTATTGTTTTTTTTCATAGAATTGAACCCAAAATTCAAAATGATAGAATCCAGAGCACAACCCGACTAATTTTTTTCTATATTCTCAATGCAACTAGATATCTCAAAATATGACTTTTTAAAGTCTAAAATCACTTCATCTTCTGAACGATATTGCTTTCTTTTTTGTCGATATATTGTCTCTTTTATGATGTATTTTCTTTTTTATCACTATATTGCTTTTCATTACAATATTGGCTAGAGCAAAATCTTCAAGCGCCGTATATTTATTTAAGGATATTTAGCTTGATTCAAAAGCCAGTCTTTAAGGTTACAAAATTCTTTGTATTAGGTGATACATGAAGAAGATATGGAAGAACAAAGAATAATATTATCGATGTACAGCCTTGAATTTCTGAGTTCTTTTCCTTATTCTAAATTAGGTTTTTTAAGGTCTTCTTGATACCTTTTTCCAAATTAGATTTTCTAAAAAAGGGTTCTTTACACTTTTTCAAATAGCGTTCTCCTCCGCTTTCTTAAAAAGTGATCTCCTATCTTTTTGAAAATGGACTTTCCTTCATTTTCTATAAATAATTTTCCACCCTTTAGCTGATCTTAAAATCTTTTTTGAACAAGGTACAAAAACTGCGAAGTAAAATTGTACTCAACAGAAGTGAGCAGAAGTCGACAGCCAAATATCTGAGCAAGCTTGGTTTGTTTTGCACTTCAGACAAGCAAATTTTGTCTCTTTCTGAGGAGAGGATGGCAATACGCGATGACATCAGAGCCTTGAACGGTGACTTAGTCACTGATGGCTGTGGTCAGTATACGAAAAAGTCTCTTACGGGGATACGCAGGCATTTCACATAGTGCGACAATCCAAACGTTTTGTGTTCTGAATTGAACAAGATTTTATCCTTTAATAAAATATCTCGTTGGTAGCAAACTTGAACTTTGTTGTTAAAACGCATCATTGATCTCACAATACCATTAAACACAAAATACACCTGAGGCACATAATTTTACAGCACATTACATATTATAAGGATATATATGCTAAGTATGTATTCTTTTGCCTTATTCAGATGACTTTTTGGATGCTAAACGATGCAACCAGATAATGTCAAACAAAACACAGAATCCGGAATACAGAATCTGGAATACAGAATCCAGAATACAGATCCGAATTCTGGAATACGGAATCCGGAATATAGAAAATGGAATCAAGAATCCTATACGTAAAGAACGTACTCCGGATTCCAGATTCCGGATTCCGTGTTTTAAAGGTAGCCCAACCAGATAGATCCCCCAATAAATTAATTGCTTGAATACCCCTTTAGTTAACACTTTTTCGTTATGTTATGGTTTCCATATGCCAACAATATAATAAAATCTTTGTTTTGACCATTTGGGTTTGACTCAAAATATCTTTTTCATATTCCGATCCCTAGGAAGTTAGGCCTTACTTCAAATTTTTTGATAGCAATATATTTTGTGCAAAACAGTGATATTGACATCAAATGATAAGCTTATAAGCAATGATATTCACAATGCTTTGAACAAACGACCACATCAAGTCATTTCTCTAACCGATTTCTGTGTTCTCGTTTGATTCACATAGTTAGGAAAAAAGAACAAATCACAGTGATTTGACAGGGAAAAGCCTGTGCTAATGTGACCAGATCTCAGCCAATACACAACACATTTCACTGATTTTGCACATTTATAGGTTATTAACAAATGTTAACAATTATCTTTTTATTCAGGTAAAGTTTCGAGAAAGATGGCTCAAAAAATCTCGTCTCTATTGCAACTTGAAGATCATGTTCCCTCTGCATTTCAAATCCGAGTTGGGGGTATCAAAGGTGTTCTTGCTGTTGCCAGTGACAACGACCCTGAGCTGCGGCATTCTGACGTCATCTATCGAGAATCGATGCTTAAGTTTGTGAATAATGATAAAGAGTTATGTGTTGTTAATTGCGCCAATTACCACAAGCTTTTTCTTAATCGCGAAGTCATTACACTCTTAACTAGCATCAACGAATTATTGCACCGAACAACGGACGGCAACATATGGATGATTGAACATACCATTAGAGTATTGCACGAGAAAGCCCTTTGGGATGCTGCAAGAATTTTTGAAGATTCAGTTGCAGCAAGGGAGGCATTAATGCAATTCCTGCCAAAACAAACGGTGCTTCAAGTTCAAAACAGTGGCTTTGATGTGCTGACTGAACCATTCTGGTTTGCACTGCTACGAAATGGTAAGTGTTGGGCGGACATGAACAATCTGGCGAGGTACCATGTTTTGCTTGAGGTGATATTTTTAGGAGAGCGTTTCCTGACCCTAACGGCCTGTGATTCGTTGATGCCGTCAAAAAACTCCTCCACGTGTATGACACGAGGTTAATCGGATTATCCGAACCGGATTCTTCAAATCAAGAAATTCTGGATAAAAATAATCCTACATTTTACTTTAACATTCTTGTCTTCGATACAACGACATTGGCGTCGCCAGAATGCTTTGCTCGGAAAGCCCTCTTGCTATATGTAATTTCTTTGGAATCATTTTTAATGAATGAGTTTTCTGCAGATTCAAGAAGTAAGGGCCTAATCAACCTAAGTTTCTTCCATCTTTCTTTTATTGATAAATGCAAGTCTTTGTGTACTTCCCCATCCCCCTGACTCATCGCTAGCTATTGTGCTCAAGGGGATGCTCACGCCCCATTTGCCAACACAGTTGCTGAGCCAACCTTTATTTGACAACAAGTCTGAAATCCTGCTTTTGAAGAGCCCAAAACAAATGGGTTCTTCAAACCAGAAAACTAAAACTGCTTTCCACAGGGAGTTTCACACCCCTGCCATGCCCCATCGTGGGAACGGCCCTGCCTGTGTCAGGTTTAAACAAGAAAACCTTAACTTTCATTTGACAATTTTTGCATGAAGTAATGACTAAAGGTTTGCCTATTTTCTGCTTATGCAAGCCAGTCTTTAATTTCTTTCCCCCAAAGAACGGTTGTTTATTTTTCTCAAAATGGGCCTCTCAGTCCTATGACTCAACAGGTACTGTACTTAAAAGGGCATTATTGAGTTCTGTAATGGGCTTTGTCTTAGAAATATGGACGTCTGAAACCCCCTTTACTAACTTCACAATCAGCACGATGATATAGAGTAGCCTTGGCCATTATCTATTTTGTGAGTGATCCACAAAACTGGCCCCTCTAAGAACATTTTCTGTGATCATGACCTTCAGTCTCTTTGAAAACTATGGAAATACTCTCTTTTGGTGCAATTGTCGAAGAAGTTTTCTTTAAAGGGATTCTTAACAAGATTGTGCAAGAACATTGAACTCACGAATAAAAGGACTATTGGTATCGTTTCTCTCTGTAATAAACTCACAGGCATTGATTATAGGTACCCCTTCTTCTCAGTGGACAGGGTTTCCAGTCTACAGATCAAGGATTGAGCCTCGATTTGCTATACCTCATTGGCCATTTCGTTTCCATCACTGAAATCCTATTTACTATACCTACACCGGTATGTACTATACCTATCTATTAAATTCCAGCGTACAGTTTGTCAGTGATGTCTTTGAGAAGAAAGTCAAGGATACTTTTGGATAATGGCTGCCTTCTGATGGGTATAGCCGACACGATTGGCCTCTTGAAAGATAACGAAGTGTTTGTTCAATTTCAAGAAGATCCAATAAAGAGTCCCAGAATCATCACAGGCCCAGTTCTAATATATAGAAACCCCTGCCTTCACCCCGGAGATCTACGCTGGGTGACAGCTGTCAATCACCCTAACTATCTGCCGTGGAAAAATGTATTGATCCTTCCAACAGAGGGGGTCAGTAATTCATTAGCAGCTGATTGCAGCGGTGGGGACCTGGATGGGGATCTCTTTGCTGTGATTTGGGACGAAAGATTTATTCCACCGTGTCCAGTGAGAAATCCACCCTTAAACTACGCCGAGCTATCAAGGGGAGCGCCGGAAAACTTTGTTCCTGACAAAGAGCGTTTGTTATTTGCCGATGTCTTCTGTCTGATCGTTCAAAACCATGCTTTAGGTAAATGTTACTGATCAAAGCCACTGTGATTCAGTTGATACTGTCACGTGCTCTATTATAGCCAATAGAAATATCTGTTTAGATTTTGATTTTTGAAATCTTCCTCATTTCCAAACTGAGGTTGTAAATTGTTTAGTCCAAAGCCTTTTCCCTCCACTCTTCTTTACAGCTGCTTTTCCACCAAGCGATTCTGTTCTGCGTGTTAAACAGTCGCGTGTTGTTCGTATCGCGAACGGATTTGCCCAGTTGAAAACCGGCTTTACGGCTTTCCACCATTGGATGCCACTCGGTGGGCCTGATCATTCACATCACTTTCATCATCTTCATTGTCACCCACGTAATGATTATAAAACTTTCACATTGTATTTTTACAGGCCAAGTTGCAAACCGGCATTTGGCACTATGTGATCAACTGCCTAAAGGCGCGTGCGACGATTTGGCCAAGGAGCTTGCCAAATCACAATCACAAGCAGTGGACTTTCCAAAGACTGGCATTTTGCCAACGATACCTAGAGAAGCTTTAGGGTAGGTGCCAAAAAGGGTCAGTAATAGCTTAAAATATATCAAGTACACGTTTTTTATAAGAACAACTCTTATAAGAACACCAGCGAGGGGCAAATCACTCCAAGAAAATCTCGTACACTTTTTGCGAAAATCCTATTGTTTTATCTGAAAGTCCTTGGAAATCCTTTTGTTTTAGGGAAAATTTCGTACGTTATTTGCAAGAGTGAATTGCCTCTCGAACACCAGACTGAGATCTGCCCGAAAACAATGTCTGTATTATTGGCTGAAACTATGGAAGGAGGTACTTCCTTATTGGGTATGACTGAATTTCGTAAATAACAATAAAAGTGAAGTCAGTCTTTATTTCTGAGCAGTTAGCCTTTATACGGGTACTACAAGCTAGGTGTGGAAAGATATTTTCGGTCCCTATTCTGACGTTTCATACTCTGAAGAGTGTTAGAAAAAAAACTTCAGTTTTTTGTAAACTTTCCCAAGACGAAAACAGCAGAAAACGGAGCAAAACAGACTATCTACCCACTTGTACAGGTTCTCCCCCTGTCGATATCTCTCCTTTTGTACATCTTGGACGGTCCTACTGTTCGCTCCTGAGAATTTATTTGAAGCATACCCCTACAAATGTTTTTTATATAGTTCTTTGAATCGCTATTGTTTTATTCGATGAAAAACTCATATATAGGATTTGTCTATTGTTGCTGATTCACCCCTAATCACATTTCACCCCTAGCATTAAGTTTCCTGATTTCATGGAGAAGGACAGCGGTTATTATTCCGAGAAAGTTATTGGTGAATTATATCGTCGCTGTAGATCTTCTGTTTTCGACTTTGAACTGGCGATTGAAAAGGGACGCTCATGCCAGTAAGTACTTTTCTATTTCATGGGACTTTGAATAGCACACATTCGCAGAACTTCCATTCCAAGACGTAAGACTTTTTTGGGCTTGTTATTTTAGAAGATTGACTCTAAAATTGGGGGATGAGAAGAGAGATGGGAAAAATGGAGGAGGAAATGAAAAAGAAAAGGGGAAAGGGGAAAAGGAGCGGGTGGAGGGGGAAAGGACAGAGCTTGGTTACTGCTATTCTAAGAGGTTTTTCGGCACATCTGACCAAAAGATTCCACTTTTGGTATTCATTATTTTAAATCCCCCCCTCGCTCCCAGCTTTCTTGCCCCAATCCAAGCATCAGGTCAGTGCTTATTTTTATAAGTGTCTTTTCTCATGGTCCATGAGGTCAAAAGCAATATATTTCAAATTTGTTTTTTCTCTGCAGATCAAGCTTTGACCTCGATCTGTTTGTTGATGGGTATGAGGAATACATAGAAGATGCAAAGGAGGGATTTGAGGCATACAAAAGATGTATGCAAGGAATCATGGCGCATTACTCTCTAAAAAGAGAGTCGGAGGTAGTTCTTGGACGGCCATTAAGTTGGGACCCACTTCTCAAAGCAGACAAGGGTAAAGTAATGGAAGCAATTGAAGGCTCCTATGAAGCAGTAAAAAGAAAATTCAGAGCTGAATTCTTACGAAATGTTTCAACTCAAGAAGAGCAGAGAAAGAAGGCCTATGCCTGGTATGCCGTTGCTTACGATCGCAGAAATTCTATGGTGGGTAAATCCGTGGTAATCTTATTCAACGAGGGATGGAGCATAAGATACTTGACTTTATTTTGCATTCCATTAGAAGGGCTTTGGTCCATGTTAATGTTATAGTAATTTTATTAGTAATGTTTTATGAAATACTAATATAATTTTGCAAATATAAAGTAATTCTTCAAAGATCGTACCAAGCAGAAGGTTATGTTCAACTCACAAATTTATATTCAAATCAGATGAAGGTTATTTTCAACTGAATCTAGGTATTTTTCTTAAATAAGAGTATTCATATAGAAAGCTACTTTCTGTTTGCAGTTAACTAACGTTGATTTTTTTTAAGAAAAATTTTGATTCATTGAACAGGCATCCAAAAACTTCTTCAGTTTTGCCTGGCTTGTTCACGATATCCTTTGTACAATAAAACAAGACAACACAACTGCAACGATTCTAAAGCAGGATATGGTTCTAAGACTGATTGACGAGAGCATCTATTCAAGATTTTTCCAGTGCAAATCACGACTTGAATCGATGATCGCTACTAAGGAAAACATTTTGCGTTGCGTGAAAGCGGAGATAGATCGTGTTGCGGGAAAGAACTGTTTTGCTGTGGAAGCATACGGCTCGGCTTCGATGTATCTTTGCAGTGAAGAATCTGACTTAGATGTATGCCTGACACCACTCAAATTGGCATGGGAAATGTGGGCACCTGCAGGTATGGATTTTCCCTTTCCAGGCACTATATAGAGCTTGTTGGACTAGTCTTTTAACAATTGAAGAGAGCAAATGGTATTAGAAGCAAAAATACCTATGTACTTTTCTTTAGTTTTTATTGACTCGATGTTATTTCTCCCTAGATTTGGTAAGTTTTAAAAAACTCCAACCAAAGGACCAAGCAAAACACTTCTTGGAGATTATCATTTCGAAAGCCGTTGATAATATTTCAAACAGCAAGGTGCACAAGCTCAAAGCTACCGTTCCAGTTATAACAATAACAGTTGGCGATCAAAACAGAGAATGTGCTGTTGACCTCTCTTTCAACAATATCGGCCTTGCAAAGACATTGTTTATGCACAGGCTGTATACAAGCAATTGCAAGACATTCATTTTGCTATGGGTGCTTGTTCGATGGGCTAGGGCTGTAGGGATGATAAAATCTGGAATGGAAGCGCAGGACCTCCCGCAACAACCCGAGCTACGAAGAGAAGAAAAGACTGTAAATGTCGAAGGTCTGCTGGCAACTGCTGAGTTCTATGTACTGGTCATCCATTTACTTGATTTGAAACCAACAGAGGAAGAATTTGAGAACAAGAAAGAAAGAAACAAAAAAGCGAAGAAGGTTTGTTTTTTTTGGATTTTTTCTGTAGACAGGGGGTGTAGTACGTTACAATAGAAGTATCTCTCCCGCTCCCGAATGAAGGAGTAACGCAGCAAAGCAAAGTCTTCTCGCATCTCCGATCTTTGTTGTTTGCTGTCCTTTAACTTTTACAGGTATCACCTCAATCGATAATAGATTCATTGAGTTGGTAGCAAATGTTCCTTGAAGCCAACGATTGTGCTGTTTGTTGCAGGGTGAAGTATCTAGACCTTAAAAGCAATCGATAGATATAAATATGGCTCGAGCCAGCTGTCAGTTAATATTAGCCAATCAGTGGACGTATGAGTGGATTCACATTCACTGATTGGTCAATTTGTGATTTAAAAAAGGCTTAATCCCCTTTATTTTCTCACGATTGCCTTAAAAACTGTTTGGATCTGTCCTATAAGCCGGTTGAGGAAACCTCATGCTCGCGTATGCGACTAAAATAAACTAAATAAACCACATATTTGAAAACTTCTTGCATTCATAAATGTAGTTTTAAGAGAATAGAATGCATATGAACGTATCTAGGTGGGCAAAGGCGACAGAAGGTGCATGTGGGGAAAATGCTGGCCTAAGTCACTCTGACTTGCAAATTTTTATGCTCAAAATGTTCGTGTGATTGAACGGCTTGAAAGGCCACAATCTCAAACATAATCAGGATGTTCTACCTATGTTGCAGAACCCGTCTCCCACTATATCGATTTAAAAACGATGGCCAAAGCTGAACTCGAATCCTTTTCCTCTAAACGCGTGCGACTCTCCCGAACTCTTACTCCCTACCTCCCTTGATCAAGTGATCTTACGTCAACAGTAACAAAACACTATTTTCTACAGTGCATTCCAGTAATAATTCAAAAGTTTTTACCTTGGTATGCATAAAGCATTTTTGGAAAAATCCTTTTGTATGTATTTGCCTTACTTCTTAGTTAGGCAAACGTTTAGGGGTTCGATTTGCTCAGTTGCTAGTTGGAAATTCAAGCGAATTTTTGTACTTATTTCATTAAATTTTCAATTATTTTAGCATGTTAGCCCATTCAGCAATGCTGGTTCACAAGGGGCCATGCATCAAAACTAAGCTGAAAAGTAAGAAAAATCTGAAGGGACCCACTTGAAAAGTTTTAAGGGGCCTACCGGGAACTTTCCCGAGTCCTGCTGGGCCACCACGTCCCTGGTAGACTCATGCTTATAATAATGGTTGATTGTGATATAGCCTTATAACTACCCGTGTAGTGGGCTTGACTTGCCTCAGCCACAGCACAAAGGCGTTCAACAATATTTGGACAGATCCTTGACTAGTAATTTGCCATGAAACAAATCATGTTCTCAAATGTAGGTGTGCCCATTAAAAAGACTATTTGTACAAGCCAAGGAAGCCAAAAAAGACGAGGAACATCAGGTTGCTCATATGCTGGTGACGTTCTTTCGCCGTGGAGCTTTGATGGAAAAATGTGAGGAAGATGTCGAGCTTGTGTGGCCTGATGAAAACATCCCCAACGTGATTCTTTCTGCCCAGGTAAAAATTATTTGGTAGATTTTTATTTCTTGCTTTTCCCATTTCATTTATCTATCACATTTATGGGCGGCGAGGCAGGTTGGAAAGTGGGGGCAAGAGAAACTTTAACAATCACAACAAAAGATTTTGGAAAAAGCTCTATTGTTTTGCAAAATAGTGTCGCCACCCCCTCCTCCGTTGGAGGCCCTGACTTTCATATTGTTTGTATCAAAAACTGGACGGCTAAAATTGCAACGGCGAGTTTCAAGAAAAAACCATGTTTTATGCTAACGAAGCGTAGAACTCCGAGTTGCCTCTTAAAAAGAAATAGGGTATTTAGCATTATTTGAGCAGACTATTATTTGAGTAATGTTCACTGTTATATATTGTATATGTTTCACGTGTTTGCTACTTCTTGCCCTTGTTCATTTTACTACTTTTTTATGTTTTCATTTCTTTCTTCTTTTTACTCATCCGGATTTTGGTTTTATTTCCTACCGGCGTTATAGATCTTTGTGTCCTACCATTTTTGTAATTTCTCATTCTATTTTGTTTCAGTCTTTCGGCATCCCTTCCTTTTCTACTTACATTATCAACTGTGATTTATTTTTCAAATTATGTTGAAATTAACATACATGCTGAATTTTTCCCAGGTGATCAAGCTAATTTCTCTCTACTGCATGAATGGCCTGCACAGTGTTTTCGCAACACGCAGTGTTTCAACCATGCTATCTCAAGTAAAAGCAACTTCTGAGAAGGAAGTTACCTTTTCCCGGAAGCTCCCCAAATGCCTCGTTCATGCATTCGGAAAAGCAACAGAATTTCATGCTGCAAGGCTAAGCTCTGTGACCGGAGCTAATGTGAAAATTTCCATGGAAAACATCGTATTTGGTGAGTTTCCATTGAAAGGTTCTGAGTAGGAGTTAGTTATAGACTAGCTGGCGATTTTAGCATTTTTACTATTAGCTAACACAAAAAGGTGAGTGTCAGAACCGTTTGGATTTAACAAATATTGAGGTATGTGCGGTAGAAAGTGTGAATAACTGCATATTATGAAGATGCAGAGGAGAATCTAACTGTTAAACACGTGTCAGGTTTTTTATCGATATCTTCAATCTATAGACGAATTTGCATGACATAGAAGATTTCAGCGATACTCCACCCCCATCAAATCAATGCCTATTATTCTTTCTCCTGTTATTTGTGCCACAGTTTAGCAGAAAGGCCAAATTATTAAGCGTACATCGTTTACCTGGTCTATTAAATGTACATGGTTTACATATGAAGCTAACGAACACGTAACGCCTTGCAGCCACGGGGTCAAGATCTAGCATTATGAAATTAAAGGAAGAGCTGCACGCCCTGTCTGTAACCAATCGTGCTTTGATGCTGGGACGACTGCCAAAGAAAACATCACGATATTTCATGGAAGGATCAACTTTGGTTATAGCGAAAGGCAACCCATCAGCGGATGCTATGGTAAGTAACAAAAGGGTTATGGATCAGAGACCGTAATAAGTAGTCGATCAGAGGAGGGGTTTTTGAATGAATAAAGTCGGTTATATGCTTGCGTTTTTCTGACCCATAGCTGGGTTTATATTTCCATTTTGTATTTTTGGACCCTTATTCTGACGTTTTATTCTCCGAAGAGTGTCAAACGAAGAAGCTTTTAAGTATGTTGCAAATTGTTTCTATTTTTCAAAGCCATTTTCAAATTCTGTACCGCTAAAAATTGTGAATATCATTTTGTTGAAAACTGAGGATTTTTCCGAAGAAGCAAATATCGCTTTATCGACATAAGTTGTTCCTTTATTTGTTTCCAATTATTTACATCGCCATTTCTTAAGTCTTATCAACCAATGTAAAAAAAATTAAAATTTTATCGAATTACAGGCGGTTAACCGGCTTACGAAAATAGGAGGGATCCATCCATCAGAAAAATAGCCTATGGCCAGCCTGGTTTGGCGAGATCCACGAGATAGATAGGCAAGGGAGGATCTGGCCTGAGCGAAAAAACGTATCTATACCATGCGGGAAATGACAAACAGATCACTGGCTTGCTCGCTTTGACCTTACATGAAACAGACTAGCTCAGACAGGCGACATGGTATAGATAGATAAACGCGTGCCCAACCTCAGTAATAGACGTGTGGGCACGATGCTAGCCAAGCCCACAGGCACTATGCCCCGTCAGTCAACCATTCAGCGTGTTTAAAATCGACAAAACATTGAAGTTTAGCCGATTGGCTCCTTAACAACAGGTCTATTGTATAATATAACCAATGGGAATTTAGAGAAGCCTCAATGTAAACGTTCGGAAATGTTATTTCTCTTCGATGACCTGGCCTGGCAAACCGGGTTAGCCAGCCTCTACACAACCAGGCCTTTTTGTTTTGATGTACCAAGGTCGTTTTTGATAATTTTTTTCGGACCTTCCTTCAATAGAATAAAATAGTCTAGGTTTCTGTATCAATGAATTTTCCTTCTCTTCTTTTTATAGTTGCAACAATGGGAAGTTTGACGATTGTCAGTTTTATCTTTTCCCTCTCGAATTTCCCTCTCTGGATCAATTTGATTTCTTCACCACTGGAGTGTATCCAGGCCTAAAAGCAGTTTGAATAATTCAGGAACAAAATCTCCTCTCTATTTTTTGTGTTTATTTATTTATAAAATTATTTTTTAATAAAACATTTTCATTTATGTATATGTCTGGTGCTAGAGGATAGTCATGACAAATTGCCCCTCCTGGCCGTTCTTGTAATAGAATAAAGTAGTATTCGTTAGGTAATTTTTTTGTAACTTTTTACATCGAATTAAAAAATCCCTTCACCAGCAGAAAAAGAGTTAATTTGCTAAATTTTCTGTCGATGATTTTTCCCATATATGACCTATTACAGGTTTTATTTGGCAAAAGTGTTGGACCATGGAATATGTTGCACCATCTAGGGGAAAGACATCACCCTACATTGAAAAGTGAACCTGTTCATGATTGGATTGGGAATGCTGTTAGCAGGTTCAGTGAACGGCTAATGCAACAACTGTGCAAGCTGCCCCTCAAAAACCAAACTGTCATCGGTATGAAAGAATTTCTTGCCAGAAGAATTTAGACAACATTTGTATTACTTTACTGCATTTATTCGCAGGGGAATGATACATCCACTATACATTCCTGAAATCAATTTTATTTGTGAAGACTTACGTATAACCGTCTCTAAAGTATTCAAGGAAACTAAGGCAATTTTCACCTTTGTCTAATGATTAAGGTTATTTTCACCTTTATCAATTAATTTGTCAGTATTTGGACAACATGGTGGCAACGTTAAAAAATGTGAAAGATTCTGATGTTGTTATGTTGCATACGAATTGTCCCTACCATATGCTTTGGGGGGCTGGTTAGGGGGTGGAGGTGGCTGAAGAGTCTTTGTCTCATAAAACCTTTGCCTCTCCCAAGTCCGTAATAAGCGCCGTGGACCCTGATTTGTTGAGAGCTCAAAATCATGTAAAATCTCAAACTGGATTTGGCTGTTTTCCCAGATGAAAGTTTGATGCGATCTTGATTTCAGATTCGCTCAGCACGTCAATAACTTTCGGTTCATTTTACACGGTAAACATTTCCCAGAGCCTGCCACCGACCCAAACAACATTGTCAGTAGATGAATTGGGAATCAAGATCGAGAAGGGTCGTCGAAATAGGAAAAACTGGCAGCGGGGAGAGTTTGTCGCAGAACCAGAGCCAAATAGGTTTTTCGCGAAAGCTAGATTAGGCCCAGCAAAAGGGGATCTTGCTGTGGAAAAAAAGAAGCCAAAACACAGAGATACTAAGAAAAGTTCGATTACGTCATCATTCTGCAGCGGAATACTTGCGCAGAACAACCACGACAAAGCGGTTTTACAGTTGTGCGAAGAAGCGTTCATATCTTCCCTTGCTGAATGTGGCTTTGCTCTAGGAACGAACGGGTTTGATCGCAGCGAAGTTGGTTGGAAAGTACATAGCCTGCCATCATCTAGCTACGAGGTGGTCATCAGCCTTGACCAGGAAATGAAAAATAAGGCTGTAGAGGAGCGGGCTTTGAAGTGGATCAGTGCAAATGTCGTTGACGGTGATGGAAGTGAAGCGGTCAAAGGTCTTCTAGCCAATCACGATATCCGAATCAACATCATCAGCAGAGACTCGGTTCCAGAAAACTCGGATTTGTGGAAAAAAGTCGTTCCAGAGCCGGACATTCCTATTCTTGAGCTGAAAGAAGGTAAAATTTTTTCAAAAGCAATTTCTGAAGCAGTCAGCTACAAATGTCTTCACTAACTTGTTGTATTATTTTTTTGCTACCCATGAATGTCCCTCTTCTTATTTGGCCCCTCAATTCCTGGCTAGACCTGATGAGATGTATGACCCCCTTGCAATAGATGTTACTTCTCGCTGTTGGTTTCCTCTAGGAAGGAAACATAACCCTACCTGCTTTTGTAGCATATTACTTAAAGATTGCCCAAATAATTTTTTTTCTCACATATTCAAAATGAAATCCGTGTAATCTATTGGTTGGGGGTTGTTGTTTCACGGCATCAGCCACATACTTTATACCGAGTGTTGCAGATTTTGCGCTTTTATGCAAGTCAACTTATTCGGCTCACAATCTAGCACGTGAAGAAACGAGATCATTCATCAACGCCAACAATGTTTTACGCTCAAGAGGAATGTAGAGGAGACAAATGTAGATTAGAATGATAAAGCTATTAAGAATGTAGAAAAATGTTGTAGAGGGGAAAAATTGTCGAATGAAGGAATGTAGACAAGAACAATTCAGAAGGCAAGAATGTCAACAAAAATAATGTTGGAGAAAGGAATGTAGAAGAGACGTATTTATAAGAGAAGAATATAGAAGAGGAAATTCTAGATTAGAAGAATCTAGAAGAGAAGAATGCAGCAAAGAAGAATGTAGAAGAGACGAATGTAGAAGAGAAGAATGCAGCAAAGAAGATTCTAGAAGAGAAGAATCTAAAAGAGAGGAATGTAGAAGGGACAAATGCAGCAAAGAAGATTCTAGAAGAGAAGAATCTAGAAGAGAGGAATGTAGAAGGGAAGAATGCAGCAAAGAAGATTCTAGAAGAGAATATTCTAGAAGAGAAGAATCTAGAAGAGAAAATTCTAGATTAGAAGAATCTAGAAGAGAAGAATGCAGCAAAGAAGAATGTAGAAGAGACGAATGTAGAAGAGAAGAATGCAGCAAAGAAGATTCTAGAAGAGAAGAATCTAGAAGAGAGGAATGTAGAAGGGAAGAATGCAGCAAAGAAGATTCTAGAAGAGAAGAATCTAGAAGAGAGGAATGTAGAAGGGAAGAATGCAGCAAAGAAGATTCTAGAAGAGAAGAATCTAGAAGAGAGGAATGTAGAAGGGAAGAATGCAGCAAAGAAGATTCTAGAAGAGAAGAATCTAGAAGAGAGGAATGTAGAAGGGAAGAATGCAGCAAAGAAGATTCTAGAAGAGAAGAATCTAGAAGAGAGGAATGTTGAAGGGAAGAATGCAGCAAAGAAGAATCTAGAAGAGAGGAATGTAGAAGGGAAGAATGCAGCAAAGAAGAAACTAGAGGAGAAGAATTTTCGAATGAAAGAATGAAGAAAAGAAGAATGTATAAGGAATAAAGACGACAAAGAAGAGTTAAGAATAGAAGAATAGAACAAAAAAAGACATTAGAAAAAAAGGGTTTAGAAGAGAAGAATGGAGCAGAAAACAATTAAGAAAGGAAGGATGGAGCAGAGAAGAATGTAGAAAAAAGTAATGTACAATGCCTGCCAAAAGTCTTGGAACACTGACATCAATTTCCACGGTCAAAACCAATCATCCCCCTCTCCCCCACGGAAAAATGTTGGTTTACTATCAAACGGACTAGGATTTTAGGAAGCACTTTCTTTTGCGCTTCTTTTATGATATTTCTCTAAATCATCAACATTGTTTGAGGGGGAAGGGGGCGGAAGTAGCAAATTTTTTTCATGAAAGGAATGAAAGATATCAAATGCAGCGTAAATTGGTGGGTGTTCCAAGTACTTTTGGCAGGCATTGTAGTCAAAAAATATAGGCAAGAAGAATATAGACAAGAAACTTGGATAAATGTAGTGATTGTTAAGTTGTAGGATTGGTCAGAAACAGAAGTGGTTTGAACTTTGGAAATCTTAAAAAATATAGAATGCTTATGAAAAATATTCCTATTTCTGGATTTGTCAAACATGGAGTAAAGAAATGAATATTTGAATTCTAGGAGAACCGGTCGTCCACTCTGCGTATCCACAAAAAAGCAAATCCTTTTTTACACTTATCCGCCATGTCTCGTCGTGTCGTACATATTTCAAAGAAAACTTTGACTCGTATATCGTACGTGGCACTGACTACAGCGGAAAAGACTTCAAAATCAGACGTACATTTTGTGACATTGGCCTGAAATATAACCCAGAGCGCCTTCGCAGTGTAATTAGAAATGGAATTGAGGCTGAAGATTGTCGTGCCTTCGCAGAGGAATTGTTTACAGCTGCTTTGCAAATTTCTGATGCTTTGAATAAGAAAGTAAATTGCCAGTAAGCCAAAAAGACTGGTCAGTAGTATGCTTTTTTTCTGTAAGGTAAAAATTGTGATTCAATATCAAGCGACATCCATCAGTAAAGAGTTCTGGTAAAAGGAAAACCTTTCCAAAAAACTAGTCCACATTCCAGTCTGTAATTACACATCTTTTAAAAATTTGTCAATGCATTAGCCAGAACCGTACAAGGAACATATCTACATAGAGGCGGTCCTCGTTTTCATTATAAAAACAATAAAATAGCCTTTACAATGTCTTTAGCCAAAGCGGACAGATAAAAGGCTTGAACTTAACTACTGCATTTCTGAAATTTAAAACTACAGCAAAAAGGTATCATATATAATTATGTTTATTTTGTCATTCAATCAGTCAAAACATTGCTTATTAAAAACTATTAGATTTTTTGAAAGCAGAATATCTACTTATGTGAAGTTCGAGATGGAATGCCTTTCTCGCCCTATCACCCCCTTATGTTTTGTTTCCTTATGTGTATCTGTTAATAAGGCAAATTAAATAGAGAAAAATTAGTTTAAAGTTTCATAGATAATAAACATGGAGACTTCTATTGTTGCAGTTTTGTTTTTAGACTAATTTTGTCCTTGAAGTTTTTGCATCGTTGTTATTGTATGACAGTATTGTTATAAATGATATTTTCAAAAAGCAGTTCTTTCTCCTGTGGGTATCTTTTATTAATAATATTTTGATGAAGAAAAAAGTCAAAGCTATTATATGTAAACTGATATCCTGGAGCTGTTGCTACAGCCGTTGCCTGATATTGACAGCAATTCCTCAATGCTATCTTGTCACGTCAAATAAGTTACGAGTCTAGGGCAAACCTACGGCGAAATTACGGTAGATTCATGGTAAATTTGTGGAATATCTAAAGTGAATCTATGGCTAGGGCAAACCTACGGTACATTTACGTTGAATTCACGGTAAATTTGCAGAGTATCTAAGGCGAGTCGACCGCAAATGTACGGGAAATTGATGATAATTATAAGTTGAGTTGACGTCTAAGCTACGGCAAACCTGCAACCAAAGTTTATTTTCATAAATTTTATACAATGCTGGAAAAAGCTGCAAGTGCTTTCAATATGACTACCCCGATTTTCACGTCTGAAATTGACATTTCTGTTTATTGTTGCCGTGTTATTTTTCTATCCGGCTGGAAACGATTAATTATTTCAAATATTTTATATTAAGGCCCATTAAGATCGAGAATGATTTTAGAGGCGCCTGCGAATAAAAAATTATTGCATCAGTGAGAGGCTACCTTTTTACAGTTATTTATACATGAAGTACTACAAAGGGCCTTTACTTCTTCAATAGAGTTCTTAAGCAATGACGTCACAAAAATCTATTTTTAAAAATTTTGAACTTTGATCCCATATTTCGAAGAAGCATTATAAATAGCCATTAAATGTGGAAAATCAGTTAAATATATTTCAAATTTGCTGAGATATGGTTGCATTCGCAGAGGCTGTGTTACCAAAAAATATGTCCGCCCATTTCTTTCAACAACAAAAATAGCAGTGACCAGTCAGCAGAATTTAAATCTTTCATTAGCCACATCTCACCGATTTTTTTAAATATCTGATTGATTTTTCGTACTTCGGAGTATTGCTTGGTGATCTTTTAGGTTATGTTATCAAAGTTTTAAAAATATTTTCATAACGTCACACTTAGGAACTCTACAATGCATTCTTTTAGCAGCGAATATGAAATATGATACAAAGTTTTTTAATTGCTAGGTTTTTTGACGAAATCTTTGCCCTCTTACTAACAAATGCTTGATTATATAAGCAAAAAATTACATAAATTGTATTCTATGACGTAAGTCCCAAACAGTTTTCGACCAACAACTCTAGTTGTATCGACTCTAGCAGAGATCCAGTCAAACTCATTCATTTTTTTTACAATCCGAGTATGAAATCGTTTCATTATTCCTTTACAAGTCTTGTTTGAGTGTATGATAGTAAATGATCTTCCCTTTTCACTTATATCAATAAGTTACCTATAAGAAACTTTCTTTTGAATCGTGTCTGTTTAAAAGGGAAGGGTGCTACATAATACTTCACTTTTAGTTAAATCCTATTTTCGTAATTAGCGATTGGCAGCTGTGACAACTTTCTTCCTGTTTTCAGTTTAAATTCATTCTGTTGTCCTTTTGAACTGACATATCTTCTTCTCAACCAATAGATGAATAAGATTATGGCTATTAATATGTTAAAACTTGCTCTAACTTGGTTTAAAATTGCTTTGTTGCTTTCGGAGCTGTAGCAAGACAGCGGCTGTTCATTTGCAATTATCAGCAAAGCAAGAACCATGAAACTTGAAAGCAAACTTTTCAGTTTTCTTTTCTTCTCGTATAAGATTTCAAGAAGGCAATAAACAGTAGAAAATACTGCGATCGTACACCACAGCCTCCATTTTATGCTATTGCTGCATGTCAAAACCGAGGCATCATCGATTGCGTGAATGAAAGCAAGCACGGCGTTCCAAATTACAAACAAACAGACGACGTATAGCCAATTCGGGGAAAATGTTTTCATCTTCGTTTCTTGCGATGAAAAATTGTCCTCATCTATGTTAAAATAACTCGTATTAGTGGATGGTTTTGAAAACTCGTTCAAGTCTTCATCATTTGTGATCATTAGATGGTTCTTCGCTCCACGCCTCGTTTCCAAGGCCGAAGCTAACTCGTAAGGGCTACTGATCAGCCTCGTATCACATCTGTTATGTGGCTTGAAATTGATTAGCGCATCAGAACGTTTTTCGATCATTTTGTGCTGCTCCTTCAGGTTCCTGAATACACCGCGCATTTCACTGCCAGGTACTGAAGCATCGGACGACAGCACTTCGCCATCAGTCGACTTGAACGAGCTTTCAGAACTCCTATCTATATTCTGGAAGCTGTTCTTTTTCCTGGGCAGTCTTTGCGTTTTTCGTAACTGGGAGATAGTATCATCCATGGGTCTACGTTTTTCAGTTTGCGTTTCCTCCTGCTCTTTGTACAGAATAAATGGCTCAGTATGTTCTCTTGACACTTTTCTTCTATCAGTGTGAAATGGCGCTTGGCGAGACTCGAATGATTCTCTTGTCTTCTGTATGTCGCTAGGCGGAATCGCAGTTACGAGTTGCTTTTCTGTTTCGAATCGAATTTTATTCCCGTTGTAATTATTGTCGCTCTCCTCAATAGGTCCATAAACCTCGTTTATATCTGTTATCGGTCTTTCATTGCAATTGAAATCTAACCTGCTTCTCTTACTTGCTAAACCATCCAAATTATTCTGTTTTTGCGAAACGGTACCCATTGATTTAGTAGTTGCATGCTGCAATTGATCTGTCAGAAGCAACGCTCGATCAAGCATGTCGAGGCCTTTTAACTTTGCTTTCTCTGTTTCTTTGCATTCATTTGATGCTTGCATTGTTGCTATTTGTGCAAACGGTTCTGTTGTAACAATAATCGATGGGTTTATAGGTGGGTTTCTGCGAGGATCCCGAATTGTGTTTGCTTTATTGTTTTTTGGACGAGACGGGATGGTTAGTTCTTCTTCTGCTGCAATAGAGTATTGCTCCTCACCAGCATTGGCTTGGGAATGGACTATTTTAACCCTAGCTTCTTTTGCTGACGTAACCATGCCAAAAGTTTCGTCACGGTTGCTGTTTGGAAAACTGAGCCTCGTCTTGGCAACCCTTACCATGTCGTAACTCATCAGAGGTTCTCCATGTGCTCTGGCTATTTCCTTCACATTGTTTCTTAAGCTAGCAACGTCTTCCTTAATACCTTCAGACTCAGTAACCTCTGTTAGATGCTCGCATATATATCCTTTATCTACGTCATTGCTATTTCTAATAGCATTTCCCCACTCAAATTTGTCAGCCTGTGCATTCGGTTCTCCATTCAAGTTTGAACTTTCAAAGTCACTCCTGTTCTCTGTGCCAGTATCATCTTGGTACACAATGTTCACACTTCCAATCATTTCTTCTTTTGTATTTGAAGCTATATTTTGATCGTGTAACTGGGCAAAGTCTCGCTGTCTTCCTACTTTGATGCTGCCATGCTTCCTAGGCAAGCTCGACTGAAATTTATGCAAAGTCCCCTTTCTTTGGTTGTTTTTCAATTGGATCTTCTTTCTCATTGTTTTATTCCTATACTTCATACGAAAGTGACATTCTAATCACACTGTTCTTCTGCCACAAGTGCGCATTTTTGAAAGCTATGTAAATTCCCCCTAGTAAGCCAGCGATCATGAAAACGATTGCTTCAAGGTGATTCTGTTCAACAGTTCTAGATTAATTTTATTATAAGAACTAACCTTATCTATCTGTTTTTCCAGAAAGCGATTCCGGTCGATCCAGCATTGTAAACAACATTGAAACATCGCATGTGCTTGAAATCATATTAGAAGCAGTTTCAGTCTCAGGTTGAAGGGCTCTCTTGATAAGAATGCTAAAAATAACTTTATCCAAGGAGTATAGCTATTCTTCCAGAACACCTTGTAGATTCTTGAATTAGCGAAATCAATTTCAAATTTCTTTCCAATATTGATAGTAATGCAGTACGATCAAAATGAAGTAAACAAACTTGTCATGCCACGTATACGATCAAATGTTCAGATTTCTTGCAAATATTATTTTGCATATCTATATGCTATACCAAAACAACATCATAATCAAGCGACTGTGCTAGGCTGCATCATCAACAGGAATATTGGTTATTCGTTCCGAAATCGAGAGCCATTTGCCCAGACACGAAGAACAAAACGTATTTTAAAGTGTTATGCCAGAATCAGACTTCTTACTAGTATGCTCGTAGCAAGCATTCTAGTTTCAAAACGCAAGTACGATCTGCGATTTCTTAAACTTCTGTCGATGAAAAGCAAATGAGATCTTGCATTCCAGCATCTGTTTTGACTAAGACAAATCTTCTTGCAACTTGGTGTTTTGGGTCACAATACAGGAGTTTAAAGATTAATGAAGATCAATATTGCTTTTGTGTTCAGGGGGACGACATTTGTCGACCACCTCTGTGATCAACAGCTCACATGTGTACATTTTTTACAATTAAAGGTGCTTTTTAAAATATATATAACTGAGTCTTAGTGATTATCGTAAACGGTATAGGCGTTTTGAAAACATTTTCTGAGATTGGGGTGTCAGAAACATCCAAAAACTGCCGCAGACCACCACTACTCATTACAGTAATATGTTAACAAAAAAGGTGACATGGAAAAAATATATTTTTAGATGACTGCAAATAGGCAATATAACCTGTAATTTGACGTACTATGTTTTCACAGACAAGAGATTGTTGTCTGTGTATGTTCGCCAATCTTATTTAACTATGTACTTTGTAGGGACAAGCAAACAATCTTTCAAGTTTAGGAAGAATTCATTCTAAAAGTTGAGATTTAATAAGCAAATAACTAGCGAAGCCTCAAACCAAACTCCTTGATGTTGAGTCTTGAGCCTGGCCTGATTCCCATGCTAGCAGATAACGAGGCTTTTTGCAAGTTAAGTCTTAATCAATTGCATTGTATTGACCTATATCAGTAATGATCTGGGGATTTTTTGTCACAGTCTTTTCTACTTTAGGCATTCGACAGATATTACACTATCAGTCATTCAACCATTGGCCAATCAGCGAGCGCCATACCAAAAATATGATGTTCTATTGGCTACATTTGATTGTCAGGTGGCTTAAGCAACTTATGTACCTGACGATAGCCTTTAAAAATCGATAAACTTTGCCAAGATCTGGCACAAGAGAAAGGATCTAGCCTCTATAATTTATTTTGTTATGCTGTAGAATATTCTTAGCACCAAACCTTGTGATATTAGTTTGATAAAATGCTACGCATGATGGTAATAAACCTTAAAGCTGTTGGAAATTTAATTGATAAAAAAAAGATTTCGTGTTTTACTCCATGTTTTATTCCGTGTTTTTTTGCAAATGCACTTCGAAATCAAATTGTTAATTTTCTTAAAAAGTTTTACAAGAACCATTCTACTGCTGTTTCAACCAAAACTACGGCTCTAATGATTGATAATTATTTCATTTTCCGATTCAATTCAATGCGAAGCCTGCAAATGAAAACACGTGTCTATGAGTTATATTCCCAGCACCACTAACAATCAAAATTTGCAAAGTCAATCAACATTCAGTTCAGATATTGAATTCGTGCCTTTCAATTCCTTAAACATATTTGATGGACTTTCCAGAAGCTCATTAGTTCTTCTTGCAATCGGTAGTTTTATCACGGGAGGGAGAAGTGGGCCTTGAGCCCCACTAACTTGTGAAGTAATTTATCGATTTATTGTTAACGATTGATTATTTCTAAACATGTGCTCCCTACCCCCATTTTAGGGAGCCTATCATAGGGGGGTCTAAAAGCAGCAAAACCGTGCATTAATCAGTCAAAATCAGCAATCCGCATTGAAATAATGCGCAAAGACTTGGTCGCAATTGCAAAACGTGATCATGGCAAAAAGCAAAATACTCCCTTAAAATAAAAGGGAAACATCGCTAGAAGTATCTTCCTGGCAAGTTCCTATGATTCTCACTTTACAGGCAACAGGATTTCGAAGATAATTAATAGAGAGTGCGGGAAAATAACCGACCCGAGCGAGGCTCGAACTCACGACCCCTGACTTTGTACGTCAAGTGCTCTACCGCTGAGCTATCGCACGTTGCGTTGGACCAAACCGTATTAGCATATATTCATTGCTATTTTTTTGAAAACTCTTCGACTTACTAAAACCGTAAACCGTTGCCAATTCACAACAAAAGACGCAAGACGCATTTTATGCTGAAGCCACAAGCCGGAGAAAACCCATTGCCCATTCCGTAGGCCGCACGTAAAAAGGATCGAATCTGGAAAGCCGCAAACCTATAATAGGCCCCCCATTTTGAAATCGAGAGGTAAAAACGTTTCCAGTTTGCCCCTTGCGTTCCTGCTTGTCACTGGAAACAGAAACTGTTGATTTTCAACTGTGAAATAGTTACATGCATTACGCACTCCCGTCTAGCGATGATCTTTTCGAAAAATCTACTTTTTATCTGTTTAATATTCTTTGAATTATAGGTTTTCTCTGCTGATAGTGTTGAAATGGTCCAAAATTTTATCATCGTCGTTCGATCTGAGCCCAGCCTTTGTAATTGCTAATTGAATTTCCATACGTGTTCCATGCATGCACGTGCGTTTTCTTCAAAATGATTGTCAACTTTCGTCACTAGATTTCCTTCAATGTTAATAATTCATGAGTCCTGGTTAAAGATTGTCATCTTTTCTCTTCCCACAAAAAGCGAAACACGTACAAATCTTCGTCGTGGTTAATTTTTGAAATTTTTTATCATCGCTTTGATAAAGAGGATAAAGAAGACAGAATCTGTAACCAATTTCCGTGCCTAAAGAATTTACACCTTTTTTGAAGCCCTGTCTAATAGGCTAAGAGTACTTAAAAATGGTTTTTAAAAAGAGAAACATTCATAATTAAACTTTATAACTTTGATCAAAAACACTAAGTAGTAAATATATTTCCCAGTTGTAGATCGAAAAGGGCCAATCAAACGCGCGAGCAAATGAGTTTTATTGTTGAATGATCGGGTCAATGCCAAACAATTCGCCATTATAGTTTTTGGCGCAATCTGGATTTTCTTGCACATGTTGTCTAATTGCCGACTCACGACTTTTGGTTGATGTTTTGGATCTGCTAGACCGAGGAGGGTGTCCCTTCGGAGGGAGAGTTTCTTATGTTAGAAAAGACATGCGATCTTATTCTATCTATTTCCAAATCTTTGGTATTTATGAGTCCTACGTAGCTTGAATCGCACTAGTACGTATACTCATAAATAACGGAACTCGTTTGGGTGGTTGGAACACAATCCTTTTAAATCGACGGAAAAGCTCTCCTTATATTGAGAAAATGAGGATTGATCTGTAAAGAAACGTTTTCGCTAAATCTGTCTTCCAAATCGCAATAAAATGTTATCAAGCCATGACAGTTCAAGATAAACTTAGTACTTTTGTGAATTGATTTTTAAGACCTTGGTTTAAGAGCATCATATAAAGGCTTGCCCGAGGCCAATTCCCTTATTAATATGTGACAGGGTACGCATTTTCGGTGCCCCGTGGGCCTTTGTTTTTGGCACAGATTGCACGATGGTGGAGTTTGTGTTTATTGTAGTAGTGCACGAATAAGCATTACATGGAGCCTGCGTGGTCTTGGTCTTGGGTATATAAACCTTATGTAGGCATAGTTTCTTTCTCACACGCTTAACGACAACCTGGAGTTCGACTGTGGAGAGCAAAGGCTTTTGTTTGCGATACCAATGTCTAGGTATTTTCAGGTTTTTATATGCATGTTCAGTTTCTACTTTTTTCTTCGTGCATTAGTTAATGGCCGAATGCCTTGCGACTTTTGCATGAACAAGGTGTTGCTAGTGGGCGGAAGAAGGCCATTGTTTCTTTTTCTCAACCCCCTCAAAAGTTGTTGGAGTTTTATTTATGGCCGTCCTTGCGATTGGCGCACCAACCAACCAAAAATGAATGGTCCAAATGATAAGAGAACGCCACCTCCAATCATATGATTGATAATGGTCAAATATTCTGAGGGTCCTCTTACCCTTTTTTACTAACGGCATTAGTTTGGTAACCTGGAACAACAATTAAGCGTAAAAATCGGAGTAGTAACTCAGAACCGACCTGTTCCATACACCAAATAGCTTGAACAGCGATGTCTATGCGGCGGCATCGAGCATTTAATGACGGACCGGTAAACAGTGACTTTCATTAATTTTCGACTCATATCAGAAGCATTTATTATACTGACATTAAGATTTTTAATGATTGTAACTTTGGTATTTTGGACATTATTTTGGTCTTAAATGATAAAATTATCGTTTAGTCATGTTTTTGGTTGTCAGCTCTTGGTTTGGCGTTAATGCTTGCTTTCTATAAAACCCGAAAATAGAAGACATGAACACCCAGTGAAATTGTTCAACTTTTTAAACCCAAATGTCAATGCTATAGTGACCCAAAAATTTGGTACAGATAACATGAAAAATGGCCTAATCACTTCCCAAGAAGTAAACTTTGTTTCCCAGCTCCCTTTTGATTTCTGTGAAAATTGTTCAGAATACAACATTCTGCCTGTGTAAATTTTTCTCAAGCTGAGGCTCGCATTCTAAAATCATTACGAAACTTGCCTGCTCAGGACAAGAAAGGCCTTAAATAATTAAGGCAAAATAGTTTATATAGTGTTTTTACAACAGGAATTTAATCGTGGGCAATACATCTGGCTTTTATGTTCGCTTCTGGCTGGATAGTGAGAATAAAGAAAACAACAAACCAAGCGGTTGTTCACATCACAACAGTCTATTTCCAGGGGGTAGTCGGATACGTTGACTGTTATTCATAGTTTCTTTTGTCTATTTATTCCGTTGTTCATCATTCTTACTCGCATGCTGTTGAATATTCAAATCTATCTAATTTTCTTCATTGAGTTAGTATCTACCAAGCAGTTTTCTCCGTCACCGGATTTTTCCCTTGAATATCCGTTAACATTTTAGCCAGTGTATAAAAAGCTGGGGGTGTTTACAAAGAATGGTTGGCCTCGTAAGCAATCTCGCTTCTTTGACTCTAATAGAAAGAGCAGCCATATTCTTCAAGCATGAAGTAATAAATCGTGTTGTGAATACATAACCTAAAATAAAGTTTTATTTCAATGGATACCTTTAGTAACAACAATAATACTTTCTCTATACGCTTGTTGACAATTGTTGACCTACCTAATTTTAGATACAATTTTGATTTATCAAATAATTGTTCTATTGTTGTGTAACTTGTTTCTTGTGGAAGGGGTACCCATAGCAGAATCAATACATGCTGGATTTGGTCTAGGGGATATCATGGAACCATTATGCATCCATTATTTTGTGCAAAGCAAAAACCGAGGGGCAAACCACTCTAAGAAAATCTCGTACACCATTTGTGAAAACCCTATTGTTTTATCTGAAAATCTCCAGAAATCCTTTTGTTTTAGGCAAAATCTCGTACGCTATTTCCAAGAGTGAATCGCCCCTCGGCAAAAACAAACTAAAACGGATAACAAAACAAATGGAAGTTACACCCCCAAACCCTACCCTTGTCTGGAGAATGAACAACCACTTAACTATGCATCCTACTTTGCTTGAGTGCAGTAGCGTAGTGAAGAGGACTCAAGAAGGGGTGGAGACAACACTCTCTCCCCCCAACTAGCAAAAACTTCGAAAATGGCCGTTTTCTGTCGTTTATAAAGATGTGGACCCATTTTTTTCGCGGAACTCGCCTTTGTACCCTCTCCCCCAATTTTACCAACCTGACTACGCTACTGTTTGCTGGAAAGAACGTAAATTTAAAGCAAAAAGGTGAGCAGAGAGTATGGTCAATTCAATGCAGCTTATTATTTGTTCTATCAATTATAATAGAGAGCACTGGGCAACAGTAGCAACATGCAACCTGTTAGATATCAGGAGATCGTTAAACAATCCTGACTCTACCCCACCATCTCCTACCTCCCCAGTTAACTAGACACAAGAAGTTTTGGAATTGAATGATATTTATAGCTTCATACCACATCCATGAAGGATTAAAAGACTGTTAATCTACAAAAGCCTTCTTCAAGCATTCCTTAAACGATCGTTTCCTTTGAAAACAAGAAGTCTCGAAAAGAAGACAGGCATTCAGCCCGAAAATAAGTCTGTTTAGTCCTTACGATGTTTGCATTGTCGAAGATAACAACATTTTCCATGACAATTCCTGAATCCGTGCGGCTTAAATTTATATCATTATCTGACTGGCAATAATTCCATTTGCTTCTTTTCGCATTGAAGCTCCTCGACCTTGCATTCATTCGCGTTAGCAATAAACTCCGTACTTTACAATCAGAGCACAAATCCACTGGCCTAAATCCCTCAGCGTCTTTCACAAACACGTCCGCGCATGAGTTTAATAAGAGTCTTACAATGTTGATATCATTTTGAAGCGCCGCAAGATGCAACGGTGTCCTGTTCTGTTCCCCTTCTCGGTTTACGTCAAGACCAAGTTCAACGAGTACAACTGCCAGTCTATTATTGCTGTCTTTGCAGGATCTGTGCAACAATGTGTTCCCATTTTCATCCGTATCTTCGAGGTAATTCTTAACAGAAGGTGACATACGGATTATGACGTTAAGTAACGCAAAGTCAGAGCTTTCTATAGCTTGGCCGAGAAGTTGTTTAATAACTTCTTGGTGCCTAATCCGTGGTTTTGATTGGTTAAACGCATCTGGTGGATGCACTTTCCTTCTTATTCGTGGGCTACCTCGCCTTCTCGCGTCTACCAACCTCGCTTGTCTACCTTCTCCTTGCATAAACCTCGTACATAAACTAGCGACAATGCCGTAACCCCGTAGTCTATCGACATTCTTAGCGGTGGTAGGTTCTCGTACTTGCGACAAATCCCGAATCCACTCTTGATTTCGAATACCGTATACGGCTTTCTCGAATTTCGAAACATTGGCTTTTACTCTTGGTTTTGGGGTTAATGGTTTCGGCGGGTATGCAGTCTGCTTACGTCGTGGTTGATCCATGCTCCCAAACTGTGCTCAATATCTGTCTGCAATGACTTCCTTCGCACGGGATCACGGATAAATGGGGTCACAGACTTTGCCTCAGCCTCTGTTGCTCTTGATATCCAATTGACCCCTGCAGCAATCCTCTCTTTTCAAGCACAACTGTGTTCTTTAAAGCAAACGAGTAGAATATTTGAATAGCTTGATTTCTCTATCGCTTCCTGCTCAAAGATTTCAAAAACTCATGCATATTTACCGATGTTGGTTGACAAGAAAAGACCGAATGAATATCCAATGAAAGCGGAAAATACAATAAATTAACACAACTTGCTTTAGGATAAAATATTTTTCTCAAGCTTTTCCTTTATTTTTTGCGGGCAAACAGTTAAGCGTTTAAATCATTTCAATTCATCATCATATTGTTCTCTGTGGCTTTTCTATCGGCTTTCTATTTCTCAAACATTTACGTCCAAGAATATTGGTTCAAATTGTTCACCTTTCAATAATTAATTCAAACATCCTAAAAATGATTTATTTTTGAACGCTTTTGTTTGATTTGTAGTCTCTTTTATCTTGACCCACAATTTCATCCAAAAACGAACGTCCATAAAACAGCCTGACAGTTTTCCAGATACTGTCGTTGCCAAAATTTCTCCACCACGAGGTCTTGCTCTTTCGACAAAAAACTTTGTTCCTATAAAATGGATTTTGCCATATATTCTCTTCAATGTGTACGGTTTATTATACTTGCAAACTGCGAAACGTTTCCAAAAAACAATTTTCGAGAAGTCAAAGCAGCCAATCGATACAGCTGATTAATCTGATAATGATAAAAAGTATGGTTGAATAGAACTCACAGACAACTGGGGTCAGAAATGTTATATCTCTATCGTGCTTCCAGACATCGGATCACCCTGTATGTTACCAAGTAGTATCATTCATTTGAAACGGCGAAATTCTCGATTTAGTCAGTTTCCTGCTTGAGTCAATAAAGCGGTCGATGAAATCTCACTAAAAAGACCATCGGTTGAGATGATCTGTGATAGATGACGTCATAAGAGGCAACCAAACTATTTGTTACGATGGTAAAATTTCTGATTTTCCTGAGATCATGAGACATTCAACTTTTTACTCGCGTTGTGTTGTTTTCCATGCTTTAAAGCCCCTTCCTTGCTAAAAGTGAGATCAGCTCTTATATCGTAGTATTCTAAATCTCCTTGAGCGCCCCTCAGTCTCTTATCTTTATACACCACTAAGAGAGCTGTTATCAAGCTGAACCAGTTCACAACACTCGCGTGCGCATCCTAACAACACACCATGCTCTTAGCTGTGTCTTCCCGTTTTCTCGCAGTAATGTCGACCAAACCCTGTAATTTTCATCGCTATTTTAGATCCAATCCTACTATTAAACACCTGTGTCCAGCTGGCAATATAAACATAAATCCGTGAACATTCAGATGCTTGAAACCGCACTGTACATACCCAGTAGTTTAATCTATTGTCTCACCCATTTAACGATGCCTGAATTACAATCATACGCCTGCCTTATGACGTAGGCAATTAGATTCATTTCAACATCGCTTTGGATTCCTCCGCAGTGCTTAAGAAATGCAGCTTGTGCTGTGCGTTCTCGTAATTGCATGTTCTTGTTTTGTATTTGAAAGTCATCATTACTTTTTTGAAATCTAGTAAATGTCATTATTAGAGTACTGACGTCATCAATTCCACAAGGCAGACGAAGCCCTTTTACATAGATTTTCGCAATTTGGAACAATTTGAAGGAGTTATGTTTCTGTGTTTTAAAAAAGTTCTGGAGCTATGTTTCTTCCATAACAGGAGCTTTTGGGTATAATTAGCCTTTATATCTTGATGAAGTATTTTGAGATATGCTTGCAAGTAGACTTTCAATACAATCATGTGCCTATAAAATCATTGCCAAAATTCAAAATCAAACTACAACAGAAATGGTAAAAACCAGGGGTGGACACTTGGTCAAATGTTGGAGAGGGGGCAGGGCAAGCCTATTGTTTTGATAAAATTTCTTCGATTTGATAAGATAGTGCATTTTCAACCCCCCTGGCCTTGCCCCCCCCCCCAGGTGTCCGCCACTGATAAGAATATGAGGTTATTCTAAATGACTGGAATGCACAAGCGTAGAAGCTTAAAAATGGGGGCCGATTTGACAGGACTTTTAGAAAGTTTGAGGACGAAAAGTCTTTTTGTGAAAAGCTACAGTACTAGGACAAAAGTATTGCAGCAACCCATAATGGCGTCAGAAACAGTTTTGCAATTTTGTAACGTTACGACGAATAATTCCCTTTACATGGCTATAAAATCATGTTTAGTCAACAGTCTAATTCTTAGAATTGGGGACTTGGACAGGTTTCTTGTCTTTATCAAGGCTAATTTCCCTATAATTCATTAGGGGTTTCCACAGATTTCTTGTCTTTACCAAGGCTAATTTTACAATTATTCATTTGAGGCTTTAACAGAATTCTTGTCTCTGCTGAGGGAAATTTTACTCTCGCAGTTGTAAGGGCTCCAGCGTGCACGAGTAGCGGGCGTAACTGGGGCTATCTAATTCTAAGAAAATCTTTGAGGAATACGAGATTTTTAGAACTACCATATTGACGTGAGAAATATGTACAAATGCCTCCTCCAGCGGCAGAACTTGTGTTTTCTGAGTTAGGCGTAAGCTGTTGAGACCAAGAGCTTTGAATTTTCTGATCACTTGTGTTAAGGGGCTCTTCCTTTTATAATGCCCCAGGTAAAAATATCGGATTCTCCAGATAAATTTTCCTAATTGTTATAAATTTGCGTGGTTGGAACTCCCCCTCTATCAATTGAAGTATCGAGGAAATATTTTCGTTGTAAAAAATTGTAGGATCATGTTTTTTGCATTGTTTATGTTAATTCGATTCTGATTTATGATGAATCGCTTTAGATACTTGAATAAATATAGCATATAAGGCTTGGTATCAAATATTTGAAGTTTTATTGCCATAACTTCCAATTCACTCTCTAAGAAAGCACCATGATTTTAGACGCAAAAGGGTGATTCGCGATTTCCAATTGGCGTCGTTGACGTTACATCTCCCTATCTACAGAACACTGTCAAAAAGAGACCTCGGTTTGAAATCGTCATGTTAATGTGAGTCTGTACAGTGCAGAGAACTTCATGTCGTTTGGAATGTTCGGTCGCGAGTTACTACCTTTTAAATGTTAAGATAAATCTAAAGATTTGACCGGAATTCGCTACTGCAATTGTTTTCAATGGGGTAGAAAATTTCAAGGAAATGTACAGGAAAGCTTAGTTTTGAAAACGGCATAATTTGCGGCCTGACTGTCCAAACAACAGAATATTTTTTGGCACAGACTAATTTTTAACATTATGATTCTCTATGATCCTTTTTTAGCAAAGATGAACGTTAAAGAACTAACAACGCTAAATGGGAATCATGATTTATGTGGAACGATGATAGATTGACTCAGTTTGCCATTTCGACGTTGGCAGGCTAGCGATGTTTTTAGCTTTATCAGCAACCCAAGACAGATAACACCGATATTTTCCCCTAACACAGTCCCCCAGTTCAAATGCTTGCATCTCCGCGATAGAATGCTTGTACTATTTAAGCTTGCTACCCGGCATCACTTAAGGCGTTTGTCTCAAAACCTTTGTCTATCATTTAAAGACCAATGAAATCTTTCGCCCTCAAAATACATTCACCTGTTTTGTTTCGAAACAAACATCAACTCCAATCACACTTTGCACGAGCTTCAGAAATAGACGAGAATATTATAACGGCTGGTATAAATTAAGATGTTTTTGGTACCTGTAGAAGGTCAAATGGGTAAAAGTCACGTCACAATATTTTTACTAAGAGGCCTAGCTTCAACAACTGGTTACAAGTTTCAGATATGGCTACCTAGATTAGGCCGAATAACGAGGGACTGAAAATACTGGTAAGTTTTTCGTATATACTTGCTTTATCATTGCCTTTTGATTCCGCAGAGTTCCATTATATGTTCTTTGATTCTCCCTGTTCTTTTGATATGAACATGTATTCTGGTTTTTCCTTTATCTATTATTGCTTTGTCTATTGAATTTACCGGTGAGAGCAGCAAACTGCTCCAAAACATTTTTCTTATTTTGATAAACTTTATCCTGTGAACACTTATGTTGATATCACTTGGCATCCATGTTGATATTCTTGCCGTAGTAACTACACTGCAAGCCATTTTATCGTCAAAACTGCATTGCCATTTCTCGCATCAAAGGCCGGGAGCTGAACTCGTCCTGTGACGTATCTCAGTCCTGTTACATTTATAGCTGAAATATCTTATAGTTAATAATGAAAATAATCCTTCTACTTTGGCTATATAAAATCTGATTCTTTGATAATCAGAGCTACCATGCTATACATGTGTAATGCAAGAAGGCATTAAGCTTTGAACTTGATAACTTGAAAATTTCACACGAGAACAAATTACCAATCCTTCTGAAGATAAAAAGAAGATTTGTCCTAAGTAAAACGACAGAATATTTACAAACAACACTTTTTATTTTCATCAAACAATGTTCATTTGTATTCCCTATAACAATTAAAAATTTAGTTTTCTTATTGAAACTCGATGTGCTGCCCTTCTTTCCTTTACCTTCAACTTTTCATATCTTACAATTTTTGTGACTATCATTGTATCGTTACTACTTATATTTTCAGAGCAAATTGCAAAATCCTTAAGCATGATGAAAGAGGCTGAATTGACCTCTGGAGGTATCTGGTCAATCCCTTCCCATGAAGATAATGAGGATAGTCGAAGAAAGAGAAAATCAAAAAGCACTATCATTGTCTGTTCAATAATTTTACTTGGAGTGACTGCTGCGTTGTCAACATGGCTGTTTGTTGTCAGGCCCAACTTCTATCCCCATTTGAAAATTATGTCAAGGGCTGTAAACGAGGCTACCTCGCTTAGGCATCACATTAGCAGAAGGTCAGAAGAAGTTGATGAGAGCGAATTTATTGAGACTGGCGCATCTGTACGGAGTAAGGTTGAGACAAAGAAAGCGAAGCATGGAAAAAAGCACGAACAAGTTGCAGTCAAGCCAAAAACTAAGGACATTTTTGACGAGGTTGGAGAGGGCAACTTTCCATACAAAAGCAATCGCCTTCCAAGGAGCTTGCTCCCTACCGATTACTACATAAAACTCGATGTTGATTTGAAACAAGATTCCTATACTGGAGAGGTTACTATCGATCTTATTTGTAAAAAGAATGCAAACTTTGTAATATTTCATGGCCGGAAAATAAGAATAAAAGATGTTTCTTTCGCATCAGCTATGCATAGCGGTGAAATAAAGGTGAAGAGGATTTTGTTTTTGTCAAAAAATGAGATGTATTTGGTGGAGACAACAGAAAGCTTTCAAAAAGGTAAAGAATACGCCATGAAAATTGAATTCGAATCCGACTTCAATCCGTGCCTTGCAGGATTCTATAAAAGCCATTACCGGGCGCAGGATGGAAGTTTTAGGTGAGCTTATCCATATTTTTATGATTAAATTCTGTTTGTACTTGAAAGGCGAATTTTGATCATGAACCAGTGGTAAGGATCTCAGAGTAAGGGCAGTTTTCAACACTCTTAAATTCCAGGCATAGAAATCACAATGTGCGGTCATATCGAGAGGAAGGACCAGGAAACTCTCCAATAAGCATTGCTTTCCATAGTGCTAAAACTACCTCCGACATACAAGTTCGAACGAATACAAGTATTAAGGCCAACGAATTAAGGCAATATTGCAATATTGATGCTTGTATAGATTGTCAGTTTATAATTTTGCAAGTTTGTGTAATTTTCCAATGTTTTTCATTCTGATTAACTTTAATCGAAACAGCTAATTGTAGGCAAAATAATAATATTGCTCTTGCCCGCCCCTTGGCATTAGGCTTCCTTCAATCGTTTCGTTACTTTCGTTTTAAACCTAGAAGCTTGCAAACAATCCTTTTGTGATACAAAATTTAAAAATGGCTTAGAATAAAGCAAACATTTCGAAACATTTTACTACAGCTTTTCATCTGACACACTATGCTTTCTATACCTTCTTCAGAGTATAAAACGGCAGAACATAGATTGAAGACTATACGTTAGGAAATATATATACCTAGTTGTGGATCTAAGTAGGCCAATCAGAAACACAAGCATATGACTGTTGAGGTTGCCTAATCATTCCACTTGCCTATTGAAAATATTACAAGCTTTAATTTGATAATGATAATGAATTGTGATGGAAGAAATATTAAAATGTTCAGTTATTGAATTTCTAAGAATTTTTGAGCTTGTTAGAGAGTAACTACGATGAAATTCTGCTAAAATAACTAATTTCATTCTTTCTTTTCAGAACAATTGCTACATCCCATTTTGAGCCAACAGATGCACGGGCTGCGTTCCCATCTTTGGATGAACCGAATTTCAAAGCAAAGTTTCATATAGCAATCAAACACAGAGCCAAATACTCCGCTTTGTCCAACATGCCTGTCGAGAGCACAAGGGATCTTGGGAATGGCTGGGTGGAGGATACATTTCAAGAGTCGGTCAGAATGAGCACCTACTTGGTCGCCTTCGCAGTGGTCGATTTCAAATACAAAGAAGCCAAGACGGATTCTGGCATCAAAGTAAGTTAATGCGCAAGCTTCGTGCAATGATATATTTGTCAAGGACTGCGGAATAGGGGTAAGGGCAGTGGCGTTTATCCCTTCAAAAGATACCAGTAGTATGTTAATAAAAGCAATGAAATAAAGCATCCTTTTGTTCTTGGCTAGATAAAACCAGGTACTCTGGACAAAATCGATGGCACTCGTTGCCACTAGAAACAAAGGAGTTTCATAACTTGACTGAATTTAAGAATTTGACAGAAAAAAACTAAAAATCGTCTATTTAGTAACTGCAGCTGTGGAATTTGTAAGAGGTTGTTCAGTAATTTATGGCTTTTATAGATAACCGCATTATTGTATTGTAATTTGGATAGAGAAAATATAAATAGGAGTATAATAGTTTTACAGTTAATGGTTGGTAGCTATTAGTTAATGTTTGGCGTTAATTAGGTTATAGTTAACCGTTAGCTTGAATTATCTTTACAGCTATCATGATGCCATATTATCTTTGTTCTTAATTGCATATGGAACTTGGGTAATCACGTGGACGTTTCTCTTCAATGACAGGGGAGTCCCAGGGGTCTATTGCAATACAAATATCATAAAGCAGTTTCCCGTTCCACTTTTTTAGCATTCCAACAGAGTATTCATCAGAGAATATAGTTTCATATCGGTCCGGGTATTACACTAAATTTCCGATCGCCTTTATTTTCTTTCTTAATTACAATGCTTGATTTTATAGGTACGAGTCTACGCACCAGAAGGAGACTATGACAGGATCGATTACCCACTTGAAGTCGGTGCCAAGGTCATCTCCTTTTATGAAAAGGTTTTTGGGGCCCCTTATCCGTTGCCAAAACTGGGTACGTACATTCCAAATTTTGGGTTAATTTCTCTTATGCATTTCAGTCAGCTTCAACTATGAAATGTTGAGCCCATGATTAATCTGTGGATTTTTTCTACAATACAATAAAGACACTAACGGAATTAATGAGCAAGGAGTGAAGAGAGGGGGGTGTGAAGAGAAGGGGTATGAAGAAAGGGGGTAAAAAAGTATTGCCTTTAGTCAAAAAATTGTATCAACATACCAGACAAAAAAGCACAGCACTTCAATTTGAATTATTTAATTATGGGCATTCAAGTAAATGTCCTTTCCATGAAATTCAATTCAGGCATGGACTTTTCCATACTAAAAAATATTTCGAGGTAGTATGGTTTTCTAGATAAAACTTTTTTCATTTCTGTAAAACCGTGAGGCATAAGTGAAATTCTTTTACCAAACGTCAGCTTTGAGACGTTAAAAAAAGCTATTTTTACCAAGGTATTCATACTGTAAGCATACTTTAAACTAGTTTTATTTTCTTATTATCAATTACCCTTAACTTTTACTTTTATTTGACGAAAAGTTTAAATAATTGACTTGGGTGCGGGCATTGTACGTGTTAGAGAGATTTCAGATGCTTCGGATGCCCTGAACTTTTGATGCTTAAAATGCCTATCAAATACAAACCACAATGATTTATTGAATAAATGTTGGGACTAACTTAAAATGTGTAAATCTACAGGGGCATGTTCCAGTTTCTATCTTAATTTGCCTTATTACGATATGTCTCTTGTCCGCACTTGCGGCTTGCAAGCTCTTTTTCTTGTGATCTTTTTTACTCAACTCCTGCTTCTGTAACTGTGCTACTCAAACAAAAACCATCCACCTTGATAATTTTTTTCAACTTTTTGGTTTAGACCTGCTGTCAGTGCCAGACTTTTTAGCCGGTGCTATGGAAGACTGGGGACTAGTCTCGTTCAGAAGTTCCTATTTGATTTACGATAAAGAGTACGTCACGCTTGACCAGAAGAAGATGATAACACTTGTGATCGCACACGAACTTGCCCACCAGGTATTGATGTAGAAAGCATTGCGACTCATTTCTTTATCTTGTAAGGTGTCCTTCAGAGCTATATTGATTATTACTTCAAGGGCATCTTTTCAAATGAAATTAGCAACTTACCAACAACACTTGATAAGAAATTGTCAAATGTTAGTAGTGTACTGCGCTCAAGAGAAGTTTCCAGGTATCATTTGCTGACAACGTATATAAGGAATCAGTTACTTGCTGACAAATTTAATATCTTTCTGACTAAGCACCCCTTGATGGCAAAAAGCTCCTCTGTTTTGAAAAGGGTTTTTTCCAGGGGTGGTCACATCCCTCATTCCCCAGTAGCTACGATCCCGAATGCTATGCTAGCTCCTCTATAACTGTACCAATTTCTTCGGTAAATTCTTCCAGACCATGCTCTTCAAAATATGGCGTTTTTTCCAGTAAAAACGAATCATAATTTGTTTTCAAAATGAAAAATGTTGCGCCTTCAAATAATTTCGCTATCCAAATAATTCCACACTGGGAAGGTGTGGTTCGGTCACAAATAGATTGTTGTGATTTTGCCGGAGCTGAAAACGAAAAAAATTGATTGTGTTTTCAATTGAAACCCTTTTGGGGTCGATAAATGAATAAGATCAATGATACGCATAGATCATAGACCATAGCAAATATTTTCAGTTCCTCTGCAAAAGGTAATGTTCTTACAATAGTTGTGAATCGGTGACTGAACAACTCTGGACAACCATAGCACTTTGTGACGTCATTAGCGTTTTCACTTTTGCAGGCTTTCGAACCCTCGACTTTTCCCTCTGGTTTCCTGAGTATTTTAATCTTTTATTTCTACAAAATTCAGGCAAGAGAATTCTATCTTTAGTCATTTTGTAAAATCTTGGTTATAACGTAATCTTGAATCCTTTTTAGTGGTTTGGCAACCTGGTAACAATGAAATGGTGGAATGACATCTGGCTTAATGAAGGATTCGCCAATTATGTTGAAATGTTAGGAACAAATGCAGTCAACAAAGAATTCAAAGTTGTAAGCAATTTCCTTTTTGGAGATTTCAGATAAGAAGTTCTAGACTTGAGATATACTTAGAGTTTTTTGTTGGTCTAGTGAAAAAATTATGAAAAAGAAAGGAAGGCAAACGTTTATCACAAAGAGTCATCGTTATCACGTAGTTTCGAGATAACCAAGTTTCATATCACTCATCCACCTTTTTCTACTTCTCTTCTTCCCTCTCCTTCTCCATCTCGTCCTCACCCTACTCTTCCAACATTTTTACCTCTCCATTTCCTTTATCTTCTCCCCTGTTTTTCTTTCTGCCCCTCCTTTTCCTCCTCTACAGCTTTGTTCTTCTCTTCCTTTTTCTCCTCCCTCACCTCCTCCTTCTCCAACACGTTCTCTTTCACTTTTTTCTTCTCTTCCTCCTTTTCCATCTTCTTCCCCTGCCCTTATCCTCCTCCACCTCCTCCTTCTCCACCTCCGCCTTCTCCTCCTTCACCATGAACCCCTTTCTCCACCACCACATCCTCCTCCTCGCAACTTTTTCTCTCTTATCCTTCTTTTATCTCCCCCTACGGGAACGATAAACAACAGCGTTTTGACTGAATATCGGGAATTGTGATACCACAGAAACTGTTTGTGGCGCTCGTCTTTGCAGGAGAAGAAGGTTTCAGACACTTGTTGTATTCAAATGAAATTCGTTGAGGACCTTATCTATTGAAAAACGAAGACGATGTAGCTGTAAAACAAATGCTTGTACAGAGCCAATGCAGGTGTTAACCAAGACAAGTTTCGATATGATATAATTATCCATCGTTCCTGTACCAAAATGTTGAAGGGCTTCTTTTAATAGAATGAAAACTACTCCTAATAGTGTTTTTGTTGGTTACGGCTTAAAAACGATTGTATTAATAAACCAGTCTTGTTTTGTTATTACTTTGGGCTACTGAAACAGCAAAAGAATTATGATGTCATTCCTCAAAACAGGATTAGAAAACTCAATCAGTAGTGTGAAATAGTCAACTCTCAATAACTTAATTTAGAACTCTTGTATTTATACATCTCTCCCTTTCAGCTTGATCTTCAAGTTCCAACTGGCTGGCAAGCGGCGATGTCATTAGACAGTTTACAAAATTCTCATCCGATTGATCAAGAAGTTGCCACGCCCTCAGAAATTGATGAGCTCTTTGATGCAATTTCATACAACAAGGTATGAGAATAGTCGCGCGTATTCAAAGAAAGTAGCAAAATTTTCAAACTTTTTTGCAGCTTGGAGGGTGAATATGGGCATCGATTCTATGACTTTTTGATTATTACTATTCTATCATAATGTTTCGGCTTTTACATTTTGATAAGATGCAAAAAATATCAAAAGCAGCCAAACAATGGGTTTGAAAAAATATATTCCAACTAAGATGTTCTGTAGCTAATTCAGATTGATCTGCAACACATCCCTGATATTTTATCGTTTTATACTACCTGAGATGCTAGGCAAGCCATTGAAATTATGATTCAAAGAATTACTAGACTAACACCAATAAATAATCTTTGTCTAGGGAGCTGCTCTTCTAAGAATGCTTAAAGCATTTCTAGGAAATGACTTTTTCAAGGGAGTAAGAGTGAGTATTAAAATTTTAATTTTTTTTCCACCTCAATGTTATTGTATTTCCTTTGTTGCTGTAAATTGCTGTAAGGTATGCTACCAGAGCCTTATAAGCACCGTAACAAGAAATGCAAAAGAAGCGTTATTATCTTTGATTTATCCTTTAAAGTTTTCTTAGTTTTGATAAAGCTAGCTCAGTATGTGTCAAATTGCACAAACGAGAAAGGGGAAGCCATTGCTATTAAGTAAGTGAATTATCATAGCCAATCTTGTGTTATTCAATTATTTTTTTAGGACTACATCCAAAACCACAAGTTTGGCAACGCAGAGACCGACGACTTGTGGCGACATCTTAAAAAGGTATGGCGGTTTTGTTGTGTGTTCAAGCGGGTTCTTAAAGACTGAGTTTTCTTCAAAGACCCTAGTCCTCTTCAGTGGATAAATAAGTTATGCAAGCATCCGTTTCTTTGCAACGCTTTGCAAAGCTTTGCAACGCTGTCAAAAATGGAATTAAGAATATTGGAATAGTGACTATGACAGCAGATTAGGGACGATGTAACTGTCCTGTCTGTAGTAGTTTGAAGGACAAGCTTTACCTAATGCATGAGCAAAACCCGCTGCTTAGCAAGCTAGCTAGTTTTTGGAGCCATCATAGAAATTCAGACAGTAATAACTCTCTTTCTGTACGATAACATCTCACTTTTTCTTTCACGACTATATTACTGCTTATTCTGACAATTTTTGAACAAACTTTTGGTGTAAAGAACAGGACATTTCGAAGTTGCTGCTACTTCTAGATTCACGCAGAACAGTTGCCCGATGATTGCATTAAGCGTGAAACTCAAAGTAGCAACTTAGAACCATCTTGTTCTATACACCAAAGGCGTGTAAAACTCGGAGTAGCAACTTAGAACGGTCTTGTTCTTTACACCAAAGGCGTGTAAAACTCTGAGTAACATCTTAGAACCACCTTGTTCTAAACACCAAAAGCATGTACAACTCTTCCTATACAGCATCGAGCACTTTGTGGCAGAGAAGGAAACAATAGTTTACATGACATAGCTTCTTCTTCTTCTTCTTTGGATGTCATACCAAGAGGCTTTGACTTTTCCCTTTCAGCTTTTCTGTAGTCAACTGCTTGAGACAAGTTCTTCTCATTATGACACCAAAGAAACCTATTTGTCTCTTTATGATGTTTTGGAGAAGCATCTTTTTAGCTTCGCTCTTCTTAGCAGTTCTTCATTGGTACCTCTTTCTGTGTATGATATGTCATCATTTCTCTTAGGAAATAAATGTTTTTTCTTATGTCAAAAGGCATGTTTTTTACACTTGAAAGCGATAAATTATACGTATGGCAGTTAATAGTAACAGTTTTATTAATCGTTCTAAATAGGCTGATCACACAAAAAGCCTGAAGATTAAAAATATCATGGATACATGGTCAAAACAAAGCGGTTTCCCAGTTGTAACAGTGAATAAGGATGGCAATGATCTGGTCATATCGCAAAAGTCCATCTTACTAGCCAAGGCAGAGAGTAAGAAAGCCAAAGCCAACGAAGAGGAAGAAGAGGAAGAAGAGGAGGAAGGAGAAAAACCAAAGGAGTAAGTTGTTTAGATGCTGTATGGGAAAAAATTTTCTCTCACGTGTGAGATGCAATTTGTCTAGTGTGTGGGGATATCTCAGATACTTAGGTATCTCGGATACTAAGGTCGTAGGGCTCGAGTTCCTTTCTGACCAAACGTTCACTTGCTACCTATCTGCAATTCCAAGCATAGGATAGAAACCACTAGGTGTAGTCACATAGAAAAATAGGACCATGGTACTGCTCAATAACATACCTCCCCAGTGTCCTAAAACTACTTTCAAAAGCTGGTCAGCAGCCTAGAAAATCTTGGAACCGCCATTAGTTTTTCTACTTAAATACTTTGGGGATGCAACATGGATGACCAAGCAACCATCCATTTAATCCTTTAAAGATCAAGGCCCCTTTACATCATAAAGATACAGTTGCTACCAAATATAAAGCCTTGTAGAAGGCTTTAATGATTTAAACATATATTGATGGATACGTTTATCTTAAAGTCATTTTTATTCATTAAATGCTTTCTTTATACAGATTGCTGTAATGTTTCGAATCTTTCTTGCAGCCTTCATTGGCACATTCCGTTCACTTACTTTTCTGACGTTGACCCAAAGTCAATAAAAGCCGTCTGGATGAACAACGAAACACGTAAGAATTCAGCATACCGCTTCAAGTATTAAAAACACCAAGAAAGGTTTTAAATATCATAACAATCGTTTTGCTTTTTTTCTTTGTTCGTTTTGCAACAAGTTATGGATGTTGTTTGCGATGTCATTAGTTGATGAATCATTGTTTACCAGACTTCATGAAACAGTGACAGGCCATGAAGTCATGTTTCACGAGGAGCAACCCACTCTTAGAACTGGTGTACGAGATTATCACCAAAACTAAAGATTTTTTGAGAATGAAATATGAACTTTACCAAAAGTGTTCAAGATTTTCAGAGAGAGATTTGCACCTCGAGTTTTTATGGCAGATTATAAGTTTTTGCTTCTTCTACTATATATATCACGTTTGGCAGTAAAATGGAATTTGATTCCATTTGAAGGCGTAAGAGTTCCAGCTCCACAAGGTTTCAAATGGTTGAAAGGAAATGCGAATAACGATGGATACTACGTAGTCAACTACGATGATTCTACATGGAGAAGCATAGCAAGACAATTGAAGAACAATCATGAAGTAAGTGAGATTAGTTACATTGTAAATATACTTGGTAATCAAGAGTGAAATGATTTATTTTATCAATTTGTTACAACAGCGCATAAAACTTGGCACTACTAGAGAGGTTAACGGTCGCTGATTGGTAAAAAACGAAAGAAACAATCAAATGCGTCTTTCTTCCTTTCACCTTGCTTTTGATCCAAACCTGGATATAAATCTTTTACTTACTTTCGGTCATTATTCGATGTTTATACTCTAAAGCGTGTCGGACGAAAGGTACTTAAGTATGCCATGTTTCCGTCATTTCGTGCCATATCAACTAGAAATTTTAAAGCTCTTTTTCCAGGTTACACTCCTGGTTTTTACGCATTTTGCACTGCTGAATATATAATTATTTGAATCTTTTCTAATATTTAGATAAAGGTCTCTTGATAATTGATTATGATGTTTACCTAATTCATTTTTTAAAATCAATAAAGATTTGCTCAGTAACAGGAGTTGAGTCTCACATCTATCACACAAAAATTCTATCGACTTCGTAGATCATTCCACCAGTTGACAGAGCTGGACTAATTCACGACGCTTTCAAATTGGCATGGTAAGCTCCTTTATTCAATACTTATCTTAAAATGCTTCAGCATACGACTTTAAACTCATTGAAAGCTTGGGATGTTATATACAGGGGCAAATATGAAAGCTAACAGAGCGTGACAACGTCCCAAATGCTTGAAAAACTGAGTCCAAAGCTGAATTAATGGCGAAAGAGATTCGGTCGTGTTTCCAGACATTTGTAAAATATTCATTGCTTGCTAGTCTTTTTCCAACAACAGCAAGTCCCACTTAAGACCGAATTCCCGTTAAAAAGATCATGTTAAGTTTATTATAGTATGTCTATAATTGCTGTTTCCAAATATCTTTCAAAATTGCTGTCGGGCAGGTCTGCCACACATGGGTCGCTGGCTTTCCCTACAGCATACGCTGAAATCCCCTACGTTCCCCCTGCGAACATAACAAACGTTTCCCCTTGTTTCCCTTACATATCACCTGTTTTACCTTAAAATTCAAAATACTTTCCTACAGATCCAAATTTTTTTCTACAAATCCTTTGTTCTCTGTTTACTCTCGCCCGTCTTATGTTGCGACGAATAGCTTAATGTATCTATGTACGATTAACACAAGTGAAAAATATCAACATTATCAAGTGCAGAAATTTTTTTAGGTAGAAATTGTTTTATTATTATTTAGTTTTAACAATTCATCTCATTCAAAAGGACGTTGACTATACCAACTTAGGTGTGGTAACTGACTGTACTTGATTTTCTGCTTTTCTGCGTTAGATGCCTGATTTTCTTCAACCTCGATATTTGCTTTTCTTGCAGTGATGGCATCATCGACCCACTCATACCTCTAAAACTTACGAAGTATCTTAAGAAAGAAAAGCACTACCTCCCTTGGGCAATGGCTAGAGCGAAACTTGATTGCGTTATTATACAAAATAAGAAAATCAAGAAATTATACAAGGTAAGACCATGTGAAAACGATTTACTTTTGACACTCGTTGCCCCTCTGACTCCTTGTTTTTCACCCGGTTTGCGCAAATTATCAAGTTAATATTTCCTGAGTTTAGAATTACAATTTGTTGACAGAATCAACTTCTAATGTCTAATGTATTGCTATCTTGTTTCCTATAGAAATACTTTTGGTATTTAATGTCCCATCTGGTCGACAAATCTATGCTTGATGCTAGGAATAAGGCACCAACAGATCCTTATGAAGTGTGAGTTTCAAATACCTTAAATTTTCTTTCTTTCGTAAACATATAATTGAATATACTACGCTCGTTATTTTACCAGTAAGTCAGAAAATGCTTCGATGCCACATATACTTAGCAGAGTCCAGAAAAGTTATTAACCTTCCTCCAGACAAAAACATCCCAGAAGGCAAACCTTCCTCAAAAAACAATAAAGTCGGCGTGGCTTTGGCCTGTTATAGAAGCTTCTATTGTTTATCGTGGATCTTCTTCCGGTCAGTGGCCGTTCGACCGTGATGTTTTCCTGATTCTTATACTTATACCCTAAAATTCTTCATACCAGGGTGCAAAAGAAAGAATAAACTATTACTTTATCGTTTAAAGGAGACCTTTTGTTGATACTTGGAAAATACAAATAGATAAAAATTTAAGTTTAAAAGGGAATGCAACGTGGCATAATTTGAAATAGAGTAGGGATCTGCTCGATGGACAATGTGTTTGAAAGAGAAGCCAGTTGGCCTCTTCAGTGATGGATTGTAGAGAAGGGTGTCAGGGGCATGTTTCCAACATTTTTAGTGATACCATTCAAATGTATACAAATTCTCTTGATACAATGCTATGCAGCTGGAATTAGGCAAATCAGAAAAACGCAAGTACAAGACCGGTATAGTTGACCAATCAGTACCGCGTGCCTGAAAAAATTACCACTGGAGTCCAAGAGATAACACGAACTCCTTCTGTCTATACAATGGCGGCTTTTTCGTTTGTATGTAGATCGATTCCAAAACTGCTAGATGGAAAGACGACCGGGCTCTGCCAATTATCCGAAACATGTCGTCATTATAGAGTTTTCTGAGCACAATCTTGGTTGTCTAAAAGATGTTGACCGATGGCAGAATCACTTGTTTTAACAGTGTTTCTTGACTTACAAGATCAAGGCGGCTGTTCTCTTCGAGGGGCGGTTTTTGTTTCTTATGATGGAGCATGCAGTTTTATCCTATCTCCCAATCTTCAGGTGGAAAGTTACAAACTAATGCTAATTGCTTCGATGCGAGTAATATGAGCTTTTGTGTAAATATTCGTAACATCGAGGCCATTTTTTACGGAAATTTGATGATTGCAAGCTACATTTTAAACCTCAAAATGTAGCCGTTTGTGTAAATAAACAAGGCCATGGAAAAACGTATGGCCTATGGCCTAATTTGGATGTAGCGTTTTGTCATCTTTGTAGCAAAATGAAAATGTGGCAGATGAAATAATAAAAAATCTGACCCTTTAGCAAAGATAGAGAACACAACTTTTTATAAATTAATAAAGGGCCAGCAATTCTTGGAAATCTTGGAAAGAGCTGTTGAGACCAACCTATGTTGTCTGTGTTGTCTTTGTCGTCTTTCCAGGATTGTATGACTCACACCAGATGCAAAGCACAAACCCGAAGTTTTAATCGCATATCGACTGTTTGATGACTGATTAGTAGTTTGATGTTTTCATTTCTAAGTAATCAGACAGCCGTTTTGGTCTGCTAGCCAGCCCGTTCTTATGACGTCAGACTTCTTTTCTTAGAACGTTAAGAATTTGATTAAAGGCGTATTTCTTAGCTTTCTTACTTAAAGGCTTTGGCGCAAACGGCCAGCTTTGCGACTATATTTTCAAACCCGCCTAATATCATACAAAACACAATAAATTTCTCAAGATAGATGCCGCTAAGCATGCCAGTTGTGCAAGAGCCTTTACGGATAAAACATCGGCATAAAACCAGAGTATTGTTGGATAAAGCATGTTTTCTTCGTTTGGCAATCATGTTTTACGTTATTTTATGACGTTTTATGATGCTTTGCTGAATTTGATTTCCATCAAACATTTCATAAAACATCTTGTCGTTCTCATTTTTCATCAATAATTCTCCATACGTTGGCTACCACTCTAAGCATTTGTGTTTGACAACTTCTCGTTTTCATTTGATAGGTTTCAAAGGTTCGACACTTTCTCATTTGTGATGAAGTACAACTTTAGAAAAGATTTCAAAGAAAAGCTTGGAGATTTGTTTCAAGATATCAAGAACAATGAAACGTAAGAAATTAAGCATCAAACGAGAAAAAAATCTAATCATATTTAGCATAGGAGTCAAACCTTGATTGGCTGCAAAGGGAATCGCCACAAGGGGTGTCTTCATCAAATTGAACCAATCAATTTGCAACAAACAACATATTTGGTGATCTATTTCACAGCCAATCAAGAACTGTTTACAATCTACAGTTATTTTTTTATTTGTGAATTAAAACATTGAATGATGCAAATGCTCATAACGAACATGAAATATAATTAGTTTTGAGCTCAATTTTTCTAAATGCTACTATTTTGCTAATTCATTTTTGAAATCATTCCTTGCCAAAATAATAGATGCCAAGAGCATGTTTTGCTACGCACTATTCCTATAAACAAAAATGGCTCACAAAGTTTCGAGTATCTAAGCATTCCTTAGAAGTTCATACTCAACATTTTTTTAGTTTCTTTTACAAATAGAGAATCGCCTTTTATTATAATTTTTTCAACGATTGTTTAACAATCAATTTCAGATTGTTTTGTCCATCCTTTAATGCAAAGATAGCGTTTCCTTGAAAGTGGCTTTCTCTAAGACCTGGGGAGGAGTGAGTTCTCTAAGACCTGGAGACTAAATTTGTTCCGAACCAGTGAAGTCACAGACACGAGTTTATCAGCATTTTCAACTATCACACATGAAACTGCAGTCTATGTGTACACACTGTGCTTTAAATCAGGCAAAAATTACTACAAAACCTTGACTCGTATCCTTAAAAAAGATTTTTTGGTTCCCATCTGCAAACAAAGTGAACCAGAGATTATCAAATATATATTGAAAATCAGAGTACACTGCAAGTATGAATATTTTTTTTAAAACCTTTTACTTATTTATTGAAGGAATTCTGATTTGTCGGCTGAATTGAGAGCTTTAGCTATGGTATTTGGCTCAGATCCTAAAGACGATGAAGATTTTGACTTTCTCTGGCAATCATACGTTAACGCTCCGTTAGATGCTGAAAGAAGATTTATCATGAAAGCATTTTCAAGAGTGAAGGATAAGAAGAAGCTTCAAATGCAAGTATCTGGTATTTTACTTTCTTTTACTGGGATACGGGGGCAGAGTGAATTGATTAAGCGGATGTTATAGAGTTTCAAGATGCTTTAAACGTGACACAGGGAGTTGAGACACAGTTGTTACCAGCTGCAGTTTTGGGAGACGATGTAACAATCGACATTGGATAGATTTGCTGTGTACACTGGAGGAGCATCATGGTATCGGTCACCTGGCTTGATAGGGGGATATAACAAAGAGATAGCCAAGCTTCGGTTAGGAGTCCATGAAATCAAGGCAGAGTGATGGTCATTTTCCATTATCTTTAGTTATAAATTCTTCGAGAACCGGTTCTGACAGCGAAATAAAACTTTTTTATCTCTATTTTTAATGTTTGTCAGTTGTTAAGTTGAAATTTCCTTTACATATGATATATTTTCATACACACGATATGTGGCGCCCAACATCTTTAAAGCGTCATGCTCTATACACCAAAGCGTTTGACTTTTTGTTTATGCCTTCGATTTTTCGTACCATTGTATCCTTGACCCCAGTACCTTTCGCAAGCCCTTTCATTTCATCATTAATCTAACCACTTACTGCTGACCTCGTAAGCTTACTTTTTGTTTTCATAATCTAGAATTCTGGATTCATCTTTGGATCTTAAGAAGGTGAGAGTCCAAGACACTATTCCACTAATGATGACACTAGTGAAGCTTGGTGGACGAAAGCAAGTGTGGGAATTTATTGAAAACAATTTCGATGGACTAGCTAAAAGGTAACTCAAGGTCTACTTTATCTTCCTGAAACTAAACGGAAAGTTTATAATTCAGTTTACTTCATATTAATCATGTAGCCAGCATGCATGTTGCTAGAAATGTCCACCAGAAGGTGGATAGCATTGTGGAAAATGGCATTTCTCAGTTTATAATGTCTCTTAAATGCACGCTCCGATTGAAATGACTGTTGAGTTTCAAGAACCATTTTTGGGAAATCAGAGATTAGGACTATGTAGGCTAGGTATTTTCTATTTCAATAATCTTTTTCCCACGGCACTGAAATTTAGCTCAACACTAGCTAACAGTTCCCTTCACTGCTTGTAGAAGCAGAAAACGCACGATAGAATTCTTTGTAAAAGGTTTCTTCTCAAAGATACCCTACTGGCATAGACGTGATAGCAAATTTGTAAAGTTTCTGGGTTTTTATGGTTAGAATATACCTTTAGAATGTGCACCCAGATTGTGATCTTATTTAGCAGTTGAAAAGCTTTACCACCTTGTAACAAAAATTCAAGGAAATCATCCATCCATTGAAAAGGAACGTGCATGGAACCAAGCTTTAATTTAATACAAGAAAAAAGAAAGATACCTTAATCATAGTGAATAATGTAACACTCGATAAAATGAAAAAAAATTGAAGGACTAAGGACTCTTCTATAACTACTTACTAGTGTTTTTGGGAGTCGTTTTCCCATATCAGCCTGACTGTTTTTCCATCAAGCAACAGAATAATTGAATGGAAAATTATTTTGCAGATATGGTGGTAGATATCAGCTCGGTAGCTTGGTTGCAGAGGTTGCCGGAGGATTTTACAAGAAGAAAGATTATGAGCGGGTATGACCTATTTAAGAGCTAAAAATAGCTTTGATAAATTTGGCCATCAAAGGCAATTTTCTTTAACTCTTATGAAACTTCATGAGTACGATGAGGATGGCTTGGAGGAGACCAACCAGTTAAAGGTTCAAGCTTTCTTTCAGGCATTATTGTAATCTTGCTATTGGGCTCTAAATGGTTGGTTAAGTCAAAAAATTCTTTTTCAGCAAATGGCTAGATATGTCGCTTGCTAAGATTTTAAGCTATTTGAAAGTAACAAAAAATAGATTTTTGACGTAATTTCTTACAAATTGAAAGATTTTACAAGCTTTTTAATTCGCTGCAAACATTAGTCTCGTATTGTTGTCGCACAGAAAACTTTTCACCATTAGCTTTTGAGCCAATGACTTTGCATTTCATTAGTTTTGTAGACTGGCTTTGAACGCGCAATTTTCGCTCGTATCACTATCAAACACAATCTGTTACTACCAACTTAAATCTTTTCAACATCTTGATTTTAAATTTCAAGCCATTTAAGAGACAACCTTCCAAATTATAGTAAAATATATCAATTCAATAAATTGCTCAGTTTTTAAGCTCTTTTTTAGCTTCTCATTATGTAGGCTGGAGGCTTTAATTATTCTCTCTCAATTTTAGACATATAGCCTAGTGCCCGATATGTATACACTTTATACTTTATTAGATAGATTGATAGAGGTTGAAAGAGAGGTTATTCTAACAGAGAGGTTGAATATATTCTCGTTCAGCAGAGCGAAAAGTCCTTAAGCATGCTAAAACTCTTTTTGTTCAACAGGTTAAAAAGTTTATAAGCACACATAGCCTTGGTGAAAAAGGATCAAGGACAGAGAAGCAGGTTCTCGAAAAAATGAAGACGAATGTAGATAAACACAGTTCCAGTACAGCAAAAACAAAGTCAGAGAAGATTGAAAAATGGATAAAGAAAGAGATTAGGAAACTTGAAGGAAAAGTGAATATGAACTGGTAGTGAAAAGTATGTTTAGATGTTTCAATTCAGTAAAATATAACATGAGATGGATGGCTGTCTAAAGTGCAGTAGATGTGAGTTTTTCTAAAATTCTAGGACAAAAAAGTAGCATAAATGATGCTATTTTGAATCTTTGAATGTAGCAAGGTACTTAAAAAATATACATGGACATTAGCTTTAAGTCCAATTTATGCCCTTTTAACTTATGCTCTAATTTAAAATACATTTCATAAAGTATTATTTTACCAATTTTTGGCGGTACACAACTTGAAAATGACTTTGAAAAAAGCAAACATATGTTACCATTTCTAATATCAATAAAATTATTTATATATTTAAAAGTAGAAGTTTGAAGTGCAAAAAGAAAATTCAACTTTAGATTAAAATAGAAGATGCTGAAATGGCACTAAATGTAAATCATAAAAATGTCGTACGGGGAAGTGAGGGGGAGGGAAGGGGGAGGGGAGGGGGAGAGAAGAGAAAGAGAGAAAGAAAGAGACGGGATTAAGATCTGACATGGTTGTTGGTCGAAACTTCACTTTTCTTCTTTGATCAGCAACCTAAAGATACAAATATCCAAATGATAGCATGAGATGAATTTGTCACGATGAAATGGATGATGTTCAGTACACTTGAAGAAAACTAAGGTCATATTTACGGTATCGTAGGGCTGTTCAAACGTTTGGCTACTTAATCTAGCTCATTACTGTATATTTTGTTTTGCAAATCTTTTTGAAATGTGTAACCAACTATGTAGTGAAATAAAGCATTTTGTTTCGGAATATATTATTGATATTACTTTGAACTAAATTAGCTCTCTACCAGCTCAAATGAAAATTAGACTAACTTATTTTTGTTCAAACAACTTGTAATAAGTTGGAAGGAAGTTGCATGTTTGTACTTACCCAATCATGATTAAATGGCAAGGATTTGAGCTTTCGAATTTTTATACAAAGGATTAAACAGCAAACGATAGAAGGTTTTACATTGTTTTTTTTTATCAAACCGGGCAAACCTAGATGGATTTGTTGACAAAAAATATCTACTATTCCTATAAACTGACCTTACAGTCCATGTTCTTATTTTCTCAATATCTTATCTTTTATCTTTCTTGTCAATACAATTGACTTTGCAGCATGGTCGTTGAATACATTTGATTTTCGTATTAAAATATTTTTTGGAGTATAGAATGGTAGTTTGAACAGATCCAAAGAAAGCTCCTGTAAAAATCACTCTTAAAGTGATAAGCAATAACTGATACTAGCAACCTATGGTATAAAGGTGAGATGATAAGCCCAACCTGAGCTCCCATCATCAACCATACTATAGACCGGGTTACACGATCACTTTTAACCATCACTTTTTTCGATATTGGACCAACATGCTGAAAATTGATCGTGTAAAATACTAATATTGTCAATTTTTGCTGCAGAATTTAGTGCGTTTATCCTCTATCATTAAAAGAAAGAACGAAAGCAGAGTAAAATCGAGATCATTACTTTTTTCAAATGCGCCGAAAAATTATTGCGTCATATAATGTTTTGGTGAGAAGGGAACGGCCTAGAGTTTCGAGAAAAGAAGAAAAAGACGTGAATTGTGCTCAGAAACATAAATATTAGCAGAAAACGAATATGAATAACTATTTGGAGTGAATCGAAAAGCAGCACATTACAGAAAAATAAATGCAGTTTAATAAGATACACTCATTTTTTTATAAGAAACCATCCTCAACAGTGAAGTGAGTACCCCAGTTTCTTAAGGTTTACAAATTTTTCTCGCAACATGTAAATATCAATCACGTTCTTCAGTTTTTCTTTAACAATATTTTAATATATTTCCATACGTTTTGCCATTTTTGGATTTTGTTTTGGGAAATGAAGAATTTCCCTTTATTTACGACAAATTAGTTGCGATTATTTCCCACATTTCTAAACATAATAAACTTAAAATATTGTTTTACTGTTTTTCAAATTATTGAGACATGCCCAAGCAGCTTCGCCTTCCGCTCCCAGGCTGCTTTGTGCTCGCGCGAAAAACAAAGGCTATTCAGTTCAATACTTTCACTTCCACGTTGCGAACTCAAAATGGCGTCGTCTCCTGGTTCCTTTCATCCTAGCAAATCCCTTGTAGATCTTGCTGGCAGGCATGCTACGTTTCAGCCAAGTAAGGATTTGTATGCAAATGCACATGTCAAAAACATGAATGAGTACCATGCCATGTACAAACGGTCTTTGGATGATCCCGAAGGGTTCTGGGGTGACATTGCCAAGAAGTTCTATTGGAAGGAATGGTACACGGGGGAGTTTATGAAGTACAATTTCAATGTTTCAGATGGACCCATCAGCATCAAGTTCATGGATGGTGCTAAAACCAATATTTGCTACAATGCTTTAGACAGAAACGTGAAAGATGAACAGATGGGAGACAGAATTGCTTACTACTGGTATGTTTTGTTATTGTTATCTCATCCAGTCCATTGTGTTATCATGGACAGTGTGTCAGTTTGTCAGAAACAACTGCCAAAATCCGATATGATTCGTATCGAAAATTTATCCTAAATTGATATTTTGATGTATGTATGTATAATAATCTTTAATGTGAATAACAAACTAAGTTTGAAAACTTGTTTTCAGTTTGGTTCACAAATTAAAAGTACAAATAATCTAAATTTAACCAATAAGGAAATAAAAATTAAAAACAACCTAACACAAAATTCAAATAATGAGTTTTAACCCTTTAATGTTAGTTAAAGATGCTATTTTAAAATCCATCCATACTTATTAAAAGAGGTGGAAAAAGGAGTCAAAGAAACAAACGACTTGGAAAATCTGCTGAGGGAAGTTAAAAATCAAAGAAAATCATTGTCATATAAGGGGAAGTGGCGTTATCTATGAATAAGAAACATGAATTATGAAATCATTCTTACTACAAGCCAGTATGGATTCCTTGGCTGCTGCACTCCCAAGAAACTTTTGTAAAATAACAGGTGTACACTTACACACCCAAAAATGGGCATGGTTTGGATGTTTTTTGGATGTGGCTCAAATTAAAAATATTTTTTCAAATATGGTAAAATGACTTTTTAAATTTGTCCGCAGCTGAGATTGGAAAAAAGTGTGTCATTGAGTGATCTAATCGATATCAGGGCTGCAAAAAAGTTTCAATGGGGTCTGGGGCAAAACTGAAAGACAAAGGCACCCTTGCAAGTGAAGTGAACAGAACATTTTAAAGTGACCCTGTTCTTAAAGGCATTGAGTCATGATATAAGACGAGGGTATCCCAAACGTACCCAATCTGCTGAGTCATGATTTTCGTGCCCTAAATGCTATTGGTTGACCTGAAACTGACAGTGCCGGAAAAAATGTCAGAAAATGTGTCGGAAAAAATATGCACACACTTGAGAATCACAGAGAAATTTGATAAACGTTGAATTGTGCACACTCTTGCACTCCCAGGTAATAACTTGTGCACTCCCGAGATCGCGTCAAATATTCTGCCATGAAATCCAGACCGGCTTACAAGTCAAACTGTTTCTCAATGCTCATAGGTAGAATTGTGGTTCTGCTCACAGCCTATTTTGATGACTTTTTTCTATCATTATGAAATATTGATATGTACATATTAATGACAGTTGAACTAGAATATAGTAAACCATGTGTTGTTTTGTAAGGAGAAAGAAGGTTAAGGTCATCCAGTTCCTACTACTAACAACACTTACAATTTAAATACAAGCACTCTATCTCTTGGATAGTATATATACATTACAAAACATGAGGTGTCCTGGGTGCATCAAAATAATATATCTTTCACTCACCAGGTAGGTTGTGCCTTAATTTGATGGATACCTCACTGGTCTAATCATTTTGTTGATTTCATAAAGAATATGGTTGCTTCCAAAATTATTCTGTTCACAGTTACATTTATGGCTGTTCTACCTAAAGGAAGCAATTCACAAATATTCCTAGAATCCAAACACTTTATGTCAATACCAGGAAGGTGCAAGAGCTGAACTAAAAGAAGTCTATGCTGCAAATCAAAGAGAGTTAAATGCAAGAGAAAGCTCTTTTAATCTTCTTTACCAGTGCCACAGGCACAGATGGGGTCTGTGCATTAAAAATTGTGCGTAAATTTTGTGTTCATTTCAGGTACTAAAGTTCAAAACAAAGCTTAATCAGAAATCAAATACCTGCTATATTGTGTTAATTATATGTAGGTTTTTAAGCCTGGCCTAATGATTCCTAGAAATTTACGCTTGCACTAATCAATTAATGATGATTCGGATATCAAGAAGGAGTCCATTTAGAAACAGTGATTTTGAAAACCAAACAGTTCTGCCTACAGTTTGTTCATTTCTTGGATTATACATGACTTGCCACTCGGGTGGGATTTATACATGCAAATACTCAGGATGGTGTGACTTCTTTAAATGACACATCCCTATTCCCATGACATAAAGTTTTGGCAAAGAGTGTCATTAGAACAGAATTAGAAACAGGTAGTGAAAATTCTTGCTTTTTGGATAGCTTCCTGCATAAGACTCTGGAAATCTAGTTTGTTCAGAAATCCAGAAATCCATAATCATGCCAAGATGCTGGTGCTCAGCATTTTCAGTTACCACCTCATTTCTTAACAGTAAAGGAGAATGGAGGAGCTCTTTTTGTATTATCTTTGATTCACATGATATTCTTTTAGGGAAGGTAATGATTCAGGTGACAGCTGCAAGATTACTTATGGAGAGCTACTGAAGAAAGTTTGTCAGTTCTCAAATGTTTTGAAGAGTTTAGGTATGTGGTCTGGTGGAAATTTTTCCTGACCTTTTTCTGCCTTTGACATTTTTGCACATTTGTTGTCTAATGTTATGAATTATTGTATCATATATTCCGTACAATTTAAGGTGATACCAAAATTTGAAAATAAGCTGACATATGCTGTTTTAATGTTTTTTTCTGTGCTGCTGTTGAAGCATCCCTATTTTCTTTGCTTGGTAATGAACCCTAAAGGGCTGGTGCCAGCAGGAAAAGCTTTGCGAGGACTTGCACAGTCAATAGCAGAAAAGAGGTCATTATCTTTTTATTTGTCACAGAAACCACTTTCTAACAGAATTGAAAGAGTGGAAAACCTGAGTTAATAGAGTATTGTGATTTTTTGACAGTACTTTTTGTATCTTATGGGGAAATCAATATTTCATTCTCAAAGCAGTCTTGTATCAATGTCAGACAGTTCTTCTTGTCATTGTGGTTTTTAAGAAATCCTTGGTCAGATAAGGATTTCTGGAAAACCTTTCTTGGGAAGCCAAATGAGTGTGCAAAATAAAAAGATTTTAATAAAGATTTCAGATAAATTTCTGGAAAACCTTTCTTGGAAAGCCAAATGAGAGTGCAAAAATTAACTGACATTGTCCTGGACGCTAAAAATTATCATGAATTTTATCTGGAGCAGCACTGCATCTCCCTTCACCTTAGCACACTTACCATTAATATTTTGGTGACCAAGAATCTCCTTCCTATGTATTTGATAGTGTCGTCACTGATACTGATCTTTAGATTGTCAGTGGAAATAGCTCAGTTCTCATTACTGAGTATAGCATTTCACCCCATGCATATGCTTTAGAACTCCTCTGATGAAATGGATATATGATAGTTTTTAATTACTGACTGTGGGATGTACCCGGTCCTGGCAATTATTATAAAAGCACAACTAAGGAGTTTAGTTTTATACTTTTATTGGTTACATTTATACTTTTCGTCATACACTCCTCCAAGTATAAATGTCAAATGATGTCGTTAAAGGTATGCGAGAAGTTACTTTCAATAAAAAAGCTGGATATAAATGCTTATCTTTGGACATTAATTGACGTTTATACTGTGAAGAGTACTTTGAAAGAGTGGATGGAAAGTAATTTTTTAATATAATTTCTTTCCGCTCTTCCATTATAGTTGAAACCTGACTTTGTCTAATTTTTCAGTAATTTGTATACTTTCTAGGAGTTAAAAAAGGAGACAGAGTAGCAGTTTACATGCCAATGACAATTGAAATTACTGTAGCTGTGCTAGCATGTGCAAGAATTGGTGCTGTTCATTCAGTTGTGGTATGTGTCTTTGATGTTCGTAAAATATGCTCCTTGGGAACATTTAAGATTATTAATTTGTTTTCAAAAAGTATAGAATGAGAGTCTCTGTTTTGAAATAAAGCCAAGTAAATGCTATATATTGCAAAATGAAAAAAGTTGTGTAGTTGTTTTGATCACCTAGTAATTGTATATACTAATCAAAAAGTCATATTTTTAATTTGGTTTTTTCAATGTTGCTGACTGTGCCGATTAATGAGTAACAGATTGTCATGATGATGAGTATGTATATTGATTATTCCAAACTTAGGCCAAGTGCACTTATAGAATTCTTAATTACTTTTGATGGTTTCTGTTTATTTGTAAGTGAATAAATGTTGAGAATTCTTATATAAATTTATTCTTTTTGTCAGTTTGCTGGCTACTCAGCTGACTCACTTGCAGAGAGAATGATTGATGGCAAGTGCACAGTTCTCATCACTGCAGGTATGAATTTTCCCTTCTAAAGAATTTTTTCCAAACATTTTCTTTCAATAGATTCGCTTTATGTTTATCATTTTGTTGTTGGTTTTACCAGCCTGTTTGTATGGTGGACCCTTTCTCAGTTGCATGAAAATGGGTCTAAAGAAATGGTTTGCTATGTTAAGTTTTCTTCATAGTCAATTGTGCTTGAGCACAATATAATCAATTTAGTTTCAACAGCTTTTTTAACTTTATTAACTTTGTTACTTCTTGCATATGCAGAAATATAGCAATTGTCTATTCCATGTTCGGTAAATATGCTCAGAAAATACAATTTATCGAGCTTATCGGTGAACCGGAGCACCATCAGCCATTATCCCAATGTGCAAGTCTGGCCAAAAACGCACAATGTCCCTTTAAGGAAAACCTGTAGAAACAGAACTTAGAATTTTTTTGTGTGTGGTCATAACTGAGCACACACATATTGACAAAGGTTTTAATTTTTGATCAAAATTTAAGGTATAGTAGCATAACGGAGGCACCTGTGGCCTTTAAGAAAAAACTGAGAAGGGCCCTTGCTTACAGCCTGCAAGAAGGTCTGATCCAAGGATGTAGAGCAAGTCAAACGCAATTGCAAGCTTGAAAATGATTATTTTCCTTGTTAACTAGAGAAAACTGAGTTTTATGCTTTCAAAGTTTAAAAAAAATTTGAAATTTCGTTTGCCTAAATTTAGCTTTAATTATTCTGATTTTTAGTTCATCTTATTGTTTACATCCAAATTTCATTTAGTAGTAACCTGTTGTGGTCCTTGCGGGACAGGCAACTTCAGTATGGTTGTTTGTTTATCTTATACCACATATAACAAATGAGAAGCCAAGGGGGAGCAGATTGAAATGCCTGTTCCCTGCGATTTTCTCAGACATACACCTTCTTGATAAACTTTTTGTTTAATTCTCACCACCTATAGTTTGCATTTTATAACAATTTAGCAATGTTTACCATATATTCTTGCATAGCAAACCAGGGGTCCTATTTTTCATCAAAATCATCAAAATCTGTTTCTACATTCAAGTGTAAAAGCTTTAGTCAAGCTAGTCTTGTATCCTACAGTTATAAGTCTTGTTGCCAAGGATGTCACCACCAGTGGAGCGTGCTTCTCCTTTTTTAATAAATACCCTCTGTCATTTTCTTATGTGGCTTCTATCAAAGGCAGCTTCTTATCAAGAAAGGTTTATTCATTTTTTCTCCATAGTTCCTAAAACTGCTATTCGATAGTACCTTTATTCAAGGGCAGCTTCTATTTGTTAAAAGCTGATTTCTAAAGTTGTGTGAATGGTTAATTGATTAAAACAGATGGATTCTATCGTGGAGCAAAGCTTGTCAAGTTAAAAGAAATTGCGGATGCTGCTTTACGTGAATGCAAGGAATCGTAAGAAATTCATATTGCTAATCTTTCTTTGCTATATCTGTTGTTTATGACGTGTAGACAATTTTATGCTGTAGACTTGTAGAAAATATTAAACTCCGGGCCTAGTTTCATTTCAAATGGTGTTGGCTTTGACTCGAAGCTACCATACTTGCCAAAATTTTTGGAATAACTAAATGGTAAATTTTGGGTTCCTAAATAATTGTTGGAATAACTAAATTTAAGCACCTTTAAACTATGTGAATTTCTTTTTAGAAAGTTGTATGCCAAAATGTTGCTTAATTTCGATATCATACATTTTCGTTACTAATATAATATGAAATTTTAAGTAAATAGCATTTTACAGGGGAGGGGAGAAGAATTTTTCACCACCAATTGCTTCATCAAGTTTAGGCAGGAGTATTTTTGTGTTCAAAAATTTTTTTGGCAAAGTCTGTAAATTTCATGATAACGTAGATTGAATTGAGATTATCTCCATAAAAATTGTACACACTACCTATAAAGACACAAAATTTGAACTGCTACGAAATTTAAAACATGTCGAGTCAGTGATTTTGGCCTGAAAGGAGAGCTTTTACAGTCGATGTTTTTGTAGAAGGAGATGGAAACTTTGAATGTATGAAACTGTTTCTTAAAGCAATTTTATCTTCGGATGCTGTGTACAATGTGAATAAATTTATGAAAGGTCACGACAAATTATATCTAGTGATAAAGAGATTTTACTTGTGGTTGAAAGAACAATGCATTTGTCATTACTGTTCTTACGTAATCCTAGAAGATTAAATCTTTCGTATTGCGAATTATGAGAAGGAGATAAACTTCGCACGAGAAGAGAAAGCTGATTATCTGGATCATTTTTCCGCCGAACCGTCTCCTTCGTTAAAATCGCAAGGTAGACATTAATTGATAATGAAAAATGCCGCAGGCTTTCAGGCATTTTGAATACTAATATCATCGTTGTAACCCATATGAACAAGGAAATGGGAAATTGAATCAACTTATCTATGAAAATCTGCGGTAAGAATAAGCCTTTGCTTTCTGTGTGAGTCATACAATCCTTGCCAAAAGTTCTTGGAACACCCCGAATTAAGAGGATGTTTAAGAAAATTAGAAGTTTCGGTTGTATGATAAAGAAGTAGCAACCTTTCTTCCAAATCAATGTTGGTCAATATTCATATAAAGACCTGTTATCTAAATTGTCTGATATGATCGTAAGAGTTCGATTTATATACTGAAACTGTTCCTTGTCGTAACTACTTTCATATGATGCTAATGAACGTATGAGTGGTATACGCAGGCAGGCATTTTGGTTTAGGCATGAGAATTCAAGACCAATCTTTATTGATATTTTACTATTGCAGTGTTAAGAATTCTTAGATATGCTAACATGAAATGGAATGTTGTCTATCACTGAAAAGCGGGGTAGAAGAGAGGGATTCATAACTTATGTTCTTTTTACCTGAATTTGACCCTTCGCCGTTTCTTCAATTTGTATTCTTAATGGCGGCACTCATCTTTTCAAAAAGGGCAGTCGATTGGTTCGATGCGTCTTGAGTGTTAATGTTTACGATTAGTTCTCGATCTATGTGTCTTTTGCTGCTTGCCACTTAAAGACATCTAGGCCTATACATCGTGTGTTTTGCCTGTTGCAATATTGTGATGTTTTTATTTCGAAGACAAAAAAGAAAGTTAGTTTCTTTGGGAGATATCAAGTTATGTTTTTAAATGAAGCTTCGGGAGCTTTGATTTAATGACTTTTGGTTAATGTTTCAGAGGGCTTGCAGTAAAAAGATGCATCGTTTTGAGGCACATCAGTGAGACAGATGAAAATGGGGCAAGTGAACAGAATGGAGATGAACCAGTTGCTAAAAGGCCCTGCAAAGGATTTCTTGTATGTTTACTATTTATCTTTTGAGTCTCTTTTGCTTTAATTGAACTCAGTGTAGCAACGACTTCCTTTTAGTAATACATTTTAGACGTCCTATTTAGTGTATAGAACAGGATGGTTCTGAGTTGCTACTCCGTGTCTCACACTTAATGCGATCAGCGGGCAAGAACGTCGCTTACAGCTTTGCCTATACGCCTTTGAGCACTTTGTGACAGACCGGTTAACACAAATTTGGATTACTTTTAGGCAAGCATAGTTCTCAGTAAAATTTTAATCTTTTTTACTGTAATGACTCGAACAAGCCACTGTAATTTATAGGGGGGAAGGATGGTGGGGTGCTTAAAAAGCAATAAGATTTGTGACTATAAATCAGAATGAGAATTGAACTGAAAAAAGTCCTTGAAATAAATTATATGAAACTAAAAGTGCTCTAATAAAAAATATTTTGGGGTAGTTACGCATAATTACGGGACTTATCGAGGGAGGAAGCCTGGTGAGAACTCGAGGCAAAAGTTGGGGCTTTTCGAATGCAGGGGCTTCATTGATTAATTAAGCTTGTTATGATCAGACAAAAAATGTCGATTTGCTTTTCTCGAATTTTTCCACACTTTCAAAATACTGACAAAGGTAGAGATTTATTTACGAATGTGCTTCTCTCATTTGATTTCAGCAGGTTGAGTGAGGTCTCTTATAAATTCGCATATGTGGCTAGTAGCAAGAATACCGGAGAGCATGATTTAGAAATATAGTACAAGCATCTTTGATTCTGAATCTCTGTTTATCCCATATAGTCAAGGTGACTTTGAACTTCTTGGACTTTCTGTAGTTATTTATGTAGTAGGTTTCATTAGGAAGTACATGTTCTTTCAGGCACCATGGAATTCTGACATAGACAGCTGGTGGCATGAGCTGATGCAAGATGCGAGTGAAGAATGCGAGCCAGAGTGGATGGATGCAGAAGATCCTTTGTTTATACTCTACACCAGGTAACGCCAAGGCTTGCACTCAGAGCTTGTATATTAGGCCTATCTGTACGTAATCGCTCACTCTTTAGTGCCAAAACTGTAAGAAAAGTTTACATATGCTCGCGAACGTTAAAATGTTTAAGGTTTCGCGTATTGAAAATAAATGGTTTTGTTGCAATTTGCATGGTAGTAAAATGATTGCTGGACCTTTTAAAGTTGAAATTATCGAGCTTATTTGTCTTGTGATCCTGCACTTGTTACTTCCTATTCCTTTCAGTGGGTCGACTGGTAAACCAAAAGGAGTATTACACACAACCGGTGGATATATGCTCTATGCAGCAACGACATTTAAGTAAGCTACGCCGTTTTCTCTAGCATCAGTATGTAGTAGATGTAACTGTATCATTGATAGCTCTGTGATCCGCTCGCAGTCTCTAAATGCCTTTGTAGCGTTTACCGTGGCAGAGGCCTTTGAAGGCAGCAATACTGTTTGAAAAGGAGGTTTCCGTAGCCTTACTTAAGCAAAGCCTTATAGGAAGACATTTTATGCGATGTTGAGCAGTGTGGGGCATTAGATAATTTTTAGTGGTCATTTCATACCAAATTTCCAATACTGTATATGGCAAACTTTTTTTTGATAGTTTATGATTCCTAGGTATAGGATAATGATTATTTCCAATACTGTTAAGCCAGTCTAGAGAACATCAAGGCAAGGAACCGTGGTATTTCGGTACCGACATTCTGACATTTTCATTATCAGTGGGACAATGTTGTCTCTTTTTGCCTCAATATGCCATATTGGCATCATGTTACTATTTCTCAATTTTTATCATATGTTTAAATTTGGTTGTTTTTATGACTATTGATTTCTCGATAAAACTCATCGACCTTTTAATCTACCCTTATCATAAATACTCGATCATATACGATGATCATAAAGACACAATGCTCTCAAATATGTATTTATTTTGCCTTTCCTATTTCCCCCAACTTTTTATATCTATTTACTGTCAGTATTTCAGCTTGAAGTAAATTCCTGTGGACCAATCAACCTAAATCCGGCATGTCAGTGTCACCTTTTTATAGCCGCTAAAAAAGAAGTCACAAAATAAAGGGCGTCGAACCGAGGAAGGGTGTTTTGGGAAATTCATAAAAGTCCACAGATCACTTCAGCTGTCAGTAATAGCAAGCCAATTTGAAGCATTGCGTCCCTTTGTCCTTGTGCCCAACCGCTTCGAAATAAGTCCGACCCGCCCTAGTAGTTTTCTATTTAGCAACTCGCGCTGATTCAAATAGTTTACATGGTTTGGATGTTAGCCCTTTGCTTTCTTCTTAATTGAACAACAAGCGTGACTACTTTATCTGTTTGATTAGGTCATACTGTTCTGACGTCATAGATTGAAATTTCAGATATGTTTTCGACTATCACGCTGATGACATCTATTGGTGTACTGCTGATGTTGGCTGGATAACTGGTCATTCATACGTCGTTTACGGTCCACTGGCAAATGGCGCTACTAGTCTTATTGTAAGTATAGGAATCTAGCTGTCGACTGAAAGACTTGAATTTGTCGCTATGCTCTTGCAGTTATGCTCTGTCCGTTGGCAGAGTCACTAGTTTGTGCTGTGTTTTTAGAACTACACCATTGAGGAGGCTTTTTTTTCCTTTCCGCAATCTTTGGGTTGTGCGTCCTACGTAGCCAGAATCCCTCTGGCACGTAAATTCGTAAACAAAGAAACTCTTTTGGCTGGTAGAAACGCAATCCTTTTGAATTGATGGAAGGGCGTTCCAGTACTGTAAGCAATACGAGGATTGACAGCGTTTAATGACCAAACAACGACTGGAGATATCAATGTGTTGATGAATAGAAATGGCTTTTTGCTTGACCAGTCAGTAATAACAATGTTAACGCAAATTCGTAGTTTGAAATCTAGATAGTCTTAACAGAAAATTTGCAACTTTCTTTGACAACAGAGAAACATTCAGTAAAACATATTGTGTTTTCAACATTGACAACATAATAGGGAAGCGTTAGAATAATTGGTCAGTCTGCCAAGTTTCTTGTTTAGATATTTAGTTTTTATGTCATTCCTCATATTTTGAAACAACTTCGAAGAGCAAAACATATATCTTGTTTTTACATTATCATAAACATATATTTTAGATACATTACAAGAATGTATATCTTGAACGATATATAGAGCGTAGAAAGCACTACCTTCTATTTGACTACATGGTATTTATTCTATAACATCGCAGAATCTTTAAAGCCTTGAATGCTATTTGGCATAGATTATTTGATTCAAACAACACGTGATATTATTTGTCGAGTATGTACACTGTTGAAACTGCACAATGTTATTGAAGCCACTATATATATTCCACTTCTCATGATAATTCAGTATTTAAAATTTGTCTGTAATGTTTTGAAATTGCCTTTCTCCAAAGTCTTCAAAATAGCGGTCACCAGCCTCACAACCATGACGAGGATCAGTTGCCTTGTTTTCGTTATTTATTGAAAAAGCCTTTAAAAGAGGATTAGCCTGTTCACTTAAATAAGGGTTTAAAATTTTGTACACCCTGCTGTTTTCATCCGATACTGTTTGGTATAAAATATCTAATTTAGGACGGTTTATCTAGTTCGAAGGCACTCCATTGTACCCACACGCAGGCAGATGCTGGGAGCTTGTTGAAAAATACAAGGTATCATTGTTTTACACGGCGCCTACAGCCATCAGAACTTTGATGAAATTTGGAAAAGAAGTTGTGTACAAGTAAGCTAGCTTGATTTCATATACTGTTTATGAAAATAAGTTGGTGAAGTATAATTTTGTCCAGTAGAGTGTTGTTTTTGAAATATAGTTTTTGACACTAGTTCGGCTATCGCGATGTTTTGAAGAATTCAAAATATAAATTAAAGCCTTGTTTTTTGTTTGTTTGTTTATACAAAATTACCTTGTGTAGTTTTATTGAAACATTTTTTGGCAATAGGTTGTGTCTCAAAAGCTTTTAATGAATTTGTGATTCCAAACAAAAACTGCATTTGAGTACCTTATGTTAAGCCATAACCAGACTGATTAGCGTAGTTGGCACTTTGGAAATAAAGTGCACAATCAAGGAAAGGCTAATGCAAAGCGAAGAGAATCAGTTATCGTAGAGAGGCAGGGAAATAAACAAGCTTTTTTAACGTTACCAAACATTCAATTTCTTTAAAATTAGGCCTAATTCATTCAAGTCCTCGAGAAACATATAAAGCTCAAATAACGGGATTTTGGATGCATTGCATTCAAAGGCAGTGGATCAATATAGTCTGCAGTTGCACGCAAGACCGTTAAAACTGCTGATGAAATGCTGATTTGAAATGATTATTTCTGTGATTTCATTGGTTTAGACAAAGCTAACCGTACGCTGATTGGTTGTTACCGAGCAAAATAAACCTAAGTCCCTCCAGTTGAAAAATTAACTCGCCAATTTAAGCCGTCATTGCTATTTACCTGATTCATGATATTTGCTTGCACAGGTATAACCGTTCTTCGCTGAGAGTTCTTGGAACTGTAGGTGAACCTATCAACCCGGAAGCTTGGCTCTGGTATTACAAATACGTAGGAGAAGAACGTTGCTCGGTTGCGGATACATTCTGGCAGACAGAAACCGGAGGGCATATGATCACCGGGCTGCCTGGTGCTACAACAATGAAACCAGGCTCAGCAAGCTTGCCCTTCTTTGGCATTGTACCAGCTATTGTTGATGAAGAGGGGAATGAGCTGGAAGGGGAATGCGATCAAGGATACTTGGTGAGTGTTGCTGATCTCTATTTGTTACCGCTGCTCAACTCTGTACTACTTTTCTTTAACACGCGAGGCTAATTGATGTGGGTACCATATAACCTATCTGTGGATGTTTATATGTGCTATGCGGGGCCGCCGAGAGGGGGGCAAGGGGGAAAGGTGGCAAATTTCCCCAGGGCCTCAAGGTCAAATAGGCCTCATAAAATGATTAATTCTATTTTAAGTATGGAATTAATAAGACGGGGCGAAAGAATGCTTAAAAATATTAAAACTTTTTAAAAGATTGCAAGAAATGATTATAAGAAATACTCTGCAATTTATTTTAGGCAAATTTTAAGGACGTGGTCACAAAAATTTTCTGTTTGCTTCGCTTGCAGAGGCCCTCGTCTTTTTTGTGTTGCCCTAGGGCCTCCGAAACCTCTTGGCAGCCCTGCTGCCATGTCTTGATAGTAAATTTTGAGTTCTGCTTAAAAGCAACAAGAAAATTAAAAATCATAGTGCATATTTATTGGTAAGCACGTCAAAAGTGCTCACTTAATCGGTGAATTGGAGGTTGAGTCACCATATGGTGTCAGGTTTTTTATATGGTTTACAAGATTCGTCTTGACTATACTCTCCAAGTATTTCATATGCATTGTTTGTCCTATACCGAGAAGCTATACATTTATCAACTCGTTTTACAACAGGTATTCAAGCAGCCTTGGCCTGGAATGATGCGAACACTGTACAGGAACCAAGCTAGATTTGAAAGTGGCTACTTCTCGAGGTTTAAAGGCTACTACTTCGCAGGCGATGGTGAGTAATTAATATTTTTTTTGAATAATTGACTCAATATTTCAGTATTTTTCTCGTGATACCTTGTTATTTAGCTCTCTGGTATACCGAGTATTTCAGGTTGCCTACTAACATTTTCCTTATTTACTTCCCTGGACCATATATTTTTGACTAACTTAAAGCCTAGGAAAATATTAACGAATTTAAAAGACAATATAATTACAATTCAAGTAACTAAGATTATCTTACTTGAAATTACCCATGAATGGAAAATGATTGGCTCATTCGAGACTTCCTGCCATCTTCGCCCAGAGTTGAAAAATTTCCTGCAGGATTAGTGAACTATCCCGCGTTATTGTTCCCGCTTTTTTCATTCCCGCTGTTTTGTTCCCGCGTTTTACAAGTTTGCGAGTTTACATTCTGACTGAATCCCGCGTTAACTTCCAGGCGCCAAGCGTGACAAGGATGGGTATTACTGGATCACCGGAAGAATCGATGATTGTATGAACGTATCTGGACATTTGCTAAGCACTGCCCAGATTGAAAGCGCCCTTATAGAGCATCAGTCTTTATCAGAGGCTGCAGTGGTAAAAGTTTTGCTTAATTGAATTACTATTTTTAAACCTCGTCCTTTTGTATAAATTAATTTTGATTTTGATTTATCGTTTTGGTCTTGGACTTGAAAACGTGACCGGGTAGCAACGATTATGATGTAGCAACGATGAAGAGGGTCGCTGATCGCGGGTTCAAACCTCTCTTGGTCGTGTTTGTCACCCTCATTTTCTCTGTTTATTGACTCCATTGTTTTGAATGCTATTGACTTCGAATTTCTGGCCAATTTGCTATCAGTTACTTTAATTTTTTCATTTGATGTACTAATAGACAGTATCGCCCCAAAATTACAAATCAATACACGCCAAAAGGTGTTCTGTTAGAATAGTGCGTAGGTGATAGATTTAATTGTTAGTTAACACGATAATTTTGTACCCCCACATTGGAAGCTTATATGGTCGAAGGAAATTCACTCCTGCAAATAGTCTACGAGATTTCTACAAAAACACAAAGATTTCCAAGGATTTTCAGATAAATCGATAGGATTTCCACCAAAGGTGTACGAGATTTTCATGGAGTGTTTGGCCCCTGGTGACGCGATTCATGGCTATGAGTATTCGTCATTGGTCTACAATGTTTAAATCGAACACCAGCAGCTGGAGTGGTGTTTTGTATCTTCCATTTCTTTTCCTGACTGCTACTACGTCTTCCACTTCCCCGTCTCCCACAGCAAAGTTAATAATTTAGAAAAAGAACTTTCGTCTCATAAAGTGCAAGGTAGATTAAAGTCTAATACTAGATTTGTACAAGCACACCCGGAGAATTAAAGTTTGGAATCCCTGTAATGCACGTGTTTTCCCATGTGCTATGTCCACTTAGGCCATTATGACATTACCAATGGAAGTTACGAATCATAAGAGCTTTCGAAGCGGCAGAGATGTTAATATTGGAAACTTAATGTCGGAAACTGGATGTATCCTTAGCCTTGTAAAAATTCAAATTTGCAACGCGAATAGAACTTTAGAACTTTAATTTACAATTGAAATTTTCCATGTTAAGCGGAATATAGTCTACAATCAGCAAATCAGTGTGTGCCGAATCATAATTTTGCCAAAGCTGCATGTTGTTTATCACTGTAAATTTTAAAATTTTTATTTTTCTCCAGGTTTCTATGCCTCATCCTGTGAAAGGCGAATGTGTCTACTGTTTTGTGTCGCTTAAAAATGTAAGTTCTTCAGCAAAAGTAGCTATTCGTCGTTTTATTATTTATTCAAAATGGCAATCAAATTTTCCTTTCTGTGCAATCAGTTTACTGTTGTATGAAGGAAATGTTTAATGGCTCTCTAATGGATCTCTAAATGATAATAACGAATTTTTGAATCGCACGATTTCGATAATCAGTGTTTTTCTTATTTAAACAAAAAAGTTATTTTCCCACGTAAAAACACATATGCCACTATTAGGTGGGAACTTACGTAAATCGCTTCCAAGTTGATTGCTGTCTGGATTCTCTGCTTTCTGCTTGTTGAAAATCTTTATAGCATCCTTTTTGTGTTATAAACAATTTTTTGTCTACTTTCCTGTGGTTAAAAAATGCAGAAATGTTTCTACAAGTTTTATTTGATAGTTTTTCCCTGTTTTTTAAAGTTTTTCAATTTTTTTTTAAATTGTGAAATTCCTGCCTAGTTTTTTTTTGATCAAACATTTTGGCTGTGTAATAGCTTTTGATGTAAAATTTTTATATGTCTGAGAGGTAAAATTGCTTTATTAAGTATTTTTTGCACCAATGAGCTGCATCATATTGACTTCCGTCTTTATTACCAAGACCTTGTTAAATTCTTAAACATTTTCTCCACTTTTTGTAAAGGGTGAAATTTTTGACAACAAGCTCATGGCGGCTTTAAGAGATCGAGGTATTGTTTACTATAATTTTCAGACTCTTCCTTTGATATCTTTTGCTATTATTTGTCAATTATTCTAAAGATTATTTACTTTACTGTTTTTAAGTCATTTGCTCTCAGTGTCAACACACATTAACTAGTACTATAAGCAACCTCGTGAAATGATTTTCTCAATCTTTCTCAATCTCGTGAAAAGATTTCTTAAGTCTATAGCCACACCTATGAAGATCATTCCAGCGAGCAGTAGTTTTTTGTTGTATTCTGGGATAGTATTGCGCAATAAATATAAATGCCAACGGAACCTATTATATTTAAAACAAAACGGTTTCATTAGGCTACTTTTTTCATTTTTGCTCTTAAAAGCTCTTACGCAACCGGCATGCTTTGCGACTTTATTCCCAAAACCGGCCTGATATCATACTGCATGAAAATACAAAACACAATCGTTGACAACACAAGGACAGCTGCCGCTAAGCATGCCGGTTGCGCAAGTGCCTTTAAGAACCGAATCGATGTTCTTTTTAGTGATTTGTTCAACTGATTGTAAAGAATTTTTAGTATGAAAATTTTGATATTTTCACTTCCATAGCCTGTTAATTTTATTATTAGTGTGCAATGCTTAAATGTCAATATGCTTCCTATACGAAAGGATAACACTTCTGACTTCAATTGGTTTCTTCCTTGCAAATCAAATGTAAGATATCGTGTAATTGCTTTTCAGTGAGACATCGTATTGGCCCAATGGCACAACCTGAAATTATCCAGAACGCCCCCGGCCTGCCGAAAACCCGCTCGGGCAAAATTATGCGGCGTGTGCTCCGTAAGATCGCGCGTGATGAGCGTGACCTAGGCGACATTTCAACAATGGCTGATTCAACTGTTGTTGAAGAACTTTTCAAAAATAGGCCTGTTGTTGATCTATCTTAATCGCAGTAGATACTGCTAGAACTTTGTAATTACATCATCCAGCTTTTCTGGGATATCAAGAAGACCTTTCATGCGTACATTCGCTTGAATTGTATATTTTGAATAAGAATATATCGATTTTGACGAGTGGTTTTGTTGCTTCTTAATATTCTCTACTTTTGTCTTTTTATGCATCTTTTTCTTGTAGTATAGGAACAAATTCAAGATGTTTTAAATGGTTAATTCTTGGCGGTATAAAATTTGCCGAAAACCTGGTTTTTTTATATAAACCCTATCCCTGACAAAACCCAGCAATAATAATAAACCCTGTCCAATTCTCCTGAAATTTCAATCTCTGATTGACACTATATGATAAGTTTCACGTCTGTATTGCAGCACAATATTCAGGGACGCCGGAAAAGGGGGCGCGGGTGGTCAACCGCCCCTGTTGCCTTCCGAAAGAAGGGGCAATAGGGCTCAGAGTGCCCTTTTCATTAATGTGCCCTTGAAACTGTTCAATTGTAGTAATCAGAGAGATTCATATGAAATTCTAATTTTTTGAGTGTTTAAACCATGACAACATTTCTCAAAACTTGTAAAATAAATCTTTATGCCAAAAGTTAGCCAATTTTTAAGATGCGAAGGAATTTTTAATGGCACTTACGAAGGAATTATTAGAAGCTGGGAGTTATCTTGCCCTTTTACTCAAGCTTGCCTCCTTGCCTTTTGGTCATTCCGGCGTTGCTAACAATGTCCTGACTCAGCATACTCGGGTATACAGGGCCTCCGACGATGCCTCCCCCATTTTCCAACTTGCGTCGGAGCCCTTGGTAAATCCCCTCCTTTGATCTTGACCGAACTCTTTTATCTATTTTGTGTAGTACCTCTACTGGTATTTGATGAAATGACCAAACAGTTAGAGACAACTGAACTGCCTAACTATTAATTGTGTGCTCAGAGCCAAATCGTTATATGATTTTGTCTTTGACCGTCTGTCCACCCAGCCGAATGGGTATCCCATGGCAACACTAAGGGGGCCAAAGGCTCGAATGAATAGGAATCGACCTCCAAAATATCATCACGCTTTTGGCCCAAGCAAAGTTTCTCACATTTCTGCAGCCTATACACTACATACCTGTAGACTGTACAAAAAACTCATATTTGTAGTAATGTACCATTGCTATCTTTTAAAGCGTTAGTGTACCAGTCGAAGACTTCAGGGGTGCACTGTTTTCAAAGTATGCAAATAAAGGGATTATGTGGCTTATTATGAAGGTTGGATACAGTCTTCTTTAACCGATTAATCTTAAGTATTTCTCTTAGTTAAAAGAAGAGTGAGTTTGATGTTGTCGTGATACATCAACTATTGGTCCCCTGTATTTCCGGTTTTTTAATTTGCAGACAATAGAACGGGCCTAAAGTCATCGATCCGTGACAGGATAATGTTTTGCCAGAAGACGATAGGCGTTGTAAGGCTCCCAACTGAAGAGCTGCAAAGGTCTTTCAAGTATGTATAAAGATTTTGCAATAGGGTCAAACTCTTACATGCTTAATTACCCTTTCAATGTATTTCCAAAATTTCTCAGCTCAGTACCTGTTAATACTTAGCTCATTGCAAAATTCTGCTCTTTGTGCTGCGGGTGTTAAAAATTTACACGTGAATTCACATGGTTCTAAGTTGACCTTTGAACTTCAATGAAAGCGCAAATAAAGCCCAGTTTTAATGCGCCAAGAAGTGAGGATTTCTCTTCGCTTGTGGTTCTCAACGACTTGAAGTTTAATTTATATTTTTTTAAGATAGAAACACAATTTTTAGCCTTCAAGATGTAGCATAATCGATAAGAATATATTACCGAATGTTGCGGAATAGGCTTTCTGTCTTCAGAAGCTCTGAAAACAAGAGCTTAGGATCCATTGGTGCATTTACAGGGACGCCGGAACGACCAAGGGGCAAGGGGGGGCAGGCTTGAGTAAAAGGGTATTAATGCCCATGCATAATATTAAAAATAATGCCCAGCTACCAACAATTCCAGCGTAACTATCATTTTGTTACGATCTTCTGTCTGTATCTAAAAAATCGAAAAAACTTTTGGCATAAGAACTTTCTTTACAAGTTTTGAGAAATGTCGTCATAAATAAGGCACTACAGTCAGGATTTCATATGAATCTCTTTGATTTTCTACAAAAGGCCGGCGTCAAGAGCACTTCTATGAAAAGGGCACTTTAGCCCCCCTTGCACCTCCTATAAAAGTGCAACAGAGGCGGTTGTCTCCTCGCGCCCCCCCCCTTTCGGCGTCCCTGTGCATTTATCAATAAGATATGAAGCCTGCTGATGTTTCAAAATACAAGCCTTTCGACTGCACCAAGTTTACGAATTCTAGGTGCACTCGAGTTTTCGACATATCTTTTTTTTGCCAGCTTTTCTATTTGACAGTCTAATTGAATTGTCATCTATTTTCTAAGATTACAAGTAATAGTTTCGTCAGCAGGGAGATAAAAAATTCAATTTTTATTTCTCTTCTAATTGAATAGGTATTTTGATCAGGTGTTTGTGCTTTTATTGACCTGCAGTAGATCCCCCTCGTTTTATATACCTCCCAACGTCTGCCGCTTCCAAAATGGGAGAGGGGGTATTTTTGCCCGAAATTTTGCTTATCTCCTTACAACGGACAGAAAACTGAATCCACGGTTTCCATATTTGAGTTTTCGTACCGATACCGTCAACTAAAGACTGCTACCAGAAGCTTGGCACGTCCATTGTGGCAAGAATACTGTTCCTCCCAAGAATAAGCGGAATAAGTCAGGTTTTTGTATTGTCTATTTGCCTACGCAAGAACAACAATTGCAAAAATTCAGTAGCTGGGAGATTTGTTGCAAATACACAGTCAATTATATGTCTGAAACCATTATCCGGCAGAAGATAATAGCTTTGATTTATAAAACAGTTTTTAAGTGGTTTTAATTTACTTGATTCAAGTCAATATTTTCAAAATTAGTATAGGTTAGGGATACCTTAACATTGAATTGTTAGTTAAGCTAAAAAATGATCACTAATTCGAAGCGTTGTCAGATTAGAAATAAACATAATAACTGCATACAGAATATGACGTTTCACAAAAGGATTGGAGCCACTTCAACAGATACCGTGATGCTATGAAAAGCGCACGTATCTTCTCCTACTTTAACTTAGCATGTTGTCTTTGAGGGGAGAAATTTACAGTGTTTCACGATAATATTACATTAACTTGAAATGTTGGGGCTGTATAAATTCATTGATGTTTATACTTGACAATGATGTGTAAATTGTCAGCGATGTGTAAAAAGAACTTCTAAAGTCTCAAAGCAAGACAAGAATAACCCTGCATCGTTAATGGATCACTATTCAGAGCGGGATGGCGAAGAAATAAGGCAATAATTAATTTCGGGTTTAGATTTTTATTGTTCTCTACAGAAAAACGAATTTGACTCCCTTATTCTTGGAATTTTCGCTGCCTCAATTATTTTTTGTGAGACGGCTGGAGTCCAAAAACTGTGCCTAGGCCCATTCTGATTTTCAAAGTGTAGCAATACACTTTGGAGGGCAATATCTCGATGTATGCAAAAGTAGGCATGACTCACTGAGGACTTACAAATAGTGGAATTAGTTTAGTACCTGATCTAATGCAACTGATGCCATAGATTTTCTCGATTTGGTCGAGTTTCGAATTTTGGCATTTCAAAATTTTCTAAAGAAGCTTTGGATGGACCCCATATGGTGTACCATTCTGGTAAAAGAGTACAGAAGTATCGTTACCTAGACTGAAATATGTGCCAAACACATTTATCTTGTAGGACTTATCATTTACTTTAATCTAAAGTACGTACAGATATGCGGTCTGTGAGAAAGCACCGTACACATAGTCACATCGATAATGCATGTTCTTAGAAGGTCCAACGTTACTACAGCCGAAACCATCCTTACAACTCGTAACGCCGATGCCAATGGCGTAATCGTCTGGAAAGCATGTCGCTGTTCGATCGCCAATACAGCCTATTCGTGCTATATGTGTTGTTTTGGGTGGCTTTTCGTTGGGATCGCCCTTTTTAGCGTCGCAAACGTTCGCTAGATTCAAACCACACCAGCTCTGTCGTAATATCGACAGGTCGCAACTTTTCCCAACTGCTTTCATGAATGTTGCAAAAGTGTATTGTTCGTCGGGTACAACGCCGAACTGCGTTGAAAAAAGTTTCGCCAATGGCATGTTGCGACTGTGCGTGAATGGCGCACATCCTGTGTTGCGGCCCGTAAAGCAAACCAACAACACGTTGCTGTTGAGCAGTACGTAGCCCATATTCTTCATTGAGGTCGTCTTTGTGACGTCATAAGCTGTTTTGTCATTGAGAGTTTGGTTTGAAGCCCAGTTTTCCGAGATTGGTGACCAGTCAGTCTCCTGGCCTTTAATCCGGGCTACTAGGGTCCAGCCCCCGGCTAATCCGGGCCGTCGATCTTCATCTGTGCCTCCACCTTTGATGAATTCGCACCAGGTCTAGTTAAGATAAGAAAAACGCGTTTTAATGTGCCTCACGTCTGATTTACTACGGCAAATGTACGTCGCGATTTCGATACCGGTTGGCAGGCCGAACCCTAGTAACCCGCTTGGATCGCCGATATCAGAAGCTTCTTTGATTCACGCTACGAAATTGGTGTATGTATCAGCTTCTCATCTCACGGAGTTGATTTCGCAAATACGGTTGGAACCGGGTCATCATTCGCAATCGGCAATGGAAGAGTCATAAGGCCACCTTCCCGCGCTATCTCGCAATTACAAGCACGTCTTCTATGTTTTTTACATGGAGGTTTTCTGTTCAATGCTACTTAGCCTGTTTTATGCCATGTCATAAGGGATATTTTCCTGCTCAGCCACGAGACTTATCCGTGATAAATTATAGAGGCCCCACTGCCACTACTAAACAGTTTATATTTACATCTATTACTACAGTCATTCTATCAAGTGCACTGTCGCCACTGGCCAGCTTGTTCCAAAGGTTCCCTTGCAATTTAAAGGAATAACCAATCAAACAAACTTATTTCTGTACACCTTAAAATTCTATGACCCACCTTAATGTTGTCTAAACTACCTTGAAGGATCTAATTTACAAAAATAAACGCGGTTTGTGCAAATGCCCCGTAAATCGATGAACAAGCCCAGTGCATACTAGCTGTCTTAGGCCCGACTCTTCCACAACCGTATCCATCAAAGCAGCTTGTTACTCCGAGCCCAAGAGCGAAGTCGGCTGGAGTACACGACTTTGTAAAAGATCCGATGCAACCAATCCGAACAATATGATTTGTCGGATTTAGATTCGGATTAATGTCCTCTGGGTGGCATATATTTCCAAGGTTTAGGCCACACCACTCTTTCCTCAATTGCAACGTTTTGCTTTTGTCCGGTGAAGAGATTGTATCGCACTTTTTCCCAAATGCTGCCAACAGCTCTTTGAATTTCCATTTCTCGTCAACTATAACCCCAAACTCATTTGTAAACAAACTAGTCAAGTCCTGCCCTAAATTATGTGTGAAGATGGCGCAGAATTTGCTCGGCCCGTCATAGCACACCTTTATTGCATTGTTGACGACCGTAAACCAGCCGTGTGTCTTCATAGTCGAGCGGAGATTAATGTCCCAGGCCGTCTCCGGACGTATGACGCTTGTGTCGGCCCACGTGTTTGAGACTGCTGTGAAGTGGTTCTCGGTACCGTTGACTCGGGCTACTAGGGTCCAGCCACGTTTTCCTATCCGGTCGAAGTCGCAATACGTCTGCATAATGAAAATTCAGTGTGCTTTGATTTTTCCTAAGCTACTCGGTTATTGATACTAGAAAGGCTATTTATTATATCTATTTATTGCTGCTATTTATCGATTGTATCAAAAGCACATTCGATATTTTATTGGCTTCAACTCGAGCAAAAGTACTAAAGAGCTTCCTAGCTTTTTATTTCTCGATAATTAGTATGTGACTATAGGCTTATCGAAAGTACTGTAGCCAAAGTGGGATGTTTGACTCTCTTCCCAACAGTTAACCAATAAGGGGATGGGTAAGATCCTTTTTTCATAGATTCATTACATTGCATTGCATTGACTGCACTGCCAATTTCATTTGACAAGTATTCTCTAGTGTTAAAAGGATAGTTCTCTAGAATTTTACAAATTTTCTCAGGTTACTTCGATATTTTTCCAAGGACCCTCTCTTTGCCCCCATCTTCTACCTTCGATCAATGCTTGCCTCTTTAATTTCAAATGAATGCATACCAAAAGTAAGTGAAGTGAATTAAGATGGGTGAAGTCTAAGAAAATTGATTGCAAACCGCTGTGCAAGTACGGAAGCAATTTTCATTAGGCCCTTAAAAATCGTAATTAACATTCCCTATTTTAGCCGTTGCAATGCTGATTTTTGTGTGTTGGTGATTGTGAGCAAAATATGGATGCTACCAACATTTCCCTTTTCTTGGACTTTATTTTATAATTTTTTGGAAGTTATTTTGAGAAAAGGGGTTGGTGCGTTGCTCTTTCTTTGAGAAACGTTCAGAATATGCGTGTGCTAGCCCAGGTATGCTCCCCCGGAAAGTCTCAGAAACCTGTACCCTTGTTGGAGGAATAAATTTTGTCAGGCATCATGGTGATTTGTTAATCGATCAAGACTAAGTTAGGTAGGCTTGTTAATAAAAACCGATCAAAGGGAACCAACCTTGAAGCGCACGCCATTTACCATCAACCAATACGCCCCACTTTTTGCATCTTTATTCTTCTCGTAGATCGACTGGCAGCTTGGCATCGGATTGCCTGGCCTGAAATTAAGAATAATTTCATTAATATAAAATATATAATATAACATGATATAATATATTTATATACAAGTGACGTATTCTGGATGGGCACGTGTTTGCAACAAAGTTTTGGTCTTTTATTTGTTTCTCATACATTGATACTATTTTGTATTAGAATTAGACTCTATAATTAGAATGGAAGTTTTTCGCACCTTGCATCCAATGGAGTTCAGCCATAGGGAGAGGGAGATGAGCGGGGGTTTTGTCTATGGATGCAGTTTTCTTAAAAAACACCGATTTGAGGTTAACAAGTTCTCGTTTAAGATATCAAAGCTCAGTTTACGCTTTCAAAGTTCTGGTTACGCTATCAGGTAGGCCCATTTTTTCGACAATAGAAGACCTGATTGATGCTTTTGCAAGAGAGACAGGGGTTTATGGTGGATTTCTCGGACGCAAAGCATCGAAATTCTATTGCTGGGTCTCCCCCTTCGGATTTGTGCCATCAGAGACGTGTTTGTTTTGTAAATTTAACTGCAAAAATAACTTCGCGTTCCCATGGACAATCCCTTATCTGAATCTTTTCGGGCCGTGGTCCCAAAATATTTCAGATACTTTTTACAGCAACTTTTCCTCACAAGAAGCTATACTTTCCACCTCCTTTGCTCGTTATCCACTTATATGAATTTTTACGAAGATGATCTTTTTCATTTTAGCTACCCATTTAAAAAAGTGATTCCTTTATTTCCAGCCTTCTTACACTAAAGATGCACACTGATTTTTAAACAACCAGAGCTCCGTCCGTTATCACCAGGGATTGCAAGAGGGGAGATATCTGGTGTGAGTGAAACCTCGATGGTATGAGTTCTTTGAAATTGCTTTAGTATCCATCTAACGTTTCAGTCCATGGTCCGGGCAACCCCCCCCCCCTCACTCACTGTGACCATTAAATCAATAAATCGAAGAACTTTGAGAAGTGTAATTTGATACTTACTCCCCCTTTTCTCCTGATGGCTTGATTTGAGAAATAGGAGCTTGCTGTAAAAAAAGAAAACAATTTGTTAGCCGTGCCCAATGTATTTCCAGTATTTTACTAGTTTTTGTCCCATTTTTTATAAATTCAGTGACAAAACACTTAAAGACAGATTTGATCAGAGAAAACCTAGCTTTCAACAGTTGAATTCTTAGTTGCTTATCGCTTAACGGCCTTTTAAGCTCAATCTGCAAATGTGCCAGCTGCTAGGTATGTTAAATGGGCAAGGGGTATCAATTTGTTGCATGGATCGCAGCTGCATTGGAAAATGCCGCTTGTTTAAGGGTATCTATTGTACTGGGGGCTACCAACTGGAAATACGAGGCACTCTCTCTGATCAAAATTGATTTACCTATCAAGATTAAACGTTGATATAAATAGTAATACTGGTGACCTCTTTGCTACCAGTATAACTATTTTATTCATATTCTGAATCTTCGCTGGGTTAAGATTCTTTGTTAGTAGGGATTGACAAATGTATTAACAGAAAATTACAGGACGGTTCGGCTAGTTTTGGGTCCTGTTGCTTTTCTTATTTTATCATGTTTCGTTGCATTTGATCGCCTTATGATTCGATGAACAAGTAATATGGTATATTCATCGTCTTCCGAAGCCATCCGTTCCTTATTGTACTGGTAGAGACATTAGTTTGGGGAATTCAACGTATGGTATATTTAAATTACGTATTTGTTATTTATCTATTTTCTGAAACATATGTGAAAGCTGCTGTTATTAATTTGCGCTTCCTTTTCTTTAACCCTTATCCTTAGAGCTACTAAAAATTTTTGAGTGTTTTTTTGACTTCATCTTTAAAAAGGATGAAATCTGCTTTGAACGTAGAGACAAAGCTTTAATTTTATTTCAAAGCCAATTTTGTAAACTGTTTCACCTGTGGAAAGTTTTTTAGAAAGTAACCTAAGCATTACAAAAAACTGTTTCTGAAATAACAATTAACCATTTTAAGTTTTCATTATTTTATTTTAGTTAAAAGCATTCATTTTTACAAGTTTTCATTGCTATAAGTTTTCAGTGCAAAATTGTATACTGCCATTGTTTATTGAAAGCCAGGTTCTACAAGCCACAGAAACAGCATTTCCTTAGAACCATCATAATCGACTTCAACTTAGCTGCTCATAACAGCCCTGAATACATTCGAAAAAACTGGTTTGGCACTTTTGCCCAAAAGGTGGAAGGATTGAAGGATTTCAGGACACCGATAAAATATTGCGACGAAGGAAACTACATCTAACACTCACAAACCCTTTGTTAGGAAGAAATCAGAACCACTCTCCTTGATGTATCCGATGCTCGTTAGAGAGACAAATTCTGACGAATGACCTACCCCCGTCATTGCATGGACAGCATGCGCATTGAATTCAATTCTTTTTGTTCTTGGTTTTTGGTGCAAAGACGGGGGTAGTCTCATTAATATCAAGTCTTCAGTTTATCCATCTCCCCAACAACGAAGATAACTCATTGAGAAATTATTGTGATCTTTTTTTTCATGTTTCAAAACTGGTTACTCTCGAACGCCTCAATTTCAAGACTTCCATTTTCTCGATGTTTTCAATTTTACTTAAGTATTAAACTACAGTGGTAACAAACAGTGGTTCTAAAGCCAATCATCACTGAATCACTGACCCAAGAAGCTCACTTTTACCAAGTCATTCACAACTAAATTTGCAAATTGCCTTTTTCTTCAATCATACTTCATTTTACAGGATTAAAAAAATTTAAGCAGATATGCTAAAAAGCTTTGATTTAAAAATAGATACAGCAAATAGTAATGTTATCGAAAAATTTTTGAAATTTGTCTTGGTAAAGGGTTAATGTTGTCAGCACGACAGCATTTTGAATGCAAACTTCTAGATTAAACTCCCGCATGATCCTATGGCCTTTTTAGAAAACTTTCGACGCTTTTCCTTTTTTTCCATCTATAAAATTGTACACTGTGGCAGCTCTATTTCTATTCCTCGTGTGATGGATGCATTAAGTCATGGCTAGGCTTGCTATTTTTTAGTGTTTACTTCTTTTGCAAAAAGGTCCGTCCTTATACCAGAGATGGCAGAAGACCAAAATCTTGTACGTAGAAAGTTGACATTCCTTTCTTTCATTTAGCTCTATTGTTTTTGCTTTACTTTTTAATACTTGTGATTCTTAAATCTTTATCTGAATTGGTATATCCCGAATGGATATTTTTTATCAATTCATTCTTTATAATTCTTCCATCCATCGATTGAAAAGCTAATTTTAAGTTCAGGCCCTTTGTTCTTGATACATTCTTACAGTTATGAAATTTTGCAAGCTGCAATTAACAATTTTTGAAATAGAATCATATCTTTGATGCAATTATGTTTGTTTTAGAAATCATCCACCTTCTACTCTTGTTTTATTCACAGCAACTTAAGCTAAATGACATTTATAGGTTTCTCATAACCGCTCCATGACCCCTAACCCTTCTGTTCCTCCTAGGGTGCACTATTACCCTTTCTCTAATGCTGCCACTTTGGGCTTTTTCTTGACTAGCATTATGTGCACGTTTGTCAAGTACCTTTTTGCATATTTTCTCTAGGTAGTCCACCCTTGACGTCAAACTGTCGATTTCATCTGGTGTACATGTGTAGGGCTGGTGAGTAACCTGCAAAAAATGTATAGAAAGAAAAGTTACACTCAAGCACCTTCAAGCAAGGTATTTATATAGTTCAACTTATCTCGTCTCACCTTCCCACCTTCTCACCTTCTCACCTTCTCACTTCTCACATTATTCATAGTTTGAGTGCATTCGTTTTAATAGACAAGGCAGTAACATTGAGCGCGGGAGACATGGTAAAAATTCTCAATATTTATGTCCTGGATTGCAGTCCAATCAAGTAACTAACTACAGTTGAATGGGCTTTTTGGGCTGTTCGTCCATGTCGTAGAGGTACACCTTGCTGGCTTTACTACATTAAATATACTGTTAAATGCCACTAAGAGAAGACGGCATCTTGAGAAAAGAGTACGGAAGTATATCCTTGCCACGAAATAGAAAAATCTACTGAACAATAGGCGATATTATGTTTCCTTGTGCATAAGGTACCAGTAGGGGAAAACAATATTTGCCTGGTTCTGGATATGTCACAGGTATACTGGAGCAGAACGGCACAAGGAATAAAGTCAAAACTATGTTTTGTTATCAATGGCAGAAGCAAAAACCATTGACTGAATCCCAAGTATTGTAATGACTGAGAGATTATTTTGGCAGCATTTGACTCACCTGTTCTTTGCCACTCTTATAGATCCTTTCAAGAAGTGCGTTAAGGGATGGTTCAAAAAAGGAAGTACTGATTTTAGGAATTCATTTCGTAGAGGCTTACAACACGAGTACACGTTTCATATTGACCTTGACAAAATTTGTCATTTTAGAATGGGCTTTAGAAAGGGCAAAAGACAAACTCACCTCCTTCGCACAGGTGCCAGCCTCTCCTTTTGGTCCCTGTTGTAAGAGAGAAAATTGTACACGTTTGAAAACCTAGTTTACAAACATCAGACAACACAGGTGAAATTGACACACCAATATATGAAATACTAGTTAGTTGAGTACCCTGCGTCCTCTTCCATCAGCCACTTTTTAACATGATGTGCGCAGGCTAGTTCAACTTGCAATATTTTTTCATTTGTATGCTTTTCCTTTCAACTTTACCAAAGTGATAAATAAGCAAACTTGGAATTTGTTTTGTAAACGGCTTTTAGTCGATCAAAAGATATAAAGAGAATTCTAACATACCTTTGGACCTTGTGGGCCAACGGTTCCGGGTGGCCCAGTGTGTCCCTGAAAGATTGAAATTGAAGTCAGATGTAAAGAGCTTAAATTTTGTGATGATGATGTTTGGAATATAAAGATGACCTCTTTAATGGGGAATACTTTACACAAACAGAATATGTAGTCACGAAAAGAAGTGACATCAACTAACTATTGTAACTACCCGTTTTATATTACAGCCACATTATGATATTCAGAAAAATCAAAACTCAATGTAGCGTCAAAGTGCTAATTGTACCATGTCTTTTTTCACTCCATATCTTGTTTAATTTATTTTTCCATTTAAGTTTTAAACATCCATGATTTTGTTTTTGAATTACCTGTATTTGGATTAGTGAGTGAAATATTTATCTCAAATTGTTTTGTTGATATTCCAATCTTCAGCTATTCTTTGCTTCTTCGAGTGTTTCGTTGTTTCCATATTTGGGAAAAGTACGAAATCAAATAATTCATTAAGTTATCGCTACATGTTATCGTTATCATTGTTGCTGCTGTTATTCTTGCTGTTGTTGTTGCTGTTGTTGTTGTTGTAGTAGTGAATCAAGAATGAATACTAAATTTTACCTTTTGTCCCTGTTTACCATCTTTACCGTCTTTTCCTTTCAGATGAAGATGGAGGATGTTGTCACCTGGAAACGGGCTGTATAGTGCTTGAGCCTTGAGAAAGAAACGATTTTGCTTATATGCCATGCTTATAGCAATTAAGATGCAGTGCATCCCATTCAATGAGAAATATTAAGGTTTGTGCTCGTTTAAGATATGTTGTTTACTTATGTCTTTAAACATATTAGTTTTTATCTGATTCTTATGAAATGTCGCTATTATGGGAGTGGTGATGGGGTGATGGAAGGCAAGAGATAGAAAGAGTGTTATCAATGTATGCATATACAATGTTCTATTGCGAGCCATCTGATATGACATCTTTGTGCAACTTATAGTGATCAAATATATATGCATATGCATATTTGATCGAGTTGCACGTAAAAAATATATCGTTTACTAGAAGATTCAAATAGACAAGAGTAATGTACTCCCCCAAAGACAGTTTTGCTTGTTTTCGACCGTAACAAAGAACTTCTCTCTGGCATACACACCAGTACGAAGATTTTTTAGAGCTCCACTAAGTCAAAAGCTGGAAACGTATAGAAAATATTCGATTCTTTTTGCCGCATGTCCCTGTGCAAAAGCTCCTCTCGGGTATCCATAGCATCTTATACTAAGAAAGGAAAGGTAGGAACAAAATAAAGAAAAAGCATACCAGAGTAGTCAACTGAAGCTGTTGTCTGTTTGTCGCTCCGACTGAGTTTTCCGGCTTTTTGGCAAGATCAGCTATATCTAAACCTCTTGAGATACCATTCTCTTCTTTTACTGGTACAAGCATCAAACCCCCGTCCGGTGATTGTTGCAAAGTGAATCTTGAGTGACCGTTTTTGGTATTATCACCTTCTGTTTCAATTTGCAAACCGGGTTGATCGATTTTATCCTCGTCTTTCTTTTTATTTGCGAGAAATTGCGCCATCGTATTCCCAGTATTGTCTTCCTCTTTTTTCTCAACATTATTTTCTATTCCATGTTGTTTCAACATTTCTGCTAACTGACTAAGATTTATACCTTTGATGCTATCATTATTTTTATTGTTCTCTTCGCTCTCCGATTTTTGAGCGTTTGCGCCAGTTGATTGCGACGTTACTTCGCCATTTGGCGATATTTCGACAGTCTGTTCTTTCGGTTTATCGTTGTTCTGTTCTTTTTGTTTTGCTAGCAGCGCCCCTACATCAAGATTAACTGTGTTACCATCTTTTCCACCTTTCATTGCATTAATTAGCGATTGAAGGTCGTTAAACTCCTGTGTTTTGACCGACGTGGATGATAACGTTTGCTGCTGTGGAGCAGCATTGCTCTCCTCATTGTTCGAATTTTTATTTTGTTTATTAGCATTGACTGCTGCGAGCAAGTCGTTAAGATTTAGGCCTCTTTTATCGCCACAACAATTGTCTATGATTAATGTCGCAAGAAGAACAGCTAGTATTCTGTGCAATGCCTTCATTTGGATAGTTCTTTCGTCGTCCCTCAGCTAGGTAAAGGAGAAGATATTCAACTCAACATTTGGGCGAACATTTTTGGATCCACATGCAAATAATTTTGGATCCTCAAACGAATAACTGCAAAAAGCCTTCGCTTTTACACTGCTCTCTCTGAAACAACGCCTTTTTATGTGGCTGTAAACACCAAAGTCTTGCTGCTAGAAAATTTAGCTAAAATTTGGATGGCTAGATGCGCTTTTTTTGGTACGAATTTAACATTACTTTAAAGGTCGTATTTGTATTGCCTGACAAGAGGCTCAAATGGTTAACAGCGTATGAAAGGCATGCGTTCAAATGGGTTGTTTCCGTATGGGTTCTTAGTATAATCTTCAGTATTTTTACAAGCTGTATTCAGAAATTCATTAATTAAATCTTCTAATTAAACCTTGATTATTTAGAACTTTACATATCTTCAGAATAAATTTAGATGATAAAACTTCGAAATGAACAGAAGTAATAAAAATTTTTAATGTTATGTTCTCAAATCATGTATTCTTTAAATTTTAATTTTCCCATCTTCAAAGTTAGGGCTGGAATTTAATTCTTTCCGGTAGGACAATATCTCTTTTAACGACTTTCGACTTACCTCCTTTATTTCTGGTATTTAAACAACAGTTTTTGCTGTGCATCTTTTAATGCTACACTATTTTTTGCTATTTTCGATTCAGAGTATTCATTATTACTATTAACAGGTCGCTATTATTCAGTATTACTATTAACAGTATTGATATATTTCAAATCAAATATCTTTTTTAAAATTTGTCCGAAAAAGGCAAGATTCTCAGAACTCTAAACAATGAAATACTAAGTTTTAGCAAATAATGCCATTGATGTTTTCGGTGAGATTTAAAGTAAATCGGACTGTTTAGAGAGCGATCTCCATATTTGAGATGCAAAATCAAGCTTCATTGAAGAATTTATCTTTGGTTTCCTGGAAATATGCGGTTTCATCGTTACTTCGTCGTTACGAAGTTATCTTCAAGTAAGCAAAATAAATCATACCTCGCTAAAAGCATTGAATTTCTGATTATACCAGTATCACACGAGCATTTCGCTGTCATGTCCATTCCATAACGGATGTTTTACGATGAAAATTTCTATTCAGTAATGTTAGGCCGAAATGTGATGGAATCCTAGCAATGACTTCATGATCGCACTGTTATTCGACGCATCGTAACAGGTGGCGATATTCGTAACTATACGCCAGAGAAGCAGGCGCTTAAACATTGAAAATGTTGGGTTCCTTAGTATAAATACTGTTAGTGATTAGAACAGTGAAGCGATATATTGCTTGATACTAGCTTATAATCCCAAAAGGTAAGCGCAATCAGTATTGCGATAAAAAGTAACACATGATTTGCTAAAACGGAACTAAGCTTGATAATAACTAACGTCCCACGCAGCTGGAATACAATTTGAAATCAATTGTTTTACATAACAAACTGTTAGATGCAAAAAAATTATTATCTATATTGAAAGTATGAAATTTGATTTTATCCTTGGATTAGAATTTTGTGATTTTTGGTGTCGAAAAACAGCAGGTTGTCCCCAATCAAAGTTATATACTGGTGGGCATTTATTCAAATGAATGTTATACTTGTAAGAATATAACCGTATATTATCTTTTTATGTCAATAGAATTCTTGGCAATCACTGCATTTTCAAATCAATCCCTTTTGCTACAGGAAAGTGTTAGTCTGAGTGACAAGTTGGCCCGTTGTAAAAATTGTCTTTGAGGCTGGGATTTCAAATTTCATTGTATGACTCTATTTCCTTATGATCTCTCAAATTATTAGGCTTTTTTATTAGTCAGAGTACAAGCTTGATATTGTCTTGCTAGTTTAATTATGTTTAATGAAATTCAAAGAAAAAACATTCAGTGAGGTGGCGTAAATAGAAAAATTCATAGGAGAGGCAAAAAACATAGACTTTCCGACAAAAATTTATTAAGACTTGATATTTTTAAACATAACAGAACGACATCAGAACTGAAATTTTTTTATAAAATGAGATATTTTTACGTTTATTCAGCTTAACAATTTTTCTTGTCAAAATGTTTTTCTGCGTTGAATAAACAACCATGTTCAATTTCCGATGAAATAGCAGCTTAGCTTCATGGGGGGGGGGACGTTTTTGCAGTTATTGTCCCCCCTTTATCAAAGCTACTGTTTCAGTATTAAGGTTTTGCTTTAAGCGATTCTGGTTAACGTAATTTCAGGGTTATGATTTGCTGGAACGTTTTTGTCCTGAATTTGCTTGAATCGCAATATCAACAAAAGATACTAAACTACCAAGTTTCAAAAGGCATTCATCTAGTCATAGAATTCTTTTTCCGAAATAATCTCCTCTGGTTTATAATTCACAGTTGAAGTCATTTCGAAAAAAGGCTTTTTTCAAACATGTTTTAGACTACCAAATAAGCAGCCCCCCTTTGCAGTCAAATTTTAATGTTTCATTTTTTCATTAGCATTTGATCAAAACTTGTAAAAGTGATAGATAATGAACGGCTGTTCGAAAAATCTTATTTGTGGGAGAAAGTTAAACTCTGTTTTTTTGTTACTGCAAATTAGGCCACCAGATAATTGTGAACATTTTGTTTAATTTAGAAGTGTAGTTGTAATCCATGCATTTCTAGCAAGTGTTTTATACACAAATTTTAATCGCAAATTGTTTCTTAAATTTGATTCCAAGGTTCTATATTTATTGGAAATATTGGGAAACGGAGGTTGTGAGAAAATTGTAAAGAAAATCCTTCCTTGTTCATTGGTATACTACACTAATTTCTCGGATATAAAAACCCTGTCAAAGCACAGTAATATCTTGTCCTGACAATATTAGTTTGTGGAGATTAACAGTATCGTTAAACTATCCATGCTCCTTCAATAATCCACTCGCCCTGCCAGACTTAGTAGCGCGCAAAGCTAGTGTTTTGTGTGTTTTGCTGTAACATTTTCATTTACCTGAAGGCCAGAACAAGATATTCGATATGAACTTAATCGGAGCCAGATTTTCCTGTTGAGCCTCTTTTTACATAAGTTGCTTGGATATCAAAGACAGCAGCTTTCTCGATCTTGTGTGTATGGAACAAGTGATTCTGCCATCTGGCAACATCGTTTAGATAACCGAGAGTGTGCCAAAGTCTATAATAATGACATGTTTCAGATAATTGGCACAGCCCTGTCGTCTTTTCATCGAGCAGTTTTGAAATCGATCTACATACAAACGAAAAAGCCGCTATGGTATAGACAAAAGTAATTCGTTTTCTCTCTTGGACTCCAATGGTAATTTTCCCATAGGCACGCGGTACTGATTGGAAAAACATACCGATGCTCACGTTTCTGATTGGCCTATTTCGAACGACAACTTGGTTTATATTTTCCATCTTGTTATTTCGGACCCTTGTTCGGACGTTTTATAATTTGAGTTTCAAAGCCATTTTCAAATTTCGTACCGCCAAAATTTGCTAGGATACGTTGTCTAAGACTGAATCCAATGTCTCAATTGAATCGTCCAATGATCGCGAACCAATTCAAGAATTTGTGATGGTTAACTTAAGGAAATGCGCCACAATTTTCTTTTAGATTCACGTATTACTGACACTCCTGCAATTTGGACTACTGTTCTTTCTTCAAAGATGTCCGTGGTCACTAAGATAATTTTTAGATAATTATTTTTCTCTTTATTTTTTTCTCATCGTTTGAAGTCATCTCTTGATAAGGGTGAATGTTAATGAGGTCATGGAAACGAGGTGTTTTTGTTTGTCGTTGTTGCTGTTGTTGCTGTTGTTGTTGATGATGATGATGTAGACTTGCTCTATGAGCCTCTGTATCGCTCCTGCCTTACTTTACGGACGCTACAACAGAGACTCGTAATCTAAAGTACTCAAAAACTGGCAACTTAAATTTTGTCTCGTTATCGTTTTTGTTTCAAAAATTTTCAAACCCATTCCCCTGATTTGCATATTTACACAACTCTTTCATTCACATGTAAGAATGTCAATTTGTTCTTACGGACCTATTGCTGTAAACAGCATAGTCTACATACCTTTCAAAATCTGAACAGTTGAAAACTTAACTAATAAACATTAAGCGTGAAAGTCTGAGTTGCAAATTAGAACCAACCTGTTTTACTCAAAAGCTCGTCGTTTGTGATATCAAAAGCACTTAATGACTGACCACTGGAAAAGTAATCGTTATTAATTTATCAATTTTGATACATTTTAAGCCCCGATAGAGATAGCGGGCTCTTTGAGAAATGGTATAAAGTTTACCTGTTTTATGTAAGAAAAGCAGACTGAGGGGACAGAACATTCATATATACGAAACTAGCATCTTTATTCTTGATTTATACTGTATATACAACTTTCTAAAGCTTGAAGTGTTCACAGAACTTCTTTTTAAAAGCAGTTTAAACGTAAAGTTAGGACTGCCGTCTGTAGGTGACACCAAATCACCTAATCTGTGAATGTTTAAAAAACAAACGTTTTACATATAGATCCGTCTATTTCCAGTAATTGAATCAATGACGTTAAAAATTGTGTGATAACTGATTAAACAATCTGTTAAGTTTAATTCTAACTTTGCATTCAAATTAAGATCAAACAGCTGTCGTTGTTCCTTTACTTTTTGGGGAGACGAACGCGAAACGCCTTCTAATGCGAGTGGCAACCCACCATCCCGGTGTCAAACAATTACCCTCAAATACAACTATGTTGGAACCAAAATATATATAATCCTTACTTATTGTCTCCACACTCCTTACTTACTTACTTATTATTACTTATTTGGTGCAAAGGGTCATTATTTTCAAAAAATGTTGAAAAAATTGTTGCTTTGTTTTTTTATTTTCTCTCGAATCGTAGGCACTTATCCTATACTCAGGAGCGTTACTGCAAAATTTCAAGGGCAAAGCAAATATTACGTTTTCACTCAAATATCTGATGGGGAATATTACAATAGAACAAACGAATTTCCAAAGAATATCTTGTCCCTTTTTTGCCTTGACCTTGCTGTCCTACCCAAGCTCTACAGATATATTGTTCTAAATTTCGCAAGTTGTAAATTATTTTTAGAGGTAGAAATAATTCATTTATAGAGATAGTATTGTTAGAAAAATTAAAGTGTTTTTACACATGCGAGCTGCTTTGTTTACACACTGTCTCCTAACAAATAGAGCCTACAGTGGAGTAAAGAACAGGTTCTCCATTTTTTATAGCGATAAGTACTCTATGTAACAGATCACTAATGATCATCAGAATGTCAATAAGCTCCGAGGCTTGTTATTTCTCACTGTTAAAAACAGTTCTTTGACAATTACTCTTGAAATTTATCTCGTTGTTTCTTGAAAATTCAAGATTATAGTTTTTCTTGCTGTCCGTTAAATCTTGAAAAGCTTTTGAAGCTTCGTTGCAGTTAAGTTGTATGACGTCAGTAGCAACCTCTGCTGATTTCTTTACATTTTAAAATGTTTATTTTTTCGCGACCAGATTTTACCCCAGGCTAAAGTTAGGCCAGTTCTCACTGACTGGTCCCCAATCATTTTTTGTGCCGTTTATCTTTAAAGGGAAACCACTTTGCTGTTGTGAAGTTGACTTGTTTTTGTCCGAAGTATTTTGTCTTTTTGCCTGTCCCTTCAAATGTTTGTCTTTTCCTGGTAATTTTCTTTTATTCATTCCTGTTCCTTTGCCTTTTAAATCGGCATTTTTGTTTTTGGATCCTGTCGCAGCCTTGCTTGCTAGTACACTAGCATCTTTCTTTGGTTTCACAGAGGCAGCGGCTGCCTTCTTTTGCTTATCTTTCACCACCTTTTCCAACTTTTTTGAATCTTTTGTCTCTTTCTTTTTCTTTTGCGATGTTAATGCTGTTTGGGCAGACGATGAATTACTTTTATCTGGTTTAGCAATTGCAGCTGGTATTTTCTCATTTAAGCTTTTAATATTTTTCCCTTTAGGCCCCTTAGTAGTGTTATCACTTGAGGTGCCCTTTGCAAAGCCAACACTTTTAGGCCCACTTGAAAACGTGGATATTTTCTGCACCTTATGTGTGGTGGCAAATCGTATACCACTCTTGGCTGCTGCTTTTGGTTTGCTGTTACTTGCTTTCTTTATATCACTTTTCTCTTTCTTTTGTACCTCTTGCTGCTTTGTTCCTTTCACCTTTGGGGCAGCTGAAGTCATCCCTTTTAATGTCGGCTTTGCCTTTCTGGCTTTGGCTGTTGGCAATTTTCTGTTTTTCTTATTTTTATATTCAACCACTTTCTTCGTTTCAACGTGTACTTTCTTTCTGTTATCACTCCCTTTCGATTTTATCTTTGAACTACTGACTTGAGCCTTCGCTGCAACCTTTTTGTGTAGCGTGCTGCGTTTGGCAGCCAAATTCAACAGCAATCCTGCTCCAGCTTTTATGTTAGCAATATTCGAAAATGTTTTAACGGCTTTCTTCGGCGTCAGGTTGATACTAACTTCATTTGATTTCAAATTGAGCTGTCCAGATTTAATTTTCGACAGTAGAGAAGCTATACCATTTCCTTCGGTTGAGTTTGTATCTTTTGGCGAACCTCTTTTTCCTTCGGTGTTTGATTGATTCCCAAAATGCTTTGCTCCCGTCTCGTTGATCATGTTCAATATGTAGTTCTCTATAGGCGACATCATATCTGAAACAGCAGCTGCCTTTGAAACACCAGGAATTCTTTCCGACCGGAATCCCTCGGTCACATTCGATTCTTTATTCAGTGGCACCACCGTTGAATTTACAGTACCGTTGGTTGGAACAGTGTTCGGTGATGTTGTGTTTTGGACGGGTGAATTACTAATATTTTGTCCTGTTGTGTTATTTCCGGCATTCTCTGATACAATTGCGCCGTTTGTTGTGACATTGGCTGTTCCGTTGCTGCTTTTAGGCCCCTCAACTGCGCCTGCTCCGCTGCTTGTGTTGTTTTTGCCTGCGGCATTTGTTGCGTAATTTCCAGTACCATTTGCAATATTATGCTCACTGGTACCACTATTTTGCGTTGCATTTGTTCCAGCTGCTGTGTCATTCAACCCCTCTGTGTAATGCTTGGCTTTTAAACCTTTGCCAAATTGATCATGAAAGGTTTTATTCAAAAACCCGACTGTCAAGTTGAGCACATTATTGATACTGTCATTTGAGACATCCAAAGTGTTTTTGCTACTGTCTTCATCTACACCTGCAGTTTTATTGGCTTTATTTCCGTCACCTACGTTCCTTGCCCCCTCTTTTCCCTTAATGTTTTCTGCATACAACGCATTTCCTGGATTTGTGCCATTGCCAAGGTTTGAGATCTTCGCGCCCGAATCATGAAAAGTAGGCTCGTTTTGGGGATCGGTGTCTTTTGACGGCTCAATATCTCCTACTTGCGTGGGTATCAATTGCCTTCCTTTTGCTTTGCCAAAGCCTTTCATAGGCCGAGAAACTTTGTTTCGCTTCATAAATACCTGTGGGAAGAAGATTGTTCGTACTTTCTTGCTCTTTTGCTTCTGCTTCAACTCATTCTCATATTCATCTTCCTTCTCAACGTTCTTTTCTTCTTTTGTCTTTTTTGTATCTTTTGCCTTCCCATTGTTTCCTTTATTGCTGTTATTATCTTTTGCTTCTTTTCTTGGTCCATGTACCTTTTGTAATGGCACCCTCTTTTTTAGAGGAAGGCTCTTTTGTGTCACTTTTGAGACTCTTTTCTTAGAAGTTGGGTGGTAGTTCTTGGAAGTGCCCTTGTGCACGGAACTTGTAGGCTTCGCAGTCTTTGTTTGTTTTCCTTTCATTTTCTTGATCTGAGCACTTGCCACAACACTGTTTTTTGCTGTTTTTACTTTTTTGTTTTTCACCGTATCCTTTTCATTAACTGCAGAATCACTACCTTGTGAACTTGCTTTTCCATTTTTTTTGTTTTTTTGCTTGCCTCCACTGTTTTTTTTGTCACTTATTTTTTTTGGATCTTTCGCATTTTCTTCAGGAATAACCAAACCTATTCTTCTGAGCTTCTTCAATTCTGCATTTTCACCTTTGCCAATGATGACAACTTTAACTGGTTTGCCTGTTCGTTTTGAATTTTTCTTCATTTTCCCAATGTTATCTGCTTTCGTCAACTGTTTTTCATCCTTCTTTGTGACATGTATTCCTTTCTTTTCTCTATCTTTGAATACTTTGCTCTTTGACTTATTCCTTTTATTTCGTTGCTTGTAATGTGTAGTAGTTGTACCAGTTGGATGCCACCGTTTTGCACTTGTTGGTAGTTTCCCACCTGCTTTGCTTGTAGGTTTTGATGACGACGCAACCTTTTGTTTAGCAGCTGGCTTTGTTTTCAATGCAGAGTTTTCTTGTTTCTTTGATCGCATTTTGTTGTTGGTTTTTAGAATTTTTCCTCTTGTAATTCCATTTACGCCCGCCGATTTGTTTTGGCCCACAGTTTTCGACACCCCACTCTCATTTTCTTTGCTATCAATTTTCTTCATATTGTAAACTGCGCTCAAAACACTGTTGTTGTTAATGTGATGTCCCACAAGGTTCTTTACTAGCGCCTCTGATGTTGAATTCTCGATGCTTTGGTTTGATGCCTGAGGTTTCACATTGTAAGCGGCATGTAACGTATTCTGCTCATCAATATGATACTGCCCAACATTTTGAACTGTTATTTTTTCACCGCTTAACTTCTGATCATCTATTTTCTTAACATTGTAAACTGCATGGAGGATGTTATCGGAATCAATTTTATGCTCTGCAACGTTGCCTTTTAGCAAATTTTCTGGCTCATGTTTGACTTTGTGATTTGTCTTGTCATCACTAGTAGAAATGTGATGCTTAATATCTGTTGTCTCGGGCATTTTTTTCATTGTGCCAATATCTGGTTCAAAAACCCCCCTATCGTCGTGTTTCTTGCTTGTTTCATTTCTTACTGCAGTGCTATTTTCACCGGCTATGTCCCCTGTCGTATTCGCTGCACTAGCATTGCTCGCAGTGAAGTTCTTATCGGTTGCTTTTGTATTTTGTTTACTGCTGTTGCTTATTTTCTCTATATTCTCACTTTTCTCTTTTGCAGATACACTGAGCGTTCCGTTTTGATCCGTACCCTGTTGAACTCCTTCCTTGTTGACGTTTGTCAGCGTGACAGATTTCGATTCCTTTGCATTTTTAGAATCAGTGAATGATGAAACGAGACTGGCCTCGGAATGATTTCCTTTCACAGAGGTGGTCTTCTCTCCTTTTTTGTTTTTAAACATACTATTGGTTATACCACTACGGCTTGACGCCTTATTGTCTTTAGCCTTGTTCTCTCTTGTTTTTCTCTGCAGTTTCTTAGAATTCTGTTTGCTCTTAGAACTCTTTTCCTTTCTGATGATTTTCTGCCCAACTCCACTAGCTATTGACTTTCTTGACTTGTACGGCACTTTCTCGGGTTTCTTCCTCTGTGTTTTCTTACCAGACCAAGCATTGACGCCTTTTCCATCTTTCATCACGCTAGGTTTATTTCTTGCCTCTGTTTTATTTGCCTTTTCCTTTTTTCCAGCATTACTGCTTATTTCCTTTTCTTTTTTATCGTGCACATTTAACTTGATAGGAGCTATATCAGACTTGAACGTGAGTTGAGAATTGACACTATTTTCAATAGAGAAATTTGATCCCTCTACTGCTCCCATTACCTTCCCAAGTTTCTTCTCCCAGGACCTTTTGCGACCTACTTCTTTTTTGCCATGAATAGGTATTGAGCTACGCTTTTGTTCGTCTATGACGTCATCAACACTGAGTCTTGGCACAAACGATTTAAAGGTCATATGAGTAGAGACTCCGTTTTGTATAGTAACATTTGTTCCTTCTAAAGCTTTCCTCAGCTTCTGAAGAGTTTCAGATTTCTTTGCCTTTTCCTCTATTTTGAAGAATTCTTTTGCTTTCTCACTCTGATGATGATCATCTGCATCTAATTTTTTCACCATACTTTTTTTATTTGTCCCTTTCTTGATATCTTTTACCTCTTGTTGTGTTTGCTTGTGGTTAATTTCTGATTTCTTCTTCCCATTCTTGGTGATTTTGTTGTCAACAGAGTCTTTCTGTTTGTTTGAAGTTATAACGTTTTTAGTGATAGCCTTTGTCTTGTCCTTTACACTAGCGTTGTTTTTCATCCAGTCGACTTGATCGGAGCCAGAAATCTGTGATTCAGGTATAGTGCCCTCGTCTCCATGCAATGAAACCATAGTTAATGTTGTATTAAGAACTCTATCCCCTGTATTGGGATCAACTGGCAGCAAGCTTGTTGTTGTCGTTGTTGATTGGTTTGACACTGGTGAACTCACAAAGAACTGCGGATTGCTCTGCGAAGGTGCATTAAGGGGTAGAGCTGCCAATGGCAGAGCGTTGTTCACTGAAAACGAAGCTGGAACCTGGTGGATGTTACCAAAAGCCGTTGACTGCTCGTTCGAAGGCCTTAGAAGCGTTGTGTTCGCTTTTGAATTCTGGATGTTCTGTGTGTTTTGTAATCCCACGGGGCCAATCGCTGCTCCCTGATTGGTTTGTGGAACAATATTCTGAGCCTGTTTTGACTCTTCTTGCTGATACCCTTTGTCTTTAGCCTCCTTTTCGTTTTTCGTAGCATTATCTTTGTTTAATGCCTCGTGATACTCATGATTATCCAATGTTGTTGTCTTGTTCTCGATGTATTGGTAACTTGCTTTAGAATTCAACACATTGCTGGTGCTATTCTTTTGATCTTTTTCTACTTCCTTCTGTTTACTTTCATTAGAAACAGTTTCATTTTTGTTCTGCTTTGTTTTATCAGTAACACCTGTACCTTTTCCTTCCCGACTGTTAGTGGTGCCATTCGTCGCATTCATCGACTTTGCAGCGTTTTCTAACTTTGCATCGTTCTTATCTTCTTTTCCCTCTCCTTTTCCTTCGGACTTCTTTCCTTCGTCTTTCTTTTCTTCATTCACTTTTGTTTTATTCTTCTCTGCTGCCCCACTTCCACTGGTAATTTTGTCGCTACCTTTTTTGTCCTTGCCTTCGGTGGCATCTTTTGTGTTGTTTTTCTCAGCATTTTCCTTCGCTTTAGATGTGTCATTTTTCTTGTCTTCTCCTCCAGTTTTTCCGATCTTTTCAACTTTCTTCTCGTTAATTTTAGCATCGCTCTTCTCGTCTTCTTTCTTTTCATTTTTTGTCTCCTTTGCTTCCTTGTCTTTCTCCGCGCTCTTCTTTTGCGGTGCCCCAGGGGCTTTATCTCTTGCCCCAGGGGCTTTATCTCTTGCCCATGGGATATCTCCCAGTAACCCAAAGGCAGAGTCATCAACCCAGCTTGTGTTATCTTTCTCAGCATTGTTCAAACCAGGTTTGTTTTTGCCTTCTTCCAGAGTAGGTGAGGCGCCATTATTCTTTTGCCTCTCTTTTTCAAACTCCTCCAGTGTCTCTGGTTTCTTCAATTGTGACAGAGTCGGCTTAAGCAGTGTTGTTGCACCCTTGGTAACTGCAGGTGGAGGTGTCGGCTTGCTAGGTTGTCTCGTCACGACCAAACCCGGATTTACAGAAGCTGAATTTGGTTTCAAAGTTGGACCTGGTTTGACAGTGTTGATGTCTTGCGGATTAGGCATGAACTGGTTAACGATATTTCCCGGTTTCATTTGACTACCTAGACCTGGATGATCGAAAGGCAAGCTAAGATCTTTCTCGGTAGCTACGTTTGTATGCCCAAGAGATGTAATCGGTGGCGAGCTTAGCTCGATCATTTTGTCGTGGGTCATCTCAGGAACTTGGGCTTGGTTGCCCGGCCCTGGTAACTTATTCAAACCCAGGTCCGGTTGTTCTACGATACTTACAGATGGATTTAGTGGTGCTGGTGCTTTGTTCGGAATGTTGTTTCCCGGAGCCAATGCCGGTTTACTTGCTTGGGCCGCTTGACTACCTGGTTTGGCTAAATTATTCAGTCCCAACTCAGGTTGTTCAAGATAACCATCTGATGGCATGGAGGGGGCTGATGCTTTATTTGGAAGGTTATTTCCAGGAGCCGAGCTACTTGTTACCGGCTTGTTGACCGCTGCAGTCTGTTCGTTGTTGTCACCAGTATCTGCAAATAGGTCCTCTAGACTATCGCTGTTACTTTGCGCGGGTGCTTGTTTTGTAATTGGAACAGGCTTACTTTGTGCTATCTCCTTGCTGGGAGCATCATTTCCTGCAGCGGCAGTTTTTGCTGGGACTGGCTTATCATTAACCGCTTGATCAAGTTTTGTATTTTCAACTAGTTTTATTTTTTCCGCCTCTGGTTTTTTCGATTCCGGTTCTTTTACATTTTTTAATCCCGCATTATCACCAGGTTTTTGTGCAATAGCACCTGGGTTTACAAGCTTTCCCGATGCCGGTTCCTTCTCGGCGTTTAATGATGCAGCAATTGGCTGGACATTTGAAGTTTCAGCTGGCTTTTTTTCCTTCAAATTTTCTGCGTTTTCACTTTTCACCTTTTCAGCTGATGCAGTTTCTTTTGAAGTTGTCGCAGCATCGTTTTTTGACTTTGCAACCTCAGCTGCTCCTAATTTCCCTTCTCCTGCGCTGGGTTCCTGCTTGGCCTTCTCTACTTTAGGCGTATCCTTAGTAATTTCTTTACCAGCATCCTTGTTCTCTATTTTAGCATTATCTGTATCTTCCACCTTTTTAGCAGGTTTATTTTGGGCACCAGAGTTACCGGATGTTTCAGTAGTATTACGGTTTTGTGCTTCTTTCGATGCGTTACTTGTAGCAGCGTCACCCTGTTTAACAGCCACCCCTGTTTTTGCATTCACATCTTCTCCACTTTTTGTCGCATTCTTCTCATCTTTTCCATCCTTTGCAGTCTTGCTTGCTTCCACTGTATTATTTGAGTTGGAATTCTTCTCTTCTTCCTTTGCGGACTTTTTGCTTTCATTTTTGCCCGTACCAATCTCTGACGCGTTTGTTGTTTTGCTGGTATTTTCTTTGACAGGAGCTGCTGTTGAATTCGTCCCGCCATTTTTACCCTGTGTCCCATTATTGGCCTCTTTGGTACTATTAATTGTACCATTTGAGCCATCTTTTAAGGGTGCTGTTGGTGAAAAGAGGGCCTGGTTTGGTTCTTTTGCGGGGATCAGTGGCTGTGGTGCTGGGAGTGGAGGAAGTTTTAAATCTGAAGAATTCTTTACGGCTTCATCGGGTAGGATTTTCGTAACAGATTCGTATGGCCACATTCCATCCTTCAGTTGGTCAGGGTCCTCTGTTAAGAAAATAATTTTGTTCATTAGTTTGATAATTACGATCCTCAATTTTTGAAGATGATACTTATTTACATGTTAAATTTATAAATTTAGCAATCCGCAAAGATTTTACAGTTAAGCTTCTTGTCTATTGCAAGACCCGACTCTCTACTGATGTTTTGCCTTAATATCTTGTGAGACAGTGTATGTTCTAGCAAAGACATAAGACGTAAGCCGTAGAAATACATTCTACACAGTTTAAATATAGTAATGATACGGTGATATTTGACTTTCATGGCCTAGGCCCAGCCCAGGAAATATATTAACTCGATTAAGAGTAACAGACTAATGTTAGTATTGATATAAGTAATTAGTAAAGACATAAAGACACCATGTTGAGCTTCGCTTCACGACATCTCCAATTCTATAGCTGTATCCTGCATAGTCTCGTTAATTTTATACCCGGAACCCTTAAACTTTGTGTGCTCATTGACAATTCAAATAAAACTGATTTTTCATTTGAACCATGGATTTCTCGTTCATATGGGTTTGTTAAAAGACCTGAAAAGCTTGATTCCACCCAATATCTTACCTGGTCCAGCAGCTAGACCAGTGTTATTTCCCATTGTTAAATGATCGCCAACCACAGGATGAACGATAACTTTTGGTCCCTGCTGACCCGGATCCGCTTCGATTCCCGGAGGCGGTCCAGAACTGCTAAGCATTGCCTGCCCTTCCTTTTTTGGCTTCCATTCTTTTCCCGAATCCAGGTTTGGTTTTACATATTCTACATTCTTTTCACAGAAAAGCTGCAGACAAATGAGAGACAAATTCAGATGTCTTGAAGATGAGGCAGTAAGCTCAGCATGGTGTCGCAATCCTAGAGAATCCATACCAATCTAACCGAATCCCAGAAATCTTGATGATGAGACAAAAATCTAGTAAGTACCCGCTATGTAAAAAAACCAACAATGTTTATTATCTTTTTATCAAAATTAGTAGGATTCGATTAGAAATCGATGGATCTCTGTGTTTTGCTCGTTAGCTCCGTAATTTCGTGAATAAATTTACCCGGACTTTTGGCATCTTCATCGTGATCACATTCTAAACAAGCACCTTCTTGCTGATCAATTGGATTTTCACACATAACCTAGCAATTGATAGAATATTGAGTCTCGTTATGGCAAGCAGAATGTGCTAAAAACAATTACCAAAAGATCTTTACATGCACCTTGATCCGAGTTTTGATGCGAATTCAAGAAATTAACAATTAAATATCTTAGTTGTAAACTAGCAAAAATGCCTTGTGAAAAAACGTTAGTATTTATATGAAACAATAACTGATTACCACTGTAGAAATAAATTCTGCAAATACGAAATTTTATCTACAAATGACATAAACAAAGCCCTGCTATTATTGACTATGTTTGTACGATGAGTGTTACGGCTGCAAAAATATAGTTGTTATAGGAGTGAGTGGCTTTCACTTCACAATATGTTGCAGCCTTTTCTCTCAAAATATAAACATGAAAAGTTCACGATAAGGCATGAAAAATTTATTGATGATAGGTATGCCAAACTTTTTATATTTGCAAGCAACGAAAATTTTTACAGTCTTTACGCAATAAATAAAAGATATTTTTGTTTTTCATAAATGAGTTTCTCCAACATAATATCAAGCCTATGGATAGCGTGTATGTTGCTGGGTTCGGGATGCCGTGCTTGCAGAATTTAGCTTAAGATTCAGCTTGAAACATGGTACTATTCTAGACACCAAAACGTGCACAGCTCTGTCTACAGGACATCGAACGCTCCGCACAAGACTGGTTAACAGAAATCTTAATCATTTCTTTCCTTTCATTAAAGTTTCTGCTCCATGTAGAATATACTGACTTACCAGCATCTTTTCTTTGTGGTCTGCAGTTTGTATCCAATAACTTCCAGACGGCAGCTTTGGGAATTTTGTGAACAAGTCTGAGCAGCTCATTGCTGGGTTTCCTGGGGAACTATGATGAAAAAGAGGTAAGTTATTTCTGCCATTGAGTGCAAGTTATGATATTTTCATGTTTAAAGCAAAATTTAGAATCTAAAATATTTGTGTGATATTTTGTAATAAAGTGTAATTAATATTGCTTTAAGATAAGGAATTGGTGGTATTCAGGACAGCAAGAGTAGATCAAAAAGTTTAGCCCATATACTTAAAGATTTTCTTCAAATGACTCTTAAGGGTATGATAAGAACTATAACGGATATCAGTCCTGTGTTTACCGTGGATTTCAGAAAATACGCTTTCCTTAACCTGAAAACAGACTTACAAATTATCGATGTCAATAATATGTTTAATTTGAAATTGATGTTTCGGATAATTGGCAGAGCCCGGTCGTCCTTCCATCTAGCAGTTTTGGAGTCAATCTACATAAAAACGAAAAAGCCGCCATTGTGTAGACAAAAGGAGTTCGTTTTCTCTCTTGGACTCTATTGGTAATTGTTCTTTAGGCTCGCGGCACTGATTGGTCAACTATACCGGTCTTGTGCTTGCGTTTTTCTGATTGGCCTATTTCGATCCACAACTGGGTATATATTTTTCAAACATGTTTTTCGGAACCTATTCTGACGTTTTATGCTCTGAGGAGTGTCAGACGAAAAAGCTTTAAGTATGTTGTAAAATGTTTGCTTTTTTCAAAGCCATTTTGAAATTTTTTTCTGAAAATTGTATCCAATATTTCTATTGATGATAAAAGTTCATTTTCATCAATTATGTAAATGACTGTTTCGTCATGTTTGTCTAGAATCAATTAGTTTTGAAAGAAAACCTGAATCAATTTTTTCCATAGGTTCATGCAAAAGTTTACAAGGGAAATATCATGAAATATCTTTTGAAATTTATAGCTTAATGTTCTCTTAAATTTGACATGGTTGTTATCAATACGTAAAAACTAGATACGATCTGTTGGCATTGTGTCACAATCATCAATTCCTGTGACACATGTTAAGAATGAAGTACAATTGCACCTTCCATATTCCCCATCATCTTCAGGCTCTTTCTTTGCCGTCTGGTCCCGTTTTATGGCATTTACCTCCACCTTGTTTTTTCCTTTTTTATTCTTTATATCCTTAATTATTGATTTTTTAGCACCAGTCACGGTTACATGTTCCTTCGCAGTATCTTTGCTAATATCCTCCTTTGATTTACTTCCTGCTTTTTCATTACTTCCTGCTTTGACATTGATATGTGCTTTTTTCTCGGAAGCTGCGCTACTCTTTGATGTGATTTTCTTTAAAAGATCTTCTTTGGTTATTGATGCTCCTAAGTCCTTATTTGGAGCTTCTTTGTTGTCACTTGCTTCAGAACTTACTACCGGCACATCTTTCCCTACAGTATCTTCAGCAATCGTTGCCACTTCCTTTTGACTCTCAATATCTGTTTTCTTAGAACTGAGTTCAAGTTTTTTTATATTTCCAAGCAGGAAGTTCTCCAGCAAATGCAGCGTACCCGACTCGTCTGCTTTGCCTAATTTCGAACGTTTAAAAATTCCCTCTGTTGGCTCAACGATATGAAACAGAGAGCCATGTTCTGATTTGTGTCTTGGTATGATCGATTTTCGTCCACCAACATGTTCCTTTCCCAAGCAAAGTCCAACAAGGACCAGGCAAATGAAAGATAATAGCCTTCCCATTTCTAAATCTGCAAAACAAGTAAAGCGTTTTCAATATGGTCCCTGGACAACAACAATTAACAAATAAGACATGATAAGACATGTAGCCAAATTTAGTTAAAGACAATCTGTCTCGTTGTGGTCTGTGGATTGGTTAACGAGAACAATAGCTGGAACAATAGCCTAAAAACAATTCGAGCGCTCCGCCATATTTTTTACAATGCGATAAATTGAAGGGGGACTGGAAGCAATAAAAAATCCTTTTGTTCTTATAACCAATCAACGTCATGACAGATTGCCTTCAAACGATTCATAGTTAGGAATGAAACTTAAAATAACAACACAAAAATATACAAATTGTTGCTTTTTTCATCCTTTACTTTTGAAGCAGCTACCATTGGGTAAAGAATTATTTCTAAGTATACCTGAAAAATTTAATCTTTTTACAAATGCCAATGCGAACATTCGACATCAAGTACAACAGTTTTCTAATGGATGCATTAGTAAAGAAACACGGAGTTGCAACCTTTTGGCAATATACCCTCCAAAGAACATCTTAATATAACGATTGCTACGCTCCTCAACACCCAATGTCGTTGCAAAAGGCTGAAATACTGTTTTATCAAGATTATCGTGGTCTTGCCGATACATTTTCTGTAGGCAACAGACCTCGAATTTGTTTTGTGAACCGAGAATACAACTGACATGTTAAAAAGTCTGATGTAGAGCCATTTTGTCTAGACCAGGGCCCATCGTTACAGCTAGGCTAGATGAAGAATTAGGCTGCCTGCCTTTTTCACGTTGGTGACAGTATCAAATCAACTACGGTCAAACTGCGAAGAAAATGTATGATTCTTGGAGACCCCAACAGTTTTCCCTGCACAATGTTGCTAGAAACAATAATTTAATAAAGGAACGGTAGCATTTAAACTCTGAAAAACACCTCAGTAAACATTGATTTTATTGGAATAATGGATGATTCATGGATGATTATTGGAAATATTCTTAGCAAACATGCATTTTGGAGGCATTTTGCTTTTTCTGCAGCACAAGATGCCTAAGCTAATTGAGGCCATTGTGCACGCTTCATTGCATTTGAGCTTTGTCTAACCGCATAGCTAAGTTCGCAAAATAATACCAACTGCGAATAACTTACCTTTTTTTAGTGGTCTTTCACAACATATCAATACTTTATTATTTCGTTGCTAGCTTAACTTTTATTCTTGATGTATAATCTGTTTCAAAATTATCTTGGTCTTGAAAATCCACGCAATCCGCCTCGCGTCTTATTGTGCACTGATTCTTAAACAGGTGGCCTATACAACATCGCATGTCAAAGATCATTTTTAACCAATTCAAAATAGCACTGATTCTAATTCAAGTATCTATTAAACTGATTAGTGTCACTCGTATCAAATTATGAACCTGATATTTCTAGACAAACATCAATTAACGAAAGCCATTAGGTTGTCTGATTCTGCAACATTATGTGAAAACTGTGTCATGTAACCAGAGCATCTCTTCTCATCCAAACTCTAGTTTGATTTTTGGGTTGATTTTTCGACCTTGGCACTATATCAATCCATCTTTCAGCCTTTCAACATAACATTATCCGCAAAGATATTTACAAGTGCATTTTCGAAGACTGAATTTTCTTTCAAAGCAATCCTCAGAGATTTGCTATAACTGCTTTTTAGAAAACTGGATTAGCTACAGAAATTTTACAGTGATGAATATGATTTCATTGAGCAAAGACCGGGAAATCTAAACGTTTCTTTCGCTGTTTGAATTCAACGTTTCTTTTGCTGTTTGAATTTAGCGCTGAAGACTATTTTCAGTGTTCTTGCACATTACTAACAATGTGAGAGTTTGTTGCAAAGACTTCGAAGAATCTGGACGATGCAAAATATATTGGATAACGCAGGCTGTAAAAGGGAGGGTTGGTTGAATTGAGAAAACATGTTTTACAGGTTGATACTTCATGTCTGTCTTCTATTTCCTGACGCGTCAAGCAAACCTATAATATTTCCAAATCGGCTTGCTGCGCGGAAATATGAAAGCTTTGTTTATGTGATTTAAAAGCGCAGAGCCGTGCAAGCGATATGACAGCAGCGTAAGTAGCTAGGCCTCCGACGGATCATTGGGCAGGTCATTGAAGCATGACTAAACTTGTTCCGTTGATGGCCTTTTGTTGCCCTGTTTTATTTGCAACCAGGAAACAGCTCAGCATTTTTGATAATATGTTGCTGTTCTTATCAAAACTATCACATTTAATTGCTGTTACGATGTGAAGTTTAGGCCTACTGCTTCCTGGCGATGAAAATAACCAAGGCTTTGTATGCAGATGTCAGGGCGTTTTGAAGTATCGAATCTAAAGCACTAACAGCTGCAACAACAACATCAGCAAGAAGCAGAATATCAACGAGTAGGTAGGTAGGATACTTTCCTAAGATGATACATCAAAGAGTTAATTGATTTTAGTCTTTCGTTCATCATTTGCAAATATACTTTCATGTCTTCTTGTTAAAATTCAGAAACACTTTAGGGAAAGTTTGCAATACTTCTTCAACAGAAGGCAGATTCTCTGAATTATAATTGGTTGAATTTATTTTCTTTGCAAATTAATTACCATGTTAGCTGGAATTGTTATTTGAACTCAAAAAGTAACGGTATTGTCTGAATTACTATGCAAAGCTACCCAATCTCCTTCTACAGTCATTAATTTTAATATAGTGTTGTTTTTGCATTGCCAGAGCGTATAAGTTAAATCACCCTAAATTGCATCCGTCCAAAATTTTGATGGTTTGCTCATTCCACTTTCAATCTCTACAGATTTTAATGGTTAATTTCTCTAACTCGTATTTAAGGATTTTGTCTCAGATATTTTCTTAATGCTTTTTTTACTAAAGCATTTTTTTATTCATAGCCCTCACTATGGCTTTGATCAGAAGGGAGGCTATGTTGACATGCGGATTGCTGATATGGTTCATTCATATGGCGACAAGTCAGAATGATGAATCTATTCATAGCTCGTCAAAACAGAAGGGTCGTCGCGTAAAAGCCTATTTTGGCGAGTAAGTATACACCGTCATGTACCAAATTAAAATATGTTGAGGACAGTTAGACAGTGGCTTCACATTGGTTCAGTTGCTCCGTCACTAAAAACAAAATTGATGGGTATAGTGCTATTTAATTGGAGAAGAAAGTAAACTGGGTTTGACCATGAAAAAAGTGCATATATAAGTTGCGAGAACACATGAAAATTTAGGGGATATAGTCATTGGCAACTGCTTTTATAGCCTTGGCAGTTGTCCACAGATTGGAAAACAAAGTATCTTGAAATGCACTAATAAAGTCTTAACGGTGTGCCTTCTACTATCATCAGGATAATTGATGCACGAATCCTTAGAGACAAATAAAAGAATACATAGCCTTCGCCCCAGTCCACAAAGGCTGCCACATTTATGGACTGTGCAATATTGATAAATATTCTGTCCAGACAGAGGGCTGGGTCTAGTTTATAAAAACAATTAATGCAATGAAATTTTGCTTGAAAAATATTTGAAGAAATATTCACTGAAACCAAACAGGACGTAGATATGATGGTGCATGAAGAGTTCAAAGTTTTGCAAGGTGGAAACCGTTGACAATCTCAGCTAATTACATAACTTTTGCAGAAAGGGTTGCAGAAATTACCACCATAACTTGGTGTAAACTGCGGACAGGATATTTATCATTATCGCACAATCCATAAATGTGGCAGCATTTGTAAACTGGGGCACAGGCTAAAGAATACCATTCTAACATACAGAACGAAGCATGGATCGAAGGAGAACTAACAGTAAAAGTAATATTCACATCCAGTTGCATGAAGCCTTGAGCCTATCTGCAAACTGCCCTTCCAAGCAGCTGAGACCTCGTCATTGAAGCCTAATTTTGAAGCCTTCAGTGCCTCTCCTCAATATCTACGAAAATTTTGCGAATATGATGTGTATATTTTAAGGTAACATTGTATTGATAACAGAACATAACACGTAAGTTTCTTTTTGAGCAGCCTTTACTATAAGTTTCTTTATCGGTCGTAAATGAAGCAATACTGCCTGAAATGTTATTTAATTGTTAAAGATTACTCATTACACTCTTTTGAATATTACCGCCATTTGAAAATAGTTATGAAACACAAGGCTTACTGAATACCGTCCTAGGTTTTCCTCTCTTTAATCCTCTTTGCAAACAACTTGATAGTAGATCTTGTTTTTACCGGCTAAGGAAACTGAAAAGAACGCCCTTCACTACGAAAAAAGTTCTACAATGCAAACCGAAAAGCAGAAAAATCAGAATTCCTCTTAAACATAGTTTTCTTGTAGGCTCTTCTGTAATTTCATATCGATTAGCTTAAAGTATAAGTTTTTCTTTGATATAGTATAAGTTTTTGATATACAGGCTCTTTTCAAATACAATATAGATCTCTCTGATATACTTTCTTACGTACATTTTTCAACAATACAATCTGGGTCTCTTCAAAATATAGGTTCCTCTTTTATTTTATATAGGTCTCTTTGAAGTAAAGATTGCTCTAAATTAAAATATGCATCTCTTTGAAGTATAGACTTTTCTATGATGCAATATGATTCTCTTTAAGAAATAGGTTTCTCTTTGATTTAACATTGGTATTTTCAAAACATAAGTTCCCCTAAAATACAATACGGTTCTCTTTAAAGTATAAGCTTTTTGTAATACTCTCTTCAAGATATTTGTTCTATATGGATCTCTTCAGAGTATTAACTGTTTTATTATACTATATGTGTCTCTGTTATACACAGGTTTTTCTGCAATATATTATAGGCCTCTTATACCGTCTGAATAAACTCATAATTTACGATAAGTGGATTATTCAAACTTTAAAAGGTTTTATTTCTAAATTCTATTGCAGTCGGCAACACCCTGCGAAGAGTTGTGCCGATATCTTCAAGCAGATGCCTAACCTCCCAAGTGGTGCCTATTGGCTTGATGTGTATGACTGGACAAAGAATAAGACTATCCAAGAACGGGTAAGAAGCATTGATTAGCTTCTTAAGGGACTGTAAACCGGTGATTGAATTGAAGCTAATTGTGGTGGAAGGACAATCGTAGCAAAAATTCATTCTTCGTTTTAACAGCTCTGAATTTGATTTAGCATTGATGTCGAGGGGATTTTTGTCGCAAGCTGTAGGTTCAATCCAATCATCAGAGGTTTTATCCAAGAAAAATAAATGTCTCCGACTTTATGCAGCTTATTGTTGTAAAATTAATACTTTAACCTTCAACTATATTGACGATCCTCACATCGGGTAAAATGTCAACAAAAATTATGTCATAAAGCAAAGATCTTTAATAGTGCGTCAAAAATTAGGTCGCTTGTTCATCTAAGATTTCTGTCTTTTCTGCCAGAGGCCTATAACGTGACAAATATAAATATTTTGATGTATCATAGTAGATATGTCATTGAAGGAATATCGATGCTATAAGAATAAAATTTTTACCTCGTTGAGTTTTAAACTCTTTTTGTACAGTGACCAAATTTGAAAACGTTTTTTCTCCTCGTACTCTCCTCTCCTATCGAAATGTTGCCCTGCAATGATGTTTTTCTAAATACAAAGCTCATTTCAATTTTATTTCTAGCTAAAATTCGGATAGGCTTTTGCTATGTTTGACTGCCTACTTAAAGCTATCAAGGCTGTTTTCGTATTACAGCGATACTGTTTTATTTCTTAATCGAAAACTGTTTTATTGTTAATAATTATAAATCATAAATTACCACAGATGTTTGGATAATTAAACCGTAAATAACATTAGATAACTAGAGAATATTTCTTGCTTTTTAGCATTACTGTCAAAATACGCTTTCAAATGAGACTAAAACAGGACTGAAGCTAAAAGGTCAACAAGGTGCCATTGGTGTTGAGGATCTGTCATTGGGCGAGCCCCCTCCAGAACCTTTTGATTGGGAGGAACTTACTGATGGAAACTGGCCATTGCCTGTGACACCTCCGACGGAAGAGGAGATGAAAGAAAGATTGAAACAAGCAGTAACGGATTATAAAGAAAAGCTTAAAAGCAAGAGTGAAGGAAATACAGGATCTAACATAATCTTGAATCGGACTAGCGTTGGTTATAATAGTTTACCAGAGTCTGGTAAAATCTCAAATGGGGTTACTAGTGGTTTTGTTGTTCAGAGTCCAGGTTCCATAGGCAAGTCTCAAGAGTTAGGCGGTGGGGCTATTGAACAAACCAGTGGAAATGTCGAAGCGGTTGTATTTGAATCTAATCCTGCAATGGATTCTAATGAAACGGCCAGCAACTATACAGCAGATTTATCCAATAGGTTTAGCTATAATTATTCGACAGAAAGAAACGCGAGTACCACCCAACAAGGAAATAGCAATATATCTATTGCTACGGTGGATAATGATACCATTGCTACGGTAGATAATAATACCAATGCTACTGAAAACAATGCAACGTTCAGGCAGAATCCCGGATATTCTTCGTATATCCCCGTTTACAATGGTTCAAATCTTTATTGGCAGAATAACGAGAGTGACAGCGGACTTAGTTTAGATATGAAAAGAGCAAACTCTTCAAGCGACAAACAGCAAGATGTTGGCAATTTCGAAGCCACGAACACAACTGTGTATTCGTATTATCCCTATACAAGCCCATATATTGAAGCCAACAATAGTGTTGAGTATTATCCATACAACAGTACCGCTCCCGGCGTAACCAATAATGCTAGTAATAATACTGCTGATTGGAACAAACAATACAATAGCACAGTTAATTACACACTGCCTGCATATAGTTCATCATTAACCACAGCTAGTATGGAGTATCCAAGAAATGACAGTCTTTTGGCAAACAATGCCTCAGATGGGGCTTCGAAAAGCTTCATAAACCAGAACTTTGAGCAGCAAAGTCAGTATTTACCAATGAATGTCTCAGGAATAGCTCTAAGTACCGGGTCGATTGTTTTTGAAGCCGAAGCCAATGGCACTACTACTTCAAAAGCTGATAACTCAACCCTTGATTCTATATACCGAAATACGATAGAATCTTCTGCTTCGAAAGACAACGAAACTCAGAGTTTGCCTCCATTGTTGGGCAACACTACTTCAGAGATCCAGCTCATAACTTCTTCTAACGGGTCCTTGTATCAAAATACAAGCCGGAGTGAACCGTCCGAGTCTGGTAACTCAGAGACTTCAAATGGCAATGTTTCAGTCGATGTCTATGGGAATAGCAACGCATCCGGTTATTCAACTCTAGGTAGCATCTCCACAGATTCACCTGCTAATTTTTTCTCGAATAATTCGAATAATTATTTAAATATGCAAAACTATTCCACAAATGAAGTAACCAACACACCCGAGAATGCTAATTATGTAACTCAGCAAGATTACCAAAATAAGACAAACGATGTGACGGTTGGGTATGGCTTAACACCTTTCCAAAACAATAGTGGGAGTAATTCAAGTAATGCAAAAGGACTTGGTGGTACTTACGAATTGACAAGGGAACCAGATGCTTATATGTCTCAAAAACCAGAAGCGCCAAAGTTGGACCAAATGGTATATACAAATGAAGATACAAGGCGTTCGAGAAATGGAACTAGTACCTCTGTCGACCACGATGGAGGAAATATTGGTGCTTCTAGATTTATTGAGAAATCTCGTAATTCACAAGAGCAAGTCCTTTTATTTTATGGTGGTGCCAGTCAGAATAGGTCCGAAGATGCGGAATTATTAAGTGGGACACTTTCGAAGATTCTAGCGGGTACTGTAAAACGAGGCAGTGTTAATGCAAGTTTGGAATCAAGAAAAGAGAATTCAACTACGGAGAAATACTTCAATAAATCCTTAAATAGCAGTGATGTAGTCGGTTTACAAAATGTTAGCAGCACAGCAAACGACCATGCATTGAATAGCAGTGAAGCACAGTCGAATGGAGGTGCCGCTAAAAATTCTAGCAAGATTCTGCTAAAGAAGGGAAATGATTTTCTCAGTGCAATGAACGAGGTCGAACAATTGAATTCAAGTCTGAGTAACCTCACAAACAATCTGGATACTTTAAAGGAGCAGTTTCATCTTTTCAATAGTGGCATCAACCAAACCTTAGCCAGCTTGAATGAGAGTATTCAGATTGCAAATAGTACTCTTACAGATGATTATTTACCAGTTGAGTATAGTCAATCGAGTTTTTCGCCAGAACAGAAAGAAACAGATTCAGACGACAAGCAAGATAGGAAAGTACGTTTGTTTATGATAAATTGGAGAAAAGTTGGTCCATTAGAAGAGAAAGCCTCAGATACTGCTTCTGAAATGGGAAAGACAGAGAGTTCAACACAAAATGGAGTAAGTGGATCCAAAGAGAAGACTGGTTTAGAGAAAGAGCCAAGTAGAAAAATCAAAGAGAGAGATGGGCTGTTTGTCAGGCCAGGTTTAAACAGAGGTGCGTGAAAGCTTTTTTGTAGTATTGGCGGCTATAAAGATAGTGAGGGGAAGAAATAATTTTTTCGATTAAGGGTGACAATGGAAAGATACCTTATGATAGTAATACCATTAAGAATGTCCCTTATAAAGCTACTTGTCTAAAATAAGTTTCTCTGCAGGTAGTTTTACAAATTTGCCTGTTACGTTCAATTTTATATCTCGAAGTCCCTTAAGCCGTTAAATATTAAAGTTATATATAAATTTATAATATATGTAAACATGGCCAATTATTAACACATTGTATCCCAAAGTCAATAAAGAAACTATTATCTGTTACGTTCAATTTTATATCTCGAAGTCCCTTAAGCCGTTAAATATTAAAGTTATATTTAAATTTATAATATATGTAAACATGGCCAATTATTAACACATTGTATCCCAAAGTCAATAAAGAAACTATTATCTAAATTGAAACAAAGTAATGCCTTTCTGTTGCAAGTTATTTTCTCCTGGTAATTGCATTGATTTTCCAGGTTCTTGCACCACTAGCAAATCTAATCGAAAACTTGATCCAAGACGTTATATAGTTGTCTTTCTATAATAAATGAATACGACCTCTAGTAATCTTGAAATACAGCCTGAAAACGTCAAGATACTCTGGCTACGAATGTATCTTGACGTAGTCAGCTACAATGCGGGAAATCATTGTTCTTTGATCCTTTTGGGCTGCCTTAAGAAATCATTAGGGTATCTGGGACCATGTTAGTAGCCAAAATTTATTTGAAACTTGTTTCACATTTGACGTCGCTTGCCACTATAAATCCTACAGTAACAATATATATGCATCTTACAGTGGATACTGTGCCTTTTATGACAGTAAAGCTATTATGGTTGTGCTTGATAGGTAAAAGCTTGTCTGTTTAATTTTATGAATATTTTCGCGTTTTCAGGCTCTATTCAAATGGCTGTGAATAAAGACGATATAAACGCAACAAAGCAGCGAGATTTACTTGGGGTAGCAAGAGTAAAGATATCAAAAGGCCCTTTGGCGTTGAAAGCAACAGGAACTTCTGCCGGCAAAGGGCTAAATCGCACGGGAGACGCCATAAGCAAGCGGGCTTCAAATGCTATGCTTAGGAATGCAACCCGAGCTACTGGTGATGCTCACACTCTAGAATCACTTGACATTCGGGGAAATCCAGCAGATAAATTTCTCAATAACACAGATCCTGATGAGTTGAATCAAGGCTTATGGACAGCTGAAGCGATGAACTACGCAAAGAAAGCTGACGAAGATTTTGCCAAACAGCAAAAGTATATCGAAACTGGTGGAGATAACGCTTTCAATAAAGTTATAAAAGAACATAACAGATCTGGTGGCCAGAATATCTTGCGTGATCCAAGCCGAGCAGATGCTACAAAAGAGAAGATGAAAGAATTTTATGATAGAAATGACGAAATAGTCCTTGGCAAGGGCAAAAATGGTTTTGGAGGTTTGCAGAAAGTTGACACGGTAAAGAATAGTGAAAAGCCTCCAGGTCTTTACAAAGCAGCTAAACCTGGTAACAAGACAAGCAATGCAGAATCTAACTTTAAGATGAGCAGTTCTACCAGCACAAGTACAGGAAGCGAGACAGGTACCAATACTTGGGCTCAGGTTGGAGTAGGAACAAAGGTTGATTCAAGTGCTGGCTCACAGGAAGACGTTACAGAAGACCCAAATTTGATTTCAAGTGTCGAGGAGGACAGTGGGACGGCTGACGACAATGATAACTGGGAATGGAATGATGAAACTGAAGAGAATGAGTACCCCGGCTATAATCGTCCCCAAGGTCTTGGATTATGGTCAGACTCAGGTACGGGTACAGGGGTTGGCGTAAGTATTGGTGCGAATGCTGGTGCAAACGGGGGTTCTGACACATCATCAGAAACAGATGCTACAACAGATGTTGGTTTGCCAACAAAGTGGTCCGATTTTGGATTCAGCAATGGATTTGGGATGGGTATGGGCACCAATGCAGGCTCACAGTCAGGAGCGGAGACAATGACAGAAACTAGTGTGAATATCAACACGGATGTCAAGACAGATAGTCAGTCAAAGACCGGGTCACAAGCTGGGTCTAAGTCGTCCGGATCAAAATCGAAATATAAATGGAAATCGGGTCCGAAGTCAGGGCCACAGTTGGTACCACAACCAAAAGCCAGTAAAAATGTGTACGATAAAACAAGTTATTTAGTACCAGGAAAGCAAATCCAACCGAACGCAGGCATGGGACATCTGTCCAATGCTCTGTCTTTAAAAGAGTTGTCACCATTCAAGGCAGCACCACAGTTGGGAATACAAACAAACACACAAGTCAGTGCAAAAGTTCAAACACATTCAAATGCACAAGCCCAGTCAGGCAGCAATGCGAAAGTTGGGTCTAAAGCAAAGAATACGTCACATCAGAGACTGCATAAAGCAAAGCAGCGTTTAAGCGCTATTGTTAATGAGCATAACAATAGATTAGCGTCTGACACAGAGAACAACCCTCTCAGAAAGATGAAACAGACGCAAAAAACGCCAATGCAACTGAAGATGGAAGAAATTGCGCACAAAACGAGAAACAAGCCGCTCGGTTCTAAGCCTAAAAACAACAATGGAGGCGAGAGAGCGAACCAGGCTTCTAGTGGGGGTGTTGACCCGAAAAAGACAGAAGCATCAGTTGATATTTACTATGAAGGAAGAAATAATGATGGAGTAGACATAAACGCTGGCATAAGCATCAGCGATGGACAGAGACTTAGAAAGCAAAAGGCAAATGGCAAAATGAATGAACAGATAGTAGAATCGCCATACCTCTGGTATGAAAGGTACCCTTATGACATTCCTAGCACTGCAGACATCAATAGGAGACTGGACTCGCTTCCATATGCGTATTACACTCCACAAATGAGAAGCCTTCAACGCAGGGTTAGAGCAGCCCGCCAGAAGAAGTTGTAGTTTATCGACAAAATAACAGATCTCAAAAATTTAAATTTATATATTTATGGGTTGGATGGATATCAGGGTTTTTGAAAAAGCGCTTATTTGAGAGAGTGGCTTTCAAAAGCTGTTATCTCTCAAGTAGATTTGAACTTCGTTCGCATTTAAAAATGTCGCAATATCTCAGTGCAAAATGATTTTTTCGAAACTTAACGAATATTTGCGGGGTCAAAAAACGCAATTCTGTATGGTGTAAAAAACTATTTTAACTTTTCACTTTTATTTCAACACAATTACTTTTTAGCTGCATTGAGGGGCGTTTATTCAAGGGGGCGCTTATATATATAATAGCATCATATCTGGGCGCTAATTCAAGTAGGCACTGACACGATGATCTATATTTTGATTTCTAATCCTTCATTTTTAGCTGTTGTATTATTGGCCAAAGACAACTATACATATTGAACTTGACGTTTTAATGTAATTCAAACTATCAGTAAGGTATATTTTTACGAGTCGCACTTGCATATAGCTACGTTTGGAATAAGATTAATGGTATACTTTAATTATAACTTATATTTCCTCTATATCCCGTTCGAGGACAGGTTAATGACTCTTGCTGCTGAAACTCGAAGTAGCAACTTTATTTTCTTTATACCTAAATCGTGTACTGCCCTGCCTGTGCGGTATCGAGAAGTTTTTTGATAGACCAGTAAATAGTGATTTTCATTGATATGTTTTATATAGAGTTCTTAAGTTATGACGTCAAAATAGATACGTTAGAATTTTTAAATTTCGATACGGAAAGCAAAAAAGCATTATGAAATACCTCTAATTGTGTAAAAACAGTTTTAATGTGCCAGGAATTGACTGAGATATGGCTATATTAACACTGGCTCTTTCCTTATCAAATCACTGTAATTTGGTGTCTGTTTATAACAGTAGTCCGTTAGCAAAATTTAAATCTTTCATTGGCGATATCTCAACTGATTGGGCCATTATCACCCAATAAGAAGTTATTTTGAAATTCTGATTACATGAGAATGGCCTGTTCAATTCGGTAACAGTTCTGGTCACTAAAGGAGGCCCAAAACGGACTTCAGTACTTTTCCTACTTTAACCAGAGTTTCGGTCTGGTACAGTTTGAGACAGGATGCCGGAACGACCAAGGGGCAAAGGGGCAGGTTCCAGTAAAAGGGCATTTAAAAAAAATTCTACTATTTCTTTTGCAACTGTCTTTTTATTTCGATATTCTGTAGTAGACCAGGCGGAGAATAGGGGAATGGTCGTCCGAGAGCGAAATTTATGGAACCATGTGCTTCTGGTCAATTCAAGGGTGCTGATTTCAAAAATCGATGTTGTCGAAGACCGGGAACCATCAGTCTCTTTTTCGTGTTTGAAGTCTCGTTTTGTGGATATGAAGGTAATCAACGAGAAAACAGTTTAAATTGAAATAAATTACAAGTTTAAGGTTGTATAAGCATATTTCTTGCGCATAAATGCTTAAAGCCTCGTTTTTACAAGGAAATTGCATAATCTTAAGATTTTTATCCCTGAGTAGCATCTAAAAAGTCTAATACATCTTTTGATGGGACTAATTTTTGAATTGTCGTCCATAGGAACTTTCCAGCGGTAATCATTACTAACTAATAAATAAAACTAATTGAAAACTAGTGGATCATCTAAACATAGTTTTATCCTTTCAATGCTCCTCAAGATCCTCTTCTGAGTCACTGCACACGACATCTAAATGAAAAACTGTTTTTTACTTCAGTTTGTTTTAGTGAGAGCTCCCAAATATGTTCTTTGTAAAAAGAATCAACCTGACGAGCGAATCCTCATTAATCCCACCCATGACATATTTACTAGAAAGCCTAGCTGAAACATCAACCATCAGCTAGTATTAAAATCATGGCGACAGAGTTTCCAAGCAGAATACGAAGCCCCGTGTTTTCTTTACATGGCGGCCGAAGACTGAGATCTATGATCTCTTTTTGTCTTACGAACTTCTGCACAAACAACTTGTGTCAGAGAAGATTAACTGAGGATGTCTTTTACTTCTATAAAATGAACGACAAAGTATAACTGGAAATATAGTTATAGCAAGAAAAAGCGTGCAGGCCATGCAATGCTTTCTTTTTCTAGAGCTTTATGATGTCAATTATCTTCCTTTCATTTCCAGTATCACTATCTATGAGAATCTTGGTTCCACCCAATTGGTGGGACAAGAGAACTTTTAGAATGTCGGTTGTCACTGGCCCAAATTTTTAAAATTTTGGTACTCTGAAATTTGTTTGAAATGATCTCTTTCCGGCTAAAGAGTTTACTACGATCTTTTTCAATTGCAAGCTGAAATTGATTAAACAATATTTCTTTTCTTTCTTCGTTGATATGGAAGCGGTTGAAGTCATATAGCACCTTTATGTCGCATCATCTTTATATGCTGTTATCCTTTTCTTGTCAAAGACAGTCACAATCTTTGTGAACCTGTTCAATTTATCTGCACGTGATAGTTATTCGGAGCTAGCATTGGTCACTTGTGCCAGTTTCATACAATTAAGCCCTAACAGTCCTTCTGATGGCACCATCTCCAGTACTGAGAGCCATCGACACCGGTGCAAGTGGATACGATAGCGTTGTCTCGAGATCAGCACCTGCATCGTGCTTGTTCGAGTGCACAACTTTAAGACCAAGAATGTCTCTCTTAAAACTGTTTTTCCCTTTCTTTAATCTCCAGCTTAATTTCACTGACGAACTCTTGAAGGTTGCAACAACATTGTTCCCATCCTTTTTGAAAATAGAAGTTTTTTCGAGGGCACTGTCAGGCTTTAACTCCTCTCAGGTTTTAGACAATCCCGACAACACTGTCAGATGTACCCAAGCTCATTCGGAAGACCTCTGCTAAAGAGCTGGGCTTTGGAAGAAGAGGTACCTTTTCGAATCTGGTAAAATCACTTAAAAAAGTGATTTGGCTACAGCAAGGTCTTTGCTGACAATATCACAGGATCTCAAAGATTCTTTAGAAAGAGCACCATCTCACTTTGATTCAATGCAACGTATGTATAGAAGTCATTTGCAACTTACAATAGAAATGTTGGCAGTTTTACAATGTGTTCCTTTTTCACTTATCACTATAAATATAAGAATCATATAACTTGACAGTACAGTACAGTATTTACAGCTGTACAGCTAAAGTAGTGTGACAGAATCATAGTATAGCAGAGCAGGAGCTCCTGTTCACTTTCTTCTTTTGTTTAAAGTCTAGTATTATATTTAACCCTATCCAGACCGGTCTTTTTGAGCTGCTAGAAGACTAAGAAGGGGCTCATTCAGCCCCCTACCCTAAAATCGTTGTTCCTTGGTCTATTATGAGAAAAATCACCAAAGACATAGCAGAGGCTATGATGTATCATTTTTTAAAAAAGATGTCCAAAAAGTGAAATGACGTCATAATCATTCATAATGACAAGAGTACATCAAAATGACGTCATTGTAAAACACGACTGAACTTTTGTACATATAAAAATAAAAAAGACCATACTTATTATGAATATAAGAGGTAACAAGAATTCCATAAAATGATTATGAGATGAACCTAAGTTATGTGCATCAAAAGATTCCTTAAATGTTGACCTTGACCATTGTGAAAAAACAGCCATATTTCCCCTAATTTAATTCTTTTTAATTATTTTTAAACAAATTCATATTGATAAAAACTATAAGTCAAGAAGCATCGTGCTAGTTGAGTCTACAAATGTGGAGCACTGCTTGATTATGTAAGTTGGGGGGCTGGATGAGCCCCCCCAGTCTGGATAGGGTTAAGTAAAAAGGGTATAAATAGTTCACATAGAAGTCAGAGGAAAGGTGTTCTTTTTAGATAACTCGGATGAGCCTGGGTACACAACTGATTGAGAATGGACAAGCCGGGCAATTATTAAGCGAAATTTGTAGTGTGTTTTATAGAAATCTAAGAAAATCTAAATTTTTAGTGCAGAGGAATCATAGATCTCAATCTCATGCTACCATGCAAAGAAAAGCCAAGGCTTCATATTATGCATGCAATCTAAATCGCTATGTTTTTTTTGGTAGTTTGGTGCTTCAGCTGTGCTTCCTAGAACAAAGATTATGGTTGGGATTAATGGGGATTCTATTGTCAGAGTGATAGTTGTTACCAAGAACATACCTGGGAATATTCGAAAACCAATCTGAAGTAACAAAGGAGCTTCCAACTCAGGTGACGATTTTGAGGAACTTTGAAACAATTAAACCAATTTTAGATGATCCAGTAGTTTTTCCATTTGTTTTATTTATCAGTTAGTAATGAATACCGCCGCTGCATAGTTCCTTTGGACGACAGTTGGCCAAATCAAAGATGTGTCAAACTTTTTAGATGTCAATTCCAGGAAAAAATTTTATGATTACGCAATTTCCTTGTGAAAACGAGGCTTTTCACCTCCTTTAAAGACAAAAATTCAATTTTAAGAATTTATGCGCAAGAAATATGCTTAACCAACTTTAAAATTGTAATTTATTTCCTTTTGAACTGTTTTTTCATTGATTACCTTCATTTACGCGAAAATGAGACTTCAAACACGAAAAAGAGGCTAATGGCCTCCCTTGAACTGACCCAAAGCACATGGTCAAATAAATTTCGCTTTCGGACGACCATTCTCCGCCTGGTCTATAGGCATCTTGTAAACTGTTATAAGGGAGTTATGAGAATTTTGGCCATGAGTAAGGCACTACAGTAAGTCTTTCATATGAACTATTTAACGATTACAAGAGGTCAATGTAAAGGGCATATTTGCCCCGCTTGCCCCTCCTATTCAAGGGTAAGAGAGGCAGCGGTTGCCAGCCCCCACTGGGCTCGCATCTCCGGCGACCCATGTTTGAGACCAGTTTTCTCTTGTGCAATCGCTTTCTTCGGTCTCAGATGGATTCAGAATTGAATCGATATTGATTTTTGCGTCAGCGCAGATTTGTTGGTACCAAATTTCCGTTGTCATTGCACCCGAAATTGTTTTAATCTGATTGCTGTAGCAGAGAATACCACGCATTATCATTTTGCCTGCACCGTAGAAAGTACTAATTTCTGAAGGATGGGAAGTTGTATTGTTTCTTTTCAATAGGACGGAATGCCTTTCTGGTGTGAAAGGCCATCCGATAGAAACTGGGTCCAAAGTCGTTTTAATGGGTCTTTACTGTAATGTAATAAGTAGGGAAGAGTAGTGTCAATTGTTGTGTGGAGGGAAGAGTTGTATTAAATATTGTTTGTGCCCTTACTTCGGAAGAAAGGTTAGAAAGAGATACACCGTGGTTCAGAATTGCCAGAATTCCGTTTTGTTGATGGATTTCTTCAATATATTTTTTGCTTTGCAATCTCTCTCAAACCTCTTCTAGGTTGATTTTTACGAGGGGCAAATCACTCTAAGAAAATCTCGTACACCTTTTGTGAAAATCCTATTGTTTTATCTGAAAATCTCCAGAAATCATTTTGTTTTAGGCAAAATCTCGTACGCTATTTGCAAGAGTGAATCGCCCCTGGATTTTTACTGCAGTTAAGAAAGATTTTGAGGGGAAGCCCTGTTTTGGGACCATAGTTCCTCATCACCAATGAACGGCCCATTACAAGCTCAAAATAACGCGAAATTCACTGACAGAAAAAACTAAAAAATATTTTGTATATAGAATATTATTTATTATAATTACCAAATCTATAAGGCAAAATATTTCAAGAGCACTAGATAAGCAATCGTAGAAGACAACAATTTGTTGGATTCTCCTCTACCAAGTTATCTCGATAACAAAGATTGTTCCTCCTTTTGTTTCAAAATCAAACCAGCTCAACTAATTTGTCCCTGATGAATATTTTTTGAATAATCGAGAGACAACAAAATTAACCTTTTCTATAGAGACTTACGTTTTTTATTATATCTGAAGTTCAATACCATTGGAATTCAATGACTTGTTGTTCTGTTCCTTTAACTACCCAAAACCTATTCTAAGAGTGCAGTCTCCAGTCCAACGGGTTGAAGGCACGAAGTATTTGGCTGACGCATCCTAAAGAAAGAACAAATTTCAAGCACTTGCAGCACAGCCAGCATTCCCTCTCGTTCGAAAGATGGAGAAAAGAACGGTAACCATCTTGCTGTTGGTTTTCTACTTGAGCTGCTTCGTGAATGCCAAGACAAAAGTGCGCCTTCCGCAAGTTTACAGTATGTTATATACTGATTCTATAACTGATATTGGCTTCAATGCTATAACCTAACTTTAAACGTTTTTTGCATCAAATGTTTTCTAACAGTAATTACATGTTTTTGCTCATTAACATTTAGCTCTGCAATTACTGTAAATTCTCGAATTTTCCCCCTGGGGGCTTATTTATTCTTGGTATTTTTGGATAGGGGCTTAGTCGAGGGGGGGGGGCTTATGCGAAGGGGGCTTCTAGAATTATTGTAGACATTAAGAAGACATTATTAAAAGACTTTGTTTATTTTAGTAGAAATGTCTTTATGAGCATTCAATTAATTACTACCAAAAGTATGAATTTGTTGTGGTAATTCAATAAAACGCCATAGTCAACCTCAGATGGCAAAAATCATCAAATAGAGGGGTCAATTCGAGAATTTACAGTAGCAGTGGGGGCTTATTCGAGGGGGATTGTTCGAGGGGGGCTTATTCGAGGGGGGGCTTATTCGAGGGGGGGGGCTTAAGCTTGGTTCCCACTAGGCGACTAAGTGCATTCAAGTGCATTCATCTCTGAGCGTTCAAGTTAAACGCCAAGTGGGAATGCTCCGAGCTTTTAACTTGGAGGAGATTAACGCACTTGAACGCTCATAAAAGTTAAACGCCAAGATCAAAAAATTTTGATCTGAGCGTTTAAACATAAGAGAAGCCGAAAGATTCAAGGAATGTTTCATTCATCAACCAACAAGTAAGATGCAAATGTAAAGCCAAATAAGGCAATTTTTAACCGCAGCAACGCATGAAATCGATTACGTGACTGTTAGCACCTTGCGATCAATAAAATATTGCCAATTAACAGATTTCTGCTATACAATCAGGATTACTTGAAATGACTAACGAGAGAACGTAAACTGAAAGCATAGAACGCCTACAATGTACACGTAAAAGAATTGCGAAATTTGTGCCACGAAAATTCAAGGGAACTCAAGTTGCGATCCTGTTCCTCTTGCGATACTTGATCGGATAGTTTGGCTAACAATGGTCTTTACATAATTTTCAAGAGAGGGTTACAACATCTTACAATTGCATAATTCATAAGTGATAAAAAAGCAAAAAACATAGTTATCCTGTCGCTGTGTACGAAGAATGCCGGTTCTCTTTTGATGCTTTGTAGGTAGTTTCGTAGCATCCGCTACGTACGCCCATGGGTAGTTTTACTTCATACTTGAGTTGCTTTTTGGAATGGAAACCGTTACAAAGTTTTCAATATTAACTGATGTGATGATCTTGAAACCTTTCACCTACAGCACCTAGGGACCTGGGGACCTGAGTCCATTCATGTCTTTTCAGACGGTTTTCAAAACATTTTTCTCTCTCTTTTGAGCAAGGATACCGACGCCAGTTGGAATTTGGCTCCGACACCAGTTGAAACGGGGGGTTTGTCTGTTTCCATGTGATAAGTTTGTTTTCATGTGATCAGCAATCAGCGATGTGATTTGTCGAAAGCGAAAGACATTTGAAAAGCCTTTGTGGCATTTGAAAGGTACAAATGGGGGAAGAAGTTTTGAAATCTTTTTTAGAGAGCAAGATAAAAGAGAGAGAAAGAAAGAACCTTTAGAAACGGTGGAACAAAGAGCACTTACAACATCGTGTGTGCAGTTTGCTTGACAGCCAATCAGATTAGCGAAGCTATCATAATGACTCAGCAATTTTTGCAATTTGGGTATACTCTTCCTTTTACCATGATTCACTGCCTTTAAGTGGGTCTCGATGATATAAAGATTAAGCATTTGTTATCGTCTTCACCCACAATAAATAATGTCGGATACTTAATTAGAGGGCAGAAAGAGACCCCTTTTAAGGCGAAGCTTGCAAGTTATAAGGAGCCAATCACGGAAGGGGCAGACTGCCTTTCAGCAACTTTCAATCTTTCCTCAATATTGCAGTTGTAATTCATTAAATTGATATGCATTTCATCCCTACCCTTTTGAATAGTAATGTAGTTAAATCACAATCTCAAATTATAAACAATTTGCCTCAAAAACGGTTGCCAAGAAATGAAATATTACTTGGTGCCCGATAGAGGCTAACTATCTAGAAAAACTCGTATTCCAGGAAGTGGGCTTGCTAGGTGCACCAGCCCTTGTACTGCCTGGAGAATACCGATTTCTAAGGTCGGTGTCACCACTGGGAACATTTTCCCGACTGACGACTGCCCATAAGACGAAAAGGTCTTCGGGAAAAGAATGATAATTAGAAGATTGGAAGAATAAGCAGACAAAGAAAAAGAGGCGGGTGGGAGGGGACTTAAAAATTGAATATTGCTGCAGCGGCAAACAACCGTTTGCAGCATTCATAGAACTTGCAGAGGGGGCGTAGCACTCGTGCATCGCTTATAAACCTACAAATGTCCCGGATGTCCTAGGATAGCCTGCACGTGACAGAAATTGAAAGCGAGGTTAAATGATAGCAACAAAGGGGTGATTTACTCTGTTTAAAACAGGGTTCTAAACGACATATTTCAATGAACGGAAGACTAGCCTCCCTTACGAAGCCTTGTTGAGTATCAGAATGGAGATCCCGAGAGCAGAAACATGAATCCAAGAAAATACAGCTATTTGCTTTACATCTCGATCTTTTCCAAAATCTCAAACGATTACAACACTACGACGACTCCTGCGTCGAACACTCTTACTTTTTCTAATAAATTTGCGGAATATATACGTTTACTTATGTTGCTAATTAGTTTTGAATCATGAACTTTTAATTATAACTACCAATCAACTTGCCTATATCTTAGTATGGAGTTTATTCTGGATAAGCATAATAACTTAATCAGCAGGCATGGTATAACTATTTCCAATAACCTCGGACGGATTCAGCTTAAAGCGAGGTTTTCACGCAAATGCTACACTAAAACAAGAAGAAGAAAATTCTTACATGACTAACAAAGAACCCGATGAAATCAATGAGCCAACTTTTGAAATTCACGTGCTTGATGCAAAATGGCGGATTCCCAACAATCTGCAACGCGGGCACCCGATAGGCTTGCTTAGATTAGGAAGATTAGGCTCGAAAAGACAGCAGTTGTATTTACCTCGATTTGCAAAAAAATTAGCTCCGTACAGGTCACGTGATAAAAATATTGCTGCGAATAAATTTCATCCTCTTGTGCCTATCGCTAGAAAAGGGGTCGTCCGATATAGAAATAGGGCCCAAGTTTTTTAATTTTCAATTTCCTTTCTTTCATTAATTAGATAATTTTTTTATTCATGTAATCATTAATTATTCATTCTTAATTTTTTTTTCTACTAAATTTTTGTAAAATAGGCCTAAATTAGCTTGTACATAAATTATACATAGATAGCTATATCATACCACCCTACTGTAAATAAATTGATTATATTATAATATATATTGATATTATATTATGTCTAGGCTGTAGTATATACAATGTCTTCCAGACTAAGTGGTAGGCAATATTCTCAACCACGTGGCAATGTTGCGCATTGTATTCATGCCAGTTATCAATTCTGACTTAGAATTCAATGTAACTCCCCCTATAAGAATTAGATACATTCCGATTACTTTGTATTCGTGAGACGCCAAACCTGTATTGTATATGCTATTTTTTATTTGAAAATCAATTTTGCCAGAGAAATAATCACCAAACTCTTTTGAATTGTCTCATTGATAGCGCCGACAGCCCGGTGCTATTTCCTTCCTTGCTCTCTCCCCTCCCTCCTATCATTTTGCTTGAACACATGGAACTATTGTGCTATTGCTGTGAGTCAGTGAATCATAAGAATTTGATCTATAACTTTCTTCTGTGCTAATATTGATTACAATTGTTATAATGATTCAGATGGTGCATTTTCATCGTAGTTCATTTGCAACGGACATTTTCAAGTTTCTTTAAATTTGTACTTCCTTGTGAGGAACTTATAGCAGATCATCGTGACATTAAAGAATTTCGTCTGATCTACTTGGCATCAACCCTTTATCGATTTCTTTAATTTAAGATTTTTTCACTCTTAAGGCAGAAGCTGTCCAATATCAATATGCGAAGATGCAAACAGCTATTGCGGAAGAGTCCGCGACGGGAAACTGAAGATGCAACGAATGTTTTACAAGCTGACAAAGATGATTTCAAATCCAAATGCGATTGAGCTTCCTATGCCTCGTCTAGATCAACCCATCAACGCAACGATGCAGTATTTCATGATTAACAAATTTGACGCCCAATGTTTCAATTTGATTTTTCTTGTGCTGGGAAAAGCACGAGGAGCTGTCTCCAGCGCCGCTATGAAGCAATTTCAAACGCAGAGATTCACTACCTTCCAACAATATGATGCTATTGGCGAAATGTTCAAAAAAGGCATCGGGGTAGGTAACTGTGTATTTTTTGGTTGATGGAATTTGTAGGAAAATAAACAATGTATTCTGAGATCATATATTTAAACATTTTATTTGATTGTATGTGTATGTGGCAACTCTGGCTCCAGTAATGATTAGCTACCATGAACAATACACAACTTGCTTTGGCTAGCACAGCTACGGTAGTGGACGACATTTGAAACTGCGAGCAAAAAGCTATCGGAAATGTCAAGAAGAATTTATTACTGGAATTGAATGATGATAATGGAAGCATTTCCTTTTTGCTGTTAGCATATCTGTCGCACAAACCAAATAGGGAACAAAATTTTTCTAGCAGCAGCTTCACTACAACGGCCATTTGATTCAACACAGCTATTTGGTTCAAAAGCTCTAGATGCAAAGTTGTCTCTGATTGGTTTAAATTGTTTAATTGTCGATCAAGCTCAACGGAGCGTGAATTTAACTTTTGTGAAAATAAAGTTAAGCACAATAGGGGACTGACTGCCTTTAAGCATGTTCAATCAAGTTAGAATTAGGTGTCGGTTAATCTACGCTACATTTCCCCCCAAACGATTTTTCGGATTCCTTTTGTTGTGAGGAATGTTTCCTTTCCCTTACAGTTTGTAAACTTTATTTTCAATTTTTTGCAATCAGAAAAGCTAAACTTTTTTACTTAAGTTTGAGTAATTTTGATATTGAATTAGATCAACTCTTGTTTTAACGTTTTGCAGATTTACAACCCGATGTTATCAAGATATTTTAGAAGCCCGTCATTGAGTTATCCTTTCATGAAAGACCTTCGTAAAGGAAACTTTTTTCTATCAGACGAATATTTTGTTCAAGGACGACTTGCAGGGATGAACGTCATGACTATTCGTCGTGTAACGAGAAGAGGTAATGTAGACGAGCGACCAAATAACAGGAGTTTGGTAGGGAAATAGCCTTTGCTCTTGTTGGCAAATGTCAGCTAATTCGTAGCAAGTTTAACTGATAATGCACACATGATGCTCTTTCAGGTTATGGGATCCAAATTCATAATTTCGTGAGATCGTCAATTAAAATCTAGATAGTTATGGACATAATTGATGATTAACTCAACACTTCAACTTTTGAAAATCAGCGATTATTTGTTTTTCTTTTTCGAAATCTTTTCACTTCTTCAAAAGAAATCGCCATAAACACAAACATACTCGATTGTCATACAAAAGCAAAGCTTTGGTTGAATTTTCTCTCTTATTTGTTTTACAAAAAAGGAAAGATTGGGACAAACGTCAAGACACTGAAACAAAGATTAAATCCAAATTTCAAATGGGCAAAAGCAATTTCTTCTGTTACTAGAAGAGGATTTTGGCAGGTATGATTTTAAATTGTCTTCGCAGTGACTAACTGATTATTGGACATTTTTGCATTTCTGGGCTAGCGGATTATGAGAAAGTTTAATGGATATTCTGATTAGGTATCTTGATTTTAAAAGTTTGCAAGTTTTGTAAGAATGTTGCTAAGGATTTATGAATAGATTCTGAGTCGAGAAATTGCGGCTTACATTTTCGATATTTCGTGGATTTTAGGTTTTCTTTAGTGAAATTATTTGACAAATATAGTTTTTATTGTCAATGATCAACTCATATTTAAAAACAGCTACATTCCTTTTTGTTGAATGTTTTCAATATTTTTTGAAAAATTATTGAATATTTCTTCACTGGTATGGTAATTTTTGTCAATACAAAATGATCCCAGAACCGCGCAAGCAAGGAGGGTGATAGGGGGCTTACACATCCCAAAACTTTTCAAAAATATACTTGCAAATTGAGTTTTTCGTCTATTGTATGTTTATCCCCCCCGTGTAACTTTTTAGCCCTCCCCTCCCTTTTATCATGAGACGCTACCATGTCCCTGTTGTATAAGATTCTGATTAACAGCGATAAACATACTAGTTACCATTTTTCACTGTTATTACAATGGTTCCAACTCTCTATAATCTCTCCCACATTTTTCCTTAGTCAATATCAGCAAGGATGGTGTATGTTTCGGAATTCCCGTTGCTGAGCGGAATGCAGAACATCCCCGATCCTTTAGCGAAGTACTTTCCACCTGGTGTCAAGGTGATCCCCCAAACCAATCCAATCGCAATATTTGCAAGTCGGTATAATCAAAGGAAAAGACGATATGAACTAAAACCGGTGGCCATTCAGATAGATGACAAGCAACGTAAGTAACTCTGCTTTCTTACCTAGTATTTTTTCAATCGGCCTCACATTAAGGGGTAGGGGGCAGACTTCTTAGGGTCCGTAGCTAAAAGAAGGTCCACAAAATTTTAGCGGCACCCTAACAGCAAAACGAACGATAACAATCACACATTAAATGACGTCATTACGGTTTTCATCACTTTTCCTGTCCCAGGCCCCAGATTAACTTCCAACGGGCAGATTCCAACCAATTGCAAGCTCATGCACCACGGTAAAACATTTGAATGGATCTTCTTAGGGTTTTGAATCATGCAATATATGAATGAGAGCTTTAAGAGCTCGGGCTGGGTTTAAAAACTCCATCAACACCCCTTTCTCAGTAATCATCATTTTTTTACTGATAGAGGTCACAAGACTCAGTAATGGAGTCTTTTGTTTACCTAAATCTTTCCTTCTCTCAAATTGCTTAACGGTTCTTACAAAATGATAATCTAGAAAAGCTAGACACAAACAAAAGGTCTATAACATGATTTATATATTGCAAACCAAGAAAAATATGAGCAGGAGACGGAATACTACTTGCAAGAAGCATTACATTACAAAGTCTTATTTGAAATATTCTTTTCGGGCTGTACTTCAATTTATTAGAGAGTGGGAATTTATTATTAATATTATTAATATTATTAATATTATATATTATTGTTATTATTGTTATTATTGTTATTATTGTTATTATTGTTATTATTAAAAGCAATAAATGGGTATTGTCTTTACGCAGATTTACCAGGCTTTCTTTCCCCTTCTATCATAACTGGAGATAAACTACGCCCTGACTTACTTCTCAAAACTAAGGAAAACTGTCTGTACGTTTTAGAGCTAACCATGGGCTTTGAAATAAATCTAAACTGCAATGCTGTCAGAAAGTCAGAGAAATTTGCCAACCTCATATCTGACTTAAAACATCGGTTTCAATCTGTTTCATTTATCAATCTTTCAAACAGTTCAATTGGTATTTTTGGCAACTCCTGCAGCTCATTCATCGACATGTGTGACTCTTTGTCCATTGTCCATCAACAGAAACGCTATCTCATATCCAAACTCTCAAGCATCTCTATTCGCACCACATACTATATATTCTGCTGTAGAAACAAACCTTGGACTAATCCAGAGCTACTCCCCTTTTACCATTGTTTTTTCCAGTTCCAAAAGCTCAAAACTCAGTTAACATCTCAAGGCTTCATCATTTCTTTCCTGCTTGAGCATTCCTATACAAAGTTAACCTCACTCTGGTCTGCAGCTCAAAGTAAACCTCCAAAAAATTCTTCAACTTTACGATAAGGTATCTCAACAACACACTAGCCATAAGGAACAACCTCTGCTTATGGAAAATTAGCTCTTCTCCAGATTGCTTATTCTGCCTTCAGCCTGAATCACTGCTTCATGTCGTAGCTGGATGTAACAAATACCCTGAGCAAGGGTGTTTTACTTGAAAGCACGACTCTGCCTTGCACTTCATTGCATCGTCATTTCAATGTATCCGAGATGTATTCATATATGCTGACATTCCCGCTTATTTATCACCATGTATCATAACTGGCGATTCGTTCCGTCCCGACATGCTAATCAAAACTGCTTCTAACTGTCTGTATGTCATCGAATTAACTGTTGGGTTCGAGACTAACTTGGGCCCTATTCGCACTGCATCTAGAAACCTGACAATGCTAATCCCTTATTGTTCTATCTTCAAAGGCGGCAAGGGTTTGTCAGGAAGTAGTTTAATTGGTAGAGTGCGAACAGCAAAATCTGAAATCTGACAAATTGTAACGTTTCGACTAATTGGTCAAAGGTTCCGTCGTAGAGCTCTGGAGCACCACAATCTCGTGAAAATCTATGATAACCAGCGGGTGACTCGACGGACATGCCAGAATTATGTTAACACCAATAAAAAAGCCCAGGGTACTATTTGAAATCATGTCACAATTTAAAAAGGTACAATTTCTTAATGGCAACCTGATAACGTGTTAGATAACAATACAACATCTCAGAAAACTGCCTAATGCGAACAGAAGTCTGACAAACTTTGTCAATCTTGAAAAAGTTTTTTTAATTGGCGTGAGAATATCGGTTTTGACAAACATTATCATATTTGCAGTGCGAATAGGGCCTTGGATAATAACGCTTCGTGTAAAGCTGAGAAGTACCGTTCCCTTCTAAAGGAACTACGCCCTAAGTTAAAAAAGAAAACTTTGTTAATCTATCCATCAGCTGTCTCGGTATCTTTGGTAACTCCTGTGATTCTTTCATCGATATGTGTGATGAACTAAAACTTGACTACCAACACCGTAATTTTATAATTAAAAAACTGTCAGCAATAATTATACGCACATCCTATTATATATTCTGTATGCGCAATAAGACTTGGGCAAACCCTGAACTGCTCTCCTTCTAAAGATTCTTTGCACTCATATGATTTTATTTAAAAGTTATATCTTTTGTAAAATTAGTAGACTTGTCAACAGGCTAGCCGATGGTAACTACCTGTAAAGTGAGGCTACTGTTGTAAGTAGAAGAATAAAAAATAAAATTGTTTTCATTATTATTATTATTATCTATTTTTTGAAAATAGGCGTATAATAATAGCTACAATATAATAAAACAAATAGAAATAGCTACAATATAAATGCTAATTCAAGCCTACTACAAAGTAAAATTGTTTAAAAATAAAAGAAATAAAAATATATATATAATATATCTAACATAAAAAATAATTAAGTATAAATACACATATACATATTTTACAATTTTTTTCGGCATTTTTAACATTTACAATACAATACATTTATCCATTCAAGAACCCAATCTGAGCCACAAAAGGCCTACACAGTCTACAGTTGCATTCCTCTCCTTTCCAAGATTTTATCCTCCTTTTAAAGCTGGAGAGGGTATCTGATTGTTTGATGTTATTGGGAAGTGCCTGCCACAATCTACTCCCTAGAAACGATATCGTCTCTAACCCATAGCACGTAGTGCGTGCTTGTGGCAATAGTTGATTGTGGCAGCTTCTCAATCCATACGTACCCTGTTTTTCAATAAAGATATACTTCATGAAAGTAGGATTGAGCTTACATTTTGTTTTATAAATTTCAATCATCAATAAATGTAAATTCATGATGTGAATTGAGGCCGCATTGTCTCTGCGTAACATTGTGTCAAAATCTGATTTCATATCTTTTTTATTTATCCGCAATGCCCGTTCGTGAATACGATTAACTTAACTATTAAGTGTTCTATCGCAGAACATCCAAACAAGAGGACAGTAGTTAAACTAGGACAAGATAAATGCCTTCATTATTCTCTTTAGTTGTTCAGTATCAAGAAAGTGAGAGATTCTCGATACAGCGTAGCTCTTGCCCAGCCTTTTTTCAAATGGACCTCAATTGCTTTTTAAAGCATAATGTTTTGTCCAGAATCACTCCAAGCAGCTTTTCTTCTGTGCTCTCTTTTATCCTGACATTTCCAATATTTAAAGAAATATCATTACTTTTATTCCCAAAGACCATTAGATGACATTTGTCCTCATTCAACTTCACACAGTTGTTCAGAAACCATTATGTAGTTTTAAGGGTGTCACTCTCTAATGTTTCAATGATACTATCAATACTGTTGTCACAAGCATAGATAGTTGTATGATCTGCATAATTCAAATTTGAGCATCATTCACAAACATCATTAAGTACATATTAAGCAGAAGAGGTCCCAAGACAAGAAATATTGCAGTGGTTAGGTTTTGGGTCTCCTTTTTAGCATTTGCCTAAGAAAAGTACCAGTTATATGTTTTCTCTCAAATTTTTCTGTAGATAATGTTTAATGAGCCCCCATCCCATTCCACTCCACCGGAGTTGGTCCATCCATTGTAACTGACACACACTAAATGAAATGCTTTCGCAAAGCTACTAACTGTTTGCCACTCGATAAGCGTTTAAGTAGTATTACGTCTATTGAGTGGCCAATTATTGGCTGACAGATTACTTGAGTCATTCGAGCATATTCGGTTGACTCTAACACGACCTTTTTGTATGCTTAGATTCAAAAGTTTACACCCCAAGTGATGGATTCAATTGGCAAGTAGCAAAGGCGATGCATCTACTCACTGAAACTTTTCATGGACAGTTCCACGAGCATTTGCTCCAAACCCATTTGAAAATGGAGCCAATCTGCGTCGTTTTAAATCGGCAAATCTCCGAATATCATCCGCTGCACGAACTCTTGAAATACCACTGTCGAGGAATGCTGCCTCTTAATGCCAACGCGGCACCATCTTTCTTTGGAGAGTCGGGTTCTGCAAATGTCATGTTTGGTTTTGGGGCTCCTGGAGCGATAAAGTTGGTGCAAAGAGGGTACAAGAAAATGACTTGGAATGATATTGACCTCGAGAATAATCTAAAGGTATGTTGCCTTCAGGGGTGGTGTTAAGGTTGGTTTTCATATATCGTAATTCGTCGGCAATGATCCCCGATGCAGCTTCCCGATGGTCTATGACAGTCTGCGATGGTTTATGACATATGAAAACCGGGTTATAGGGACCCATCGGCGATTATCCCCGACCATCGCAAAAGTCAAAATAATTTCACTTTCCTGACGCTTCCCAAAGAACAATAGCAAAGAAAACAATAGATCAGGAATGTTCTATCAAAAGTGAGTTCATTTTAACTAAGCGAGGGTGATTGTTTCGCGAAAAAACTGGAATGCTTCTCGGTAGTGTAGGAAACATAAAGGGTGCTATAATACCTAGTTTGATTCCTAGTCACCCCTTCCACCCCCAATATTTCGGCCTTCTTCGTTAAATTTTGTTTCATTCGGTAAAAATCATTTGTTAGTATTCAGTAGTAGCAAAGTAACGCCAAAATCTTTCTTTGTTTTTTTCTTATCAGTATTTATCTTCTTATCAGTAGCGCAGCGGGGGGGGGGGGGGGGGAAGGGATATTCGGAAATGTATTTTAAGCTAATCTCAAGGGCGTCGTCGCAAAAATTTTCTGCTGTCCTTTTGCAAATGACATTTTTTTTCCTTTACAGAAAAGAGGTATGAACGACAGAAAAAAGGTCCCTTTTTACCCATACCGTGATGACGGCAGGGCTGTCAACAGGGTTCTGAAGAAGTTTGCAAGACAGTTTGTAGATTTGTACGTGAATTTTTTCTTTTAGTCTTTTTCGTTTGATTCTATACATAATTGTTTATTAGGCTCTCAGAGTTACAATCTGATACTGCCAAGTACTACACATCAATGTGCGGCTTCAAGATTCATATTCGGACACTTTTTTATATCTAATTGACCTTGGTACATTTGTTGTTTTGAAACTGATTCGTTCTAACATGCTGTCTATGTCATATTTATATTTCGTTATTGAAGGTGTTTTTTATTTGTTTACTGCAATTTTTAATATTTTTATTAATTTCCTGTCTTTTACTATCATTGTTAAATTCTTTTACTACTTTGTAACGATAAGGGTTCTTCTTATGACGGTGAAGTATCAGGTCGTTGGCTGAGCGATGGGCTAGGCCAACGGGCCTAGCCCCAAGTAGATAGCACACAAGAGATACTCGTTCTTTGATGTTATGTTTATCGTTAAAACAGAAAAGACTAAATTATTCTAACTAGGATTACATTATATTAAAACACAACAAAGGAACACTGTGAAACATCACACAACACGATGACAGTGACGCACATTTCCCGGAAAGGGAGTTACTAACACAACAGCGCGACAAACAAACATGTGACATTAACACGCAACATAATCAAAGATCTAGCTGAACATAATAACAATAATTACTGAAGTTTACTAATGTTAAAACGTTACAACTTTACTAATTTTTTAGTGTTAAATTCCTTACTTATGATGGACCTATATTTGTCCTGTTTGACATTCAAAATGTCACCCATTTGTGCTGTACCTGAAAGAATAAGAATTTTCATAGAATGTTTTTATGAACTTCCAACACCCCCTAAAAGGCTGCTTTTTATATAAGCATAATATCAAACCTTTGCTACAAAAATCTCTATTTTGGCAGTGCCCATTAGTTTTATTGCTATATTGTTCAAAGGTTTAGCAAACAACTTGACTTTATAGGTATTACGAATTTGATCGAGATGTTTTTGAAGATCAAGAGTTACAGAACTTTATAAATGAGGTGTCTTTGAAAGGAAAGAGGCCCCCAAATAATGGAATCGGTGGGGTAAGTTGGAAACAATTTAATTTGTTTACTTGTGAAACTTAAGTTAAATTAACAAAATTTAATGAAACTTAAGTTAATGTATTCTTGTAATCACAATGAATTCAGAGAAGTGGATTAAAAGAGCAAGTCTTCACGATGAGTTCTTCGACCACATGAAGAGTTATCGGTTCTCCAATTGGTCAAATGAGTAATTTTTCAATCGCATGTTGATATCTTCTGCAAAAAATCCTATCAGAAACTTCATACTCTAAATTGCAGATCAACATTTGTGGATGCTCCTCAACCAGCTCTGGCAATGACTTCTTTTTTAATGTCTCATTTTAGTTATTACCCAATGATATTGATGTTTCATGATAAAAAGGGGAAACAGTGAAACAAAAAAGATTCAGAGCATTGTTGGTGATTACTGCTAACTCTAACTGGCAGGCAACTAGCTCTAATCTAGAATTCGACAACCCTCTTTTTGATAACCTTGATTTTGATATGAGTCGTGCTTGAGTTAGTCCACTTGGCTGAGTAACTACTGCTATGGTTTGCGCTGACACTGCCTTGTCACTTGCATCCGTAAAATGATATAAAATCACCTGAGTTATGCCTTTCTGGGTACCTCTACTGATTTCAATTTTTGCGGCCATCTGTTCCATTTTTTTCAACTCGACTCTAATCTCTTTGTCCCAACCTTTCTTTTCATCCACTGCTATCTGTATTAGTGTTTCCCTTTTACCAGAATTGGACCGATTAGTCCGAGAGAGTCATAAATACTTGCTAAACACTTCAACATCAGCCTCTTTGTTACAATATGCATTTCCTTTACATCTAATTCTACAGTAAAGTTGTCTTGTTATTTCTCCCATCCTACTCCTAAAAGTTTAATTTTCAGTTTTAACACCTTTTAGATTAGATTCCCATTTTGTCAGAGGGAATCTCCCTTTGGCCATGATTTTTTTTACTCATCTTTATATACTTCTGCTTCCTTTTCGTTATTCACCAGCCCCATAACATTGCCCACATAAGTTTTTTCTTTCAATTGTTCTTTAACTACACTGCTTCTGGTCACTTTATCTAAGTGGCTTTGGATTACTCCCCCCCCCCCAAGGCAAAAGGAGAACTTTCCTATCCAAAAGAACCCTGTAAATCTGTATCTTTTCTCTAGTCCTTCTTTGTCTTCTCTGTGGTACCCTATCTTCAATCCATTGTATCTTGACTATGTACTTGCCATCTTCTTTCTGCTGAATATTCTCAATAAACTCTTGTCTTATCTCTTCTTGATCAAATTCTTTTCTGTCTTTGATTTCAAGAACGTCCAGACTATAGAGCTTTTCATAATCTTCACTTGTTGTCTGAGTAAAGTAATTAAAGTGATATCACTTTTCTCTCCATGCATTGTCCAACCAAATAAAGTTTCATCTGCAATTGGTTCACCGGCCATACTTTTCTTGCACTTCCCAGTTCTGATTTCTGTAAAGGTCTTGTCACCTATTAGTAACAGTACTTCATATCTTGCATCTTTACCTTCTGGAATGTACAACCCTTTTAAATGAGCATATATTGCCTTTAATTCTTTTATGGGTAATCTTTCTACTTCTGATCTAGACCAACTGCTTCAAGCTCTAATTTGTTTTCTGTGAGAGTATGAGTACTTAGTACATAAACAGGTCTCTCTACTGATTCCCTGCTCCTTTTGCATTTCTTAAACTTGCTGTTTCCCATCTGATTGGCTTTAAATTGCATCTTTCAACAGCTTTTCTGCAAACATAGTTTTTTGAAGAACCTGTGTCTAAAATTCCCCAGAGCTCTTCCCTTTCAGTTTCAATAGGGATAAGTGGCAAAATACATTCATCAGATGGTGTATAAAAAGTTCAACTTTTTGCTCATTCCTTTTCCTCTCCTCGTGCAAACTGCTTTGATGAATACCTTTACAGAAGAAACAACCTCTTTTCTAAAAATCTTTCATCAAATGATTATCAGCTTACTGGAAACAAAAGCCCTTCTTTTTGAGCAATTCCCTTCTTGCTGTTACATCTTTAACTATATTGCATTGATCTGGCCAATGCCTGTTAGGGCAGTAGAAACAATGGACCCACTTTTTGCTGCTGTCAGAAATGCCCTGCTTGAACCTTTTTACTCTCTGTCATATTCAACTCTATCCTTGTTGTTATTCAATTTGAGCCACTTTCTCAGCTCTTTCGGTAATTCACTAAAGCCCCATATTTCCCATACTTCGTCATTTCTGGTCAAATCTGCTTTAATAACTAGTAACTTATCTAGTGTAGATAAAACCAGCCCTTCTACTTTAGTATGGCCATCCATTGCTTCATAGTTAGTGAGCAGCTTTTCATAGAAGTCCTTCACCACTTAATTCTTTTTTGCCTTTTACCACTTGTAAGTTTGTTATCTCCTTAGTTTGTGATGCAATTACTGTCTTGTTTTGGTCATATTCCTCCTTTAATAAATTTATTGCTCTGTCATAGCAATTTTTATTGTTGGGTATTTTTCCTATCAGTTCATGACAGGCCCCTCTCATGCACTGCAGAAGATATCCTAGCTTAATTGTCTTACTCACAGGCTGGCTGTCTACCTGGGCTTTGAATTGATTTGAAAACCTTATCCAGTCCCTAGATGTCCCTTTAAATGGAGCAATATTTAATGCTGGTTGGTTAGCATTTGCCTCCCTAGCCCTTCTGTCGGGCTCTAATTTCTTTTCCTTTATCTATAGAACAATTCTTTGATGTTCCATCCAGACCTCACTTTCTTTAGCTAATTTCTCTTGCCTGTCGTTTTCTTCATACAGTTTCATTTCATACCTTTCCTTCTCCTTAGCTCTCGATTCTTCTTCACGCCCTTTAGTCAGGTAACTTCGAATTTCTCTTCATTATATCTTATCATCTCCTGTCTACCACTTTCAAAATTTGTTTTGGCAGATTTCATCCTTACATTGTCTACCCAAACCTTATACTCCTCCCTTTTTCCTGTTTCATCTATAGTTAGCTTCCCGATCATTTCCACCAGCTAATCAATTTCTTCATTTTTTTGGAAACGTGACTTCACACAATCGTTGTACTTTCACAAAATCCTTTGCCATAACATTTTCTGTAATCATTTCTCCGTACATATCCAGTTTCATTTATTACTTTTCACTGGTTTTTTCACTGAGTCCGAATTCAATGCTGTAGGTGGAACTTGTCCCAAAATTGTTTCTTCCATCCTTTTCCTGACCAACGGCAATAGGCAAAGATCAATAACAAAGCGCTCTAAGCTGTCCTTCGTGGTCGTCTACCGACGTAAAGAGCTTCACTATAAAAAAGTCCAATTTTACGTTTTTGGTTATAGAAAAGTCACAAAAGACAATTCATTGGACAACGATTACCATTTTTATTCTTCTCATTTATTCCCTTTCGAACGCTCCATCTTTCTTTTTAAAGTCCCGTATCTAAATCTCCTTCGTAGGAACGTCTTTCAGTATAATATATGCTGCTTGGAGTTCACGCCCACCGGTTCAAGGTATTCAGAAGAGGGACTTGTGAACCCAGAGCTCATCAAATAGGTTGTCAAGTGAAAAGGCAGTCATATTTGCATTTACGGACAGGAAGCTAAAAAGAGGGGAGGGTTTTCCCTCTGCTTCCTTAAACGGGGGCTCTTTAGAAAAATGCGGCTTTAAAGAAAAAGGAGGCTTAATACTAAATTCCCTGTAATAGTCTGGATTTTTCTGCTTTTTAATGCAATCATGTCACTATCTTACGGATATATTAGATTCTAATTTTTGCACGTATTCATACTGATAATATGCTTTATTTCAGGTAAAGGGGCTGCCTTCACATTTTGCAACGAAAAATCAACTCGCTAGATTTATCTCCGAGGTTCTCTGGATACAAGTTCAGCATGCTTCGATAACTTATCCACCAATGGTTTATGGGGAGTCGGCGTCTCTAGCTTCGTCAAGACTCTACCATGACCCAATAGGGTATCACAAGAAGGACTTGGCCTATTTGCTTCCTGGTCCAATTGGGGCTATTGTAAGTAGCTAGCTAGTTAAGCAGCTTTGCAAAGTCGCTACTCGTCTTAATATTGATCTTTGAACAAATTTAGCATCCATATACTTTTTTTGTTAATTGGATTAAACTTTTTTTTCCAAAAACAATTTTCGTTTTACCATTTCCAACAACATGATGATTTGGCATAGTACAGATGGTGCAAATGAATTTCTGGCTGAGGGAACGCTAGGGTGTTGGAAAACTAATTTTTCAATGTTATCAGCATACTTCTATATTAATAATAGTCATACTATCTCAATTTCTGAAAATCTTCTTTACTCACCTGCAGCGCTTATTGCAGGAAAAAGAGAAAGTGATGGAATTACTGCTTTTTAAGGTTTTTTTCTATATAGTTCCTATGCTGGAAACCAAACGTAGTGTGTGGTAAATTATTTTATTAAAGCCCCGATAAGTATAATAGACCGACTTATTGGCATTGAAAATTGTTCATGGCTTATCGGTACTCGGGAAATTTCCTAGTAGGCCCTTTCAAAAATGGTGTGCCATTATAAACTTGATTTTCCCAGCCAAAAAATTCCTCATTCGCCCTTTTTCAACCATTACAAACACCATTTAATCTACATTGTTCACGTTCTACCGAAAGAGTAAAACGTATTGTACGGATGTGCCTTCGTTTTATCTTTAAGGTTCAAACGAGTGTAGCAATGGGTGTCGGAGCCTATCATTATGACAATCTGTTTGATTATGGCGATGAGCTACGGGATCAGCCAATGAAAAGACTGGTAGCAAAGACATACAGGGAGCTAATGGAGAGGGTGAAACCACTGCTTGATAGAAGAAACGAGCAAAGATTGAAAAGGGGGCATGTCTCATATCCATTCCTCGTTCCAGGTTGGGTTCCAAATAGCATCAGTACATAGAAGATAGCCTTACTAAACAGGCTGGACAAATGCATCTAAAGTTAAAATGCACCAATTTTTCATATAATCATTTTTATAAAAGATTTTACTACTCACATACTGTTTTATTTTTCGAATTTAAACTTACTTGCGCATTGGAGGAGTTAAGGGGGCAATTAGGGGCAGTTCCCCTACCTCGCCGAGTTGAAGCAAGTCTTTCGCCCCTTTTTGGAAATTGTGCGCCCTTTTTCAAGAATGAGTAACAGGTGAAGAAGTTTCTGAGGCTTTTAGGTTAATTTTCTTCAAGGATTACCTCAAAGTATACAACAATTATTGTGGAAACTCCCTTACAAAGTGAATGGAGAGCCTTCTGTCAGTAGTTGGGGTCTGAAATTGTTGTATTCTGGGTACACTTGTATTGTTTATTGTGAATTAAATCGCCGAACATGAGTCTTACATGTGACTCATTACTTTCAATACAGTGTCTTTGCTTTTCCTTTTAGTGCACTCTATGAACGACCAAAGGGCAAGGGGGCAGGTTCCAGTAAAAGGGCATTTGAAAAAAAATCTCAGCTTCTACTATTTCTTTTGCAACTGTCATTGTATTTCGATGTTCTGTAGGCATCTTGTAAATGAGCTAACTGCTGTCATAAGAGAGAAATTTTTCCATCAACAGGGCACTACAGTAAGACTTCCATATGAACTATTTATTAATTTCGATCTCAGATGAACGCTTTCTTCGGTCTCAGATGGATTCAGAATTGAATCAATATTGATTTTTGCGTCAGCGCAGATTTGTTTGCTACCAAATTTCCGTTGTCATTGCACGCGAAATTATTTTCATTTCGATTGCTGTAGCAGAGAATACCACGCATTATCGTTTTGCCTGCACCGTAGGAAGTACTAATTTCTGAAGGATAGGAAATTGTGTTGTTTCTTATTTATAGGAAATAATAACTTTCTGGTTTGTGAGGCCATCTGATAGAAACTGGGTTTCAAAGTCGTTTTAATAGGTCTTTAATGTAATGTAATACCTAGAGAAGAGTAGTATCAAATGTTGCGTGGAGGAAAGAGTATTACATTGCATTTTGCAAAAGCTCAGCCTCAGCTTGTTCTTAATTTGCTTAACTTTTGACCAGTTTTGAGGCTCGTGTTGTTATAAAAAAAAGAGTGTAAATATTTTACGTGCCCTTACTTCAGAAGAAAGGCTAGAAAGAGATACACCGTGGTTAAGAATTGTCTAGAGTATGTTTTGTTGATGGGTATCATCATTACATTTTTTGCTTTTGCAATCTCTCTTAATCTTTTTTCCACGTTGATTTTTACTGCAGATAAAAAGTTTTTGAAGGGAAGCCCTGTTTGGTGACCATAGTTCCTCATCACCAATGAACGGCCCATTAAAAGCTCAAAATAACTCGAAATTCACCGACAGAAAAAGCTAAAAAATATTTTGTATTATAGAATATTATTTATGATTATTACCAAATCTATAAGGCAAAATATTTCAGGAGAATTAGGTAAGCAATCGTAGAAGACAACAATTTGTTGCTTTCTTCTCTTCCAAGTTATCTCGATAACAAAGATTGTTCCTCCTTTGGTTTCGAAATCAAACCAGCCCATCTAATTTGTCCCTGGTGAATTTTTTTTGAATAATTGAAAAACAACAAAATTAACTGTTTTCTATAGATGCTTACGTTTTTGATTGTATCTGAAGTTCAATACCATTGGATTTCAATGACTTGTTGTTCTGTTTCTTTAACTACCAAAAACCTATTCTAAGAGTGCAGTCTCCAGTTTAACGGGTTGAAGGCACGAAGTATTTGGCTGACGCATCCTAAAGAAAGAACAAATTGCAAGCACTTGCAGCACAGCCAGCATTCCTTCTCTTTCGAAAGATGGAGAAAAGAACGGTATCCATCTTGCTGTTGGTTTTCTACTTGAGCTGCTTCGTGAATGGCCAGACAAAAGTGCGCCTTCCAAAAGTTTACAGTATGTTATTCTCTATTGATTCTCTAACTGATAGTGATTCTATTTGCTTCAATGCTTTAACCTAACTTCAAATTTTTTCTGTATCAAATGTTTTCTAACAGTAATTACATGTTTGGTTTTTTGCTCAGTAACATTAAGCCCTTGTTTGTCATCAATTCTTAATCGACCCTTAACATCTTTTCTCGAAACTCTCTTACTTGCGTGTGAATTGCGTGTGAGATTGCGGATTGTTGTGCGCAACCTTCACTGAAAATGCACCTGCTTGCCTTGGTTCGTGGTATTGTTCTAGACCGAAATGACCCCTTGGACCAATTGACCCTGGAGTCATGTCGGTCCAGATCAATATGACACCAGGGTCATATCGGTCTAGGGAGGGTCATATCGGTCTGGGCAAGAAAAATAGAACTCAGGGCTTTTGCAGCGGTTATCATGACACCGAAGGCGCTCGTTGTATTTTTCGCGGGCAATGTGAATGAATGTGTTCTGATCACACAACGAAACGAAGAAAGGAAGATCAGAGAGAAGCGCACAAAAAAGCTTCAACCGGTGGTTGTTTGACTACACATCGCAAGGAAAAACGTCTTTGCTATCTTGGGAATTACACTTGCTAAAATTCGATAAAACTATGAAGTGTAACTTAAAACTTCGTCTGGTCAACATCCAAAGGCATTTTGCAGGAAGTTCAAACTTAAAAACAACCAGAGAAATTTCATGAAGATAGTTTAATATAAATAAAGGATAAGATACTAGATAAAGGCTGTTTCCCTATTATTTCGGTCCAGAAACATCTTTAAAACAGATAAACATTTCTCCAAAATTAAAATCTTTATTTTGTTGATAAACAATGAACATTGATTGAGCTACAGGAAAATTTTCAAATCTCAATGCTGTCGTTGCAATTTACGCAGCTTTTGCCCCATTTCGCAAAAACGGGCAAGTATTTTTCGCTTTATATCTTTTCTAAAATAGATTGCAAGCGAGGCTGGCCGATTGAGAGGGCATACTGGTCCAACCAGAGTTGTCTGGGAGTCATATTGGTTCGAAGGGTCATATTGGTCTAGAACAGTATTACAAACCAAAAAAGACAAACTGCCTCCGTGGGGTCTGACAAAGGGCATCTCCGAAAATCCTTCGGTCTTTTAAAAATACACGTTTTAATTATTTTGAAATGTTTATGTCAAGTAAATTACAATTATTAGGCAACGTCTATAAAAAAAACATAACTTTAGGGCCAGAGCTTCGCTGCGACTTTGGGAAGAAAAGGTGCCATGAGATGAGCCCTGCAAACCCTTATCGAAGTTTTGGTCTCCAGCATTTGACACGGTCGAGTCATTATTCTAAAAATTCACCCCAGCAGTGTAGTGCCAAAAATGTAGAGGGAGTTTTTTCATAAACATTTCAGAATAATAAAAACGTGTGTAAAACGATTTAAAAGACCGAAGGTGGTCAGGGACGCCGGAGAGGGAGGCGAAGGGGGCAGCCGCTCCTCTTGACCTTTGATAGGAGGGGCAAAGGCGGCCAAAGTGCCCTTTTATAAAAGTGCCCTTGTTTTTGGTCTTTTGTTATTATTAAAGAGATTTATAGGATTTATTATGACAGCAGTAAGCCCATTTACAAGATGCCTACGGAATATCGAAATAAAATAATAGTTACAAAAGAATATGTAGAAGCTGGGAATATTTTTCAAATGCCCCTTTACTGAAGCCTGTCCCTCTTGCCATTTGGTCGTTCCAGCGTCCCTGAAAGTAGTGGAAAGCTTTAGGTCATTCCCCTTAGCTTGGAAAACTGTCTAATCTAATACAAGCCACTTTTCTTTGACAAGTTGCTTTTGCTTGTGTAGAGACAATATCAGGATAGGAAGTATAAAGCATTATTAATTGAAATGCGTTTCCCATCATTAAACCAAGATGCCTACTTGCCCAATGGCCTGCCTCGCCTACAGCGTGACCCGTTACTTTAATTGATCCCAGAACTTTCGGATATGACAATTCTTATAAAATAATTAAAGGTAGAGATTTGCTTTTAATAAATGATTTAGTGATTTAAAAATTTTTCTATTTTAGAAATTGTAATTTATTTCACCAGTGAATTTCTTGTAAAAACCTTTATTTTTCTAAAATAACAGCATCCCCTTGTTTTATTATAAACGTGTATTGTAAGTGATAAATAGAGATAAAAACTGCAGTATATGTATTGCACAAACCTCTCAGATTTTGTGCCGTATATATCTCTTCTATCGAGCAGCAATCAGCAAAAATCTTATATCCAGACACAATATTCTATGCTAAGTGAACCTACTGAACCATATTTCTCTGTTTTACCTGTAAGCGCCAACCCCTTTAAGCATTTGGGTTACAATTTGGCCTAAATCTGTGACATAAGGGTTACAATTTTCTCCGGTACTGGTTGATTTGATATGGAATGACCCAATTGGTCCAAACCTGTCATTTGATAAAACGTAAGGATCTCGGAAGAATTTTCTGAATCAAGGCCATATTGTAACCATAAGACACTCGAAAAAGAGAAGAGATTTCTTATATGTCGACTTTTATATTGGAAGTCTACAAGCGAATGGTCTAACGAACAAAACAAAGAAAATAGAAGGTAACAGATGGTAGGAGGTTGATGGGGGTAACTTCACCCAACATTCCACTCCATCTCACTAAATGAAGGCTAAAGACTGGTTTAATACAGCGTAAATAGTGTCAATGGCCAAAACTGTTCCAGGGGATACTTCCCTCAATGGCTCTTTGCCGGCCATGTCGAAGCGGATATCTGCGATTGTTTTCAGGTGTTTTGTCTTCAATTCGTCGGAGCTGCTGAATGTACTATTTGCAGCTCTTTCTGTTTGATCATTTTCCCTTTTCGAATGCTCCCTAGCGGTTTTATTCTTTGGTTTTGTTGATACTATAGGCCCTTCCTCCTTTTAACCGTAAAAATCTTGAGCAGCATGAGATCTAGAAGGGTTCAGCCGATGATGGTGAACAACGTTTCAATTTGGAAGTTCAGTCCATTTGGCAGCTTTTCGCTTATGGTCCATGGACCATTTCTCGCTTATGGTCCATGGTTCAGGACCAAAACGCATGCGACGATCTGTGCACGATACTATTGGCCTAATATGTACTCA